GACTCACGCTCTTTGTGATACTGGAGCCGATATTTCCCTTTCTATGACCCCGAAGATGGCCAAGAAGCTCGTTGATAAGGTCGGGGCAAAGATGGAACTCTTGCCTAAACCGCTAGTACTTAGTGATTTCAACGGGGCCGCCGCCGCTCGCGCCACCCATCAAGTTCGGGTCACTCTCGAGATCGACGGCAGACGTTTCCCCCGTCAGAAGTTCATTATCATCCCGACCGCCAATGATGTCTTTATAGGACAGGATTGGTTTACCAAGCAGAACGTATGGCTGCACCCCGCCTCGCGTACTCTTCGCTGGCCCGACGATACTCCTGCCCTAGCACAATACTCGCCCAGCATCCTTGTCGATCCGAGCACTAGCACTATTGATATGAATGCCCAGTCAGAGGTAGTCCGCCGAGATCGACTAATGGAGGCCGAGGAACGCAAGCTGAAAGTGCAAAAGATTCTGCAAAATCCCTGGCGCAGGACAAACACACAGACAGTGGTAGCCGCTGCGATTCCAGCGGTCGCAACGGAACAGAAGCACAGCCCCGAGATGATTGCTTGCCTCCGCGCAATTGAGACTGACCCTCGCCAAGAGAGATGGAAAAAGCAGAAGATGCCCCAAACTGCCATACCATTAGATGGAGTCTCTAATCAGCCCACCATAAGCCTCAACGCTCTCACCGTCGACCCCAAGGCTTGGAACAAGACCTTCGACGGAAAGCATATCCCGTTCCCGGCAGGAGAGGATTCCGAGCATATTAATAAAGTGCGCGCCAAGCTACCACGCGAGTTGGCTCACCTGGAAGGATTCTTCTCGAAGAAAGCCTCAACGCAACTGCCTCCCAGCCGCCCTGGCTTTGATGTGGTTCTTGAGCTCAGTAAGCCGCTAGAGGGAAGACCGTCCCGCTACCCTACGCCCTTCGCTTTCTTGGGACTCGAAAAAGAGACCACCGACGAACTACTAAAGATCGGGTTCATTGAACGGTGCATGACCGATAAACCTGCTCCCACCTTGTTCGTGCCTAAACCCCATTCAGAAGAGCACCGTTTCTGCGTGGATTACCGCTGGGTCAACGACTTCATTAAGGGTCGACAAGTGTTAGCCCCCGACGTACAAGGCACCATCAGCCGCTGTGGGCGAGCCAAGCACCTGACCAAAATCGACATCATCCGTGCCTTTAATCGATTGCTGATGGACCCCGGTTCAAGGTACCTTACCGCCTTTACCACTCGCCAAGGCACCTTCCAATGGAAAGTCCTGCCCTTCGGGCTGAAAGTCGGGCCAGCTTGGTTCCAAGCCTTTATCAATGCACAACTCAACGAGTTACTGGACCTCTTTGCTAGTGCCTATGCTGATGACGTTCTGGCCTATTCAGAGGGCGATGATGAGGAACACTTCGAACACGTTGAGGAGATCATCTATCGACTTCACAAGGCCGGACTCCAAGGCGATATCAAGAAGTCCTCTTTCAACGTGACCGAAGTCGACTACCTGGGCATGATTCTGGAGACCGGAAAAGGAGTGCGAGTGGACCCTGCCAAAGTAGCCGCCATCCTGGATTGGGATTGGGACGACTTGACGTCGAAGTCATCTGTTCGATCATTCCTAGGCCTCTGCAACTTCATTCGGATCTTCTGTTACCACGCCAGCCAAGTTGCCGAACCACTCACCAGGCTGTTGAAGAAGGACGTTGCTTTCGAGAAGGGACCCGAGCAAAAAGCCGCCTTCGACGCACTCAAGAAGCTTGCTACCGAGGCCCCAGTTTTGGCATTCTACAAGCCAGGTTTCCCAGTGAAAGTCGACACCGATGCTTCCAACAACGCCACGGGCGGTGTGATCTGGCAGCAGCAAGAAGACGGAGAATGGAAGCCGATCGGATACTCGTCCAAGACAATGTCCGCCTCAGAGCAAAACTATCCCATCCAAGACAAGGAGCTTTTGGCTGTAGTCAACACCTTGAAGGACTTTGAACCGGCTCTATGGGGAACCAAGTTCTTTGTACAGACTGATCATCAAGCTCTCATCTATTGGTCTACTAAGAAACTGCTGTCCGCCCGCCAGATTCGCTGGTCGTACTATTTGGCCAATTTCGACATTACCTTCCGTTACCGCCCAGGTAAGGATAATGTGGCCGCCGACGCTCTCTCTCGCAAAACCGTAGACAACCCGACGGTCAAAGCACGAGAAATCCAAGACAGAACGTTCGCCTTGATCCCACCCGAAAAGATTGAAGGGCTGCCGAACGACGGTGCGAGATCAATCAACGCCCTGACCTCTACGGAACTTTGTGGAGCGGATTTGGTCGATACTATCATTGCCGAGAACGCCAAGCAGAACTTGGGTCGTAAAGAAGGATTGTTAGTTGTTCCGGAGACCACCGCCGACGGAAGCGTCTTTCTACGGACTGCCCTGATTCGAGAAGCCCATGAACCTAAGGCATTCGCTCACGCAGGACAGAACAAGACGGTCGCCCTATTAAAGAAGGAATATTGGTGGCAGGGCCGTAATAGCGACATCAAACGGTATATCCGAAACTGCCAGAGCTGCCAAAGGAATAAGGTCAGACACGACAAGACTCCCGGACTTCTCCATCCGCTGCCGATCCCAAAGCACGTTTGGGAGCATGTAGTAGTAGACGGAAAGAACATGCCAACGGACGACGAAGGCTATGACTACGTTTGGGCTTTCATCTGTCGTTTCAGCAAGCTAATCGCTACCCTGGCCGGACGCAAGACGGATACCGCGGAGATATTAGCCGCCCGGTATTACCATTATCTTTACCGCTTCCTGGGAGTCCCTAGCCAGTGGATTAGCGATAACGCCGGACCTTTCATCTCCGAATTCCTCGATACCCTCAACAAGCTCACGGGCACCAAACATCGCCACGGAAGCTCGAGACACCCTCAAACGCAAGGAAGTATCGAGATCACCAATGCGGAGTTGGATCAAAAGCTGAGGTTTTATGTGGACAAGTACCAGACCAAATGGCGAGAACACTTGCCTGCCTTGGACCTGGCCCACAATATAGCCTACCATTCGGCTATTGGAATGTCTCCGTTGGAAGTAGCGTTGGGAACCAGCCCTCGGAATCCCTTGTCTCTGCCATTGCCCGAGCTAGACCTGTCTACCGATCAGCAGAAAAAGGCCTTGGATATCGTCAAGCAAACCCAGCGAGCCCAAGACCTGGCAAGACAAAATGCCATTGCCACACAGGCCTTGATGGAGGCTCAAGCTAACAAGAAGCGTCGCCCCGTTGACTTCGGTGTGGGAGATTCAGTGTATGTCAGCAAGAAAGGATTCTCTACCGAAGCACCAACAACTAAGCTGGATTCCCAGAACGCCGGACCTTGGACTATAGTCGACATGAAAGGCCACAGCTTCGTCCTAGATACCCCGTCATGGTACAAGGGAAGTAAGGTCTTTCACGCTGACAGGCTGAGAAAAGCTTCTGAGGACCCTTTACCTCAACAACGGGCAGAACCGGAACCCCCTGTGGAGATCAATGGAGAACCCGAGTGGGAAGTCGAGAAGGTTCTGGCATCGCGACTGTTCGGTCAACGAAAGAAGCTCCAATACCAAGTGTCTTGGGTCGGCCTGGATCCCGACGAAACCTGGTATCCAGCTGGCGACCTCAAGAACTCTCCATTGCTGCTGGAGTCCTTCCACAAAGAACACCCGGAAGCTGCTGGTCCGCCAGTGAGATTACAGCAATGGATACGAGACGCGGCAGACGATGCTTTCAGTAGCGATCATAAGGATGATGAAGTGGCGGAACACGATGCGACGGGGGGGAGGACAAAGAAGAAGCATGCCACCAGGCATACTTGAATTGCCCCCGCGGTACTCTTTCAAGCTTCCTGAACGCCAGGCGCTCAGAGCTTGGAAGGGGGTAATGTGAGGACCCGTCCACCAAACTGGCCCTGAAGCAGCCAGAGCCGCCCAGAACCCACGGGCCTATCAGAAGCCTCCTCGAGGCCCCACCTACCCCACTGATAGATGCAAACTTATTCGCGAGCACGCGACGCGTTGTCGGACTTTTCCTTCTTTCCCTCCTCAGTTTAGAATCTTCGTCGATAGTACCCAATGGACTGAGTTCACCTCAATGCCTTGCCCTGGTCGTGACAGGGGCGTCGACCGTGGTGGTACGATGTACCTAATCTCTAACGACGAAGATGACGACGACGACGGCGATAATATAGAGAGCGTCAAGCACCCGAGCTACCGTATCAACTACCTTACGCCCAACTATATTATCTTCCGGCATTCTTACAAATAGCTTCCCAATGCCATAGCCGCCTATATCTAGTATATCGCCTCCATACTGCCTGAGATGCCTGAGCTCTCCTCGGAGATTGTGGCCAAGGCTGTCTATAACCTGGAAACGCTAGTGTTACGAATCCTTGTCCAAATGCGCAATAGTGGGGCACGCTCAGTTTGGTGTGGACCAATCAGGAGCGTCCCATGGAAAGAACCAATTAGGAGTGTCCCTGGGTCCCGAGGTTCGGGACCACTTAAGGTCGGGGACGCGGGACACAGTCCCGCGCGCCCGGCGTCCCGAGACCGCAAGTCTCGGGACCACGGGCCAGTGGGACCATTGTTATTGGTTACACGGTTAGATATATACGATGACCGTAGCCACAGGCTTAGATAGTTCTTGCTTGGTTCTTCAAGCAAGCAATACACATTCACTGCACTCATACACTTTGAGTGGCATTCCGATTTGACTGTATTACCCGTGCGATAGGAGCATGTCCTTTGTTCTATCTTCATAATTACCAACCCCAGCATCTTGTGGAGCCCGTGCTCCCTTACAGACAGACGACCCTAACAGTCGAGTGGTTTGTAATATGAGACTCTCGTAATCTGTGCACTATTGTTTGCTCCTTATACTTCGCATTACCTGTGTGGTTCGCCGCACTACAGCTCACTCTCCCCCCCACCCCTACAGTCCTAGACCGGGTCTAGCTCCGTGGAAGCCTCAGTGTTCCAGATTGTAACATCAAATTTCAACCTCCTCAGGACTGCGGGTGGTGGGCGTGTTCAACACTTGGCTGCCGAGCTTGGCAGCTCGGGTGAATTCCATCCCTATAAAGTGTTAGCAAGCGTCGTCGGGGGAGAAGTGGGAGGGAACGGACCGAATACATGGCATAGCGAGGTGCAGGGCGCGGTCTGTTGTCGCCTATGGCGCCCATGCCTGGATTCACGCCGCCGCCATATGACCTGCCGAGGCGTTGGCAGCATAGCTGGGGGTGGGCCCGAAAGCATTAGCGGGGCTAGGAGCGAAGCTGGGGGTAGGCTCGAAAGCATTGGCGGGGTTGGGCACAAAGGCGCCGCTGACGAAGCTGCCGGCGTTGGGGAGATAGCCGCCGGGGGCGAAGCTGGCGGGATTGGGAAGATAGCCGTAGGATAGGGGGGCATGACATGGCCTTCAGGCCCTGGCAGACTCGCCAGAGCTGCAGGGTAGTTCCTGCGACAGACACGGCCAGCATGTTCCTGCGAGTGTCTCCCTCCCAGCCTTGTCCCAACCTCGCTCCGAAATCGAAGCCGAATGCCAAGCCTTTGGAATTCAGAAGTCGGACTTCCCCTTACCAGCATTACGAAGCTTTTGAGCCCTTCGAACACAACCGGAATCATGCCCGTCCTCTGCCCCTGGTAGGGACGGAGAGGCCGATCGCCGAGCCCGCCGGCTACGCCGAGAGCAGGATGCTTTGGCATTCAGAAGTCCGACCTTGAGCTTGAGCGCGACATCCGCGCCAAAATTGACGCTGCTTTTTACGTCGTCTTTCAGCGCTCCCAGGCCGACATCGGTGTCATGTACACAATCAACAGGAGACGACAGGACGGCCCGGGCAACTGCCTTGCAATTGAACCCAGCCCCAAGGCCGAGAAAAGTGGCAGAGCCCCCCACGAGAGGTCATGCGATGGGCTGAGAGCAGGTATGCGGGCTTTGCCATGGTTTGAGCGGACTTGGGTGACCTAGAGAACTACATAGCCAAGGGCCGGCGTGCTGGCGAAGTTCTCAAGGTCGCCAAAGTCTGCCCAAACCACCGCAAAGCCGGCGTACTTGCTCACAGCCAGCCGTAGGACCTCTTATCGTGGTCTTCAGCCATCTAGTCCTCAAGATCGCTCAAGTCTGCCCAAATTAGGTTCTTCAGGTGTGAATGGGGGTTGGCTCGATGGAGAGGGAAGGGGATATGGCCCTGACCTATTGTAATGTAGATGACTGTTTCTGTGTTCTTTCCTTAGCTAATCAATCCATATCCCTCAAATTTTACCTCATCTCTGTGACACAATGGTAGGTGGTTATCCGTTACTCCTCTTTCCTCATTTTGCAAAATCTGGCCTTTTGGAAGAGACACTACACTTCTCACAATCATCATAACTCTTTCGGGTCAATGTATGAGCCCGTGTCTTCAATTTTTGTACTTTGTATATTTCCCACTTTTGACGCTCTTCTTTTGTTTGTTTTAGTTCTTTTTTAGAAGACGGAGCTCCTGCATATTTACAGACGGTTGCTGTGGTCAGTATTAGTGCGGAACTCAAGGATCCACGTCGGCAAGGTCATGTGTGCAACGTTTATGAACCACTTTAAGACGAAATTATTTCTCTTGAGGAAACTGCCTTGTATGAGGTAGTTAGCTCGCTCGTTTCATGGAAAACAGTCCATCTCTCTGGGTGTTCTATATAACCTGCCATTAAAGAATCGATTTCCATGCCACATGGCTTCTTGGACAGGCGGATGTTTCTTTGCCTCGGGCTTTGTCGACCTTTGTCCTTCTCACTGCCTGTCCTCACGGACCTTAACATGCCTCTCACCCTTGTGTTGCTTTTCTGCTGTGTGATGACCAGCACTGCATCGATGCTTGGATCTGCTAGTGGGAGTCGCATCTTCGTCCCCTTTCGTCTTGTAAGCCGACGCAGAAGTTGGGGCAAGCGGTGACGCTCTGGACCGAACTAGGTAATTACTGGCATGCTAATTTTGGGGAGACATTTCACTTTGATTTCCGAAGGCAATTCACTTCACCTTGGTACGCTGACGAGTTAATTATGGTATGAAGAACAACCCAGCAACGGGCCACGTTGGTATTATATTGCGCTAGACCCTTCTGCTTGCCCGTTACACCTCCTTCCTGGCGTGGTCTCGTACTTGATCTTTGCTCTCTTGGAAGCTAGCTCAGCGCTGGAATTTGCTGCGACTTGGTACTGTTTTGGTTGGTAGTGCCACGGCGGGTGCGTCCAGGGCTGAACGGGACCTGGGTGCTGCGGGAGTCGGCGTGCCGGTGCTGACCCACTCCTCCTCCTCCATCTTCCTCGTCGTCAGGCGCGGATTAGAAGGGGGAACGCACTTGTACTCCGGCCTAGCAGGCTCACTTGGGTCGTTCCGTTTCTTTGGAGGCGGGACGTGATACTCCTCGTATCCCTTGAAGGGTCGCTTTGTCGCGTCTTTGGGGAGGGCCTCCAACCGCGCAGGTGATATCCCTGGTCGAAGATAATATTCTCCAAGTTAATGAGCTTGCGCGGTTGGAGGCCCTCACTGAAATGTGGTGTTTAAGGAAGAGGCGAGACTCCCGCACGGCACGGTTGTGCCGGCGAGAGGCCACCACCTCCGGGTGGTGTTGAAGACGGATGAAGAAGCCAGGCTGTATTTTTTTTTGAAAGGAAAATAGGTGAGTGTTGTGGAATTCAGGGCAGAAGTGGGTCCGGGACTGGAGGCGAGCGCCAAGTACCTGGGTACCGCGATAGAGTAGCCTGGTGGTACGGATGACCTACCAAAAGAAAGTTCTCACCGCCCTGGTACCGATTATGTCGGCAGGATCCATTATAGGGGGCCATAGCATATGTAATCAGGCCAGCCTAATTCGGAAGGACGCAACATGTTGGGCAGCAATATGGTGTAAATAGCACCTAGCCCAAAAGCCCAGAATTTCCCCTCTTTCTTGTAGCATCATTCTTTTGGCTATCATCAAACAAAATGCCACATTCCGACACTGCATCTCGTGTTCAAGCCCTTACTTTACAAGCCCTCGGGTGGAAAAATGAAGATATTGAGAAGCTGACTGGCATTAAAGCGAGGGCCCTCAACAAGCTACTTGACCGTGCTATCGAACGTGGATTTGAGCCTAGCAAACTCCGGATCCAAGATTCATATGTTGCGAATTCCCCCAAATCCGGCCGGCCACAGAAGCAAGAGGCCTCCGAAGAAGAGGTGCTTGATAAGGTACGCAAAAGCCGTTACGGGCGCGAGTTATTCTGTGCTTAAATTGCCTCGTATTTAGGCAACCGGATCTCCACTATGACGGTCTAGCGTATCCTTCGGAAAGCTGGCATGCGCAAAAAAAAGCCCACATGTAAGCCAGGGCTTACAGCGAAGATGAAAAAGGAGCGTTTGGAATGGTGCATAGCCTATAAAGGTTGGACTTTGGAGGATTGGAAATACGTGATTTGGTCTGATGAGACTTCTGTTGTATTGGGCTTTCGCCGTGGTGGTTATCGGGTTTCGAGGAAGTCAGAGGAGCGGCACTTGAAGATTTGTATCCGCGAACGGTGGAAAGGCTATTCGGAATTTATGTTCTGGGGTTGTTTTTCTTTTAACCAGAAGGGGCCATACCATATTTGGAAGTAGAGACTCCTAATAGGAAGTTGGCTGATGAAGATTTGGAGCAGATGAATGCTGTATTGGAGCCAATTATGAAAGCTGAATGTGAGCTTACTAACCCAATTTCTCGTTTAAGAATCGACCGTCGTACTCCAGGGCGAATTCCGCAACAGAAATAGACAAAGAAAACGGGGAAATTAACACGCGGCAAAGGGACTAGAATTGCATAGAAGAAGGCCTAGAAGGGTATGCCTCAGCAGAAGATACAGGAGTGGATCTAGCGAGTCTAACACTACGTTAATGAAGTTATTCGTTGCGAAGGAGGCAACGAATACAAGGAGGGGCGGCCCAGTTATTTAAAGAGCCGTGAGATCAATACAATTATAGAGGTTCTAGAGGAGGAACAAGAGGGTTTAGAAGATACTGTGAAGGCAGGCATATACGAGAGTCAATACTGCAAGTAAAGAATGGCTGTATTCGTAAATAACTAAACTAAAGAATGGAAAAGGAAAAGAAGAAGCCTGCGGTTCCTGTAGGTAGTGGTTTTGTGGTTGGCAGGGGCAATTAGGCTAGTCCTAATCGGGAAGGGTAGGGCAGCGGAGTGGAACCTGCAACCAGGGCATGATTGCGGCACCACGGACCATAGTTCGGCCGTGCCGTGACAGGTACTAATATAGATAATCTAATGGAAGATTCTGAGTTAGAAGAAGATGTTTGGATTGAGGAAACCGAAATTTAGATACATAGGAAGAATAAAAAACTGTAGTGGAATCTTTTAGGTAGTATTACAAAGTAGGTAAAAAATAGTACTAATATTGTCCTCTGGACAGGATAAAGAAAGTGGGAAATAGTGGGAAATAGTGGGAAACAGGCTGTAAAGTAGGTGGGAAGTGCTGTAAAGTGGTAAAATGAGCATGTAGGAGCAGATCAATGGAAGGCGCTATAATTATAGGGGATAAGGCCTGAAGCGGCGAGATCTTGGCAAAGGTGGTGAGAACTTTCTTTTGGTAGGGTCATTCGTAGCACGTCATGCATTTGGGGGGCGCCACGGTTCCCGAGCCGATACAGCTGGCCTCAATCCCTCCAATAGGGGCGAGTGTCGTCTCATCGGCGTTATGCGGCAGAGCAGCCTAACGCCGTGGCATCCTTACCGTCAAAAGGAGTTGTTCCGCCACCGACGTAATTGGGATCCCCGAGGACGAGTTCTATAAATGTTGACACGGTGCCCTAATTCCTATCCGGACTTCCGTCTGGTTGTGAATTCACCTCTAGCCCCCCGAAACTTAAATGTGCAAAAGTGACGAGCACTCGGCAAGGTCTGGTCTAGTCGGTAAGGAAGTTGACGAGACAAAAACGAGCCCAGAGAAAACATCACAAGGTTTATTCAAGGTCTACCATCTCTCCACGGCTAGTGGCTGCCACACAGACAACCGCAGCAACATCAAGGCGACGAGAAGCTGCTGGGGGAGCTGGATTCGGGCAGGCAATCTCGCGTTGGAGTGGGGCTCGAGTTTCATAGACCTAGTCCAGGGTGGAAGGTGGTAACCCGCCGGAGTTGGGGCATCTACCCGGCCATGTGTCGGCCAGGCATCCAACCTGTCGATGAGCCCGTTCTCACTTCCAGCAAGCTTTCATAAGATGATGGACTCCACCTCCAAGATGCATGTAGCCTTGTTAAATACAAAACCTCAAAGTCCCCGTAGTACCCCTAGACCAACCTGCCAACTTGAAAACAAGTCATTACCATCCAGTTCCTTGCCACGGACGATGGCAATGACGACAGCCCACGCCTCGTGGCCGACAGCCGTGTGGTCCCAAACTCTATCAAGCAAAACACACTTTCCCATCCTCGGCTCCGACTCGACACTTTACCTGCCGCGCATTCTATGCCTCCATGGCGGCGGCTCCAACGCACGAATCTTCCGCGCACAGTGCCGCGCTTTGCGTTCCCAGCTGACGCCGACCTTTCGCCTCGTGTTCGCCGACGCCCCCTTTTTCAGTGACCCCGGTCCTGATGTGGAATCTGTGTACGCCAGCTGGGGGCCGTTCCGGAGCTGGCTTACGCCGCAGGTGCCGTTTGAGCAGCAGCACGGGTTCGACGCCGAGAGGGTGGATGCAAGCATTCGGGACGCCATTGCTCAGGACGACGGGCTTGGGGCCATGGGGCCGGTGGTGGGCGTGTTGGGGTTCAGCCAGGGCGCGCGTATGGCGGCGAGCCTGCTGTTCAGACAGCAGATGCATGGGAGCCAAGGGCTTACCTTTGGGGACGCGAGGATCGAGTTCCGCTTTGCTGTTCTGCTTGCTGGGCGCGGGCCGCTGCTATTCCCGTGGCCGAGTCCTGGGTACGTCGACACGCGCGAGGCACTGCTGCACCTCCCGACCGTCCACGTCCACGGACTCGGTGACGTGGGGATCCGCATGCACAGAGAGCTTCTCCGTAGATGCTGCGAGAAGGGCACGGCCAGGCTGGTGGAGTGGGAGGGTGGCCATCGCGTGCCCATCAAGACGCGAGATGTCGCCGCGGTTGTGGACGAGATGCTGCATGCGGCCATGTGCACAGAGAGCATCAAATTTTGAACAATCAAGTAGAATGAAGAGTGAGAAATAGAGTTAAGAGTGAGAAATAGAGTTTTTTTTTTTCAATCTCTTCAATCTGAGTCACATGCTCTAGCCTCTACGCATGAAGTAAGGAAGGCGCAAAGCTACAATCTATCTTATCTAAAAAAGTAAAACGTTCGCCAAAAAGAGCAAGAACGCACCAGCAAAGAACACACCAGCAAAGAACGCACCAGCAAGAACGCACCAGCAAAGAACACACCAGCAAAGAACGCACCAGCAAGAACGCACCAGCAAGAACGCACCAGCAAAAACACAAAAGAAATCCTCCCCCGCCTCACCTAAGCCGTCGCCCATCCCCATTCGTGGCGTGTAAAAATCCCCTCAGCTTCCACCACTCCAAATACCGCTTCACCACCTCCTTGCTGACCGGCCCGACCGCGCGCATGGTAGCCGAATGCTCGCACGCTTTCTTCGTGTCCAGCAACATACCGCCGCAGCTCATCCGCACGAAATTCTCATCGAGGAAATCAATCAGCCGCGCCGCCGGATTATCATCCATCGACCCCGGGAACGCGCGCACGCGGCGCACCCACGCGTCGAACGGCACGACCTCCTGCACGCCCAACTCCTCACGCATCACACCCAACACATCGCCCCACGGCTGGCGCACGGGGTTGTCGACGTGGTACACAGGCGCCATATGCGTCTCCTCACCCAACAGCACCAGATCCGCGACCGCGCCCGCGACCGCCTCGACGGGCGTCCAGCACAGCTCCCCCCCCAGCGCTGGCAGCGCGCGCAGCGTCTGCGAGCTCTTGACCAGAAACGCGAGGTGCTCGTTCTCGTTCCACGCGCCACTCGCCGAGTTCCCCGCGATCTGGCCCGGCCGCACCACGCACGCGCGGAACCATGCCGCATGGTTGTGGAGGGCGGCGTCGACCATGCGCTCACACACCCACTTGGCGTGCGCGTAGCCGTTCGGCAGCACGTCGTCGGGCGCGGCGCGGGCTTCTGGTGCGAGGCGGGACCCCGTCAGGTGGTGGTGCCCCATGACGGCGATGGACGAGACCAGCTGGAACGCGATCTTGTTCCCCGTCTGGGGCGTCTGGGCAAGCGCGGCGTCGCGCGCGAGGTCGAGCAGGTGGCGCATGGCGGCGAACTGCGGCTCGAGCGCGCTCGCCGGCCGCTTGCCCGTCATGGGCCAGGCGTTGTGGATGATGTGTGTGACGCTGGTCGTGAGGGACGCGTAGACGTCGCGCGCGAGCCCGAGGCATGGTTTCGTGCTGTCGACGGCCAGGATGCGTAGCTTGGCCTGTGTGGACGGTGTCAGGGTAATCCCGCGCGACGTGAAAGCGTCTTGTTGTCGCTCCGAGGGTTCCCCGGTCGTGCTGCGCCGGTTCAGGCAGAAGACGGTTTCGACGTGCGGGAGGGAGGCAAGGTGTGCCACGAGGTGCGCGCCTAGCGAACCGGTTGCGCCGGTGACGGCCACGCGCGCGGGGAGGGGCTGCCGGAGGCTTTTGTCGTTTGGGGTTGCTGCAGGTGCTGCAGGTCGTGGCGGCATGTCGAAGCCGGCGGCGTACTTCTGCACATAGCCGTCGAGCAGCGCCCTGTCAGCCGGCAGCATGCTTGTCTGGACCGCCGGCGGCGGCGGCGCGGGGAAGTCGATGCGCGTCGGCTCGAGCGGGAAGCCCGGGGAGGCTGAAGCCTGGGCGACGATGATGCGCTGGATCTCGATCTCGGGCCGCCAGCCATCGGTCCAGTCGACGCGGCCGTAGCCGGCGGCGTGCAGGTCAGCCTGCCAGCGCGACTGGTGGGCGATGGCGTGAGTGCGGCCGTCCTCGAAGCGCCACCAGCCCTCGAACAGCCCGAAAATGATGTCGACCCAGTACACGGGCTGCGTCATCTCCAGCATCAGCAGGAACCCATCAGGCCTCAAGGCCTGGCGGACGTGCGCTACCGACTCGCGCAGGTTGCGCGTCGCGTGGATGGCGTTGCTGCCGATGACCACGTGGTGCCGCCCCAGTTCGGGTGCCGGCGCCTTCTCGATGTCATGCACGCGGAACTTCATGAAGGGGTACTGCGCGCCGAACTTCTTGCGTGCCGCCGCCACGAAGGACCCCGACAGGTCCGTGAAGGTGTACTCGACGGGCACGCCCAGCGCCGCCAGCATCGGCACCATGTCCTTGGTGGTGCCGCCGGTGCCGGCGCCCAGCTCGAGCATCTTGAGCGGGCCGCTGTTGCTGGGGAGCCTGGCCACGACCCGCGCCAGCACGTCGCGCATCTGCGCGTTGGCCAGGTTGTTGAGCAGGCTGTCGCCGTACAGGCCCGTGACGAGGCGGCGGCCGTCGTCGGTGCCGAAGATCAGCTTGATGCCGTCCTGCTCGCCGCGCAGCACGTCGGCGAGCCGGCTGCCGGCGAAGAAGGTCAGCCGGATCACCGACTCGTGCTCGGGGAACGCGCGCAGCAGGTCCGCGCGCAGGCTGGCGCTGGCCTTGTAGGGGGCCGCCGACGCGGCGGTGCGCGTGACGACGCCCGTGGACGGCGACACGTCGACCAGCCGCGCGGCGTCGGCGAGCATCTTGTACAGCCACTCGGTCAGCCGGCCGTGCTCGGCGACGTGCGGGATGCGCGGCAGCCGCTCGCCCGGCGCCGCCGCAGCGATGCGGCACCCCAGCTGCTCGCACGCCTCGAGCGCCAGCGCGATGCACAGCTGCGTCAGCCGCGGCAGTACCGTGTCCATGTAGCCGGCGCAGCCGTACTGCGCGATCAGGTCGTCCGTCAGCCGCTTCGTCTCCTCAAAGGCCTCGAACACGGCCGCCGGCGACAGGTGCAGCTCCTCGCTTCCCCCGAGGCCGTCTGCCACAGCCCGTGACGCGGCGGCAGCGGCGGCAGCACCGGCCTTGACGTGCTCGTGCTGCGCGGCGAGAGGCGGCGTGGGCGAGAAGCTGGTCGGCGGCGTCGACGAGGTGGAGTCGCCGTCATCAACCTCGCTGTCGCCCGTGTCTTCGTGGTCGCCGCCCGACGGGCCGTCCGCCACGCCGAGCACGCCAGCAACATGGGCGACCAGCTCGCGGAACGTGAGCACGCTCGCCAGCTCGTCGCTCATCAGCCGCGCCTTGAACGCGCCCTCCATCTCGCGCCCCAGCTCCATGCCCATGAGCGAGTCGATGCCCAGGTCGGCGAGGTTAGCATCGATGGAGATCTCGCCCGGCTCGAGCCCCGACAGCTCGCCCAGGATGGTCCGGATCTTGCCGACGACGTCAACGGCCGGTGCGGCAGCTGGCCCCTTGGCCGCCGCAGCCTTGACTTCTGTCTGCACGGAAAGCTGCGGCACGCTCGTTCTCGTCTGAGCCGGCGGAGCCGGCAGAGCATCACCACTTCCGTGCTTTGCAGCCCGAGTCGCAGCAGCAGCAGCAGCATTCGCCGCCACCGGCACCGCCAGCCCCGGCGTGAGCCGCGCCAGCATCTTGCTCATGGACAGCTTGCTGACCTGGTGGTAGTTCACGCCCAGAATGACCTCCGCCAGCTTCCCGCTCTCGGCCTCAAACACAAAGATATCGCTCAGGAACGCCTTGTCGCCAACGCGCTCGTGCCTCGCCAGCACGTCCCACGTCTCGACGCTCTTGTACTCGTCCCCGCCCAGCAGCGGCGAGCGCAGCCACTTCTCGAACCCGACGGCAATGTACATGTCCCCCGGATCCGCGTCCGTCATGCAGTTGACCCAGATGCCGGCCACCTGGCTGAAGCTGTCGGCGAGGTGCGTGTCGAGCCAGCCACCCCCCGGCGCCGCCCGCTTTACCACACGCCCCGCCGACTCGAAGCCGCGGCCCACCAGCCGCTGCACGCCGCGGTACGGGGATGGGTAGTCGACCACCTCGGCGAAGGCGCGGTAGATGTTGCGCGCGCCGTGGATCATGTCGTCAGCGCCGCTCCCGTCCAGCACGGCTGCGCAGTGCGCGTGGTGTCCCGTCAGCCGCTCGTACCGCTTGAACTCGGCCAGCGCGGCGCCGTCGTCGGGCCGCGCCAGCACGAGCTGGCCCAGCGCGTGCAGCGTCTCGCCGCCGCTTCTGTCCGGGTCGTTGCCGGTGCTGACGACCTGCCAGTGCCACAAGTTGTCGTCGGCGGAAGCAAACCGCAGCGACACGGTCCGCGATGCGTCGAGGCAGATGGCGGCTTGGTTGCTGACTTGGTGGATCTGCGGCGCGTACGCGGGCGGCGAGCTTTGGTCTTGGGACAGTAGTAGGTCGGGCCGCACGCTGGCCAGCGCCTCGACGGCCATGTCGACGATCAGCGTCGCCGGGCAGATGGCCGCCGTCTTGGCGATGAAGTGCCCCGACACGTAGTCGAGGTACCTTTGCGCCTGCGTGTTGATGCGGAACACGGGCGCGCGCGCGTTGCCGTCGCGGTGCTCGACGAAGGAGAACAGGCCGAGGGGTGGCGCGGCGGTGTCGGGTGTACGTGTCTCGGCGGGTAGGGGGACGGGCTTGGGCGGCGCCTTCATGTCGAGCCAGTGGCGCGAGCGCTCGAACTGGTACGGCGGGAGGAGCAGCGGAGTATATTCGTACGTCTGCACGCGGTGATGTGGCCAGAAGACGGCGGTGCGCAGGCCCTCCTTCCACAGGCCGAGCGTGGCGTTGGCGAGCATCTGCGGCCCGTTGCCACCGTCGCCCGTGATGTTGACGGCCTGGAAGTGCGACTCGCGCGGCGCGCCGAGTGCTCTGCTCGCCATGCCCGTGATGGTCGAGTTGGACCCGGCCTCGAGGAAGACGCACCCGCCGGGGTACCGCTCGGCGATGCGCTGGATGGCGTGGCTGAAGAAGACGGGGTTGCGCATGTGCTCGGCCACGTAGTTGGCCGTCAGCCGCGTGTGCTGCGGCAGCCCCGACTCGACGGCCCGCTCGAGCGGGATGTGCGGGTCCTCGCTGAAGGCCAGCGTCTGGCCGATCTCGACGAGCCGCGGCACCAGCGGCTCGACCAGCGTCGAGTGGAACGCGTTGGTAACGCTCAGCCGCTTGCAGCGCGTCGACGCGAAGTCGGCGCTGCTGCCCAGCGTCTCGACCACGGCGTCGATCTCGGCGGCGGTCCCGGCCACCGTGAAGCTACGCGGGCCGTTGTAGCAGGCGATGGTAGCCTTGCCACCCGCGCGGGCCAGCAGCGCCCCGACGGCGGCCAAATCGCCCTCGACGGCGGCCATGGACCCCTTATCGGCGCCCCAGGCCTCGCGGATGACTGTCGCGCGCCCGACGACCACGCGCAGGGCGTCGCGCAGCGACAGCGTGCCCGAGACGGCCAGCGCCACCAGCTCGCCAAAGCTGTGGCCGACGACGGCTGCGGGCGCCAGCCCGCAGTCGATCCAGCTGCGCGCGCTCGCGTACTGCAGCGCGAACAGCGCCGTCTGCAGCCGCACGGGGTCGTCGACGGGCGTGCGCTGGAAGATGGCCGGGAAGATGCTGCCGCTGCTCCCAGCCAGGGACGCGCACACGGCGTCGACCGCGCCCAGGTGCTGCCGTAGGATCCGCGACGACGAGTACACGCCCCGGTCGAGCCCCACGAACGTGCTCACCTGCCCGCCGAAGCACAGGATCACGGGCCGCGCCGGCTTCTGCGATGCCGATACTAGGTTCGTGCCCTCCGTGCTCCCCTTTTCGAACGCCGCCAGCTTCTGCACGAGCTGCTCGACAGAGCGCGCGGCGAACACGAGCGCCTTGTCCAGCGTCGGGTTGGCCTGGCGCGAGACGTTGAAGGCCGTGTTGGCGAGCGACGGCGCCGTGTTGGCGAGCGACGGCGCGGCGTCGGCGCCGGCGCCGGCGCCGGCTCCCCTGAACGCAGCGCTCTCAGTCAAGAACCTGACCAGTCGACCACAATAGGCCTTGATCGCGCGCTCGTCAGCCCCAAAGATGCGGAACGGGTACTCGACACCTGGCGCGTCGTCGCGCGTCTTTGCTGGCCTGGCCCTGGGCGCCCCAGTCACGACCATGGACGCGTTGGAGCCCGACGCGCCGTAGTTGTTGATCAGGGCCGCGTGCACGCCGCCGTCGGGCACGACCCACGGCTCCAGCCGTGCGGCAATGTGGATCTTGTCGTCTGGGGATGCAGCGATGGCCGGGTTCAGCGTGTCGAAGCTTGCGCTTGGCGGGATCATGCGGTGCGCGGTCATGAGCAGCGTCTTGACGAGCGACACGGCGCCCGACGCGCACTCGGTGTGGCCGACGAGGCCCTTGACGGAGCCCAGCGCGAGCGGTTCGGTGCGGCCGGTGCGCGGCCCGCCGAGCACGTCCTTGACGCTCGCGTACTCGGCCGGGTCGCCGACCTGCGTGCCGGTGCCGTGGGCCTCGACGACGGTGATCTCCCCGGGGTCGAGCCGGGCCTGGGCGACCACGTCGGCGAAGAGGTCCGACAGCGACGGCGAGTTCGGCACGAACACGGGCGTGCAGTTCTGGTTCTGGTACACGGCGGAGCTGGAAATCGTGGCCAGGATCTGGTCGCCGTCGGCCAGCGCGCGCGCCACCGTCTTGACCATGACGGCCGCGAAGCCCTCGCCGCGGCAGTAGCCGTCGGCCTTGGCGTCGAAGGGCTTGCAGGCGCCCGTCGGGCTCAGGAACCCGCCGGCGGCCAGGTTCTGGAACCACAGGCTGTTGGTCATGATGTTGGCACCGCCGGCCAGCGCCGCCGAGCAGTCCCCGCCTAGGACGGCGCGGCAGGCCTGGTGCACGGCCACCAGCGACGAGCTGCAGGCCGTGTCGATGCACAGGCTCGGGCCCAGCCAGCCGAACCAGTGGCTGATCTTGCCGGCGATGAACGACTTGAGGTTGCCGACGGCCGTGAAGGCGTTGGGCTCGTGGCACGCCATGTTGTTCTCGTAGTCGGCGCTGCACACGCCCACGAAGCAGCCCACCTTCTTGTCGATCCTGTCGGGGGCCACGCCAAAGTAGCCCGACTGCTCGACTGCCTGGTACGCCACCTGCAGCATGTGCCGCTGCTGCGGGTCGACCGACGCCATCTCGCGCGGCGTCTTCTTGAAGAACCTGTGGTCAAAGGCGTCGTGGTCGGCGATGAAGTTGCCGAACCACTTGCGCGACTCGTCCTTGGCCCGCCACACGTTGTCAAAACTCAGCCGCGAGCCGGGCACCTCCTGGTGCTGCGACGCCCCGCGGCACAGCAACTCCCAGAACTCGTCGACGTCGTCGGCGCCCGCCACCTTAATGGACACGCCGACGATGGCCACGTCGTCGGCCTTGCGCGGCTCGGGCATCGGTTCCTTCTCTGCCGCGGCCTGCGCCCCCGAGCCGCCGGGAGACGTCGCCAGGTGGCCGATGTGCGTGGCGCGCGGGCCGAACCTGCGCATGGCCGACGGCGGGACGCAGCGCTCGGGGCCGAACGACGTCAGCCGCAGCGTGGCGAGCCGGTCCGGTGCTGCCAGGGCCACGGCCATCTCGAACCGCCGGTGCCACTCGGACTTGTTGGCCAGGATGGTGTGCAGCGCGTGTGCGTGCAGCGGCCCGCGGCCAGCGGCAGCCGCGCCCGCTTTCGAAGCGTCGTCGGGGTCCCAGCCAGACCAGGTTGGGCAGAGGAGGCCGGCTGCGTCGGGAAGCCGCAGGCTCGCCTCCCGGTCGCAGTAGGCCACCAGCAGGTCCATGTCGTCCTTGTACCACGCGTGGTGGAACCTCCCGTGCAGGCCGATCTCGGAGGCTACGAGACCGGCCGCTCTGAGCGCCTGCTCCAGCTTCGAGGCTGTCGCGGCAGCCGTCGTGACGGTGGCTCTGCTCTCGTCGTACGAGACGGAGATGTAACTCTAGAAAAGGTGTGTTAGCGAGCTTTCATTTGTCTCGGTCAAGCTTCGCTCTCGACACCCGGCGGAGTGTCGTGCGATTTGGTAAACCCACGTCGGGAAACTCGTGCAGCAGCCTGTTCAGCTCTTGTCCCCCGGCGGGCGACGACCACGCCGTTGCCAGCGCTGTTGCCGGTCCCGACGGGTCAAGAGACTCCTGCGCATCCACGATGCCGCCAATCAGCATGGCCAGTCTCACGGCCGTGGCGCCGTGCGTGCGAACTTGGGTCTTGTCCTTGCCGAGCGCCACGGCATACGCGCTCAGCAGACCCGTGCAGAAGCCGAGCGTGCCCAAGACAGGCGCAGCAGTCTCGTCTAGCTGCCATCGCATGTAGCCGACAAGCTGTGCGATGATGACGAGCGGGCTGAGGACGATGTTGGGCACCCTCGGGCCGGCGCCGTCCAGCACGCCTGGCCGCATCACACCGGTGCGGAACCACTTGTCCAGGTCGGCCAGCAGCTCTCTGGCCCCGCTGTCGACCTTGTACTTGGGGAACGCCTGCAGGAAGCCGTCCCAGCACCCGGCCAACGACGCCAGTGCCTCGCCAACCCATTGCTGCTCCCCCGTGCCCCACACGCTCGCCCGCAGGGCGGCAAAGGCTTCGGCGTCGAACGACAGGGCTTGCGATCCGAACAAGAGCAACGTGCCGCCCTCGCTGGACAGCGATGTCCGGTTGCCTGTCAACGTCATTGCGTCTCTGGCTTTTCAGCTGTGGACTTTGCTGGAAGGAGTTGAGTCTAGAGTGTTGTTGGTGAGTCGGGTCGAGAGGGAAAATGAAAACGGTGAGTCGGGTCGTGTCCTGATGCACTTCAACCTGCTCAGCTAAGACTGCGTATATCTAGTTGACGTTGTTTCCAGGCCTCCGCAGGACAAGCACACGCGTGGTCCAGTTATGGCTGCATGCCAAACCAGCCTCGAGCGCTGGCTCGATCCTAGCAATGATTTTCCACCCAGTTCCTTCGCGGGAGCCCGAATTCAGCTCGGGGCTGACCTTTCACCACCCGTGCAGTGTCTCCTACCAAAACCAAGGCCTCTGGCCGATGTACCCGGCCACACTGTGCGCTCTCGATGGAGATAGGGGCACGTGCCGGAGTCATACGACCGGAGTTTGCGCCGGAGCACAACCGACGGCGCCCCCTGTCATGGCCGCGCACTTACCTTTTTCGGAAACAAACGGCAGGTAGCACTGGGAGCCGGAGTGCACGGTTTCTGTGCGCGTTGCACGGGTTCTGTGCGCTTTGCACGGTGCACATCCCTGCGTCAGCACGGGGCTGGTGAGAACAGTGTCTCCGTGGCCATGTTTACTGCACCATGTTTACTGCAGAGGGACGAGAGGACGAGAGGCATCGTCGACGTTAGAGCGAACGGGCGAACGGGCGAACAGAGCACTACCATTCGCTCTCGCCATAGTGACAGGCAGAGCAGACAGCAGCCCGCCTGATGAGCAGTTACGAGGGGACAGCTCAAGGTCGTGCATGTACCCCTTAGTCTTACTGATTAACCCAGGGCGGTGTCGACAATCAGCAAGTCCAAGCCCCCTCAAATCGCCGGGCCGTGAGAAATCACAGGACATAGCGCGTATTCCTGAGCCTCTGCAAACAGTAATTATAGAATCACCGCGCTCAATGTCGAAGATGCGGATAAAACTTTTCCAAGACCGTCCAAGACGTTCCAAGACGTTCCAAGACGTTCCAAGCCCTTCCAAGCCCTTGGCCGCTTGGCGAAAGCTTGTTTGGACAGCTGCGCCTCGCGATCTTGGGACTCGGGAGTTGTGCTTTGTGCCACTATGGAAACTTGAGAACGCCCGGAGCAGAAGTTGGATAATTAATCCATCAATATCTGCCATTGAGCGTTGAAGGTCGCTTGCTCGGGACACCCGCGGAACGTCACTCTCCGGACAGCGAGTGTGAGTGAGACAGGGAAAAGAGCAAAAGTAGGCTCTCCATTACGTTTGTGTCACGTACAGAGACGCAGATGCACACGCTCCAACGGGCGTTTGCACACGCTCCAACGGGCGCTTGCACACGCTCCAACGGACGCTTGCACACGCTCCAACAGGCTCTTGCCCCCAGTTTCCCCGGCCCAGGTCGAAACAATGAGTCGGAGTGTCTGGCGCAGTAACGCCGCACCATGAACGGACCACAACGAGGATCTACAACCCAAGGGCGCGGACCCGACATTAGCTGTAATGGTTGGTATATATCTATTCTACGCTTCCATGTGCATCTACACGTGGCGTCCCGTCCAGCCACCCCAAGTAAGTAAAATCTATAACATCATAACATCATCATGTCCTTGTCAAAGGGACTCAGCATACCATCCGCGCCGTCCAAGAACCCCGGGTGATAGCACATAGTCTCCAGCGCCATGCCGACGTCCATCTTCTCCTGGCACAGCTGATTGACCTCACGCAGCTCCTCCAGCGTGCGGGTAATGACGCCCAGGTCGCCGTCCAGCGCGCCGTCGCGCGGCCCGAGCTTGAGCAGCAGCTGGCGGCACAGGAACAGCGGGATGGGCGTGAAGGGGTGCACCTTGAACAGGCTAAACTGCGGGAGATACTCGGCGAGGCGGGCAATCTCTCTCGCGGCGGCAGGGCCGCGCCACGCATATCCCAGCGCCAAGACGTCGGCGTACCCAGCCGCGACGGCCGGGATCAGGTCGGCGGCGTCGGCCAGCGCCAGCACGGACACCTGCGCCACCATGCTCGTGAACAGCAGCAGCGAGTCGGCCTCGACCGACGCGGCCGTGTAGCTGCGCTCAAAGTGCAGCATGCGGCACGACAGCAGGTCGTGCAGCTGCACGTGGCGCCGGCAGACCTCGGCCGCGGGGCCGCCGCGCGCGGATTCCGCGGCGCACTGTTGCTGGTGGCACAGCGCGCGCCCCCAGATGGCCGTGAACACGATGCTGTCGACGAATGGTGACTGCAGAGAGATGGAGTCGGGCGCCGCGTCGAGGTCCGAGAGGAACGGCATCGTGACGGGGGTCTGGCTCTGGAAGGCCTGTTCCGGGCAGGGCAGGCGGGTGAGGATCTTGGTGGTTTCGACGTGAGACTCTGGTTCAGTGGGCAAGCTGGGGGGAACGGGGGGGGACAACACACTGTTTTCTCGTCGAGGGTCAGCGGCAGCTTTTCCAGCACGCAGCTGAAGCGGTCGAGGCAGAAGGCGACCCAGAAGACGCGGCGCTTGACCTCCCTGTCGACGAAGGCGTTGGGGTCGTCGACGCCCATGTCGAGGTGGGCGGGAGCAGCACCGCCGTCGACGTCGTGCAGGCGCATCAGCTGGACGATGCGGATGGCGAGGCCGGCGCTGGTCCAGGCGCGCTGCACGGTGCCCTGCATGAACTCGTAGATGGCAACGAGAATCCAGGCCTGCGCCAACTCGAGGCGGCGCGTCTCGTCGTCTTCGGCGGACCCGCCGCCGGGTGCGCACGACGCCGGGTGGTTGAGCCGCCGCAGCGCGTCGTGGTACAGGTCGTGGCGAAGGTGGTTGAACTGTGACGACAGTGCTGCTGCTAGGGTGCGGATCGCCGCCTGCAGGCACGCGTAGGATGCTGATGCGCCAGCCCCGGGCCGCCCCCGCGCAAAGTACCGCCGCCGGTGCAGGATCGGGATGAAGACGTGCACGCGGTCGAAGTACAGCTGGTCTCTTTGTCCCGCTCGACAGCGGCCGCAGTTAGTACCGTGGCAAGGGAGACTGGGAAGCATCGAGTGTAATCAAGAGGGAAATGATAATCATAAAATGATAATGAAATGGTAATCATAAAATGATAATGAAATGGTAATCATGAAATGATAATGAAATGATAATGAAATGATAATGAAATGATAATGAAATGATAATGAAATGATAATGAAATGATAATGAAATGATAATGAAATGATAATGAAATGATAATGAAATGATAATGAAATGATAATGAAATGATAATGAAATGATAATGAAATGATAATGAAATGATAATGAAATGATAATCACGAAACGATAATGAAATGATAATCACGAAACGATAATCACGAAATAATAAATCATGAAATAATAAATCATAGAACTTGAACATGTGTAGTCCGAACTTCTGGCTCCGCTTCCACCACAGGCACGGGGCGATCCGCACACACAAAAAACAAACTGGACTCGGACGTAGTAGCAATCTCACATACAGGTCAGTGCGTATCAGTGGCGGTATAGCCATGCTCGGGGCCGCGGCAGGCGGCGTCGGCCCGAGGAAGACGGGATGGTGGCCGGGAAAGTTCTTGGTCGAGGGCGTGATGGAGCTTATGGAAGTGGGCGAGCTCATGGGCATGGAGGTCTGAAACGGGGGGATGTCGATGTGGAGACTGAGCATGGTGTCGATGTCCGACATTGCTGCTGCCAGGGCCGTTGCAGCGGCAGACGTCGTCACCGCCACTGCTGTGCTGGACACGGCCGCCACTGCTGCTCGCACAGGTGTCGGTATCTGTGTCTGCGACGGCTGGTGGGTGGGAGAGACGTCGCCAGCAGATGGCGCCGAGTTCGAGCGCTGGTGCGTCTGGGACGAGTCGCTGGCGGCGTGCGTCACGACAGCAGGGCCCGAGTCCCAGTCTCCGTCTCCGTCCCCGTAGTCGGACTCGTCGTCCAGGTCCAGCCGCACCTCGATGGGCCCGGGGCTTTTGCGCGGGTCGAGATGGTCGTCTTGGTCCTCTTCGGGCGTCTCTCCCATCTTCCGCTCGAGAGCCGCTGAAGCCCGCCACGGTCAGATCTCGTTTTGTTTGCCGCCATCGACGGGCGGCTGCTTACCAATCCTGGATCTCAAGAGCTTCAGATGGCCCTTCTTAGGCCCCTTCTGGGGCGGAGTCGGGTCGAAGCGGCACCGGAGGCCTGCGTCGACGCATCCCCCGCATGGCCTCTGGCGATCGCAGCGGAACTTGCGCATTCGACAGTGCTGGCACGCCGGCCCGGGGTTCTGGCGCCCCGACTTTGCGGACTTGTTTCCCTCCCTTGTGGAGCCGGCGTTGATTCCGTCGGCGGGAGGGGCAGCCGTTGTCGACGGCATCGTCTAGGCTAGCCTGGGGCTCTGAAGGGCAAAAAGACGGTGAGCTGCGAAACACGATGATCGAGGTGGGCCAAGGTCTTCGAGAGGGTAGTTCTAGAAGCAGGCGGCGGGATATATGATTCTGGCTCCAGATGATCAGTAGAGATACGAGGGACTGCATTGAGCACGTGTGGATGGAAGATGGAATGCAGATAAGCTACGGCCGATAACTAACACGATGCACGCCCGCTCCTGAGCCGCGACTAGGGCTTCTCGTGTCGGGATTTATATCGTGCCAAGTACACCTAGGCAGCCTCACTCCCCCACAAGACCAAACAGTGAGTGAGCTTCGGGGGGGGATGGGATGTTCATCCTTCACGGAGCTGTCCTATCGTTTTTGCTCGTGTCCGGCAGTCAGCCAATAAGCAATACATGGAGGCAACAATACAGGGAGGCAACAAGCATTACATTGTCTGCGAGAGCAGCTAGCTTGACAGGGTGCCTGCCTCTTGTAAGTGGTGGCGTCTGGAAACCTTGGAAAGCGGCCGCTGCGCGATGGAGAATAAGACTGCTTTGCCGCAACCGGACATTCAGCGAACGTGGAGATGGCTGGCTTTGGCTGGCTTTGGCTGGCTTTGGCTGGCTGTGGCTGGCTGGCTGGCTTGGCTGGCTTTGGCTAGCTTGGCTGCCACCCTCAACCTCTAACCTAGCCCCTCGACGTAGCGCCACTAGATCCATCCATCGTAATGTTGATACGTGTACTGGCTCGGGCTCAGAGGCCCGGAGCTGAGGCGGTAAGCTCCTTCCCCTTCGCTACCTACCTCGAGGTGCCTTGCTACCTACCGCGAGGTGCTTGCTGATGCTGATGAGGAAAGCCAAAGGGCCATATCTCTGCTTGCTGCCAACGACCAATATTCCGTCTGATTACTGGAAGCAGGCGGAATATGCCGGCCAGCGCCGTGTCACGTCTACAGAGCCTTTATGTCACTGCAATTGGCTGCACAGGCTCTTGGCGCGCCTGGGTCGGTTGCGCTTAGTGGCGTTGCAGCAGAGCAGCAGTTGGGGTTTTGGCCACGCTAGCCCCTGAATGAATCCCATCCATCTATTACCCTTCCCCCTCCCCTGCCCCTCCAACCCCTCCCTCCCCCATTCCCCTCCAACCACTCCCTACCCTCCCTTCCCTCTCCTCTCCTCCCTCCCTCCCCTCCCTCGCCTCGACGTGGCGGCCGTAATCGATCCCACCCACGCACGCTCACCCACGCACGCTCACCGACGCGACGCGAGATGCACGGTGCTTACCGACCAAATTTGGCTTGGTGCAGCGACCAAGAAAGCACTTCTACCCGTACAAATAATAGTGGGACAGGGACATGGACACGGAATCGACACCCATACTATAGTCACAGGGACATGGACACGGAATCGACACCCATACTATAGTCACAGGGACATGGACACGGAATCGACACCCAACTATAGTCACAGGGACATGGACACGGAATCGACACCCATACTATAGTATACACAAGCACGCCTGCCCGAAACGCACTGGCCCTTGCCAATGCTTATCTTTGGCTCCTTGCACCACCCACCAAGCCTTTCCAAGAAAGGGGGGCTCTGCACATGCATGCTGTACAACCTCTGTGGCGTCCGACCCTGTGCAAGCTGGAAGACTGCCTGTTTCGGCCGCACAGATGACGTGATGCCAAGACCCCCCTGCTGTTGGCCAAGGTTGACGGAGGAATTATCCGAACGGCGGCAAAGGGAAGGAAGGGGATCCGGTTCGGCCCGGCTTGGCTGGCTTAGGCTCTGCTAGACTGCCCTTTAAACACTGGCGGCGGGGGGGCGCAGATAACCTTACCTTAGATCGACACAAACGCGGGGGTCTTGTGGCAAACGTAGCGATAAAATCGGGGGTCTTGTGGCAAACGTAGTGATGAAATCGCGAGCAGAGTCTGCGACCCAGAACATGGAGGGTAGCGCCAATCTCAATTCCAACGTCTCAGTAAGGGATCTGAGTCGTCGCCCGACCTAACGCTGCACCTTGGCGTGTTTTGGTGCGCCGTCAAATGCACGTCTGTGAAGATTTTCCTTGATTTCTGGTTCCTCTCGCTTCATAAGTACCTTAGGGGGCCGTCAGCCAGACCGTCCCGTCAGCCAGACCATCCCGTCAGCCAGACCATCCCTTCAGCCAGCCCTGAGCATTTTTTGCTTGGGCGGGCGGCGCAGACTTGCCTCCAATTCACTTCCTCGTTCTCCCACCCGTTTTATCGCTATCTACCCGCAATTGCTCCGAACCCTCGCGTCCCGTGCGGTTGCGGGGCAATCCTCGCCCGGCGGCTGTCAGACCAGCCGCCTAGCCGTTCCTGGCCACAACACTTCGTCAGCGGCGTCAGGCACGGCCGGTTCTCCGTATCGGTTATTCCCACTTTGGGACGTCGGCATGTGCGCATCGCCGTATCGCAGCTGTGTATCGAGGGCCGCAAAATAAAATCCGTTGGGGCGCAGATGTACATTGCTGTCGTACCACCGATCACGGCCCGAGACAACGTCATCGGCAGCCTTTATCGACACGTCGTTTAGAGGCGCTGGCGGAGACGGATCGTGTCTTGGCAGCCCTGGGGCGGCTTAAGTATGTTTACACGTGTAGGAGTTCTGTTTTTTTTTTTTCTTTTCGGCTCAAACCCGTCCCGAAACAGCCCCGTAGCAAGTCCGAATACTCGGATTTCGGAGCTTAGCGTTCCTCTTTGGCCAGGGATCAATGAAGCTCTGGCCTGCATAGGCAGCTTGTCAATGCAGAACGGCAACAAGCAGATTGTAATGTGCTACAGATTGTAATGTGCTGCAGACTGTAATGTGCTGCAGATTGTAATGTGCTGTGTAATCACGCAGTAGTAGCACAGCCGAATGTCGGGATCCTGCATGTTACACTTAGACAAGACTACGACGACATTGCGGGGACTGTAGGACAAAATCCTCCGCTCGGTAAATTTCATAACCTAGACTATTCCCGCTCCGTCTCGCAAAACACAGGCATTCCTGCTGCAACGTCTCTAGCCTTGGTTCAGATCATAAACACCCCGATCTTTGTGCAAGATCCACTCAAACAGCCTCGCCGGCATCAGCCACGTCGCGTACTTGGCGAAGCCAGCGACGCCGCCGCGCCAAATCGGTCCGTTTGTTCCCGAGAGCACGTCCCTGACAATGTTGCCGGCCGTGACCTCTGCGCGCTCGTTGCTCGCCTGCAGCTCGCCCCGGGCCTGCCTGCCAATGACGGCCTCGATCTGCCTGTAGCGCGAGCCCGCGGGCAGAGAGAAGGATCCGACCGCCGCCGCGCCGGCGTACAGCGTCGTCTCGACCTCGCCCACCATGGCCGTCACCACCCGCACGCCCAGCGGCCGCAGCTCGATGCGCAGCGTCTCCGAAAGGAATGTCATGGCGGCTTTGGAGCTGTTGTATGCGCCTGCCGGGAAATCATATAATGTCGGCTTAGCGTGATCCTCATCAGAGGCGGCAGAAATAAATAAGCACGCCTCGTAAAAAGGGCGCTAGTGAAATAAGGCGGGATCCCATAGCCAGAATTATAAACCAAAGGGGCAAGAACCACTGTAGGTCACACACGACGTAGCACACGCCTCCGCCACCTGTGGAAAATTCGCTCCTCGAGCCGACGCGAAAAAGGAAAAAAAGAGGGGAAGAAAACACACAACATACCCTGCCACGCCATCTTCGCCGCGCCCGCCAGCGACGAGATATTCAACACGGTCCCCTTGGCCGTGATGAGCAGCGGCGCGAACGCCTGGGTGACCGCCAACATGCCCCAGACATTGACCTCGAACAGCCGCCTGGCATCAGCCACGGCCGTGTCGAGCAGCGGCAGCACGAAAATGGCGCCCGCATTATTGACGACCACGTCGAGCCCGCGGCCGCCCGTCCTGCCGGACACCTCTGCGGCGCATGCGGCGATGGACTCAGCCGACGTTACGTCAAGCCGCAGCACCTCGATGTTGGCGTGGCTGCTTGCCGTTGCTACCCTGGCGGGGTCGCGCGCCGTGGCGAAGACGCGGAAGTTCTGGCGCGCAAACGCCAGCGCTAGCGCGGCGCCGAGGCCGCCGTCGCTGCAGCCGGTCACGAGGACGGTTTTCTGAGGGGGGCAAGTTGCTGTCATTGTGGGCTATTATGGAGGTGTGGCGCTGCGTTGAGGTTCGTCAACTTAAGGTTGGAGACCCCCAAGGGGAATAAATAGGAAACAAGTGTCTCAGGGTGGGTAACCGGGGACGTGTGGGTAACCGGGGACGTGTGGGTAACCGGGGACGTGGGATCCAATGAGCTGCTGGGCTGCACGTGGTGCTGCTCTATTAATTGTCGGGTGGGTTGTTATATGTTTCAGTGCGTTAGGTTAGGTTGCTAATTATACGGGAGCTGCTGGTCTGGCCCTCCTTGGACGCTGAGTAACTCCGAGATTGCCCGGAGATACAAAGTCGCAGCGGTACCCTCATCCACCCACATCCATACACGCCGCTGGTATTGGTGCATGTTTCAGTATGCATGTCTCAGTCTTGCATATCTCCAGTTCCCTTTTCTTCGGATAATATACGTGGTTATATGCCAGCTATTTGGCCGTGCTGTTTGGCCATGCTGTTTGAGTATCGCCGCGTCACACCTTTCTTTGCTATAGACGTCATTAAACACGTTCTCTTTCGTATACTACTCGGAGCCACTTCCACAGTTGGATCTATCGCCGACGGATTACACACATCCCCGGAAACCCTCCAAGCGTCATTCTATTGCCTCCTGACATCGAGATAAAAGCAGTATACATGGGTTCCAGAGGTAAAAACAAGGAGCGAACAACTAGTGTTCTCGTATCCATTCAGGGGTTTCGCGCATCGTCATAATTCATGAATTGTGGAATAATCATGCAAAATGTAGTTAATGTACAGCCCCTTCACTCCCCATCACTCCCAGCTCGTGGTAAACGCATCGGCAAACAGCGCAGTCTCGTCGTAGATATTGCCCATGTAGCCCATCGACGCCATCACGCCCTGGCCCTGCGCGGCAGTAACAGCAGCGTAGTCCATCATGACGGGGTCCTGCGCGGCCACGCCGCCGCCCAAGCCACTGCTTCCGCCGCCGCCGCCCTCGGCGAGCTGGACCTGCCAGCGGCCCTTCATGCGCTGCAGGATCGTCAGGCCCCACGAGAAGGCGTCGTCCTCGCCGAACTCGCGCGAGATGATGGCGGGCGCGGCCTTGAGGCGGCTGAAGACGCCGATCACGGCGTCGCACGTCGCCAGCAGGTCGACCGTCTTACGCGCGAGGCCCTTGTCCCACGCCGCGTCCTGCAGCGTGTAGAGATTGAAGAGGCACGCCAGCACTGACACCAGCTGGTGGTATGATGATAACGTCATGCTGCGGAACAGCACCAAGGGCGTCGACATGAACGTGTCGAGCCAGCCCTTTATTGCCACAAGCGCCCCGTGGTACACTTGGAACCGCGACATGCTGGGGTCGTTCCAGCTCGCCGTGTTGGTGGCGCTACCCGGGGCTTTGCTGAGCAGTGGCTCGTAGATGAGCAGGTCGGCGAAGGAGACCAACATGAGCATCATAGCTAGGAAACAACAGTCAGCGCCACGAGCCAGGACAACAAAGCCGCGCAGGGATGGGAAAAAAACCCACGATTGCTTGCGGTCGCGGCATTAGCCGCCTGTCTGGCCGTGATCTCGCGCAGCCGTGCCTGAAGGCACGACACGTATTGTGTCGGAGGCTGTCCGGCGCTCATCACAGGCATCGGGGCACTGTACAACTGGTCAATGACCAGCTGCACCCGCACTTGGGCTATGAGGATCTCGTCTTGGTCGACTGTGCCCGAACCCCTCTCGGCCAGGTGGTTGAGGCACTCGTCAAGCCAGGGGGACCAGCGGAGTCCGTCGGCTCGTTTGAAGATGTTCGATATTCTAGAAGTAGGGCTCATCATGTCAGGTTCGTCATGTCAGAGGGGCGGGGCTCTCAATGCATGCTACGCTCGAGGAAGGCGCGGTAGGAGAGAAGATGTGGCAACGTACGTAGAAGTCAACACGTACGCCCCCAACACAGCGCGCCTCTCAAGCAGAGTGGGCCTTGTTGATGAGTGTTCCGGAAGGAGAAAAGAGTTGCCGCCATCTACGTCCTCCTTTGCCGTGTTGCAAGCATGATGTGGGCGCGAGGGCCGGTGGAGCTCGAGGTCGCAGATCAGGGTAACGGCGAGCTGAGAGAACAGGGCGGTATAAGGCTTGGCCCCGGGGTAGAGATACGACCTAGCAAGACAGGCGAGCGAATAAGTAACGATAAAGGCATGTGGGAAAGCCCGCGAGAGAGATGCAGAATGCCGCTGAACTGACCAGCTGAGAAAGGTTATCAAGCCCAAGAGCAGATCAACGCTCTTCTGTCGCTCGACGACAACCTTCTGTATAATGATGTTCTTTGCCTGCTCGGCCAGAGCAAAGCGTCTTTTCGGTGAGACTGAGGCCGTGGCCATGATATTGAGCCACAGGAAGGGGTAGTAGATTCGCATTTGCTGGGCCGTGACATAGGGAGGGAGGTCCAGGTACGGGAAGAAAGGCTGCAAGTCATCGTAAGCTGCGGTATAGGGGACATCGGCGGTAGCAGGTCTTTGGAGCCCTGGGTGGGCCAGCTCTGGGTGGGCCAGCTCTGGGTGGGCCAGTTCTGGAGGGCAGCTCTTGGGGAGGGTAGCTCACTATAGTGTCGGCGCGGAACTGTTTGAGGCACTCTTCAGCCTCCGCCGGAGGCGGCTCGTCAGGAAAGGACCACTCCTGGTCGACCCGGCCTGCTGCTGCAGGGGCGGGAGACGGGCCGGCCTTGTCCTTTTCTGGGGTGTAGGCGGCTGTTGCGGGGGCCGACGAGGATGGTGCAGACGTGTTGGGGGTGTCGAGCTCGGGCTCGTCGTCGTCCTCGCCGCTGTTGCTGTTGCTTTCCTCGTCGGTGCCGTCGTGGTTGTCCAGCTCTCTTGAATCTTTCGGGACCGAGTCCCGCTGTGTCCTCAGGAACGACACCAGGTCGTCCAGCTTCTCCTCCAACCTCGCGGCACGCCAGCTTGCATCTTGCTGGGTCTGACGTCTCGGGGGGCGCCTCGGCGCGGGACGAGTCGACGTGCAGTCCTTGCCAAGACGGTGGCACCTAGCAACACCTAATGTCAACACAGCTCCTCTCTTGCCGCATTCTTTGTGACGAGCGGGAGGTGACTCCGGCGGATGCATTCACGGCGTTTTGGTGTGGGTACGGGGGCCATATGTAGTTGTTGGCGCCAAAAACAACAACGGCAAACGACAGATTTTCATGATTAGAAGCAATATGGGTCAATGACAGGGTCAATGACAGAAACAACTCGGATTGCCAACATTTTAACCAAAACCACGAGGACAGGACCCGACCCACAGTACAAGCTAGACTCTGATCAAGATCAAGGAAATGGCGGTCCAACCTTTCACAGCCAGCAACGTCGGCGCGGTAGATGCATTTGCACTTGACACGAGCGCAGTTTGTGCACGCTCTCCCGCTTACCACGACCTGTATTGGCTGCTGTTGCAATTGCGGTAACGGCTGCTGTTGCGATAGTCCTGGGACTACCGCATATGCATGACCGGTTGCCATGATGATGTGACGGCGCAGCTCCCAAGAGCCGGCGACGGTAGCAGCGCAGCACAGCGCAGTGCCGTGCGACTTTGGGGGCCGGGATAATGTCGATCTGTGTTCAACCTCGCTCACTCCACAGTCCGCAGTCCGCAATCCGCAGTCCGCAATCCGCAATCCGCAATCCGCAATCTGCAATCTGCAATCCACGGAGACGACTGCAGTACAGCGCAGAGCTGTGCAGTACAGTGTAGAGCTGTGCAGTACAGTGCAGAGCTGTGCAGAACAGTGCAGAGCTGTGCAGTACAGTGCTCTCGCGATCGGTGCCCGGACTAAGACGAGCCGATGAATTGCCAATCGGGAAGCAGATCTCGTGCTCTGAATAAGACTGCAGCTGCGGCTGTTACTGTCACTGAGAGCGAACGGACCAGGACGGAGAGGACGGTGGTCGGGCGGGCAGTTGGTAGCCAGAGGCGACAGGATGGAGCCGGATGCCGAGTTGGATGGAGGCGCCGAATTGGATGGAGGCAGGCACACGAGCCTCTGACGTCGAGGGACGTCGAGGTGTTGGGGGACACCCCCAATTTCAACGGTGGCGGGCGCCCGCCGGACACGGAAATTCCGGCGGCCCTGTTGCAGGGGTCCTTTGTACCCCATGGGCCCTAGTGGTGGCAAATCAGCTGGCTCGGCTGTCAGGCGCCCCACATTTGTCAGCGCCCGGCTTACAAGCCGCCGGAATTTCCGGTTCTTCCTGCTCCTGCTCCTGCTCCTGCTCCTGCTCCTGCTCCTGTTTCCTGTTCCTGTTCCCGTTCCCGCTCCTGCTCCTGCTCTTGCTCCTGCTCCTGCTCCCTGTTCCTGCTCGTGCCTCCCCCTTTGTTTGTTCTCGGGATCATCTTCCCGCATTGCGTCCCGAGGCATGCACCTTTGGGCATCTGCCGCAGCCAGCCCGTTGGGCTCGAAAAGGTGAGCTGCTGCCCGTAGGCCCCGTTGAACGGAGGTACACTTATGCACATGACTAATTACCAAACAACTCCTTGACGAATTTCCAACTGGAGCAGAGCCCGCCTCGAAATATTTCCCTTCTCTCTCATCCGATGTCTCTTCACCACGGCAACTCCGCCTGACGGTTCCGCTGATAATTACCTAGACATGGAACGCAGCTTCTTTAGAACGCAGCTTCTTTGCAACGCAGCTTCTTTGGACTTCTGGTGTCCAAAACAGGGTGATTATTAATGAACGCGTCCGGAGTATTCTAATTAATGACGATTTGGTTCCCTCAGTTGGCAATTGAAGCTTCCTGTGAAGAGTGCACGGTGCCGTGCCGTCGAGTGCAAGCCACCAACCATTTTCTGAGCCTTTGGAGTTTTCTTCCATAAGTGCCAAATTCTCAAATTATTTTGCTGCTTGCACGCACCCCATTCCAGCCTCTCCACCTTTGACTGCACACAGCACACAATCCATCTTCGACTGCACACACTCCACCTTCGACTGCACACATTCACAACCTCTCATCACGCGCAGACACCAGAGCCAGTGTCACTTCATCGCCAAACAGCACACTTGCGCGTAACCAAGACAAGCATCGCACCGTCAATATTTGCAGCGAACAACCCACACCATGGACAAGCAGTCCGAGGCCGCCGACGCGGCCCCTCCGACTCCGCAGTCTGAGCGGAACCCCGAGGCTGGCAAGGGCGACGCCGTCCCAGGCCCCAAGTACCTCGCCGGCACCAAGCTGGTCCTCGTCATGGTCGCCATTATCCTCGCCTGCTTCCTGATGTTGCTGGACACCTCCGTCGTTAGCACCGTAAGCGCGCCTCGCGAGCCCTCTCCCTCTCCGCCAAGCATCTTGGACAAGTTGTGAATCTGGCGCCGTTTTCGTGCTAATACCTCCATATAGGCGGTCCCCCAGATCACGACCGACTTCCACTCGCTCACCGACGTCGGCTGGTATGCCAGCGCCTACACTCTCGGAAGGTATGTGCCCTCGATCTTTTCGCGAGGATTATTCAGCCCAGTGCTAACCAGTGGCTCGAAATTAGCGCGGCCTTCCAGCCCCTGACCGGAAAGATCTTCAGCGTGTTCAGCCTCAAGGTATGGTTTCACTCCCCTGGTGCCGGCACCTGACGTGTAGGGCAAGCAGGAGCTAACTGCCGCCTAATCTCCAGTGGTCGTGGTTGACCTTCTTCGCCGTCTTTGAGATCGGCTCGGTGCTCTGCGGTGCTGCCACCTCGTCCAACATGCTCATCGTTGGCCGCGCCATTGCCGGCGCCGGCGCCTCGGGCTTGCTTAGCGGCGCCATCAACATTGTCTCCAGCTCGGTTCCTATCGAGAGACGTCCCGGTGAGTCCAATGCTAGTAGCTGCCATTCTACACTTCTTTTGCTAACCACGTTGCTCAAACAGCTTTGATCGGAATGGTCATGGGAAGTACGTGCACCAGATTCGTCTTCCTTGGACACGTGGCCGGCTGCTGACCATGTGGTGTTTCTTTTAGTCGCTCAACTTGGCACGGTTCTCGGACCCGTCATCGGAGGCGCATTTACCTCTGGATACACCTGGCGATGGAGTAAGTGGCAATCCTTCGTGTTGTGAAGAAGCAAGCTTACTTATTCTCACAGGCTTCTACATCAACCTGCCGCTCGGCGCTCTCGTGGCCGGCCCCATCACGCTAGTGCACATCCCCGACCAGACGGCCAAGCCCAAGGCGTGGTCAGTCCTGCCCCGGATCCACCACCATCTCGACCTGTTCGGCTTCGCCCTATTCGCGCCGGCCGTCATCCAGCTGCTGCTGGCGCTGCAGTACGGCGGCAACCAGTTCGCGTGGAACTCGTCGCAGGTCATCGGCCTGTTCGTCGGGGCCGGCGCCACCTTCATCGTGTGGGCCTTCTGGAACTACCGCAAGGGCGACGACGCCCTGCTTCCCGTCTCCATCATTCGCCGCCGCACCATCTGGGCCAGCGCCCTGAACTACGGCTTCCTCATGTCCACCCTGCTGGGCGTCTCGTACTTTTTGCCCATCTACTTCCAGGCCGTCAAGGACCTCAACGCCGTCCTGAGCGGCGTCAATCTCCTGCCGACAATATTCCCGCAGCTCGTCTTTGCTATTGGCTCTGGCGTTCTTGGTACGTGTCGTCCCTCTTCCCTTTGACGGTCCAAGTTTGTGATTGGCTAGCTAACCGTAGATTCTTCGTGGTATAGTCACCAAGATTGGCCGCATCCCGCCGTTCTCCATCTTCTCCGGCATGCTTGTGTCCATAGCTACTGGCTTGTTCTCAACATTGCAGGAGGACACCTCGCTCGGCAAGCGTGTCGGCTACCAGATCCTCATGGGTGTGGGGTTGGGATCGGGATTGCAGATGGTATGTGGCCTTTGTTTTTTTCACTCTGCACGCTTTAAGGCCCGAAACTCGGACGGCCTCTCTTTTTTCTTGGCTTCTTCGGACTAACAACCCCTATCAACAGCCCATCGTCGCGACGCAAAACTCGGTATCGCCCAAGGAGCTCACCGCCGCCATGGCCTTCATCGTCTGGGCCCAGTACATGGGCCCGTCCATCTTCCTCGTGCTGTACAACGTCGTCTTCGATGCCAGCCTGCGCAATCTTCTGCCGCACGATGCGCCGGGCGTCAGCACCGAGGCCGTCATCAGCGCCGGCGCGCGGCGCTTCCGTGACATCGTGTCCCCCGAGGATCTCCCGGGCGTGCTCAAGGCCTACTCGGACAGCGTCGACCGCGTCTTCTATCTCGTTGCTGGCGTGGGTGTGGTCGTGTTCTTGTCGGCTTTCGGAATGGGCTTCAAGGACATCCGCAAAAAGGACGGCGGCGCGGCGGCTGCTGCGGCTGCGGCTCCCGCGCCTTCCGAGAAGGAAGCTCCCAGAGACAGCGAGGCTGCATCCGCAGTTCCCGCCTCCCGGGCTAACCGTGAGGCATCCAAGGAGCATGGCCCCGGAGGCAGCGACTCGGGTGACCTCTCAGGCTAATTCTGAGGAACCCGAGAATTATATCCCGGAGGCAGTGAGGCGGCTGTGGAGTCCAACTGGGGAGGTTTCTTTGCTAATTTTGTTCTGGAGGGAATATGGGTCTTCCTCGTGTCCAAATGGCGATAGGACACATCAATGCGTGGCGACGCACATAAAGGGGGGTGCAGATAGGGGAAAAGGCCTAGGAGGCACTTGGAAATTGGAAATAGGTGCACATTTCTTTGTCTTGTTCAACAGCTAGAGTGGCGCGCAACCAATCCTTTCCAAACTGGCTACTTTGGCCTCATAGAACTTGGCCGTGGAAGCATGAGTAATAACAAGTCTGACTATTTCAGCTGCGAGTTTGTCCAGTATCAGCACAATGTCTCGGGATGGAAGACGCCTTTTGTCAATGGCTGATATATTCAAGTAGAATTGTCCGCCACATTAAAACATGAAAACTCTACAAAGGCAGCCATTTGGCGATACACAGCATAAAAGGAAGCAACACCAACTCTCTGGAAGGCAACACGAACTCTCTGAAAAACATTGTTTAGATTTCTCCCAAGGAATCTTCGTCCTCATCCCGCATTCGCCAGAACACACGGACCATTCTCTCTTCAGGATTTCCGCTGTTTGCTGCAGGTCAGGGGCCAGCGTTGCCACTAAACACCAGCTGCCTGTCGTCCTAGCACACGCATCCCCGGTGAGCCATACCAACCACCTCGACGCCTTTGGATTTACTACGGAGTCTGCCTCGGCCGCATCACGAGAGTTGTGGAGTTTTGTCATTCGCTGGGGCCGGGAAAGTCAGGGGGTTCGTACCGGAGAAACAACACGGACTTGGCGGCCCGGCCCGGACACCAACTAACATGGACTTGCTCTCAGCTAGCCAATCGGAGAGAAGACAGGGAGGTTACATGCAGATCTTCTGCGTGGGGAAAAACATTCCGCAGTCGGTCCGGAGAAGTTGGCGAATGAGCCATCGGCTTGAGAAGGACGCTAAATTCTTACCATGTCGTCCCTGGACAAATCGGCAGGTTCACTGGCTTGGACAGGTAGGATGCGAGACTCGCAGGTCTTACTCTCTGGAACGGGACTCCTTGTGCGTGCAGCCAGAAGGCCCGGGGTGCATACACACAACGCCTAGTATAGTACACTGCGTCTTCGTTAATTAGTAGTCGTGAAGGCACGTAAAAGAGAGCCCGGAGCCAGTGACGCAGGCAGCGAGTGTGTCACGTTGCTGCAAGACAGATCCTGTGACTGGAACCCGACTCTCCTTCCAGCATGGCCCCGCGTATCCTGTCCGCCTTGGCATTCGCCGCAACCGCAACCGCATTTCCGGGAAGCGGGAGCAGCTTCAACGCCACGGCACTGTTCGGCCCTCATGTTTCGTCGGGGACACTAATTGCGGCGTTTTCCGACCCAGGCTTCGCCAGTGTCGTTGGGCCGCGCTGGTCGACGTGGGAAGCCCCGACCTATGTGGCTGCCATCAAGCCCGCAACCGTGTCCGATATCCAGCAGATTGTAAGGCCGCCTGCTGCTGATCCGTTTTCTCTCCCACGTTCGCTTTTCGGTTGGGTACTGACTGAGCAACCTGCAGGTCAAGATTGCCGGCCAGCACCAGATCCCGTTTCTCGCCACCAACGCGGGCCATGGTGCTGCAACGGGCTACGGCGACGTCCAAAACGCCCTCAACATCAATTTGGCCCACTTCAACAGCGTGTCGATAGACGTGGCAGCGAGCCGCATGACCGTCGGCGGAGGCACCAAGTTCGGAGACGTCTTCGACCCGCTCTTCGCCGTCGGGAAAGAGCTGCGTAAGTTTTCAACTAGTGGAACGCGATGTGATGGCTGCGCTAACAGGACACGCAGAAACGGGCAACACGTGGTGCGTGGGTGTCATGGGAGCCACTCTCGGCGGCGGCATTGGGGCGTTCCAGGGCCTGCACGGCCTCGTCATCGACTCGCTGGAGAGCGTGGAGATGGTCACGGCCTCTGGAGCCCTGGTCAAGGCCTCCAAGACGGTAAACTCCGACCTCTTCTGGGCGCTGCGTGGCGCGGGCACCAACTTTGGCATCGTGACCGAGGCCACGTTCGAGGTGCACGACTACACCAACAGCGGCCGGGTGGTGCTGGGGCAGTTTTCGTTCCCGCCGGCGGCCAACGTGTCCGTGTACTCGGCGGTGGCGTCCTTCGACCGCTACATCCCGCCCGAGCTGGCGCTGTTCGTGTCGGCCACGTTCAACCGCACCGCCGGCGAGTCGCGGGTCAACGTGGCCGTCATCTACTTTGGCCCCGTGGCCGACGCCCAGCCGTTTCTCGACAAGTTCGACGCGCTGGGGCCGCTGGCCAAGGTGGTGCGCAACCTGACGACGCCCGACCTGTTTGGCAAGGTCTTGTCCACGGGCGTCTGCAACGACGGCGGCCGCCAGAACCCGTACCACGTTGGCCTGGGCAGGACGGACGTGGCCACCTTTTCAAAGTTCTTTGGCGAGTTCGACACGTTTGCCAAGGCCCACCCCTCGTACGCTGCCGTCGTCGTCGCCCAGCGATATAGCAACGTCGTCATGGGCCAGACGCCCGACACGGCGACGGCGTACCCGTGGCGGGACATTAAGACGTATCTGTGAGTATTGCAACGTCCCTTGACTCTGATTTGATCCTGCCATTCCAAGTGTGGCTATTCTAACTGTGTCTCTGCAGGCTTTTCAGCAATACCTACACGAACAACTCGATCGAAGGTGACGTGGACGTCGCCTCGAAATCCTGGCGGGCCATGTTTGAGGCCACAAGCGGCTTCAGCACGCCGCACATGTACGTCAATTACGACCACGGAGACGAGGGGCCGGCGGCGAAGTATGGCGCCAGGAAGTTGGCAAAGCTGCGCGTGCTGAAGCAGATTTGGGATCCCCACCACCTGTTTGGGACTCCGAATCCGCTGTACTAGGTGCTGTTGGCTGTGGTGATTGGAGGTGTTTATGTGGCCGTAAAAGTCTAGGTCTAGGTGTCTGATTGGGTACTTGAATTGGGTACTTGAATTGGGTCCTTGAACTGGGTACTTGAATCGAGACATGAATTGGGTACTTGAATCGAGACATGAAATTCTTTCACCTGCGTTTCTCTGTCACAACTGGCGTGGGCCCACTTGCAAGCTCTCCAATGCCCAATTTCTTGCACTAGAATCCTGTAATTTCAGCGTAGCCAGAAATTACATCTGAAACCACTCTGTCCGTGAACGGAGGACTGTTCTTTCCTCTACCTACCCACAGCTTCACAGCACTTATCGACAGTGTGGCCAACAACACTATCAACCAATAACAACAGGTTGATAACGTTGTCAAAAATTATCAACAGAACCCCTGCCACTATTCGGACCCCTGTACGCCGCCGTCCCCCCCCACCTCCTCCCCCCCCTCTCCCTCCTCCCCCTCAGAAATAATCCCTGAAGCAAACCAGCTCTTCAAGCATTGCGTCTTCTCAATAGTAGACACTCCTAGCTGCATTCGATCCCATGAAATCGTCCTCCGTGCACCTGAAAAGACCCTTTCAGGTTCGTCGCTCATCGCAGGGATCGATAAGATATCAATCGCCATTTGCGATAACCTTGGCCAAGTTGTACGTCGCTCCTCCGCTAGCCACCAGTTGAGTGCAGACATCTGAATTGGGATCGCTTTCTCTCGTGTGTACGATTCGTACTCGTTGCTGTCTTGCATATCAATAGCCTCGAGCTTTCTTGCGATCTGGTCGTACTCATCGAGATCAGGTTCGTCAATCTGAGGATTTTCGATGACATCCCGGTCTTCGTACAACTCCCAAAGCTTCTTGACCCCTGTGAACGCTGGCTTCTGCCACTCCTTCTTCCAGTTCTTCTTGATGTATGTAAGTCGACGAGATGGATGAAGGATAAGTGCAGCAGCATACACCACAACTGCTTCTGTCTTCGCGTAATACTTGTCAAATAGTTGCCAACTTCGTACGATATTTGACTGAAGTGGTGACTTCGCAAAACGCTTGAGGGATTTGTCGTAATGCTGAACCAGAATATCCATCGAGAGAAGCACACCATCAAGTGTTCCGCTGTGGCCTTGAGTCGCGAGTGTTGCGCGATGAAAAGGAGCGAGGAATGCTGCAATGTCCTTGAGATAGCCCCAGTCGTCCAAGTCGAGATAATCGTCGCGAAGGTCGTCAAGCCACTTCTCCAGATACGTATGAATTGAGCCAGAGATCTCGATTGCAACCTTGAGCATGGTATACCAGCTATTCCATCGGGTCTCGTTATCGAGAGGGAGACCTCGACCAGCAAGTAGACCGAATTCTCGACTTCGAGCAGGAGAGCCACGGATATGCACAGCGATGTTGTGCAGCTTGCCGAGAGGGCCTCGCTGCCTCCATTGTGTTTGCCGATCGCTGTCGCTGTCGTCATCGAAAGTCTCAAAGAGAAAGGCCTGTACAGCAAGGTTGATGACATGGCCGGTACATCGAAGCCGGTGTTGTGAAGCATTCCATGGCAAGGCGAATTTCGATTCAAGCGATCGGCAGAGAACGTCATTCGATGGGTGATTATCTCCAATGAAATACCCAATCTTGTTGACGATCCCAAAGCTTTCGAAGACCTGGAAGATTTCCGCCGCTTGTTCGTCTCCACGATGGGTGAGAATTGGCCGGAGGCCAAGAAGGACTCGTGCCAGTTGAGATGTCTCTCGGTCAACAAAATGGACACAGATGCCGAGGAAAAGATGGCGATTTGGTGAGGTCCAGATATCAGCCACGAAATGGATCATCGAGATAGACGATTGGAGGCGCATTCGTAGGTCGTCTTTCGCAGACAGCCAGAGAGAGTCAATCTTGTTCGAGACCGATGAATGACTGGAGATAACCCCTTTCTCAACCTCAGGATGTCCCAGAGACAAAACTGCGCGCATCGCTGGCCATTCGACAGCTCGAAAAGGGAGGTTGTGCCGTACAATGAGTTGGAGAAGAGCTTTGTTGATTCGCTCTTGTAGCTGATGTAGCTGATGAACGGAGGAGGCCGAGGGTATCGAAGCCGGACTGGGTAGCTGCTGATCTCGTTCAACCTTGTCGACTAGAATACCATGATGTGACACAAGATGGCCTCGTGCTGCAGTTGTGCTTATACAGCGGTATTCAGGGCAGTATTTGCAATACCACACAAGATGCTTGCCGATGTGTTTGGGTTCGTCCGGCTTTGGTGGTCGAGAATGGTCCCATGTGGCGACAGCCCTCTTCTGACGGCCTTTGGTCCTGATCCCGGTCCCAGTCCCGGTACTAGAGGGAAAATTCGTCGAACCATTCGATAGAATAGAGTCTGACATCTTGAACGAAAAGACTAAGGGTTTGATGCTGTAGATATAGGAAAAATGACAGGAGTAATGAGGGATGGAGGGGGGAGGGGTAAAAAAGTGGGTCTGTGAGCCTCTGTTGATAGTGTTGATAACCGTTGTTATCGTTATCGATTGATAGCTTATCAATGTTGATTGTTGTTGGCCACACTGCTTATCGATATGGCCATATAGCGATTCTCGCTCTGAGCACCTCTCTGCACAGCCCCATTCACCGTCACCTCGAAGCATAGCTCAGCCCACCAAGAACCGCAGCGAATTTTTACCGGGAAACTGAACCTGCACGCCATAAACTTTCCATGTCTCTAATCACAATACTTCTGTGTCTCTAATCACAATCTAAACAGACTAGATCCCCTAAAACCGTGCTCTCTTGTCTCTACACAGCAACTCACCACGGTCAAACATCCGCCTGCTCACAACTTGACGGGAAACCTCTCCCTTACCGCAGCACCCCTGAAATAAAGCCAAGCCATCGCCGGCGTCAGCCCCAGCGCCACGGCGGCGAGCAGCGTATCGCCCCAGCCCCAGCCCAGCGGCGCCGCATACAGGCCCGCGCCGGCCAGCGGCAGCAACGTGCCCCCGACGCTCCGCAACACGGTGTTCGCCGCAATCGCGCTCGCGGCATACGGCCCCGTGGCATCAATCAGGTACCCAACCACGGCCGAGAAGAACAGCACGTTCCCCGCGCCGACGAGCGCCGACGCGGCGACGACCCACGCCCAGTGCACACGCGTGGCAGCACTCCACCCGCAGCCCAGCAGGCCAGCCGCAATCAGCGGCAGCGCGGCGACGGCCGGCGCGAGGCGGTGCTCGGGCGTCGGCCGTCCCGCAACGGCGCTGCGGCGCACCAGCCGGTCCGATGTCAGGCTGAACGCCGCCAGCCCGGCGACGTTGCCGGCGCCGTAGCCCGCGAACGCGAGCCCGACGGCGCGCGGCGAGAAGCCGTACACAGACTGCAGGAGGACGGGGAGTGTCGTCAGCAGCAGGAACGCGACGCCGTTGACGTACGCGGAGACGAGGGACGAGAGCCACGCGACGGGGGACGTGAGCGTCAGCTTCGCGGGGCGCAGGATGGCGCGCCGCAGGATCTGGGCGGGGGTGAGGCCCGGGTCGAGCTTGGAGCGCAGTGGTGGGTGCGTGGTGCCGAGTGTGAGGCGCAGGCGCGCGGTTCTGGCGGCCAGGATGGTGGCGGGGTAGGTCTCGCGCATCAGGGCGAGCTGGAGCAGTGTCGCGAGAGCGTACTGTAGCCGGGAAGTCAGTGGCCGGGAAGTCAGTGCGGGTACGAGGGATGCGACATGCGTGCCACGAGAGGATGACGGGCGGATCGGCGTACCACGGCGGCGAGCAGCCAGAAGATCCAGCGCCAGCCGAGGGCGTCGGTCACATAGCCGCCGGCGAGCGGGCCGACGGACGGGCCGAGGATGGGGCCGAACATGTACAGCGACAGGGCAAGGCCACGCCTCTGCACGGGGACGAGATCCGCGATGGTGCCGGCGCCGATGGCGAGGGGCGTCGATCCGACGGCGCCAGCCAGGAACCGCGCGGCCACGAGCGCCTCGGCGGTGGGCGCCAGCGCGCAGGCCGCCGTGCAGGCCACGTACAGCACGTTGCTCCACGTGTAGACGGGCAGCCGGCCGTGCGTCTCAGACAGCGGCGCCAGCGCCAGCGGGCCGAGCGCCCAGCCGAGCACGTAGACGGAGACGGCCAGCGAGGCCAGCACGCTGTCGGGCTTCGTGTGCAGGTCGGCCGTGACCTGCTGGATGGCCGGCGCGAACATGGTCGCGCCGAGCGGGCTGGGCTTGCAGTGTCAGGGACAGGGACAGGGACAGGTCTTGCACCGGGTTGAGGCTGGGGAGCGGCAGCGGGAACGGGTTGAGCTCCGACGGGGGCATGAAGTGGATCGCCTGGGCCAGGACGGACAGTGGCCTGGAATGCCCCACGGGTTCAGTTTTGTTGGTGACGCTGTGGGCTGGGCGGGGGGCCGTGATGGGGGAAGGAATTGGTGCTGGCTTACATTAGGAAGGTGAGAGCCGACACCAGGGCGACGTGGCCCCATCTGGAGCGCTCTGGCCAGTTGATGGGGTTCTCTGGGTCGTCGGGCCCGTCCCACGAGACGACGTTGTTGTCGTCGATCCCGGCGGCATCTTCGGCGAGAAGACGGGTTCTCTCGTTGGCTTCCATGCTGCTGGTGAGGCTTTCCCTTGTTTGGTGCTGGTTCTGTGTTCAGAAGGCTGGAAATGAGGGGATCAAGGTTGTTCGGGTCAAACAGTCAAAGTGCTGAAGTGCTGAAGTGCTGACGGCCTCTTGTTATTATTTGCCTAGGAATGTGTTTGGCCATTCAATCGCCATTACCGTGCGGCGCCCCCTCGGCCCCGGATTCTTTCTACGCTATTATTGGTGCATTCATTATGCGGACATATCGGCTCCGCGAGAAGATGCTATCCGGGGTTGTCACGCCCCCTTACTCCTCCGGGGAATCTTGCCGGAGTTCTGTTCTGCATGTCAGCCTTCCATCAACAATGTAACACTGTGTTGGCTTCGACACACAGATGGATTATATTGAGAATTGATTGAATTGATTGTCCCCCCCCCGCTCTCTGGCTTCGCCAGAGAGCCATTATTATAGATGGACATAGTGGCGAAGTAGATGGCAAATAATAATGCCCTTTCGATCAAACTTGCCACTCATTAGGCCACCAATGATGATCGGCCCGTATGTAGGCCTTGATGCCTACACATCCTTTTAGGCTCCATTCAGCTGGTACGATGTAGCCAATCCAACACACTGCAGGTGTGTGGGACATGATGAATTGGGTCTCTACCGAACACGGGGCTTTGTTGATTGAGGGTAATTGACAAAATAGAATCAGTCATAGTCTATGGCCTGAAGTGTTTTCATGATGCAGCACCTCGCGTGTTAATTACTCGTGGAAGCTCTGGGAGTGGACAATGTGTGCATTGGCTAACTAACTGTGGAGGAAATCTCCCTAAATGTGTGGGCGAAATCCCCAGGGCGGGGCTAATTCCCACGTGCCCAGTCATGTGCAGGGCAACCCCGCCACAGAAGCTGTGAATTAACTGTGAGTGCTACTGTTAAAACATCCCCACTTACTGTAGGTACATTGGCGCCAAGGCTTTACAGCTCACCGCCCAGAAAAATACCACATTTTACAGACAAAATTACCGCAATCCCTGGCAACACCGCAATTGCGGTGCAATTGCACCTCGCCGCCGTCGCCAACGTCAACATGCTTCCAAATGCAGTAAATAAAGCTAAGGACCGTAGATTCGCTCAAATCGTTCAAATCTCTAAATAAGAAGCAAATCTGGCTTGCTTAACTTTGATTACGTCATGGGGCTAAAACACAATAAAAAACTGCAGGCCTGCTTACAACTACTCACAACTACTCATAACTGCCCACAACTGACAGCATTACTAATCCACGCCTTCCAATACCCGGGCAATCAGTTGGTTCGAGAGTGGTGGTGGCGGCGGCGCATTTTCATCGGGCGCATCGCTAAGATCGCCAAAGTCGCTCGGATCGCCCAGATCCTCAAGGGCGGCCATTTCTATTGCTAGTTAGCACTACGTGACGTTATGGACGATAGAGAATGAAGCTATATCGATTATCGATTGAATGCGCCGCCGACGATGTTTTGGTGGCTGAAGAAGGTTGGTTACGGTAGAAAGGTAAGGGCTGGGTTACGTGTAGTAGTAAAAAAGAGGTAAATTACTACACGGCAGAATCTTGGATGTACGGCGGGCGGGAATATGTGGTCAGGGTTAGGGTTATTCATAGTGGATTACAGTACGTGGGGACGTTTTAACAGTAGCAGGCGACGCACTCTTGCACATACGCCGAGTCTTCAAAATCAACAGCACCTACAGGAATGGAATTAATTGCCAAGTTCTCTACCCACTTTATAAGACAGATCAAAACTGCGAGAGAATTTGAATATATTGACAACCTTCTCATTTTTGTCTTGAAGAATGAATAGGAACTGCCGTGTGGAAATGTGCAATACAAAACCCAGCCGCACCAGCCGCACCAGCCGCACCAGCCGCACCAACCACACCAGCCGCACCAACCGCAAATCACAGCGTGACAACCAGCTTCTCCGCCGACACGCCGCCCCTCTTTCCAACATCATAGCCCTCCTGGACCTTCTCCAAACCGTGGCCCACAACCTTGGGCGGCGGCGCACACTGGTACTTGCCGGCGGCCAGCGCGGCAGGCAGATACCGGTTGTAGATCATCGGACCAACCTCATTGTCCTTGATAGTGCTCGCAAAGATGAAGTTCGCCTTGATCCCGTCGGGCTTGGTCGGCGGGACGGGCATGGCGCAGGCGACGACCTTGGCGCCGTCGCTCCTGAGCACGACGTCAAACACAGTCTCCTCGCAGCCGCGCTGGATGGCGAAGCCGCCGGCGCACGTCGTGCCCTCGAAGGCGGCCAGCAGCTCGGCCCCGACGGTCGCGCTGTGGTAGTCGAACACGCGGGCCGCGCCGAGCGCCTTGCAGTACGCGAAGTTCTTGGGCGACGCCGTCGTGAAGACGGCGTACCCCGACGCCACGGCCAGCTGGATCGCGTTGGACCCGACCGACGACGCGCCGGCCCAGACGAGCAGTGTCTTGCCCGTGGGCCGTGGAGAGTCTGGCGTGGGGTACGTGAGGGCGAGGTAGTCCTTCTGGTAGAGGCCTGCGGCAGCGGTGGCGAGGCCCAGGGGCAGGACGGCGGCGTCGGTGAAGGCGAGGTTGGCGGGCAGCGGCGAGGCGAGCGAGGCGGGGATGGCGCAGTAGGTCTGGAAGCCGCCGGCGCGCGACTCGAAGCCGGCGGCGAGCCCCAGCACGCGGTCGCCGGGCTCGAAGGCGGCCACGCCGGCGCCGACCTGCTCGACGGTGCCGGCGATGTCGCTGCCGGGCGTGTACGGGTACTGCAGCCAGGGGAACAGCTGCGCACCCAGCAGCTGGATGAACCAGTCCATGGGGTTGATGGCGGCGGCGGCCACCTTGACGACAATCTCGTTGTCGCCCGCGGTCGGGTAGGGCTTCTCGGCGATGGTGAGCGTGCTTTTGGCTTCGGGGAGGAACGCTGCCGTGTTCTTTGGGGCCATCTTGACTGGTGGTTATGTGGTGGAGCAGTTGCTTGGTGGTGGTTGTGTGGTGGAGCAGTTGCTTGGTGGCGGTTATGTGGCAGAGCAGTTACTTACTGGTGGTGGGAGGGTGGATGGCGATACCGAGGCAAAATGGAGGCTTCTGAAGGCGACGGTGCTCCGAGAGCTTCAAATAGTTGAACGAGGACGTAATGCACTGAGAGGGGCTGGGCTGTGGCAAAGAAGCATATTCACTGCATGTATCCATTGTGTGCGTGTGTATGTGTGACGCACCAGGGACCATGGCCAATTTGAGCATTTCGAATAGGCGGGACGAAGATAGGGGACACTGCGCAGGAGGTGCCGGCGGGCCGGGCTCGAATTCCATCGGATTTGGCGGGGCTCGGTCCAGGGGCGGGTTTGGCGGGGCTCAGTCCAGGGGCGGGTGTACTGAGTATGTATGTACATGTGTGCCTGCTTTGCTCTCCAGTGACACCTGGGGTTTTTTTGGGGGGGTGGGGAGGGAGGGAGGTGTGTGCTAGCCGCCTGATTGGCCCCTCAAGGCAGTCAGGGTCCGGAACAGCACCGCGGACTTGGTCTGCGCCTAAAGCAGCGTCAAACCGTCCCTTCGATCCAGAGGCTGGCAGTAAGTGACGGCATCACCCGCAGTGATTAATCTCGACAAAGCGAGTTTCGGGGTGCAAAGCAGTAAATAATTATCGAGCGTTACCAGATCGACCCAAAGCACTCGCACCGTCTTTTTTTTTTTTGTCTGCAGAGCCATTCATCCACCAAGCCGCATCTCGCTCCCTCGTCCTCCTCCTCGTCCTCCTCCTCGTCCTCCTCCTCGTCCTCCCAGTCCAATCATGCGTCCCGATTTGACTTGGCAAAAGGTCCTGTCGGCCACCGCCGCCGTAGCAACCACACGCGACAGTAACATCACCGACATCTTTGGTCCCGTGCTCTCGGCCCGGGCCTCCATCCACCTCCCCTCCGACGCAAACTACACGTCGTGCGTCACCCAGCGCTGGTCGAGCCACGCCGCGCCGCCCTTCATTGGCACAATCCGGCCGGCCACTGTTGAGGATGTGCAGAACACAGTGGGTTATCAACCCTCTCACTCTCTTCATGCAAGAACTACATGCAAACCCTTTCACTCTCTTCACCATGCAAGACCTATATGCAAACCATTTTACTCTCTTCATGCAAGAACTACATGCAATTTGACTGACGGCTGACAGGTGAAAATCGCCGCCGCCCACAACATCCCCTTCCTGGCCACCGGCGGCGGCCATGGCGTGTCCATCCAGATGGCCGCCCTCAGAGACGGCATCCAGATCGACCTCGCCAAGTTCAATAGCGTGCACCTAGACACGAAGAAACGGCTGCTCACGGTGGGCGGCGCGGCCAAATTCTCCGATCTCATCAAACCCGTCGACGAAGCTGGCGCACAGTTCCGTGAGTCGACCTCCTCCCCCTAAAATGATATCTCCCTACACAACACAACCTATATCTCCCTAACACAATACACCCCAGCTCTGGGAAGCGCCTACTGCGTCGGCGTCTTGGGCGCGACGCTGGGTGCCGGCGTGAGCGCGAACCAGGGCTACGCGGGGCTGCTGGCCGACCTTCTCGACGAGGTGCAGCTCGTCACGGCAGCGGGACGCCTTGTCACGGCGTCTCGCACGCAGTACGCCGACCTGTTCTGGGCGCTGCGGGGCGCAGGCGCAAACTTTGGCATCGTCACGTCGGCGACCTTCAGGCTGCCCGAGACGGTCAACAAGGGGAACGTCACCAACGCCAACTTCTTGTTTCCGGCAGCGGACAAGGCCGCACAGGTCTACGGCTACCTCGCGTCACTGGACGACAACATGTCGGCGCTCTTGGCGCTCAACATTGGCACGTTCCTAGATCCGGGGAGCAAGCAGGTCAGTGCCAGAAGCCACCAAGCCTAGTCTTTCTGTCCCCTAGTCTTTCTGTCCCCTCTCCCTCAAAAAAGACAGGTGAAAGAAAGGAGGGAAGAGGGGCAAGAGAAATCCGCCCGCAATCACTGACGGCAAACAAACACAGCTCATGCTACTAGTGAACGCCAACTTCGCCGGACCACCAGACGAGGCGGCCCCTTACCTGGCCGCGCTCTCCGACCTCCAACCGCTGCGCTCCGAGGTGCTCAACGTGCGGTGGCCGGACGTGTTCGCGACGTCGTACTTTGGCATCCCCGACACCAAAGCCTGCGGGCGCAACCAGCACGTCAACATGCGCAGCGTGGGCGCGCGGCGCACCGACGCGGCCGCGCTCGTCGCCTTCCTCGGCGCGCTAGACCGCTTCTCGCGCGCCCACCCCGGCGTCTTCACCGCCATGATGATCCACCGCTTCCCCAACCAAAAGGTGCGCGAGGTGCCCGACGGCGACAGCGTGTATCCGTACCGCGACCTGAAGATGCACATGTGGGTTTTCCGTCTTCCCGTTTTCTCGCTTGCGTGCTAACTGGCGGCACAACAGTCAGCTCGAGAGCGAGTACGAAGACCTCAGCGAGACACAGGCTGTCGAGGAGTTCCTGCGGGCCGCGCGCCGCAACCTGGCCGCCGCGAGCGGGTACGCGTCGCCGGCCGTGTATGTCAACTTTGCCCACGGCGACGAGGGCCCGGCAGCTTGGTACGGGGAGCGCAACCTGCAGCGCCTGCGCCAGCTGAAGCGGAAATGGGATCCCCGCGGGCTGTTTGGCTTCTACAACGCGGTGCCAACGGCGGGGGGCACGTCGGACGGCGACCTGTGATGCCTGGCAAGTCGGGAAAGGGAGATGAACGGCTCTTTTTCTTCCTCTTCTTTTTGCCTCCGGCGGCCCTCCGGGGGCGCCTGCGGCGGGCTGCTCGCTGCGCTCGAAATTCGTGCTTTTCTTACTTTAGAGGCGAACGTTGTTCTCTTTGGTTAGCAAACGTAAGGAACAATCTAGTGCGATAAATACCGTTGTAAGACGAGAAACAAAGAGGAGACAGAGAAGAGTATCGCTGCGACTGCATGCAAAAGTCTGAAACAAGCTCAAAGTTCAAGTCCAAGACAAGTTCAAATCCAAGACAAAGTTCTATTTTCCACTTGCATCCACCCACGGCAAAAAAAAGCAACACGACAACACGACACGCGACCAACATCCGCGAATCACTCCACACCCAATCCCTTCTTCAACTCCCCCACCAGCACATCCAAAAACCCCTCCATAAACAAGCCCTCATAAAACGCCTCGTTATACACCAAATCAAATTCCATCTTCCCCCTGAAAATCCAGTAGAACAAATACGCCTCCCTCGCCAGGCACTCAACCCCAAGACTGACATCCCTCACCTCAACACACACGCCCCCAGTCCCCGTCCCAGTCCCCACCCCAGTACCATGCCTCATCTCCACAATCCCGTCCACATCCTCCACACTCGACATATCAACCTCGCTCCGCAGCAGCCCCGCACCCTGGGAAACCACGCGCAGCGCCTGGACCGCATACTCCCTGCGCGCTTGCACGAACCCGTCGCTCACACCCGCGCGGTACAGCCCGTCATACATGGCCGCGTGCGCGGCCCACGGCTCCCCGCGGTCCGCGCGCGCCATGTACCCGCCCGTGTACAGGCCGGCAGCGCCCGCGGCGCCGTCGTATGGCGGCGGCAGGTGCGCCCGCAGGCTGAAACGCATCGTGCTCGTGTAGTGCGTGCCGTCTGGGCTGGTGGCGAGGTTGGCGGCGGCCAGCGCGGCGTGTGCGGCGGCGAGCGGCAGGATGTCGTGCGCGCGGCACGCGGCGAGGAGCGCAGATGTCGCGTCCGCGGGGATGCTGTGCCGGACGCTGCGCGTGCCGCTGGGTCTTGTGTCAGCCGTGGCGGTGGCCTTGGGGGGCAGGCCGACCGAGTTGGCAATGTGCCGGCCCGTGGCGAGGCACGCGGCCGTCTCGGCCGTGACGGCGGCGGTGGGCTGCGCTGGCAGGCGCAGCACATGTTCGATGCTGGGGGCCAGGCGGGCAGTTTCGTCGCCCCAGGCGAGGATGGTGGTGTCGGTGTCGCTCGCCACGGCGCCGAAGAAGGCGTCGAGCAGGTGCAGGATGCCGTAGCCGTCGGTGCGCCAGTGCGACGTGTGCAGCACGAACTGGCTGGTGCGGGGCAGGAAGAAGCCCGTTGCGTACGGCGACGGCTGGAGGCGTGCGATGACGTCGCTGGCGCTCGTGTCGGTGGCGAGGACGGTGAGCGTCTCGTCGGCCCACTGGGCGAGAGCGGCGGCGTCTGGGACAAAGTAGTCGAGCGTGTCGGGGCCGGCCACGGCGGCGATGCTGGGATGCTGGAAGCGCAGGAGCGCCCAGGCCCGTCGCAGCCGCGATGCCAGATCCGCCGACGCTAGGGGCTCGGATCCGGACGATACAGCGAAGGTGCCCACGGCGGTGACGGACCAGTGTTCGCGGCCGGCAGGCAGAGCACGGTCGCCGATCCACTTGATCATGCGCTCGTTCTCGCCGAGCGGGCGCTGCCAGTGCGACGCGCTGATGCTTTTCCAGGCCATGGTGGAGGTGCTTTCGCAATGAAACGTCCAGTGTCTGATGCAGAATCAACCACGCTCAGAACCGCGAAGATCAAAGCACAGGTTATTGCTGCAGTTCACCGTGTGGGCTTGGTGTCTCTGTTGCGGAACATACGGACTTTCATCGCGGACTCGGCGTGGGAGTCGGAGCCACACAGCTGTGCAGCTGTGACGGCAGAGTTGGGCTCATGCCGTCGCATTTTTTTGCTACTCTGCTTGTTCACCGCGGGTAGGGTCAATGGATAGTTAAAAGCAATTCTGAGACAAGCAAACTGCGAATCTCGCGGTAGTGCCTGGGAATAATACCTGCTCACCACCCTCATCACGCACAACCCTAACCCTACTACCCCTTTACCTTTACCCCTTTACCTCTGCCCCTTTACCCGTTTACCTCTACCCCTTACCTTTACCCCTTTACCTCTACCCCTTACCTTTACCCGTTGACCTCTACCCCTTACCTTTACCCCTTTACCTCTACCCCTTACCTTTACCCCTTTACCCCTGAATCCTCACCATCACCGTCACCAAGATGAACTGGACCGAAGCCTCGCCGTCCGTCTTCACCCGAGACCTCGGCGGCGTCGAGAAGATCTACCGCCTCGTCTCACAATCCTTCCAGGCGACTGGCCGCGAGCACTGGGGTCTGTACTGCGAATGCACCTTCGAGCTCGACCCGCTGCAGCCCAACGACGCCACAGCGGCCGCCCTCCGCAGCGCGTGGATCGCCCTCCGCCACGAGCTGCCCGGGCTCGCCGTGGCCCCCGGCGGCCTCGACAAAGCCACCTACACCCTGCCGACCGCTTCATCCGTCGACGCGTGGGCCGACGCGACCTTCTTTGTCAACGCCGCCCCCACGCCCCCCCTCAACGCCGTCGTCGCCGACTACCCCCTGCGCGATCTGCCGGCGCTACACTACTTCCCGTCATCCTCGCAGCTCCTCTTCCTCGCCTCGCACTGGCGCGTCGACGGCCTGGGCACCTGCATGGTCCTCGACCGGCTCTTCGCCCTCCTCGCAACCAACACCCCCCCACCACCGTCAGCCTGGCCCAACGACCTCGCCAAAATCTCCCCCAGCATCGAAGACGCCGTCGGCGCGCCGCCCGCCGCCGAGGCTGCCGCCGACCCGGCCACCGCCTCCTTCGCGCGCGAGCACATCGCCAAGCACCACCGCAACGCCGTGCACGCCGGCGGGCTCGCCACCCTCGGCACGCCCGCCACGCCGCCCGGCCGCACCGCCTGCGCGGCCCTCACCTTGTCTCGAACCAGCACGGAGGCCCTCGCAGCCGCGTGCAAGGCGCGCGCCGTCTCCGTGACCGCCGCCGCGCACGCCGCGCTCGCCGAGACCGCGTTCCGCCTGTCGCCGGCGCCAAAGCCAGAGCGCTACGCGGCCGTCATGTCCGTCAACATGCGCCCGCGGCTGCAGCCGGCGTTCCGTGGCGCGGAGCACGCCGTGCAGACATATGTCACGGGCGTCACGCCGTCGGTGGGCCGCGATGCGACGTTTGGCGAGCGCGCCGCGCACCTGACGGCCTTCTACAAAGAGGGCTGGTACAGCGAGCGCTTTGTACGTGCCATGCGGCTGGCTACGCAGTATCACTTCGAGGCCATGGCGGCTGCGAGGGGTGCAGCGCCGCAGGGCGTGAAGCCGAAGCCGCCGAGCAATGTGCTGCTGAGCAGCCTTGGCGTCGTGGACAAATATCTCGCGCCGCGGCATGCCGGTGGGGATAGGGCGGTGCGTGTCACTGGTTTCAGGTTCGGGGTTAGCATGCTCACGCGCCAGATGCTGCTGTACGTGTGGACGTTTGACGGGCGGCTGCAGCTGTCGGTGAACTACAACGAGGCGTACCATGGTAGGGCGGAGGCAGAGGCGTTCTTGCAGACTATGAAGACGGTGCTAGAGACGGAGCTGGGAGTTGGGCTAGACTTGGATTTGGACTAGGGGTTGGACTTGGATTCGGACTAGGGATTGGACTTGGATTCGGACTAGGGGTTGGACTTGGATTCGGACTAGGGGTTGGACTTGGATTTGGACTAGGGTTGGACTTGGATTTGGACTAGGGGTTGGACTTGGATTTGGACTAGGGTTGGACTTGGATTTGGACTAGGTAGGTAGGTAGCTCTGTCTATCTATGTGCTGACTAGGTACTAGATAGGTTAGCTAAGCTGCAACCTCGCCGACATGAACAGCCGTTGCACTTTCATCCTCCTTGATCCCCCCCTTAGACGAAGCCTCGCCGTCAAAGCCGGCGCGCAGCTCCGCCAGCATGCCGTCAATGTCAAAGTACCACAGCCGGTGCGAGCGCGCCGTGATCTCGGCCATGCACTTGTCCCAGTCGGCCATGGTCGGCGGGTAGCTCCACTCGTAGATGTCGCAGACCTCGCGGCTGCTGGCCACGAGCCACTGGCTGCGCGGCCGGCGCACCACGTCGTAGACGGCAAACGCGCGCTCGACCAGCGCCGTCATGTCAGCCTGGCTCGCCGCCGCCGCCGCCCCGGTCGCCATCTCCAGCAGCGTGCACAGCGCCAAGGCGTCCTCGACGCCGATGCCGGCGCCGCCGCCGTGGTGCGGCGACGACGCGTGCGCCGCGTCGCCGGCCACGCACACGCGCTGGCACACGTACGTCGGCGCCGGGTGGTCGTGCGTGTCGAACAGCGCCCACTTGCTCAGCATGTCCGGCAGCAGCGCCACGACGTGCCGGACCGTCGGACACCACCCCGCGAACACGGCCTCGAGGTCGCCGCGCGTCGCGTCGGCCGTCATGTTGCGCTGGGCGTGGGCGTCGGTCAGCGGCCACGGCTCGGCGTCGGCCACGAAGGCCACCACGTTGAGCAGCGTGCCGCCCGCCACCGGAAAGTGCAGCAGGTGCGCCCCCGGCCCCGTGTGCATGTGCTGGTTGCGCGCCTTGAAGGTGCCGAGCGCTGCTTCGGCGGCCGCCATGGGCACGAGGGCGCGGTACGCGACCTTGTGCGAGAAGTGCGGGTACGAGGCTGGGCTGTCCGCGCCCAGGAGCACCTGCCGCACCTTAGACTTGATGCCGTCGCAGCCGATCACTGGGGGTTGTGCTGGCGGTCAGTGACGGGTCGGGACTTTGCGCGGAGGTGCTACCTACCTGCGTCCGCCTGGGCCGTCGTGCCGTCGGCGAACTGCAGCACCAGCTTCTCGCCCGGGCCGGGGTCCGTGTGCCCGACGAAGCGCTTGCAGAACGCGACGGCGCTGGGGGGGATCGACTTGACAAGCTCGTCGAGCAGGTGGGCGCGGTGGCAGCCCTGGAAGCCCTTGTAGCCCGTGTGCAGCAGGCCGAGCAGCTTGTCCTCGGTGTCGGCGGCGTCGGCCGGGTCCCAGCGGTAGCCGTCGTGGAAGCGCACGTAGTCGTTGGGCTTGTCGGCGTCCTCGCCATTGGGCGTGGCCACCGCGTCGACGGCGGCCACGATGGCCGGGTCCAGCAGCGACATGCACTTGATGGCGTTGGCCGTGAAGGCGATGCCGGCGCCGATCTCGCGGAACTCGCGCGACTGCTCGTAGATGACGACGCGGATCCCGCGCTTCATCAGCCCCATGGCCATGATCAGCCCGACCACGCCGCCGCCGATGATGGCCACGTCGAGCTGCGGCTGTGCTCCCGCCATGTTGACTTTCGGGGTTTACTTGGGATGCAGCTGGAGCCAGGTAGGGTCAGGGCCGTAGAGAACTGATGCGTTCCGGTTCTTTGATGCTCGTTCTAGACTAACTACAGTAATTAAATTCATGTTGAACCGCTACCCAATTTTTGCTCTCGTCTGCATTGGTTTGCTGACATACTCCATCTGCCGAAAGGTGGTTGCAGGTTTTCTTTGGCCACCAGACGATGGTCGTACGACGCGCGCGCACCGGAGTTATGGCCCGGGGACTTGGTTCCGGCCCACGGAAGCAGCTTCAGCCCCTTTCCAGACTGCTCCGCGCCGAGGCGGCACTCTTTGTGGCCTACCACTGTGCCCGTAGAGCGGACTTTGTGATGGAGATGTGTTCGTGTCCAGATGAATGAATATGTGTATAGATTTGCTCCAGGGTCTGGCCCAGTTAACAGTTAATAAACACAATCGAGACACCAGCCTCCAATAAAAACACGCAAAACACAAACACAGACACAGACACAGACAGACACAGACACAGACACAAACACAAACACAATCACAATCACAATCACAATCACAATCACAATCACAATCACATTTCTGACATTCAACCCACTTGTCCTGTAACTCAAAATCACACAAACAACCCCAATGGCCACCGCCACCGCCACCGCCACCGTCACCATGACCGTCAACCGCCCGCTGGCCAACACGTTCGCGCCCGGCGCCGTGGCGAGCTCCTACGAGGAGGAGCTCGGCGCCATGGTGGCCATCAGCAAGATGGTGGTCGACCTGGCGCCGCCCATCACGTCGGCGTCGGTGATCCACGACAACGCGTGCGGGCCGGGCGTGGTGACAGCAGCCATCCTGGCCAAGTTCCACGCCGAGAACCCCGGCAACACAACACCGCCGCCGCCGCGCATCATCGCCACCGACATCGCGCCCAACATGGTCGAGCTGGCGGCGCGCAAGGGCCCGTCGGTCGAGGCGCACGTCATGGACAGCCGCGCGCTCACCAGCATCCCCGACGGCGCGCTGACGCACAGCTTCACCGACTTCCTGTTCGTGCGCGGCTGGGGCGAGGCCGACATGGTGGCGTTCGCGTCCGAGATCCGGCGCACGCTGCGGCCGGGCGCGACGGCCGTCAACGCGGCGTGGAAGTACCACGAGTGGCACACGGTGCTGCGCGATGCGCTGGAGCGCACGCTTGGCGGTACCGACGCCGCCGCCGCCGCCGCCGAGGTCGACGAGCGCATGCCGCGCCAGCCGTGGTCCAAGGAGTCGGTGCTCGCCGTCTTCGCCAAGGCCGGCTTCCACCCCGACCGCACCACCCTCCACACGGTCCAGCACACGCCGCGCGAGCCCATCGAGTGGGACTCGAAGCTGTGGCGCCAGTTCCTCGCCGCCGCCAACGAGAAGGTCACGCGCGGCATGGACGACGCCACCAAGGAGCGCTACTATGCCAACCTTGCCTCGCGCACCGACGAGGACAAGGCCGACCCCAAGGAGTACCGCTGGGAGGCTTGGGTCTTGACGGCTGTGAAATAGACAGATGAGGAGTGGTCGTGCCGTGTCGTGCCGTGTCGTGTCGTGTCGTGTCGTGCTTTGATCCATAGAGAACAGTAGCGAGATTCTGAACTTAAAGAAATCCTTTGATCCGTTTCGTTCTGCTACTGCTTTCTCTTGTCTTGCATTGACATAAACTGTCCCGACATGAGGTGACGTATTTTATAAGCGAGCGGCGAATTTTCCCCGCGATGCGACCCTTCATCTTTGATCCTCAATTCTACCACAACAAGCTATGGCTACCCCTTCAAAAGAAGCTAGGGTAATCCTAGCTCTCAAAGCAATCCAAAATAGTAAAAACCCCAATGTTCTTTCCACAGCCAATTTGTATAATGTTCCCGAAACAACACTTCGCTATCGACGCGCCGGTCGGCCTTCACGACGCATATTCCAGCCAATTCGCGAACACTCAGATCTAGAGGAGCATACGATTGTTCAGTATATATCTGAGCTATGTATACGCGCATTTCCTCCTCGGCTTTGTTGTGTGGAAGATATGGCTAACCGACTGCTGCGCGAACGCGACGCGCTCCCTGTCGGCAAGCTCTGGGCTCATAACTTCGTCAAACGCCAACCAGAACTCCGGACGCGTTTTACGCTTAGATACGACTATCAAAGGGCCAAATACGAAGATCCGAAAGTTATTCGCGAGTGGTTTGTACTTGTGTATAATACTAAAGCCAAATACGGAATCCTTAACGAAGATATATACAACTTTGACGAGACCGGGTTTATGATGGGTATGATTACTACTGGTATGGTTGTTACTACCTCCGATGGCTATGGGAAAGCCAAAAAAGTCCAGCCTGGTAATCGTGAGTGGGCTACGGTTGTCCAAGGGGTAAATGCTCAAGGCTGGGCTATCCCACCATTCATCCTTTTAAAAGGGAAATATTACCAGGAGAGCTAGTATCGAGAGTGTGTCACGGCAGGTGCAGACAGCTGACCAGATTAGTGGCCCTGTCCCGGCCCACTCGGTTACCCTAGATTTAGAGAGTGGTCTATGCACACCACAGCCACGTGCCCCACACCACAACCTACTTCCCCGGCGCCCCGCCTAGGCTTTGGAAGCTTTCTTTCCTTTTTCTTTCTTTAGTTTTAGATTCTACGAATACAGCGACCACATTGCAGCCTTGCCTCATTGCAGTTGACTGCGGTGACAGAGTGCAATCTTCCGGCTACCTGGTATATCGGTGTAACCGATAACGGCTGGACTACTAATGAGAAATGCCTGGATTGGATTCGCCATTTCGATCTTCACATAGCATCTCGTACGATGGGTAAATACCGGCTTTTAGTCCTCGACGGCCACGAGAGCCACCACTCCGACAAATTCGAGAAGTACTGTGACGGCCCGCCTTACGCAGTAGGGATGTCAATGGTTGAAGGCAGCAACGAATGTGGATTTAAAGCTAAGGAAGAGAAAGGAATCTATCGCCGGGTCCGCGCAGGGCGCGGAGAAATAGGTAGTGGTGCTCAGTGCGCACAGGCCACACCCTAAGCACAATGCAGCCAATAGAATCAATCCTGTCACATGAGCCCTGTGGCGACCGTGACAAGTACTATCAGGATCATAACATTATTACCCTTTACATGCCTCCGCACTCCTCGCACCTAGTCCAGCCACTTAATATTAGTTATTTTGGGCCGTTGAAGGAGGCGTACAGCTACTGAATCGAGGAACTTATACATATATATATCATATATATTACTAAGTTGGAATTCCTTTGTACGTTCAAAGAGGCGTTTTTTACTTCTTTTATCGAAAATAATATCCACGGCGCCTTTTCCAGAGCCGGCCTTATACCACACGACTGTCACGGCATGGCCTGGACAGGCTCCTGTTTAGAGTGTGGTCTGTGCCTGACGTATCACGTGGCCCACAACTACCCATTTCCCCGCGCCCTGCGCGGTCCCCGTCATAGCTTCCTTCTTCATCTTTAGATTCTACGAATTCAGCGATGATTACTGCAGCCCTGTCTCTTTACGTTGACTGAGCCGTGATAACGACCCGGAAAGAGTGATTTCCAAGATGAATATACGGCTCCGAATTCCAACTACACCAGCCTCAAGCCTAGGTATGGCACTACCTTGGCTATCTCAGACGCTATAGAACCCCCGAGAGGCCATTTCATAGACAGACCTTATTAAAGGCCGGATATCTAACCATCAAGGTAGTTCTCCAACACCTACCCGTGCCCCGCCCCACTCTTTTTACGGGTTCAGAGTACCTGGCCCTCAAAAGAGGGTGCTCTCCACGACTATAACACCACCAAAATAACAAAATTGAAGCCATCAGCGCATCAAACCTACGTAAATAACGTACAGCCTTCCCTTCTTCGTAGACTGCAACAGGATTTAGTTTTTCTGTCATTCGCCACTGCCTGGCAACTTTTGCAGCCTCTGCAAACCACCTTTTGGTTGCATTACGAGCTCTCAAATCAGCAGCCTCAACTTGCTTCCTTGCCTTAGCCGGAGCTCACCCTCTCTTTGCACTACCATAGCCCCGCCTTCGGGTACTGTTAACACGCCGCTGAATTGCAAGGGCCTATTTTTCATCTGCCTACGTTGTCTTCGTGTAGCCCGGCGAGCCTGGTCCTCCCTAGGTCCTGCTTTGTTTGGAGCAGCTCAGCCATATTGATAAGACTCCCTTTAATAAAACGCCGGGCATCATGAACAAAGGAGGGATCTAGGGCCGGGCTTTCTTCTATGATGGGGCTGGAAGACAGCAACATCGAGAGGCTGAAGTAGGTGGGTAAGGTGCGGAGGCATGCCGAAGGGTATGATGTTATTTTGCTCGCAATACTCGATGAATTCCACCGTATGGTGCGAGCCGTAGCCATCAAGGATAAGGAGGCGTTTATGCCCTATAGAATGCCCTTTCGAGCACTCATCGAAGTGCTTAAGCCACTTAAAAGACACCTGGTCGTTCGTACAGCCCAGCGCAGTCGGTATAATACGTGCCTTGGGGTCTAATTCGGGTTGGGCATACTACTGGGCCATATGGAAGCTCCCTTTGAGTATGAGGAAGGCCGGTATGTGTTTACCGGCCGCCGAGATGCCTTCAATGGCTGTTGCACACTCCCTATTCTCGGGGATGTGTTACGGATCCCTGAAGGGATGCACCTCGGTGGGTCCTGCCGAGTCAATCTCGGGCAATCAGGAATGTCCCACGCCTCTGGCGCAGGACATGGGACCGGGCCTGGTTGACAGCCAATAAAAGGTGTCCCGTCTCCCGTTCGCGGGACACGGGACCTTTCTTTCAGGTCCCGCGTCCCGGGCACGGGGGCCGGGACCCTGCGACCATTTTTATTGGTTCTACAGATAGATATATACGATGACCGTACCCACGGTCTTAGATAGTTCTTGCTTGGTTCTGCAAGCAAGCAATACACATTCACTGCACTCATACACTTTGAGTGGCATTCCGATTTGACTGTATTACCCGTGCGATAGGAGCTTGCCCTTTGTTCTATCTTCATAATTACCAACCCCAGCATCCTGTGGAGACCGTGCTCCCTTACAGACAGACGACCCTAACAGTCGAGTGGTTTGTAATAGGATGCCGAATAAATGCGCCCTATTCCTTCCGGTCACACAAAGCTGGTCTTTCCCGATCCCTATACGGAACCCCGTCTCATCCAGATTCCATATGTTCTCAGGGGGTATGCCGTGCTTCGCGATGACCTCACGAAGCCTCCTGAAGTAGCCTTCGACCCGTTCAAGGTTCTCAGAGTCCTGGCAGTCAGAGGCCATTGTTTTCTGACGCCGCAGGGAATAGTTGTTACGCTTGATGAAGCGTGTGGTCCAGTTAGGACCAACAACAACCGGCTTGGCTGAAGGCCGCGAACTGAATGCAGCCTGTAGGATTAGGTTGGCCGCTGCAGTAATGAACTTGGGGCGTATAGCCAGGTTGATATAGTCAAGCCTATCAATGTAGCGGCATAACGCAACCTCTTAGGTGCGTGTCAAGGTCGTATTGGTGGCAGGGCGACCTTTCTTGGTTGCCGGCCCTCCAAGCGGTATCTTAACCGGGCTCGGGGAACCCCGAATTTCCGAGCCGCTGCTGATACAGAATCGCAGTAACCTTCATTAAACCATGTAGCAGCCGAAGCTACACGAGATTCAACATCGTTGAGGCTTCCGGGATTCATTTTGTGGCTGTTTTGACGCGCTTTTGTTGGTGCCGGCTTCAATTTTGTTATTTTGGTGGTGTTGTTATTGTGGAGAGCACCCTCTTTCGAGGGTCAGGTCCTCTGAACCCGTAAAAAGAGTGGGCGGGGCACGGGTATACTGGCTGCTGTGGACCAATTGGCCAAAGGTATAATGGCCGTAATATACGAGGTGGCTCTTCTGCGTACGGAGGTCTCTTTACTACGTAAGGCTAATGAGAGGCTTAGTAAGAGACGGAGGGCTAAAAAAAACACGTGTGCGGCTTGGAGGGTCACTTACAAGAGGCACAGGACCTGCTGGGTCAGAAAGCTGTGGGTGAGCAGATAATCCAGGAAACACGACAAAATGGTGGCGGTGCGGGGGGGGCTCGCACGAAGATTCGGTGCTGTGGCCTGTGCGGCAAGCCTGGCCATAATCCACGCACGTGTCAGGAAGCTGGAGAATTGCCTGATTCATCTATTTCTGGTTCAGTTATTGTTATTTCCTAGTGTTATGGTGGTTTAATTGAGGATGGTTATGGCAGGTTGGATAGAAATTCACCGCTCGCTTATAAAATACGCTAAAATAGCAATCGACCCATAGTCACAGACGTCACGTCTAATTCTTCAGCTTTGCCAACAACTCAAATGAAGAAATAAGATGCCTACGCCACCTGACAATTCAGGAAGGAGAGCTGAGCGCTCCTTTTTCTCTGCTCTTTTTTGCCTCTGGCGGCCCTCCAGGGGCGCCTGCGGCGGGCTGCTCGCTACGCTCGAAAGCCGTTCTTTCCTTGTTAGAGTCTCCGGGATTTCTCCGTCTTTTAGATTCATCTGATCGACCAAGCCCTATTCAAGAAACTTTGATTGCAAATGAGAAGAAAAAAGCTCCCCTCAGTTCAGCTTAATTACCTACAAAAACCACCACCCAACCACCCCCGTCAATGATCAGCCAATATACTCGACAAACTCATTCCACTCCACGTCCCCCCTCAACACCGCAAAATCCCTATCCGTCAGACACGCAACGGCATCGCAATCACCCGCCTCCGACCCCGGAAACAACACCACCGTGCTCGCAAACGGCACGCTAGGCGGGCGGCGCACGAACTCCGGCGTGCCCAGCCTCCCAAACCCCGGAAACACGCCCCGCAGCGCGCGAATGCTCGAGCACCCGACGTCCGTCTCGCCCCTGAACTCGCCCGCGTACGTGATGGCCGCTTTATCCTCCTCGCGCGCCACAAATGTCGCGAAGCTGCGCAGGTGGTGCAGCGTGTTGGCGGCGTTGAGCGCCGCGCGCAGGCGGCCCGCGATGGCGCCGACCGGGAGCGTCGCGAGCTCGCCGAACGAGAGCACGCACTCGGCGTTGTGCGCCATCTCGCCCATGTAGTCGGGCCCCAGCCCGACCAGCCGCCGCCCGTCCATCTGCCGCCCGAACCGCGAGCGCGTTGTGGGGGGGTGGCGGCCCTGCCGCACGCTGATGAGCCGCTTCCAGATGAAGGCGCACAGCGCGTCGTCGGTTGAGATGAAGGCTGGGGCGGGTGCGTGTGCGGTTGCATGTGCGTGTGCGTGTGCGTGTGCGGGTACGGGTGCGGGTGCGGGTACGAGTGCGGGTGCTGTGTCAGAGGGGGAGGTGGGCTCGGGCTGGCTTGCGAGGACTTTCAGCCGCGCCATGCTCTGCGGCGAGAAGCGGAAGACGTGGTAGCGCGCCGGCTCGGGAGACGGATTTGGCGCCGGCGGAGGGAGCAGGGAGGAGCGCTTGTGGCGGCTGTGGTCGAGCAGCGGCTCGTCGGGGCCGAGCAGCCTGGGCAGGCCGCGGCGGTCGTGGTTGGCGAGGGCGAGCAGTTCGGGCGCGATGGCCTCGCCGCGCATCGCCGCCGCGACCAGCTTGACGAGCCCAAAGTGCCCGCCGGCGTCGGCGATGTTGTGCGCGATGGCGAAGTCGACGATGACGCCGCCGCGGATGAAGCTGGCCTGCACGCGGACCACGTGCGCTGGGCTCTCGTCCGAGTCGTCGAACTTCTGTGGGAACGCCGGCACCGGCGTCAGCAGCTCCGTCTGGATCATGGACTGTGGCGCCTTGTGCGTGCGCAGCTCAGCGTAGGACGGGTGGCCGGCGTCGTCCGGGATGAACTTGACGTCGATGGCGGGCTGCGGCGGCGCGCAGGCCACCGGGCGGTAGAGCCCCGAGCTGCCGGGCCCCTTGCCTTCGTTGACGATGCGCGCGCCCATCCACGGCACCTGGCGCCTGACCTTGGTGACGGCGACCTCGAGGTCGCGGACCACGTCCTGCGCCGTGACGCCCTCGGGCATCGCGAAGAAGTACAGCACGTGCGAATAGACCTGTAGCATCGGTAGCTGGCCCAGCACGTCCTGGTAGCGGTCCAGATTGCCGTAGTCTTCTTCCACCTGCACGCTGCCCATGTTTACGATTGCGTGCCGTTCTCTGGGGGGGTCTGCCGGGACAGGAACAGCGTCGGTGACAACAAACGCTTGGCGCGAATGGATGTATGAGATGCTCAAACTGTTAGGTAGAACTGTTAGGTAGGGTAGCCCAGATCTCTGCTGAGAACTGCTCAGGAGAGCCCCCCACAGAAATCCAGACTACATGTAGCCATGGTTGCGCTGTGCCACAGTCTCTGGCTGGCACTTGCACAAACTCCGGCTGGTTCACGCCGGGCGCGAGGAACGGCCAGGTCCATAGGGCAGGGGATAGGTCCGGAGTGCACTCTCAGACTCGGGAGTCTGCAAGCGGAGTTTTGTCTTTTCCGGGCGCTTGGGACTGTGTATCTGACTAATTGTGAGTACAATCGAGAGACAATTTGAGTTCCCCGTTACCAGATGAGATACGGACCCTGGCGCTCTCTCTCTCGAACATGGCCAACATCTCGGGGGCGAGGGAACGAGGCACGAAAAAATTGCATGCAGTCTTTAGCAACAACATTTTCTAGTTTTGTAAACTCCCACACTTGAAATGCCTGTCCATAACAGCCGCTCTCATCTCGCGGCACATGTGAGAAGTTAACCTAAGCCTCCATTTTCTACCAACATTCAAGTTACAAAACCGCTCACGGGAGCTCTACTAAGCACCTGTGCCCCGCGGGCATCACCAGGAAGTTGATCTGCGGCCTCATGTCCGCGTCCGACATGCCGTACTTGCTAGACAGCCGGACGTCGGGAAACGCCCGGAAGAACAGGGCCGTGCAGAGCCGCAGCTCCATGCGGGCCAGGTTCAGTCCGATGCAGTCTGATTGTGTAGTGGAATTCTTGTCAGCGTGTCTCAGGTAAACAAGTCACAGTGCTCTCGTGTAGTGGGAGAAAAAGAGGACGCGCAAAACTCACTCCGCGGGCCGATGCCAAACGGCATAAACGCATTCTTTGCCTCTGGCGACGGGCTCTCCCAGCGGGACGGATCAAACCTGACAACACCACGTCAGCCAGCCCCTAGAATAAAAGTCCTAGGCCAGTAGGCAAAACCACCACAAATCACTCACTTCTCGGCATCCGGATACGCCCCGCCGTCGCGATGCAGGCTGTAGTTCTGCGTCGACACGACGACGCCGGGTGGCACAGCGTAGCCGGCGAGCACGGCGCCTTCGGGCGGGACGACGCGCGGCAGCGCGCCCTGTGACGCGCCGTACAGCCGCAGCGTCTCCTCGAGGACCAGGTTGAGGTACGGCAGCGCGCGCAGGTCGCGGTGGGTGAAGCCGTCGGGCAGGGACTGGAGTTCACCCAACAAACGCGCGCGCACGGCGTCGTGGCGCAGCACCGCATAGATGAGGTACGTCAGCGTGATGGCCGTCGTGTCGGTGCCCGCCGTGATGTACGACTGCGACTCGATGGTGATGTCGAGCTGCGACAGCTGCTGTTCTGGGCTGCCTCGTTGGCCGCCGCCGCCTTTAGCGACGAGGCTGGAGAAGAGCGTCTTGCGCACCGCGCTGTCGTTGGTCTCGACCAACCGCATGTACTGCGCTGCGCGCGCCGCGCCGTACTCGACGACGCGCTGGCGGGTCGCGCCGACGTTCTTGAAGTAGGGGAAGAAGGGCACGTAGCCGGCGAGCCAGATGAGCCAGGGGAAGGCGCCGCGCAGCGGGAGCAGCGAGCCCATCTCGGCAATGTCTTCGGCGTATTGGTTTTTCTGGCAAACACCCCATGTCAGCCAGCAACGCTCCGTCCGCGTGGCGGATCACCCCTTGGGCCTCACCTTGCCGACCTCCAGCATGTGGAACGACTCGCCGAAGCACATCTCGCTGATGACATCCATGGCGAACAGCGTCCACCAGTGCAGGATATCCGTGCACCCGGTCGTCGCCATCTCGTCGCCGAGCTTGGCGATGGTCAGCCGGGCGCGCTCGACGATCGTCGGCTCGAGGGTCTCGAGCTGCGCCTCGGCAAAACACGGGCCCAGGGCGCGGCGGCGCTGCGCGTGGAAGACCGGGTCCAGCGCCGAGAAGACGCTCCGCACGCCGCCGCCGACATAGTAGCCCGGGTCCTTGAGGAAGCCGGACCGCGCCTTGTGCACCTCGCGCACCGCGCCGACGTCGCTGACGTCCACCTCGCGGGGGCCGAGCCGCACCACAGGTCCTGTAAACCGTTAACCCTTGCTCTGCTATTTCACGCAAGCAAAAATTGGCGGAGGAACTCGATGGTGTCATCACCTACCATATCTCTCGTGCAGCGAGTGGACATACGTCGCCTTGGACCCCGACAGCAGCCTGAGCTTGACCGGCAGATTCGTCCACCGCGACCAAAACGGGCCCGGGATGGACGACAACGGGTTCGTGACGACCCTGTAGAGCGTTTGCTAAAATCAGGCAGCAACGCCAAAGACAAGTCAAGCCATGTCAGCAGGCCGGAATTATCATGGACGGGGCAAGGGAAGCAAGTGGAATGTGATTAGGTGGGTGAAGGTAATTACCAGGATAAACAGCGCCAAAATCCCAACCACGGCTTGCGCCACGACAGACGACGGGGCCCAGTTTGGGATCTTACTGTCGGAGAACGCCATGGCCAAGGTAGCTGCTATTTCCGAGCGCCTATTGATCAATCAGTTAGTCTGCTTGCCGAAAAAAAGGCGGATTGTGTCGAATGTCAACAAAGGCAAAGTATCCCAGCACCAGCACCACAGGCCACCCAAATAATAATAATAATAATATCAAAGTTTTGAAAAGGAAAATCGAAACGCTGCACGCCCGCCTTACCCCTCGGGATGTTCGGGTACGAATGAACCGTCAGGACATGCGTGCGTGCAGCGGAAGACGCCTTACTGGTGGCCTGCCCGGAGTCACTCCCGGACTTACTTCGCACTCGCAGCGAGCCTACCGCGCCCGCCCCACGGCCCACGGCCAGATAGATGGACAGTCACGGCCGGAGCCAAGGAGTTTTGAACGCGAGGGCATGGAGCCATGGACTATCCCAGCCCATCCACAGCTCGGGTCTCTCTGTGGCTCGGTCGCTCAGGGGAAGAAAGGCACTGCTGCGCCTTTACTATTCGGCCGCGTAGCTGATTCGGAGGAGTAAACTGATTGGGAGGAGTTTGTGTAGTTTCAAGGTCTGGCCCAGCCGAGCGTCTCTCCGGCCTCGGGTTATGTTATCTTGCTGTAAATAGCCCTGCCTCAGGAGCAAGTCAGTCCAAGAAAAAAAACGCAGCGATTCAACACTGATAATCCCGTTTCCTCTGGAGGTCTGATTTTTCCCCGCTCACCATGGTTTATTATTGAACGTGTTTGAAAGAGAACGCGGACACGCCTAACCCGTCTAAACTGTAAACTCTCGGTTGTCGGCTACACAGCAGCCGGCCACACAGCAGCCGGCCACAAATCAGCCGGCCACAGCACTCATTCACACACCACATACCTGCACCTGGTGGCCGCACGCCGCCCTCGCCGTCCACAATGGCACAGTTAGACTCGCACAGTAGCAACCATGCGCTTTCAGCGGCCGTCTTCTGCCCACAAAACAAGCCGCCAACAGCACAATACATGTCGACCGTCCGCCGGCAGCTCCGCGGACACCCCCAGCTGCAAGGCTTCTGCCAAGCCATTCTCGACCTGCCATCGACATGGTCTATCTTTGCCCGCGCCAACGCCGACATCGCGGCCCTGGGCCCGTCAGCCTCAGACTACCCGCACCAGCTGCGGGCATGGCTCGCCGACGACGCGCCACTTGAAATCCCCGGCGTCATGTCGGGGATCCTGGCGCTGCCGCTGCTGACCATCATCCAGGTCGTGCAGTACTTCCAGTACCTGGGCTGGCGCGGGATCGGCCACGCGCAGTTTCTGCGCGAAATCAAGGCCGCCGGCGGGGGCGCGCAGGGGTTCTGCGGCGGGCTGCTGCCGGCCATGGCCGTTGCGGCGTCCAGGGACGAGGCCGAGGTGGTCGGCAATGCCGCGAGGGCGCTCCGGATAGCGCTGGGCATCGGAGCGTACGGAGAGCTGGGCGACGATGAGAACGAGCCTGGGCCGACGACGGTGGTCTTGCGGGCAAAGTACGAGGGGCAGGCGGGTGAAATTGTTGCCAGGTTTCCAGGGGTAAGTCCGTCGCTCCGTTGAGCACGTCTCCCAAACCAGCAATGAAAGAAAGGAAGGAAAGCGACGAGCACTAACAAGGTGCATCACCAGGCACACGTCTCCGCCATAACCGATCCGCTTTCCGTGAGCATCGTGGGCCCGGTGCGTGTTCTCGAGGCGCTCAAGAAGTCGGTAGAGACCGACGAAGGTCTCCCGGTGACCCAGGTAAACCTGCGCGGCAAAGTGCACAACCCGGAGAACCGGACGCTCTCGGCCGAGTTTTGCCGGCTGTGTGACGAGCACGACGAACTGCGCTTGCCCACGGCCGACGCCCTCTTGGTACCCGTCCGAGCGAACGCCACTGGCGAGCTCCTCGGCCATGGACCGCTGCCTCTAGCCCACGAGATCATATACAGCACACTTGTGACGCGGTGCGAGTGGCACACGCTGCTCCAGGGAATGTCGAAGCAGATCAAGGAAACGTCGAGCCGCACCACACACACGTTCGCCATGTTTGGCACCGGCCGCAAGAACTGTGTTCCTTCAGCAGCATTCGAGGAGAACGGCCTGTCGATAACGAAGCTCGACGTCATGCAGGCTGTGGCGGCGCCGCATCTGCACAAGTCCATCCTCAGCGTCGAGGGATATCCAAAAGACGCCATCGCCATTGTCGGTGCGGCCTGTCGACTTCCAGGCGCGGACTCGCTCGAGGACCTGTGGGAAGTGGTCAGCTCCGGCCAGTCCAAGGCCGCTCCGCTGCCGACAAGTCGGCTCGACGGAAACCTGGCATCCCGAGTGTCGCTCGACAGCAAGCGCCAGGGCACCACCCAGCAGTGGTGGGGCAACTTTGTGGAAAACATTGACGCCTTCGACAACACCTTCTTCGGCATCAGCCCGCGCGAGGCCCAGTACATGGACCCGCAGCAGCGCCTGCTGCTGGAGACGGCCTACGAGGCCCTCGACAGCGCCGGCTACCTGCGCCACCATAGACGCGACGACTTCGACAACGTCGGGTGCTTCGTGGGGACGACGTACGTCGAGTACCTCGAGAACACGACAGGGTACGGCGCTACGGCATACGCGGCACCCGGCACTATCCGCGCCTTCCAGACGGGCCGAATCAGCTACCATTTCGGCTGGAGCGGCCCCTCAGAGGCCATCGACACGGCGTGCTCGTCGTCTCTGGTCGCCATTCACCGGGCCTGCCGGGCTCTGCAGGCGGGCGAGTGCCCCATGGCTCTCGCCGGCGGCGTCAACCTCATCACCGGCATCCAAAACTTTTTGGACCTGGGCAAAGCAGGCTTCCTGAGCACGACGGGGCAGTGCAAGCCCTTTGACGAAGCCGCCGATGGATACTGTCGGGCCGACGGCGTAGGGCTGGTGGTCCTGAAGCCGCTGCGGCGGGCCGTGGCAGACGGAGACCACGTGCTGGGCGTGATCCCTGGCATCGCAACAAACCACGGCGGTCTATCGTCGTCTATCACAGTGCCATATTCTCGAGCCCAGACGGCCCTGTTCAAAAACGTCCTCGAGCGGACAGGACTGGCGCCCCACCACATCTCGTACGTCGAAGCTCACGGGCCGGGGACGCAGGTCGGCGATCCTATAGAGATCTCAAGCGTGCGCGAAGTTCTAGGCGGCGCGGCGAGACGCGGCGCCGACGAGCTGCTCAGCCTGGGCTCGCTCAAAGGAAATGTCGGGCACAGTGAAACGGCGGCGGGCGTTGGTAGCCTGCTCAAGGTCCTAGCCATGCTCCAGCACCGCCAATTGCCGCCACTGGCTGGCTTTCGCACCCTCAACCGAAAGATAGCCGCCCTCGAGCCCGATCGCCTCACCATCAACAGTGCTGGCATCCAACCCTGGACAGCCCCTTTCCGGGCTGCGCTCATCAATAGCTATGGCGCGGCTGGAAGCAACTCGGCACTCGTTTGCTCCGAAGCGCCACGTAGTAGCGAGTCGGTCACGAGCGTGTCAGTGCCCGGTAGCGGGAGTCCCCATGAGGAGCTCAGCTACCCCGTCTTTTTGAGCGCCGCAAACGCCGAGAGTCTTGGAATGAACGTGACAAAGCTCGCGTCCTATTTGCAAAGGACGGATCAAAGTATGGAGCCTCTCAGTATCGGAAACGTGTCTCTGACACTGTACGAGCGCCGAAAACACCACCACATGCGATGGGTAGGCACCGAGAGTGACCTGGGCGCCTTGTCTCAAACACTGGAACCAGAATCCGGCTCGGTCGCCAAGGGCATGTTTGAAGTTGCCTCGCAAGAGACTGTAAAACCTGTTGTTCTCGTCTTCTCCGGCCAGTCCAGGCGGAACATTCAGCTCAACCGTGACTGGTACCGCTGGTTTCCCCGCCTGCGCTTCCATCTCGAGAGATGCAACGACATCGTCAAGAGCCTCGGTCACGACGCCATCCTCCCCCACGTGCTTTTCCAGTCGGAGCCCGTCTCGGACGTCGTTGCCCTGCAGTGCGGCACGTTTGCCGTGCAGTTTGCTTGTGCGCAGACGTGGATCGACGCTGGTCTCAAAGTGGAGGTCGTCGTGGGCCACAGCTTTGGCGAGCTTACAGCCATGGTGGTCTCGGGTGTCTTGTCCCTGGAAGACGGGCTCCGGTTGGTGTCGACAAGAGCCTCGTTGATGAAGGAGAAATGGGTCCCCGAGCGCGGGACCATGCTTGCCATCCACGCGGCCCCTGCTGTGGTCGAACATGTCATCGTCGCGGTCTGCGCTGCCGACCCGATGGCGGCCGGGCGCTTGGAGATTGCCTGCTTCAACGGTCCTGCAAGCCAGGTCGTGGTAGGCTCGGCATCTGACATAGAGCGAGCGGAGCAGGTACTCGGCCACGATCCGCGATTCGGGCCTGTCAAGTGCCAGCGTGTAGACGTCAGTCATGGATTCCACTCGGTCTTCACCGAGTCCATCCTGGAGGATTTGGAGGCCTCGGCAAGGGCGTTGACCTTCAACCCTCCAGTCATCCGCCTCGAGACGTGCACAGAGACGCCGCTCGACTCGATCAGCCACGGCCGCATCGCCAAGCACACGCGAACGCCCGTCTTCTTCAGCCAGGCCATTGCTCGCATCGAGGAACGGCTCGGGTCTTGCATCTGGCTAGAGGCTGGAGCCGACTCGCCCATCATTTCCATGACGAAGAAGGCCGTGCAAAACGCGGGCGCCAACCACGTCTCTGTGTCGCTTAGATCCAGCGAACCGCAGCACAAGACTGCGTTGGCCGCTGCCACTGCCGCTCTCTGGCGAGAGGGGGTTTCTGTCTCTTTCTGGCCTTTCATCACCCCGGCAGACTCGAGCCTCCGTCCCGTATGGCTGCCGCCGTACCAGTTCCAGCGCAAGCGCCACTGGCTTGAGTGGATCGACCCAGTCGACCAAGCGCGGAAAGCAGGCCTCGCCAGCCACGGGGAGCAGAATCCGCTCCTGCAGGGCAGGACCGCCGCCCCGGCCGCTCTAGTGACGCCGCTAGGCACGCTTTCGGACTCGTGGGCGTCGCTGCAGTTCACGCTGCACACGACGACGCGACGGTTCACCGACATCGTGTCGGGTCACGCCATCCGCGGCCTCCCGCTCTGCCCAGCCTCCATGTACATGGAGGCCGTGGTCATGGCGGCGCAGCAGATCAAGCCCGAGATCGGCTTCCAGGCCTTCCAGTTCGAGCACATGACATTCCCGGGGGCTCTCGGGCTCGACCCAGACCGCCACGTCGTGCTGACCATGGAAGGGGCGGGCGAGTACCTGGCGTGGAAGTTCTCCTTTGGCAGCAGCAACCCACAGGCCAAACACGCTTCCGCGGCCAGGGGCGCGGTCGGGAAAGCTGCCGCCGCCGCCGCCACCGCTACTACCACCACCCACGCCAAAGGCGGCTTCAGCGTCGCGTCGCGCGCCGACCTGGGCCTCTTAGAGCGCGTCGTGCATGAACGCATGGAGGCTGTGCTCGCAGACCCGCGGGCCGAGCGGCTGGGGACGAGACGCGCGTACGCGCTGTTCTCGCGCGTTGTCAACTACAGCCCGCTGCTGCGCGGCATCGAGAGCATCACGATGCTAGGCGGCGAGCATGCGGTGGCGCGCGTGCGGCAGCCGCAGGTCGACCGGCAGCCGGAGCAGGGTTCGGAGAGCACGGCCGCGCGGGTGTGCGACACGATCGGCATCGACACGTTCATCCAGGTGGTCGGGCTGCTGATGAACAGCGGCGAGGGGTGTCCGGAGGACGAAGTGTTCATCGCGACGGGCATCGACCGGATCTTTGTGCAGGACTGCGACTTCGCGGGCGTCGACGAGTGGGACGTGTATGCCACGTGTCTGACGCGCGGAGGCAGAGACGGCCGAGAGGTCGCCGGGGACTTGATGGTGTTCACGCGCGGAGGAAGGCTGGTGCTGACGGGCTCGGGGATCCGCTTCACGCACTATCCCATCGCCAAGCTTGAGAGGCTGCTCGAGAAGACTTCGACTGCGAGTGCTTCCAAGAAGACGTCGGCTGCGATCGGCGGGGGAGGCGACAGGCGCGTCCCTGCCATTTCGACAGCGGCATCAACCCTCCCAGGTCCGGGACATGTAGCAAGACACCACGACCAAGGGGAAAAGACGTTGGTGGGCGAAGAGTTGTTGTCGTCGACGGCAGATGCAAAGTTCAAGCTCGGAATGCGGGGCTTGGATTCGATGATGACAGTCCGGCTCGCTGGACAGCTGAAGCAGTCAATTGGGGGTGGGGCGGCAGGGCCCAGGGAGAGTGGGCCCCTCACGCTAGCTACAGCAGACATGAGGCTCCACCAGCACCAAGAACCCCCCCAGCTTACCCCGCCAAGCTCCAGCCCCAGCGACGACGGAGCGAGCCACGGCAACGGCAACCTCCAGCACGCTTCGAGCGACGCCTGGGCCATGCGCACGCGGCAGCGGCTGCTCGAGCTGATCTCGGAAAACAGCGGCGCGCCGCCGACAAGTATCCATGACAGTGCGAGCCTGCAGGATATCGGCCTCGACTCCCTATCTCTGATGGAGCTCAAGTCGTCGGTCGAGGATACGTTCGTCGTTCAGCTCGGCCACGACGACCTGCACGCAATGTCCACCGTTGCCGACATGCTCGACCTGCTGCGTCCGAGCGGACAGATGGATGTGCTTGTGGTTTCTTGACACGCCACGTTCTGCGGCCCTCACACAAAGCATAAAGCGTCACATGCACAGACACGAGGAGGGAGAAATGCAACGATTGTGCCTAACTACCTCTCAAGGGGGTTAGGTGATGTATGATAGAAGAAAGACAACGCATAACCGGGGCAGGGGGGACGCAATAACTTATAGAACCCCTTTCTTTCTCCTTTCTGAACCAACCTAGGGGCAAGGGGGGAGGCCCAACCGGCCATGGAAATAGAGTGGATTATTCCTTATGAAGCCTGAACCGCTCTCCCCGACGGTAATTTCATGTGTATACGGTTAGGATTGGCTGTTTATAGCCTTAGAAAAGGGGGTCCGTAGGGTCGTGACTCTGAGACATCCCTTCGTCGTCTCCGACCAATACGAGTCCGTAGCCCAAATCTGTCCATAAGGATGAAAGAAAGAAGTATGGATTTAAACTCCCCGCCCCCGGAAGCACCGATTGTGTGCTGTGATAGCTATGAAAGAGAGGCCGATGTTCTACCATGACCTTGATGAAAGGGGAAACCCGTGTTTGGGTAAGCTTTATTATGTGTGTGATACAGTAAAAAAAGGTTTAAGAGGACGTCAGCCTCTGAAAAGGGTTCGATCCCTTCTCTTGTTGTTGGTCATTTTTGGAGTGTATAGTGTTATGTGAGCTAACCGACGAGCAAGCTTCCTCAAGATCGCTCGCCTAGTAGCCGCCCCGGTCCGGCTAGTCGCTCAGCAGTTCCGTACGCTGCGAGTAGCTATACTCAGAAGAATCATTGGATTCCACATGCCTATCAGATACAAAGTCGATTTCGGCCACAGGGGAAGACGCGGGACCGATAGGCTCAATGGAGTTGAGGGCGCCGAGCGCCGGGCTCATCGACGGGAATCATGACCTTGACTGGGACGACAGTGGCCTTCTTCCTTGGATGGCCGACTTTCTTGCCACCGCGATGCTTCGGGGTACGACGGGGCTTGGGAGTGTCGGTGGTCTCTGGCTTCTTGCCCTTGGGCTTAGATATCTGCAGTAGCTTAGTGACTGGCTTAGGGGCAACGCCGGGGCCGAGCTGCTTGGGCGCGGCCTTGGGTTCTTGGCGCCACAGGGGTTGGGGATTGTCGCGGTTCTTACGCACGCAGCTCGTGCAGTATGCGGCGGGGCGGACGATGACCTGAAAGGGGTTGTACATGGCCTTGGGATAGAAGCCTTCGTCGAAGCACTCCTGACAGTTTGCACAGCGGTCCGGGTGCTGAGTCTTGCGGGTGTGGTCGATGGTGGTACACGTGGCCCTGGTGGCGGTGTCGCCCGGCAGCCAGTTTGACAGGTTGCTGCCCATGGTCAGCCGGAAGATGTCGTTGCCGAACATGGGGCACCGTTCCGACAACGAGAGGAACGCATTGGAGCCATCCTTCTTCGTCTTGAGCAGCCGCTCCCGGCCGGCCCAGACAAAACTAGACAGCAGCGACTGGAGGCGCGAAGGGCGCAGGACCTCGGTGTATGCCTCCGAAATGACCTGAATAAGCTCCTTAATGTACTGCTCGTGGCCGTCCAACTTCTCATTGATGATGCCGCTGCGGCCCGACATCTTGATGTCGTAAGAGCAAAGCTGGCGGAGCTTCTCGTCGCAGAAAACACCCAGGAGATCAAGTGCGTCGTCAAACAGCGGCTCAAGCTCGAAGGCCTCTCCAAGGGCGAAGAGATTGGCATATTGGGTGAAGGATACGTTGGTCTCCTGGATCCAGCTTTCATCGAGGACTTCAGGCGAGAGTTTGAAATTAGCTCGGCGCATCACGAGATGGAACAGGCAGGTCATGTGCGACTAGGGTGAGGGGTGAGGGGGCAAGGACGGAGATAAGAGTTTAGACGAGAGCGTATCCGGTTTTCCTACCGCCCGAATAGATGAAGTGGAGGAGCGTGTTGATGTCCTTCTCTTTGTGGTTGTGGAGGTTCACAACGTTAGTCTGTCCCTTCTGTTTTCACGGTGCTTTAGCTTACAATGCCCGCATGATGCCCATAGCAGTCGAGGATATTCCATCAGCACAGGCTCTACATACCTGATATTGGTCTGCGAAGGCCTTCAAAAACCACTTGCAGCGCGTGCACAAGATGGTCTTGTGCACCTTCCATTTGTGTTTGGCGCACATGATTTCGGCGTCGGCGAAGTTGCCCGACTCGAGCAGGCTGTTCGACGTGGAAGGAGGGCCCAAATATTAGCTCAGAACAAACCAAGGACCAGGCGGATATGCCTTGAGCCCGTCAAGATGGGCGTGGTTAACCCACAGGAGGTCGTTCTTGCCAAATCTGCCCTCTGCTGGTGAGGGTTCCATGGTCACTACAAGTGCGTCTGTGGAAGGTGTTGCTTGAGGAAAGGGAAGGTTGAGCCTAAATTTTAGATGCCTGCTAAAATAGAAGCAGTAGAAATTAGTCGCAGGGTCCTGGAGCCATCCAAGAGCCTTGTTGGGGCACCTGAAACCTGTAGCATGAGTTATAAGGCCTAGGGACCGGCCTGGGGGGCCGTGGATATGTCCCGAGCTCTCAGGCAGCGAGATGGAGGGATAAGGTAGTAAGGGAAAGGTGTCTAGTGATGAGAAAAGGCAAATTGGATGGGTTCAGAGCGTGTGGTGTTTGGTTCAAGGGCCTGAGATACCACTCGATTCGTGAGGCCGTTTTAATCATCTGCGGCATGAACAAGCAGGCATGCAGGTGTGCAGGCGGATGGCGTTGTTGGTTTTGAAGCCAAAGAAGAGCTGGGGATAATCTAGGAAGGAGCGCATGCCTTTGATGCAGCCTCGAATGCTTTTTCTGGCGCTACGTGAGGTTCTCGCAGAAAAAGTTGGTAAACGTGAAGGCGGGAGGGCGGTAAGGTGAGCTGCTGACGAGCTGCTGATTATAGGGTGCTAGAAAATTAGAGACGGACCTGGATCTGTGTGCTGCTCTCGAGGCTTCAGAGCCGAATCGGGCAGGCACGAGTGAATGAATGGGCAGGCGAACACGAGACGTTTGAGGGCGAGGCTTGGGGGTGGCACTTATTGAATTAGGTTGTGCACGTGCAATCACGCTGGACCAGAATTGAGCGACGTGATCGGAGCTAAACAAAAATTGGGTAATACCTTTTGTGGAAGGTACGAGGGAGCTGTGTGGGAGCAGTTTTCACGCAGGTTTAAATGTGCACTTTGGCGGTCGAAGTCATCCCTCGGCAAGCCATTCTGGTGAAATGGGTCGTCTCCAATCTCTAGACTCGCCGCGAGCACATGGTGCGCTGCTCCTGAAACCTAACTTTATACAGCCAGTTCAACTTGGCTTCGGGATTCAAAATTGTGTCAGCGTAGTGTATTCGAGATGCGGGCTGTGCATATCATTTAATGTAGATGCAAACGAATCCAGCAGCGCGTCAGTTGGTTGATGATAAGTGGTGTCAAGAATGTGGAAGCTGACCGGTTGAGAGATGGTCTTAGCTCATCTGTCATTGATCATCGATAGAATAGGTCTAAACATGGAAGAACTAATCCCTACACCTAAGATGTCTACTCTAAGATCAAACATTAAGGCTGTAGGGGTGGAATCGAGATACAAGCTAGAATGAATCACGCCCACCCCAGGCTGTTGCCCTTTCTTTAATTTGTACAACACCATCGCATCTTAGACAATCCAGCCGAGGGCTACCTGCTAGAATTAGAGGTCTTGGATAGATCTTAGGAAGCACGCTTAAATTGTCTTCTGCCTATCGGAGCTGTGCATAAAACTTACCAGATCATCCAAATACATCCCTGAGCTGTCAAAATGGCAACTCAGACTATTTAAAGGCCTGTCCAAACCATCGAATGGCCATATCAACCACGTAATCAAATAAGAGAGTGAGTGGGAGAATTTCCACCAATAAGATTGTGGCTGCTTCTGTGGGTGCAACTCTACTGGCAAGTCGTGAAGAGGTCAGGGGTTATCCTGAGCTTCTGTGGACTGAGTCTTAGGAAGAAGAGAGGTTCAAAACCGGTCTTCAAGGAGACTACGGCCGGGTCTAACAGAAGGACTTCTCAACCGGCCTATTCCGGACCAAAGGAATGAAGAGAGAAGAAAACTAAATCAGAAAAAGGAAACGTGTAGTTAATTATATGAAAGCGTGAAGTCTTTTTTCCGCGTCCCTTCCATGCAGCAACCAAAGGCAAAAACACTTCTTCTCTATTTCAGAAGGCATTAGCAACATGCTAGAGTTATTAATCACAGGCACTGATGTCGCTTCTAGAAGTCTGTGACGTCCTCTCCGGAAGGCGGCTCATTGCACACCGCGCTCAGCAAAGGGATAAATCGAGTGAGTAGGTGCCCAACCTAGTTGGCATCCAATAACAAAGCCTAGTACGAACGGGGAACCTGGCTCTTGCATAACGATAAATGAAGGAAACGGACCTCAAAAGGGGAAACAGCAGGGAGTGGTCGATACAAAGGTAAATAAATCGCGGTGAAGAGGCTGCCCCCGATGGGAAAGGGGCAGAATAACAAAGGCTGGCCTGAAACGGATAAAATCGAGCAATATTTCGATCCGAGCTGGACAGACACATTTTGAGGCAAGAGACACACCGTCTCTATCTCTTCTGAAGCCCGCTTTTACACTATGCTCTGCAGCAGCTATATAGTAAGTATCCGGTGAGGTTTATAGCAGCACAAAAAAAATCACCCCACCCACCAGATAAATCATGTCTAGACAGGTACCGGGTAGTCTCAGTACATTGGCAACCTAATACGCATGGGTCGCTTGAAACATGGCTAGCGATGCGTTGGGTCTCTAGCTAGCTTTCACAGCGTCACAAAGAGGCAGTAAAATGGAAAGCCGACAATTAAGTGGTCGCGTCTTTCAGTTTCATTTACTAAACACCAATCTTCTAGTCCCGCTTCACCACCCACCTCACCCCTTCTCTGCCCTCACCGCCCCAGGTTATTAACAACGCTGCCGACCATGACGGCGACCTCGCGCTCCCAGTGGCCGGCGGCGGCGACGCCCTCGGCGGCCGTCTTGGTCTTGCCCTTTGCGCCGGCGGCCACGGCGCTGGGCAGCTGGCTGCCCCGGACGACGCAGTCGCGGATGGCGTCGGCGACCGCCTGGCGGTTGGCGCGCAGCGTGCGCGCCGCGGCGCCGCCCTTGCCCGCGATCTCGTGCACGCGCGACGCCATGCTGCTCGCCATGGTGCGCCAGAAGTAGCTCGCCAGCGACCCCGTCTCGAGGAAGGCCAACAGCGGCTGCAGTAGGTTGCCGCTCTTTTCTGCGGGTGCTGCTGCTCCCGCCGCGGCGTGCTGCTGTTGCTGGGCCGGCGGGGCTGATGTTGCGGCGAGGAGCGGGTGGACGGGCGTCCTGGTGGTCTCGAGGACGGCCTCGAGGGCGACGACGTTTTGGCAGCGCGCGCTGACCTCGGCGAGGGCGCGTTCGAGGCTCGGGAGCGTAGCCAGCGCGCGCGACAGGCCAGCGATGCTGCTCTGCAGAGCCGTGCGCAGGTACGCCTCGAGCGCCTGCAGCATGAGCGTCGGCGCCCACTTCTGGCCCTTGGCCAAGTCCGTCGGCGAGAGCAGGTACAGCGTCGTCAGCGCCGAGATGGTCCGCGCCCGCGCCTCCTCCGACTGCGCAAACGTCGCCGACCCCAACGCCGTGCCGACCGAGAACTCGCGGATCAGCCGCTCGGCCGTCTCGCGCACCGACCGCTCCGTGGGGTTGACGACAGCATCGCGCAGGGACCGCACAGCGTTGACGCGATCAATGCCGAACCCTTCAGCATCGGCGGTGTTGGCCGACGACAGAAGCTCGCGGAGGGATAGGAGCGTGTGGGCGCATCGGACGAGAGCGCGGTGGTCTTCTTTGGTCCGGGAAGCGGAGGAAGGGGGGGCTGTGGGGTTCGTGGCGCCGGCGGACGACGAGCCCGCCAGCTCGCCATGCTGGACCTCGAGCTGGCGACCTAGCTGTAGACACCTGCCGACGGCACGGCCAAGCCGCAATGTGTCCCACAGACGCGAGGCGACGTGGCGCACTTCGTCGGCCTCGGCATGTTTCTGGATGACCTCCTTCTCGAGCTGCTTGTAGCTGTCGTTGAGGGCGCGGATCTGCGTGTCAATGTCGGTGACAATGCGGGTGCTGGAATCGGTCTGCTCCTTGGTGTAGGAGAGGAGGGGCACGGCGGAGCGACTGGTGAGGACGTCGATGTGGGAATCGATCTCTTGGATGTCGAATAGGACGCGCGACAGGGGCGTCGAGAGGTCGAGCGGCGCGTCGTTTGGGTTGTTCGTCGCAAGCACCAGCGTGTTGGCAAACGCTGGCGGGCTGAAGGCGGGATCGAGGAAAGTCTCGTAGTCAATGTAAGACGGCTCGTCGCCGTCGTCGACGTTGCGGGCGCTCATGGTGTCTGGGGTGCCCGAGTCGGGGGGCCACGCGCTACGGTGTGCCTTGGAGCAAATTCTGGCCCACCCATGTCTTTGCACGCTGTTGCTGCGTGGCCTGTGCGTGCATACTAAGCCCGGGCAAGTTTTATCCACAGGGCTGCCCAGGCTGCAGTTCCCCGCAATCGGGGTGGATAGACCAGTGAGCAGCCCCCGACTAAGTGAGGTCATTCCATTGCCGGGAGATTCGGAGTTCAAACCTCCAGTGGGGCAGGTGGGTAGGTGGCATTTGAACCTGAGCTGGGTTTGTTCCTCGAAGAAACATCCAAAGAATACCGGTTCTCAAGCACAATAGGCAAATTCATCAGTGTGTACCAAGAGACATTTAATGGCCGGTTTATTTTCTTGTTTGGTTCTTGAGAATTCGTGTGGCAAGGACCGAGTCGTCAGGCATTGCAGCAATTGCAGGTCAAGGGTCCTCAGTGATCCGCAGCACCGAGTTACCCGCAGCTACCAGCTCCGTTCTCAGTCAGCGGCGTCCCCGCTTGAGTGATTAAAATTCTCTTGGCGCCACTCAATGCCGTCGTTTCCGGGGGAGATTTATCAAGCCACTGCATCATAACACCAAATTCTCGGGCTCGGGCTTTCACCCGTGTCCAGCTTCAATCGCGAATTTTGTCTGTTATTCCTCGCCCATTATACTTCGAATCCCTCCCGTCGCACCTGCTCTGCTTGGTGTCGCCGGACTGGGAGATCTGAGGACTTGGGCCCTCTAGCGATGCGCGTCGCCAATTGCGTGTCTGTTGTTCGTCGATAGCGACTCGCCTCGACCGCGACAACACCCCGATCGCATTCGAGCCTTCTTCTCGACGCCATTCGGCCCATACTTTCCCCCCCGCCGCCACCATGCCTTTTTTCAACGCCCGCGACATCATCTCGATGCCGGGCGGGGACAATTCGAGCGACACGTTGATCGGGAATGTCCACTTTAACAAGACGACGCTCGACTTCTGGAACTACACGCTGTACTCCAACAACACGCTGTCCAACGGGTCGTGGTGCATCCTCACCTTCCCCCCCTACACGCCGTCGCTCGTCGAACCCAATGGCACCTTTGTGAATGTGACGTATTGCTACTCTGCCGTAAACCCCATCGGACTGCGCTCCGGCATTGGCGTCGGCTTCGCGGCCCTCTTTGGCTTGATGCTAATCCCAACACTGGTCAACCTCAACAAGCATGGCAAGTTGTATCTGCCTGCCGAACGGCGCTTCCAACCTGTCGGGAGGAGATGGCAATGGTACTGGGGCGCTATCGTCAGTGCCACCGCTCTGATCAGCCTGCTCACCAACATCGACGTCGACCGCTACTATCTTCCCGAGCTGCCCATCGTGCTCACCTCCTTCTTCTGGTATATCATGCAAATGTGCTCCATGGCCCTTGTCTGGGAAGCCGTGCGTCATTGGGGCAGCTGGATGGAGAGGCAGTTTATCGATCCGAACCCTTTTATACTTCCTCAAAACGACAAAAGATCGAATATTGAGTTCTGGCTGCCTTTGGTCTTCTACTTCTGGCTCTGGCTGGTACGTTTCTCGCCGAATTTTCCGAACGCGTGCAAAGAGGGTGCAAACTAACAGAATATTTTGTCACCGAATTAGAACTTCTTCTTAATCGTCCCTCGCAACTGGGGGCGGATCGAGCTGCAGCGATATCCGCAACAGATCATCGACGAGGCAATCCCCGCCGCTACTGACGGCCGCTTCAAGGCTGCCGCATTTGTGATGGTTGTCTGCTGGCTCATAATAGCCTTCTTCCTGCGCCACGCGATTAAGCACTACAAGGAGCGGAACCGCGGTATCATCAATCGCTTCATCGGCCTTATCCGCTTCATGCCGATCAGGTTCCGGCTACTCCTACCCCTCGCCGCCGTGATACCAACCTATCAGGCAATGGTTGCATGGGAATTTTCTTGGAGCCCCATGAACGTTCATGGCAATAATGCTGCTATTTACGGCGGAGGATATGCGCCATCCCTTCTGATCCTGGTTATACAGGCCGTGTCCGGTTTTATGCGGCCAAACGAGGACCGCGAGCTGCAACGCCAGCGTCGTGAGAGAGGCACCGCCATCGACCGCGAGATCGGCATCACGCATAAGCCGGCGTGGTGGCAACGTGCCAGGGCCGACTTCAACGCCAACGAGACCATTCGCGAACGCATAGCACGCAATGTGCGCGAGGTCGGCGGCGGGAAAGCGACGGCCCGCAACCTAGATCACATTGTCGAGGCACGCAGCGCCAGAGAGGACCGCGAACAGAACAACGGCGCCGCGGCGGGCGAGTCGGTCGAGATGGATTCCATGCCGCCTCGCCCGCTCTCGCTGTCCCAGCAGGCGACCGACCTCTTGGGCCCCATCGCCCCGGGTGACTTCGAGCGCGCCCGGAACGTTGCTACCCTGTACGGCGGCAGATCGGAGCGGCGGCGGACCGAGACCGCGATGGCTGCCGCCGCAGGGGTTCTGTTCCCCGCCGGCAGCAACGAGGCGGCCGCAGCAGCCGCCCGTCGGCGCGCAGAGATCACCATGGATGGGCCGCCGCCGCCGCCCTATGCGGATAGAGGGCGGCAGGGCGCCGGATCGAGGTCGACGGCAGCGCGGAGCAACAGCACCGAGACTATTAACAGCATTAACCAGCCGCCACAGCAAATTAAGAGCATGCTGGACGTTTGAGCTATGGTGCATCCGCATGTTAATCCGGCACTCCCTCATCTATCTTCCACGACTCAACCTTCAGATGGTCTCTTATCTCTACTGCGCAACCAACCAGCAACGGTTGGGGGAACATGAATAACAGAAGTGACAGCCGGTCACTGATCTTGTTTCCCGCCGCGCTTGTTGGGTACCACCTGTACACCTCCCATTTCCCCCTCTCATAAGGAGCCATCCACCATCTTATTATAGGCGGCGTTAGAGAAGGTGTTGCGCGCGCCATTATTTACTGGTTCACCGAAGCGAGCAGTCGCCGGAGAAAATTTCCCCAAACCTTTCAGGTTTACCGCCATGAAATAATATCTGGTAGGCGTATAACGAACGACATCTACTCTCGCTCAGCCCATCTATGGCAGAAAAAAAGGGGAACTGAAAAAGACGAGAGGCGGCACGAAGAGGACTCTGACTTTTATGCGAAACGAAACGAGATAATTGTTTTATGCCTTAACTTCATGTACAACCTACACTGCCTATCTAACCTACTACCTACATACCTACCTGTCTTCATTACTGCTATAATCGTACCTATCTAGACTTTTTATGGAATATATAACTCCTTGCTTATTTCTGGCAGCCGCCTGTGTACCTGAATCTATTCTAATTTTTATGGCGCCCCTGGTATTGTTGCGGGCATTCTATATGCGTGTTGCAAATGTCAAAGCATGGATTACAGACCAGCGGCGATAACCATACCATCCGGGCATCAGGCAGCAAGCAAATCCACAGTCGGCCACTCACTTCTGTCCGTACCGTGTCTTGGCTGTCGCTTTCTGCGTCTGCGTCTTCCCCTGAAGAAGGGCCCGGAGTAATGGTACCTAGGTACCCTATTGCCTTGCATGTTTTTTCGACTCCTTCGAAGCGCCAGGGGCCGTTGGGGTTGGTCCGAAGACGCGAGCCGCAAGCTTGTGTCCTTCCTTTTAGAGGGGTTGGTACAGTACATACATGGGTCGACCGCTCAAGGCTCTGTTTCTCTGGCCCCCTCCTTTCCGATCTTTTAATCACATACCTAGTCTTCGGAAGCTTCGGGTTTCCTTGATCTTCCAGGTAAGGTACCACCTAGTCAAGATCTAGTCTTCGCTGTGCATGCAGAACGTCAGACTGTCGCACTCCGAGCAATGAATGACATGGCAGTGGAGTCGGGCAAACACGGCGACAATTGTGAAGAGGTTCATTTAATTCATTGCCATCTATAATATCACCACGGCGCCCAATGCAACCCAAGCCGTCAGCCGCCCCCGAACCCGCATCCGTGACTCAAGAGCAAAGGAAAAGGACTGTGGTGGTTGCAGACAGCGCTGTGAGAGAAAGAGAGGAATAATCATTGGGTATCAAGCCCACAGACATGCTAAGCCAGCCAATCCAACCGCCAGAGTGTGATTTCCACAAAGAATTCTCCCGGCTCTGCTTCTCATACCCGCCCCTGGCTTTGCCTGATGGGCGTACGAACAACGAAGAAAGGAAACAAAAGGAGGGCAGCGCCCGGTGAGAAGAGGGCGAGGAGCTGCTTTCCGCGCCCAGCTTTCGTTAGTCATATCGTCGTCATTCGTGGCAACCCATCCCATCCATCAACCGTACAGCCATTAACAGCCCAGCCACCGCACGTAACCACCCCACCGCCTTCCCCGAGGGTATCCTTCCCATTGCATCATTGGTCTGGTTCCACTGTTGTGTCGTAAAATAGAAAAGGTCGTAACGTGTCATAACCAAGAAAACACAAAAAACGTGAAAGAAAAAGCCATCTAGAATCCAGTGCCGTGACATGTTGCTCGTATACTCCTTGGAATAACCCAAACCGACACCAAGACGAAAAAGAGTGGTAGAGATGAGATGACGGTTTGCGTATGCAGCGAGTGTAGAATGAGCTGAGATGGTATTAAATGCTAGTATGTCGCAAGAACGAGTGTTCGTGGGTGTATATCCTGAAAGCCGTGATGATGCAGCGAGTGTCGATGTCGATGAGATGTGACTGGTATCAATTGCAAAAAAAACCCGATATGCAAACCGCCCGCTGGAAGCCAAAGACTGTATCGTATCGCCTAAGCCCTGAAAGGAATGTTGACTCGAGGGGACACCCGAAAAAACGAACAGAAAGGATCAATAGTCATCATTCATGTGAAGCCGTGTTAAGAGGACAGGCTCTCACTTGACTGCTTCCGCGGAGGTGACATGTGCGAAGCTGTACGTCGGAAATATGTGCAAGAATAGATAGAAATCTTCCTTGTTGGCATAGGCATAGGTGGGCGAAGTAGCTCCGCCCGCAGTCAGTACGCAGTTGCGGTCGAACCTTCGCTGGTTGCCACAGCCACGAGCGCTTCCAGCCGCCTAAGAGAATCGGGGTTTCCCGTGGGGTGAGGCCGTTCCATAATTCGTTCCATGCGCTCAATGCGTTCCATTCGCTCAATTCCCTGTCCAGGTTGTTGGTGGAGAACAGGCTGCTGGTCCCGGGAAGGAAATCCTTGAAAGGCATTGACGTTGGGGTGAACGATGCGGTCCACATGAGCACGACCTTCGTGGATCGTCTCACTTGCCGGGTGAATAGTCACCGGTCCATGGTACCACCCGTGCCTCTTAGACTCGCGTGGGGTGCTGATGGACGGAGCCGACATGGTGTGCTGATGCCTGCTGCCTAGCATCGGGGGCCCGTTCGACGGCGGCATCGAGGGAGGGGCCCGACCTGGTTTAACATCTGCTTCGAATCGAACCGTTGGCTGAAGCGGCCCCGCACGAGCCTGATCCGCTTGTGCGAGGACCGCTTGTTGGGTATCGTTCGCCCACGATCTGGCACCATCTCGCGGGGGGGTGTTGATGTCGAGCCTTGTTAGTCCGCGGTGCAAGCCCATATCCCATTGCGCGGCTAGGCCCCGACGCTCATCGGAGCCCATATCACCGGGTGGCAGGAGTATCGTGGGATTTGATGGCTCCGAGTCGATCATCATGGGCGAGGGATTGCGCCTGGGAGGAGTAAGGGGGCGGTGGGGGACGGGGTCGAACGATTCAATGCCTGGGAGACGCAACGGCTGTTGCTGCTGACTGCCGGGATTTGCGATCGGGAGTGATACGGGGGCCGGGGGGAACTGAGACGACGTAACAACTTGATTCAATCTGCTTGCCCCGTTGTAGTCGCGGGTGTCCGGATGCCAGGTCCGGCGGCGCCACGCCTCATCGGCCGCACTGGACATGGAATCTCGTCTCGACCACCCCGATGTCGAGACTGTCGGCGAAGACAGCAAGCTGCCCTGCCCAGGAGAGAAGGCACCGCTGTTGGATGCGTTTAGTCCTGAGGGGCCAAACAGGGGACCTCTAACGCTGGCGCCATGCGGCGACTGGAATGGGTTCCCTCCAGAAGGCACACTAAGACGACGGCCCGGTGTTCTCGAGCCTGCATACATGCTGTGAGATCTAGAGTGGGATGAATTGGGCGACGCAACACCCGAACCCCACCGGGGGCTATTCTGACCAGTCGAGAACGTGGCAGACGTGGGCGTGCTGAAATCGCTTGGTGATGGGGGGCGGTAGAACTGCCCGTCAGCGCTGCGATATGACTCGAGCGATAGCCTCGATCGCGGGTCCGCCATCACAAGAGGGGGTGGCCGTCGACGGGCCTCGTTAGCACTGTAAGCGGAGTTGATCGAGCTCACGCTCGCGATGCTTGAGGTGGAGAGCGACTTGGAGTGGCCGCGACCGGTCGGTCCAACGCTGCCTGCCGTTGAGGCCCTGGCTCGGCCGCCAGGCTGGCGTACCCTGTCGGTCCGGATCTGCCTTTGGAATCGTGTGCCAGTTGCTGCGAGAGAGTCAATCGGGATATCTTCGTTTACATGCACTGTCTGCGCATGCTGTCTCAGGTTGTCGAGTCTCGAGAAGCGCCGCGAGCAGTGACATTGGAACGGTCGCTCGCCCGTGTGTTTTCTAAAAGGGGTTCTTGTCAGCGATGTTGTCCAGACAGTAGATGAAAGCCGTCACGGTCGCAACGTACCTGATGTGCCTGGCCAAATGCTCGCTTCTGGTGAAGCTCAGGTTGCATGGCGGATAGTCGGTGCAGTAAAATCGCTGCGACTTCTTTTTCTTGGATTTTGTCCCGTCCGCGTTGACGCTCTCGTCGTCGGATGCAACGTCGTCGCCTGCAATTCCCTCGCCATCCGAGTCGTCCATGTCCATATCGTCCGAGTCCTTGGATTTCCTCGAGTGTTGCGAGTTTTCCCTCTTAGGTAATAGGCTCTTTTCTGTGGGTTCTGGGACCTGAATCGACTCTGGGAATGGCGAGGTCGGAAGCGGCTTCTGCGACGCGAGTGCGCTTGAGCTGAAGCTCGCTCGGGTGGGCGTCGCGGCATCGTCTACGGGCTGAGGGGGCTGAGGGGGTTGGCTAGAGGTGGGCGCCATCGGTAACGTTTTTGTTTCCTCCTTGATAGAGTCGGGCGCCATCAGCGGGGTGTTGACTGGGCGAAATGCGGCAGCCATGATGGAAGGGCGTGTTCTCGAGAAATGCGATGCAAGAGTGCAAATGGATGAGAGACTGCAGGCGAGGGGGCCAGGGTAGATATGTGGACAGCCTGATGAGGCTGAGGCTTTGAACAGTCGGCGGCAGGGGTAAAGTGCGGGGGGGGGGCACCAGCCGGAGGGTGTCTGGGAAAGATTGAAACTAGGAGCAAAAGGGAGAGGTCGGAGCGGAAACGGGACGGAGAGAGGGGGAGAAGGTCGCAGCGTCGGCACCGTTCATTCGAGCAGAACTCTAGCGGAAGGTTGTTTGCGACTTAACAGGGACACGATCGCACGACTAGAGTAAAAAGGCTGGTGAGGATGGTGATGCCTGCGAGCGAACAAAAAAAACGGTCGCTGTGCCCTATGTCGTATCCTGTGCCTTGGGGGGTCTACAGTACCTTAGGTTCCGGGTTCCAGGTGGGGATCTGAAGGCGGCACAGACACAGGCTGAACTGAAGCGAGTCGATCAGAACAAACAAACACAACTCCCGCGTATTGTGCTTGGAGCTGGAGTGGCTGGCGGGTGATGCGAAATGCGCCAAGTGCCTGGAGAAAAAGCAGGTCCGGGGCAAAAGGGGAGGATCGAGGCTGGCGAGGAGGCGGGTCTCGGTCGATTCTTGCGGGAGGCAGGGGACTGAGTGGCGAGGTCCTGTCCTGTTGTCCGTCCCAGTGGATGCTGCGGATTATGCTGTGGGATTTGTCTTTGCTTGACAGATTAACGCTTGGGGTTGGCGACCGCTGGGGCACGGCGGGGGGCTTGCGTCTGATCCCGTCCTCTCAGGAGCCGTCCCTCGACCAGTCCCCGCTAAACACCTCGACTGCAGCGCGGCTTGTCGTCGTCTGCTTGGGACTGAATGTCGTCCGGGCATCAAAGCTCTCCTGTTGGTCCGTCGGCTGCCTTTTCTCGCCCTTGCTGACAACCTACGGCACCAACCACCGTCAACGAGCGCCTCGAGCACAGATGGGCCTGGCTGAATGTGGCCAATGTGACGGATCTCAGAATCAGTAAATCAGCCTGTAGGCAATATATGCCGACGATGGATTGGGCACGGGCGCACACGCCTTATCTGTCAGCGCCCGGTGACGTGAAATACACGGGGGGCGCAGAGTTGGCTACGGTCGGAATATGGCGAGACGGCCGCTCTGGTGGCGACCCTAGGTATCCAGTAAAATACGGTAGTCTCTGGGCGGCATTCAGATGACAGTCAACCATGCAATACGGTGGAGTGAAGAGCGCCAGGCCGTCGACAGAAACAAAATGTATGGTTAGGTTGGCAGTGGGCGCCGAGGATGGAAGGTTGCAAGAAAAGCCGGAGGGAATGGAATGGCATTAGTTACTGAACAGCAAGGTTGCGCTGCCCAGTCGTGGAGGTGGTGGCCTTGGCAAGCGCCCTGTCCGGCGCTCAAGGTGGTCCGGGACCCAGGGCTTCCCTGCGTAAGGACACAGCACGGGAAAGGTGCAACCACGGAATTCAGAAAATGGGAATGGTGGGTGCCGCAAGGGACACCTCAAGGAGCCTGACGGACTTTGCGTGGCTCGAGAACGCCTCCAGCCCAGAAAGGTCAAGTGCCCCTGTAACAGCGGTCGGCGAAAACAACCCGAATATGCGCCTTCGGCTTAAAAGTTCATAGGGGGCGCGGTGGCACAGAATGTGGCAGAGACAAACGGCGGGCCGTGATGCGACAGCGAATGGCCAGAGAGCACCCAGACATCTGCGAGTAGGCACGCTCTGCGCAGCGATCGAAACACGGGCGTTAGTTGCATGAGGCATGAGGCAGGAGGGGGAAGGTTTGAAGAGGGGTGCGTCTTTCCGGGGCCCTCTCCTTCCATGTCTGCTCTCAGGGCTCTCGAAAACTGCAGCGACGGCCTGAAGTGGGGTGGGGAAACAAAGAGGAGCAGGTGCACAGGTGGTGTGGTGGTGTGGTAGCTCCCGAAATGGTCTAGTTTCAACTAACCTCGGGCCCAAAGCCCACGTTACGGTCGCGACGCGACGGAGCAGTGGGTTGCATGCCGTTTTCGTTTGGAGGGGCTGGGCGGGCCTCTGTGCCTGCCATCTTCCATGCCATGGGATCTTATTAGCTTTTTGCTCCCTTCTACTATTAAAGTTCATCGACATATCGACTCAGCCCAGCCATCTCGCATGGCCACTGTAGACCGCCCAACCGCTGGCCGCAAATCGCCCCTCGACTTCCAGACGGTGATTCTCGGAAAAGTGGTGGGTGCCCTGCTGGGACTTGCCGGGCCGGAGTGCCAAGGGGAATTCCAACGATATCAAGCGGAGGGCAAGACCAGCAGGTGGGCGGGGGACCTTCCCTAGCTTTTCTCGGCAAGCCCAAACTCTATTAAACGGTCATCTGGACGCAGAGAGGATGCGAAGGTGCCGCAATCATTGCACGGCCAGTCGGCTGTCTGACTCACCACGAAGGGGGGGACCGCAGGAGGCTGCAAGCGGCCTTGGCAGAGAATGAGAACATTCCTGGGATGTGCCAGGTGCCCTTTCCTTGGGTTCCTTGTCGTGCGATTTCACGCAGTTGCGGGTACCTGCCCAGATGCAGCGGTACCTGTTTGGTGCCTGGACGTAAGTAATGGATAAGGAGAGTCGCCCCTTCGGTTGGGAAGCAACACCTGCCCGTTCTTGGGAACTTGGACTGGTCAGGCCGCAGGCACACCTTCGGCTTCTCTCCGATCTTACCATGGATCTTGGCCTCAGGTCTCCATATCAAGGTGCGTCAAAGATCTTCTATTCGTGCTTCATGCACAAATCCGAGACAGAACCGTCATTTTTTCTCTTTTCTTAGGTGGCAGACAGAACAAGAGACCCCTGCCTTGTCTCCAGGGCATGTGGGTTTTTTTTTTCTTACAGGTTGTCACTTTTCTAAATTTTGATGTGGCGCTGGATTCGGTCCCCGGGGACGATCAGCAGCCTGAGGCAGAGGTTGGTCTTACCAACCCCAACCAAGCTCGTGGCGCTCTACATTGCCCTAGGAATCAGGGGATACCGAGCGGTACCATCGACATCAACGGCGTCCGGCTGTTTGCAAAGGAAGGTGTGTTAGCCCACTTTGGCAATCCGTCCTTCGAGGTCGAATGGTCTGGGTGATGGCGTCCAGCGGCCTCTTGAAAGCCCACTGCCCTGTGCGCGATTGTGTGCGCTAGGTTGGCTTTAGCTTGCCTTTAGCCCCGCCGTGGATCGAGCTGCATGGGATTATTGGCGGCGATCAGCAGCGGCGCCGATTGCTCCTCTCTACCGTTATCGAGGGGGTTAATCGCCCATTGCGTCATCAATGCTGCCCAGGGGCCTGCCACCCAAATGCAACAGTGGGGAGAATGCTGTCGAGGGGTCCCTATTGACGACTAACAAAATGGAGAGGCGTGATAGCTTCAGATATGGCTGCTACTCCCATCCAATTTAGCCTGGCGACTCTTTCGTCCCCTCGGCTGTCCGCCTTTCAGGACCCTGGTTTTCTCAAGAAAGACACACCCTGGAGAGAAGGCTGGCTCTGTTCTCGGGAGGATTAGTGCTCAGTCAGAGGGTCACACACAGCGTTGCACCATGCGTGTGCAGGTGCCTGGCCTGAGAGATGCAGAAGCGCACCTAGCACCCTCCTGCATGAACGAGGCATGTTGAGGCACACATCAGCGTCCAGGTGATGAGGCCATGGGCCCGCCGCGCACCAGCATTCCCGTCTGATAGTTTCGGGCGACAGGCGCCTCTGATGGACCCTCCCGACCTAGCCCTCAAATAAACTTGGCCTCACGTTCCCGCCCATCGCTTTCCTTGAGATGGGTGTGGCAGGAGTTTAAAATCTACGACGTGGCAAGATAGATAAGCGGAGCCAGCGCTCTGAACAACGAGCAGGCAACTTATTGATTGCTCGTGTCGGTATGACCAGACGCTGACAGGATACGAATCGCTTTTGTCGGCCCCGTCGGCCACATGGCTCACCCGTTGGCGGAGGCGGTCAATAGGCTTCAGGCCAACAAGTCTAGAGGAACAGAGGAGCTGGCTGGTCATTGCCCCCTTCGATCCGATTATTCCCACCGCCACGGAATTTTCGTGTGCCGTCAGCAGCCCATCAGCGCATGTGGTCGCCGTGGTCTTTTTGCGCCGTGGCACTTGGGATCCATCCCAGAAGCGCCACGGCTGTTCGCATATAGTGTGAAAATCGTCGCATCAACAGCACGGTTTCTTGCGATAGATGGCAGTGAGGAAGACATGAGACCTTCAGCTCCGGTCCCAGGTGCTCGCGCAACCTGCTCTTCCGAGTCAAGCCGCGTCACCTTGATTCGCAACGAAGTCGAACTGCCGGATCCGCACGAGACATATACCAAGACATATAGGGGCAAGGTCTTGAACAACCCCTAAAGGAGCCTGTACGGTCCCGCCGGATCTTGAGCCCAGCGACCTGGTTTCAAGTTTATGAGGGTCGACCAAGAAATCCGGAAGCTGTGCATCACAAGAAGCCAGACAAGGCCGGTACCCGTACCATGTTGGGCTTTGCCTTAGCTGCTGCAGCCGTATGCAGGTGGCTGTACGCCCGGCGGTACCTGACCGAAGGGATGCGTCCGGATTTGCTCCGTCTCGCGGCCATCTCCACCCCACCTGCAGTCGCCTTACGTACCTATTGTCGTCAAGCTGTTCCGACGGCGCTTCTCGTTGATAAATGGCCGGCGGTGATGTGGGACGGGTCTCTCGAGTTTCTTCGGCGCCCAAAATGTGAGCAGTCATTTCAATAGTGGTCTCCCCTCTCTCTTCCGCCGGTCTTGGGGCGCCGTCGGAGGGGCACCGGACTGCCCAACAGGCACGCACGAGATGCAACCACTCAAAGCGAAAGTAACAAACCAACCCCAAACTACCTTACGGATAAGCGATGGGGCGTCTTGGAAGCTTCCATGCCTTCCATTCAGGGCCTTCGGTATTGATGAAGCATCGTCTGCCATAGTGGCTGTATATTAATTCGCTCTTCCTTCCACCGTGGGCGCTATATTGCGAACCATCTCGACGATACTCTCCGTCTTGCTAGATTAGGCAACTCCACTATAGAAAATCGTGGCGGCGGTCCCAAATTTTTGTCGCCATGCGGCTTACGAGTTCGTTCCTGTTCTCCCTCGCTAAATTCTGACAATGCCCAATCCTCTAGAAGGGCTCTGAAGGCGAAAAACAAAAGAGGGGCGGGCAGGCGGGGCTCGAGAGGGAGGTGGGGGGTTGGGATTTTCCCCTCCAGTGAGCAAATGTGGGGTAGCATCTTGGTTTCACGTGCCTGCTCAGATGCAACCAGGCCAGGGTCCCTGATTGCAGAGCTATTAATAAGCACTGTCCGGGGGCCCTTGGCAGCGGGAGGGTTTTGTCCTCTGGTGGATCGTGGTTGCTTCATTGGGAACGAGCTAGACAGCGCATGCTCTTTGTTGACATGAAGAAAAGGGGAAAGCGATCACGCCACCTCGCCAAATTTAGTTGATGGGGGATAGTAGTCTTGAATTTCTTGTTGTCAATATATCCATCATTCTCTGCAGACACCAGGCCACACTAACAGCTGATTTATCGGTGCAGAGTGGTGGATCCAGAACGTCAAGACTGACAGAACGAATGCTTTCATGGCTTGGCGAGATGCCAATCACCCGAGCCCGCAGAGTTGAAGTCCAGCGTTATGCTTTTTCTCCAGACTTCCTGATTGCCGTACCTCTAGTAATTAGGTCAGCAACTTCCTCACATCCCACACAATGGAACCAGTCGTTATTACTTGGCCCCAAAACCCTCAATTTTCGACACTCATTATGATTCCTGCCTTATCTGATATCTAAAAGAAAAAGGAAAAGCCCCGGGTATTTACAAGAAATTGGATTACACATAATTTGTCACCTAATCGACGCAGACAGTTCAAATGGTCCCTTGAAGATTGTCTTTGTTGTTGTGTTGAACTGTTGATGCCCACATGAACTAGACGTATATCGCCTCGTGTTTCATTGCCTTGCCATGCTCTGTCTTAAAGCCAGAGTCCTTGACGCCGGACCATCCCCGAAGGACCCAACTTCCAGCATGGTAAAACTACCATGTCAGAATCCACTCCTTTTCGAAGTCTGGCCAACGAAAGACTACTTGGTCCCAAGGCCCCGTCTCACTAACAATTGTCGACTCGAAATCTTGAGCTCTTGTCTGCTTAAATTTTTGGGTGATAAGGAAGTTTTACCGATGCCGAAAGTTGGGTCCTTAGGGCTGTCATCGGCGCACTTCAAAGTAGGTATCTCGCAAGTCATGCCAGTGGCGGTAACTGCCGGGGCTTGTAAGAAGCATGCCGCAATCTGTGGCCTCCGCTTGCTCGTTCTGGGGAGTATTCAAAGCGATAAACATACCTACTCGCTTCCTCATGTTTGACTTGGCCATGATGGCAACGACAGTGCAAAGTCCACAGTTGTAGGTGAAAACTATGGTCTTATACCGATGCCAATTACAATGCTTACAAGCTAAATACATGTTATAGTCAGGTAGCCGAGTCTGTGTTGATTGTGTTGGCAACGTCTAACATTGCAGAATAAAGAGAAGTCAAATCAAGCAAATTCTTTCCATTCTCTGGCATCCCAATGCACCTATGAGTGATTAGAGGAAGAAACTCGTGCTGGAACGTGTTGCTTTCTCGGCAAGCCCGCCGAGCGGCAAGCCGGTATTGGCTATCACGGCTACACACAAACCTGACGCGGTTTACGGCCGCGGATATTTATGCGGTCTCCCAGAGTTCAAACATCTACCTAGTCGTTTCTATTTCTCCGAGGCCACGTGTCATGTGCCAGACTTGACCGAAAAAGAAGAAACACCTTACGAGCCAAGAATGCTGCCAGAACTTCCCCAAGAAGCCCTATGGTCCCAGGATTCTAAGGCCTATAACGCATCGTGGTGGGCAGGAGGTGGGTGTCCGGGGGGGGCCGGGGGGCTGTAGGATTCGGGAGTTCATGCTGCGTGGGTTAGGCCACAGGCATCTCTGACAATCCACCGCATCCTTAAAGAAAGCATGCAGCAAGCGAGCCCTCTCGTGCAACTAGTTGTTTGAGCAAAAGGGACGAAAAAGGGACAAAAAAGGGACGCTCTTCTGTTTGCCTCAGTAATAACGCTCTCCTTTGCCGGCCACTCCTCTATCCCTCCCTCTCTCCCTGGAATGCGGCCATCCTCCCCCTTTTAGCATGCAGGCTGCAGGGCGTTTTTCTCGTCCCTCTTGAGAACCAACTGCATATTGAAAAAAAATTGCTGCGCCAGCGGCGGCTACCAGACTGCTAAGAACAGCAGCGGTGTCCTGACTGGTTGCTGTGCCGCCGCCCCTCTCGCCCCCTTGCCGCCGGGCTTTCTCTTTGGCCGGTTTTGCGCCCTTAGCAAGTGGGGTGGCTGGTTTTCGTCTCCTCGCGCATGTTTCTCAAGCTGACACGTGGTAAGACCAGAAGTGTGTGCATGTGTTTGTTGGGGGCACGCAGTCGTTCCAACGTGTGGCAAGGCGTGGAGGCACGCCGCTGTCGACTGTCGCGGGGAACGTAGGGGAGCGGGTTGCGGCGGTGGGCCTGGTTCCTTCGTTAAAATAGGGACGGTGTAGATTTTACTATTAATGCAGTATTTCCGCGCCCCAAGTTTGAGTATTGATAAGCTTATCTATTCTCGATGCTTCACTTTTGCGTCCTCTTGTTTCCGGGTTATTGCAAAATGCCAGCCTGATCCGATTAGAGAACGCTCTCGTGAACATGGCAAGGTCTTGTCAGACCATGATAACGAGTCTCTGGTACTTGGTGGTAGAGTCCCTGATGTAGGTATATGGCCATGTCGTGTTTACTCTTCGCCAAAGTACAGCAAGAATTCGGACGTGCAGCGGTTTTGGCGATGAAGAACCTTTCTGTGTTTTGAATGCTTGTCGGCACCTCGTCTGTATCATTTTCTCTTCGTATACGCGTAACTGGGCTGTTGTTTGTACCCGAGCGCAGAATCATTTATCGGTGTGAAGACGAAGCAAGAGGCCATAACAACAAACACCTGAATGAATGAGTTGGGCGAATCTAGGGATCTGACGAGCAGAAGAGATTGTCAATCAGCCGGCGCGTGGTGAATATGGTGTAGCCAACGGCACACGCGCCGTCGCTTTCTTTCTCCTTTTCCTTTTCTGCTCAATTCCAACCGCAGCGCAGAGAGTCAAAGCACACGTCGCACGACACGCGTAACCACACCTTGCTTCACAAAGCAAGAAAATAAAACGCGCTAGGCAGCTAACCGGGGACCTGCGGGTGTCACAGATCTGCGATCGGTGGGTCGGCTCGCCGTCAACAGGTCTTTCTGTTTGGCGCCCCGAGCGGGCGGGCTAAAATCCTGGGGGAAAAGGGGGGCCGGCGATCAAACCGACGACCACGCAACGACACGCAGCGCGGCTCGGCATATTTACCCGTGCTCTTCTTGAACGCCGGCAAGAACACGCGACTCGGACGCCGTGGCAACGTCAAGTGTCCAGCCCCCAAGACTTTACTTGCCGATTTTCCCGAAGCTGTGCACACCCTCGGCGACCTCACCCGGGTGGCGCTTTGCTGTTTCTAAACTACCCTGAAGTGATGCGACTCGCGATCTGCGACGACTTCAGTCGCGCCCATATCAACGACGAACCCGGGTGTTTTCGCCTATCTTTCTCATCCAGGCAGGGATCAGCCGTGGAAATTGGAGGGAGATCTCGAGAGATCGACTCTTTTCTCCTTTTTTCTCGTACATAAAGACTGCTGGCCGTCCCAGGTTCTGGGCCGATGGCGTTATCATCCCATCTTCTTCTCTCATCGCTACAATCGTTTCCCGTTCCGTTATTTTTGTTGCTTCTTGTTCTCGATACGACCTGGCGTCGTCTGTGTTATCACTCCTACTCTCTATTAATATCGAACTTGTGATCAACACACACCTCTTTTCAACATGGTTCGCATCTCTGTTGCCGCTGTGCTGGCTTGTGAGTCCTCTCCACTTCTCTCTCTCCCTCTCTCTCCCTCTCTCTCCCTCTCTCTCCCTCTCTCTCCCTCTCTCCCCCTCTCTCCCCCTCTCTCCCCCTCTCTCTCATTCTCTCTCCCTCTCTCCCCCTCTCTCCCCCTCTCTCTCCCTCTCTCACCCTCTCTCTCATTCTCTCTCCCTCTCTCTCCCTCTCTCTCTCCCTCTCCGTTTGTTATTGTGGTCGATATGTAGCTCTTCACTTTGTGGTTCTAGATATTGACTCTTGCTGATGTCGTGCAGTCGCCGTTGCCGCCCTGGCCATCACCCCCAATAACGCTGGCGCCAAGAACGTCGGAAACGGCAAGGCCCTGCAGTTCATCACCGGCGGCTGCGTCAACGATGCCGACTGCGCGTCAGCGTGCTGTGCCAACGCCAGCAATGTCGGCGTGTGCTCCGCCGAGGCCGCCGCCTTCCAGAACGGAAAGGCCGGCTGCAACTTTGTTGACCCCAACGCCGCCGCCACCATTGCCGCGGCCAAGGCTCAGGTCGCGAAGCAGGGCTTTTAAGAGGTGACGAAGCCGTTGTCGAGGAAATCTGTACATATTCGCGGAGCGCAAGTGCCAAGGGGGTAAGGAAGATGTGGTCTTTCAGGGTTCGATCGCTGACTGATGAAGAGGAAATGCCGCCTGAAAACGGAGGTTAAAAATCGGGCTGTTGCCCTTGCTGCCCTTCAGCTGGTATACAACATATGCATGGGTGTTTATTTGGTAGATACCCTACCACATAATATAATGAATTTTTCAATTTACTCAGCTCTCTAATTATACCTAGGTAGGTACTGCTTCTCCACCCACCAAAGCCCTCTTCCATCCACTACATGTTGACAGTGGCCAAAGAGGTAAAACTCCCTTGGACATACTCGCCAGTTTCCGAGCCACTGTTTAAGGTTTGCGTTATCAGCCACTCAGTGCCTAATCGGCCCTCTTGCCTACTTGGGCAGGTAGCAAGCACTGTGTCCACGCCAGGACCTCGTATTGTAGGTTTAGTGGGCACTTGTTCGAGTTTGATTCCTAAGCCAAGATCCGCAACAATCAGTAACAGTTAAGTCTTCCGTTAACCGCATCACCAAGTTTTCAAGGCCCACGGAGCATACCCGGCCCGAGCCCACAAAGCCGGCAAGGAGCTGCTGCTCACAACAAACATGCGCCTCGACCCTTCCGTTGGGCTTCTCAGTTGGGGCTGAAAAAGGCGGTGATTGGACGAGAGTACGTACCTATTCGGTGCTCGCGAGACTTGGCGCACGTTTAGAGCTCCGAATGCCGAGTTGAAGCTAGCCCAAGGCGCCCCTGCTAGGCTGCATCTACCCCCGGCCGGCACAGAGGCCCGGGCCGCAAACCACAAAGACAAACGAACCGCGGGGTCGCGCCTCTTCGCACGCCCAGAGGCCCCGATGTCCGACCAAGTCCGCGATAGCATCGTCCATGGCAGAGGTGGGGAGGAGAAACCGCCGCCGAGTATAAGATGAAGTTATCCTCGGTATTTAATTTTGGGCAAGACGCGGCTCAACTCGACAGAGGCTAAAAATCACCACCATCACCATCACCATCACCCATCATCACCCGCTTCACCAACTAACCACCCCCCTCGACACCATGGCAACCAAGCCGCGCATCATCCTCGGGCTCATGACGTTCGGGCCCGACGCCAACACGGGCGCGCGGCTGACCGACATCAACGACCTCAAGACGGCGCTGGATGTGTTCGAGAAGCGCGGCTACAAGGAGCTGGACACGGCGCGCGGCTACTGCAACGGCCAGCAGGAGGCCTTTACCCGCGCCGCCGGCTACGAGGCCAGGGGCCTGGCCATCGGCACCAAGGTGTACCCGATGCCGCCGGGCACGCACCGGCCCGACGTCCTCACGCAGCAGTTCGAGACCAGTCTCAAGGAGCTCGGCACTGACTGCGTCGATGTGAGTTTCCGATTCTCTCTCTGCTGCTGCCGGAGCGGGCTTCGACGGTGGTGTCTTGTTTTTTGAGTGGAAAACAAACAACGACAATGCGTCCCTGGCTTGGTATACTCGACTGACGTGCGAGACAACTGCCTGCATGCAGATTGCCTACCTTCACGCGCCGGACCGCAGCGTGCCGTTCGCCGACACGCTGGCAGCCATGGACGCGCTGCACAGGGCGGGCAAGTTCAAGCGGCTGGGGCTGAGTAACTACGCGGCGTACGAGGTGGCCGAGATGGCGCTGACGTGCGCGGCGCGCGGGTGGGTGCGGCCGAGCATCTACCAGGCCGTGTACAACGTGCTGCAGCGGGGGATCGAGGGCGAGCTGCTGGCGGCGTGCCGGCGGTACGGGCTCGAGGTGGTGGTGTACTCGCCGACCGTGGCCGGCTTGCTGGCCGGCGCGGTGCGCGACGCCGGCGCGGTGCCGGCCGACGGCCGCTTCTCGGACAAGTTCTTTGGCGGCATGATGCGCCACACGTACTTCCGCGACTCGACGTTCGCCGCCGTGGCCGCCGTGCGCGCCGCCGCCGACGCCCACGGCATCTCCGCCATCGAGGCAGGCCTGCGCTGGCTCGCCCACCACTCCCAGCTCGACTTTGCCCGCCGCGACGGCATTGTCGTTGGCGTCTCCAGCCTGACGCACCTCGACGACAACCTCGCCTTCCTGCTCGACCGCGGGCCGCTCCCTGAGGCCTTGGTCAAGGCTCTCAACAAGGCCTGGCTCATTGCCAAGCCCGAGACGCCCGCGTATTGGCACTTTGATTTGAAGTACGGCTATGATGCCGAGGAGGTCTTGTTTGGCAAGGGGGCCAAGTGAGCTGGCCCGTCGGTGATGCAAGTTGCCATGTGATACATTCATTGTTTTGGGCTCGAGTTTGAACAATGAAGCAAATTTCAACCACGCAGCCAACAAAATAGTAAATACTGATTGCCACATGTCTGTGGCTTCACTTCGATTGACTGCAGCCTCGGAAAGAAGTGCCTCGTCTCGGACACGGCAGCTTGTCTTGGCGAATGTGTGGCTCCTCATCCGTTGTTGATATTGAACCCGTTTTGGGGAAAATATTGTAGTAATCGCATCTCAGATCACAGCGCATAATCAGCTCGAAGAAAGCCACTCGTTCTAGACCGGATATCCATCCAGCGTGTTGGGTCGGTCTGTGGCTGGCTAGCTGGCCGGAGCGAGCTGCCTTGGTCTAGACTGCGAGTTATTGGCGGCTCTAGTCTCTTTGCAGTTGATCATGGATTGGGGCGCGCCCAGTAGCTCCAGGCCTAGGCTCGATGGGCGCTGGCGCACCAGTCTATGACAGGAACAGCCCTGTAGAGGCTGCGCGGGCAGCGAAACCATTGGTGATTGCAGCTCTAGCAAGGGGGTTCAGCCGGCCCACCCTTGTCTCGCTAGCACGCATCTGGAGCGACTACAGCTCAGGGCTTCGGCCAGAACAAAGCCAGAACAGAGTCGGCATCAGGATAAAAAGACGGCGAGATCAGGATAAAAAGATGGCGAGAGAGCTCTCAGGTTTTCACCGAGTGTTCACACACAAATCCCTGTCATCTTCTTCTGGTTCAAAAACCCGCGTCATATTTGATCTGAACCCACAGCTGCAGCTTCGCCCTTGAGAACAGTCTTTCACCATGAAGGGTATCGACACTGCGCGTCTCGAGGACCTGCCCCTGCTCGAGGGGGCCGGCGCAGACCTGAAACCAGGACTCTACACGGTCCGCCCTGACGAGGAGGAGCATGTGCTGGAAGCTGAAGACCCTGAATACCACTTTGAGACGTGGTTCCAGACGCCCGTGAGCCCATCCAGCTTACTCCCATCCCGTTTTCTGGACTCGCATCTGACCATCACACGCAGCCGCTCGATGCCGAGACCATCAAAAGACTCCACAGCGTCCAGCTCTTCGCCGAGTCGCACGCCCAGGGCTTCTGCAGCGACGAGTCGGCCGGCACGTGGACCTGGTTCGAGGTTGCCATCATGAAGTCCGAGAAGGACACGGCGCCACGCATCAAGGACGAGGTGACGCTCGCGTGGCGGAGCCACAAGAACTACCAGAAGAAGTGGGAGTACGGATGGGCAAGTCTTTTGTTTTTTTTTTTTTTCTTTTTTTTTTTCTGTTTTCTTTCCCTTTCTCTCACTCCCAGTCCCCAGTTCATGACTAACATCTCCTGTCACCGGCAAACAGAAAGCGGGCAAGAAGTTCAGCGAGAACCACGACATGTTCCGCCTGCTCGAGCCAGGCAACGTCATCGCCGTCCGTCTTGCCGCGCGGTTCCTGGGTTGGGCCGTATACTCGCGCAAGGGCTACCTGGAGATTGAGATTGGCGAAGAAGGTGTGTTGCGGCATCACTCGTCCCAAACGGTGCAGATAACATTTTGCTGATGCCGGACGGAACGCGCTAGTCGAGCGCAAGAAGCTCAACTACGGCCAGATCGTGTCGACGGTCAACACGGTGCAGGAGGTCTTCCAGGACATCAACAGCATCATGCAGCCCGAGACCATGCAGATCTCGAGGGTGTCAAGCGCCCTGTTCATGGCCGGGATGATGTCGGGCCAGGACAAGCCGCCGCTGCGCGTCCTTTCTCTCGGTGCGGACTACCCTCCCCTGAAGCCCAGTTGTTCCCAGACAACGTTGCTGAACAATGTTGCTGAACAACGTTGCTGAACAACGTTGCTGACAAGAACAACTCAAAACAGACGGCGGAGGTGTCCGCGGCATTGCGGCCCTCATGCTGCTCGACGAGGTTATGAAAAAGTCACACCCCGGCAAGCTGCCGTACCAGGTCTTTGACATGATTGGCGGCACGAGCACCGGCGGGTTCATCGCCATCATGCTGGGGCGCATGAAGATGAGCGTCAGCGAGTGCATCCAGGCGTACACCGAGTTCATGAACGTCGTGTTCCCGCCGCGGTCCAAGCTGGGCTCGCTGACGGCAGGCCTGAAATCGGCCTGGTCCGGTAACAAGTGGAAGGCTGAGCCGCTGGTCGACGTCATCAAGCGGCTCATCAAGGCCAAGCTCGGCGACCCCGAGAAGCTGCTGCTCTTCGACCCCGCCGCGGCCGCCACCGACGACAACCCGTGCAAGGTGTAAGCCTTTTTGTCCTTCCTGTGAATGTGTGCAGCCGTGATGTGAGTTTTCGGTTCTGATGTCTGTTTGCGTATAAAGCTTCCTCATGGCCGTCAACCAGCTCGGCGCCAACAACCACGCGCCCGTCACTCTACGGACGTACGAGCACCCTCTGGACAAGCCAGCGCTGCCCGAGATCAAGCTGTGGGAGGCCTGCCGCGCTACCTCGGCGGCACCGAGCTACTTCCCTCCGCTTGAGGTGTCGGGCGTCAAGTTTCTCGACGGCGGGCTGCAGGCCAACAACCCACTGGGATGGTAACTAAGTCCTCCCTCCGATTATTTTTTAAGAATACAGACCGGGATGTCAACTAACTTGCGTGTGAAACCAAAAAAGGCTCTGGAACGAAGTGCTGACCGTGTTCGGGCCGGCGCGGGACACGAGCTGCTTCCTGAGCATCGGGACGGGGACGCCCGAGAGCCAGGTGGCGGGCTCGGCGACGGCGGGAGGCCTGATCGGGTTCGCCAAGTCCATGGCGAGCATCGCGACCAACACGGAGATGGTCAACATCCTGTTCCGGTCGCTCATCAACGCGTTCGCGCCGCGGCCGCAGGGCAAGAAGTACTGGCGCTTCAACATCGGCGACGGCTGCCCCGACTGGATCGAGGGCCCCGACGGCGTCTGGGCCTGGAGCCTGCAGGAGAAGCGCGTCGAGATGGATCTCGGCGAGCTCGACGATGTTGCTGCCATGGACAAGACGGTCAAGGCCACCAAGGCCTACATTGCCCTCGACGGCGCCCAGGCCATGATCTCCGAGTGTGCCAAGGCGCTGGTTGTCGCTTGATGTCGATCGTTTATATATGCCACTAGCTGTGCAGCAAATCTCCTGTGCTTTACGAGCAGAGTGCAAAAATAGTAAGAAATGAAAAAATAAAAAAAAATAAAAAATAATAAAATTATAAAAAAATAAAAAATAAAAATAATAAAATTGTTCGTGGCGCTCTAGCCACGATTGTGCCTAGGCGTTATGTCGCGATGCAACCTTGAGGGGGGTGATGAATAGTACGTTCATTCATGTTCTGTGCTACTTATGGTTCCAGCTGTGGAGGCCAAATGAAGCAGGTGCGGGGCGGCGCCTGCGCAGCACGTTCCTCCGTCACGTGCCTGCGCACCTGACCCTCTCCACCCTTTGTTGCATGCTATTCCAACAAAAAAAAAAAAAAACGGTTGGAACAACTCGCTAGTCAGCCACAGATGTGGCGGTGGAGGCGTAAACAGCCACATGTGGGGGTGGAGGCGCAGGGGCGCAGGGCCACCGAACCTAAATAAGTGGCCGTAGGTTATCTCAGAAATCAGGCCGTCTTTCTTGGGCGGGGCGCGCTGCGCGCGGACGTGCGCCCATGACAAGGGCCCTGGCGGGACCTTGTACCAAAATGGATTAGGATGGTGGATCGCACTAAACATTTGCTGTGGCGCCCCATGATTACGCCAAAGAACGCCCAAAAAAGAGGTCTGAGTGCAATATTTGATTCGAACCGTGACCACCTTCACAAGCCCCGTACAATAAAAAAATCTGGTTCAGTTGACGCGCAACAACATCACCATTCCGCATTGTGAGAATATACAAACTAGTTGCGGAGCTTTGTAATTGATAGGACTTTCTAACGGCTCTACTTTGGAATCGCATTTATAGGGCGTTGTAATTTTCGTATATTTAAAGTAAAAAAACACCCCCCCTTCACAACTCAGTCGCGTCTGCTAGTTACCTGGTAAACACTCAATTTTGATCTGAACTTCGTGAAAATTTCTATAAACTCACTCTACGCTGAGGGCATCCTCAGAACCTAACTTTCTTTTTCAAACAACGCACTTCCTAAACCCAGCTTTCCTACATCGTTTTCGCCGCCCTGGTGGACCTCGACGAGCAAAAGAAGCGCATAAACAGAGCCATTTGTGGCATCACAGGCGCTCCAGAGGCTCGCGCTGGCCAGGTGTAGGCTGTGCAGCGTTTGGTTTACCAGCATGACGATACAGTCCTCGTTGCGGCAACAGGCTACGGCAAAAACGCCGTTCTCTACACTGTTTCTGCCCTGACCGAGAAGATCACGATACAAATCGTTCCCTTGACGAAGCTAGGCGAGAATCAGCGTGACGATATCACCAGAAATGTCCCTAATCCGAAGCCGGTATGGATCGACGCCGACACGCATCTCAAGGTCTGTTGACCTGAGCCCCTGAATAACTTCTATTAACAGCTAGCTAGAACCGAGACGTTTGGGACCAAGTTAAACAAGGTCAATATACTCATGTTCTTTTGAGCCCGGAACAAGCCCTTTCACGAAGTTTCCACCTTCCTTCTTAGATCTACATAGACATCAACGGAATCCAACACTTGAACCACCAGTATACGGTGCGCAGCGCACCCTGTTGATTCCAGTACCGGTACCTGGTGATTCCAACAAAAACATAACCCCTGGACCTAGCTGACAGCGAGTGAAGATTAGCAGCAGCAACACTGCTCGAATATCGACCTCGACTGTACTTCGAAGCTACTTTTTTTTTTTTTTTTTATATCTTTTTTCGCATAGATGAGGAATCTATTTATCTTTGCTTTCATCGACATTCATTGTCTAGTTGTTTCAGCATGCACACCAGTCAGTCCAGACAACGATTTAGGTAGGTACTTGCAGAGTGATGCGCACGTGATTGCCAAGGTCTAAAACGCGCTAAATCTCATGCATTCGCGTGTCTGCCTCCCTGAAATGCATCATACAACCTCTGCGTGGCAGGATAGCGAGCGACAATCAGAGCCTGACAACAACTGAGATTAGCGGAACCACGGAGACAAAACAGGAGCTAGTTACCAGAATGGTGCAGGTGCTCATCATGATGGCCGACTACGGTCACGACCCAACCGGTCAGTGGCGCCTAATCAAGTCCCCATGAATCCGACAAATGCTCACAAATGCTCACAACCCAACCTCGCCCGGTCTGCAGAGACGGCCGTCCCATACCACGCCTTCAAGAACGCCGGCTTCCACGTCAACTTTGCCACCGAGACGGGCAACACGCCCGCGTGCGACAAGCGGATGCTGGAGGGCCTGACGCAAAAAGTCCTAGTCCGTCCCACCTCGTCTCCCCAGCTTCACCTCGTCTCCCCAGCTTCACCTCGTCTCCCCAGCCTCACCCAACTAACCTGACCAACCCACCCCAGGGCGCCAAACGATCCACCGTCACCCTCTACACGGCCATGACGCAAACCCTGGAGTGGACGCTCCCACGCTCCTGGACAGCAGCCGCCTTCACGCTGGCGCCGTTCGACCTGGTGTTCCTGCCGGGCGGGCACGACAAGGCCGTGCGGCAGCTGATCGACTCGGCGTGCGCGCGCCGGCTGCTGGCAGACTTCTTCCCGGGCACGCGCAAGCCGAGCGCGCGCGCCGCCGCCGCCGTCTGCCACGGCGTGCTGGCACTCGCCGGGGCGTGCGACGCCGCCACCGGCCGTAGCGTGCTCGCCGACTGCGCCACCACGGCGCTGCCCGCGCGCTTCGAGCAGCTTGCCTTCTGGGGGACTAGGTTGTTCCTCGGTGATTACTACAAGACGTACGGTGTCGGGAGCGAGGATGTCGAGCCGTCGGTGGGTGCCGTTCTCGTCCCTCTGGAAGAATTAAATGCTCGAATGAGAGCTGTTAATTAGCTAACCACCTCCGCCGCGGTGCAGGTGCGCAAGGCGCTGGCCGACCCGAAGCAGTACAAGAACAGCCTCAGCCCGTTGCCGTACGTCGTCCCGCTTCTTTTCTCGTCATTAATTATTCAGTCGTCGTCTGACTTTGTGTGTGCTCTGCCTCAAAAGCTTCGTCGTCGAGGACACGCAGTTCAACTACATCAGCGCGCGCTTCCCCGGCGACGTGGAGCTCATGGCCAGCAGGATCGTCGACCTCATGCACAACATTGACCAGACCCCTTCTATACCGGGTGTTTGAGCCGCAGCCCCGTCATGTTGGAGCAATCAGTATTGTAAGAGGAGGTAGAGCTAGTAGAAGTTCACACCGATGTCGCGTATTCGAGACCGCAGACGGCATGAAACAACTATGCCCGTGGGTGCTGAAGTTGGCAGACTTGGCGGAGAAGGTCGGGGAGATTTGAGCTTTGCTGCCGCAGTGGCCCGCAATGGCATTGACACAGACCAAGTCAGCTTTATTTCGGCACGGTCTTTGCCATTGGCCATGAGATCTCAACAGAATATATATATATAACTACATATATGTAGTGTTATATATCGTCTTTGGGTCTAGGCTAATCTATCCCAGTGCTCTAATTATAGACGAAAAAAAATCGGAAAGCGTCTTTCCAACTCCGCTGCTTTAAAAAGAATACTCGTAATAAGGGGTATCTACTTGGTTTATGCGACTTGCTTGCACAATCCTCAACAAGAGTGGCGGCATGGGATACTGGTCATAGCACCCGCAACTCGACCCCTCAAACAGCCTCTGGCTTCTCGTTCGCGGGCTTCTCGTTGGCAGAGGACGAGTCGCCTTCGGTCTGCTGGCCGGGCGTGGCGGTGCCCGCAGTTGCAGTCGCAGTTGCGGGCGCGCTTCCGGTGTCAGCCGTCCGGCGGCTGTTCTTGATGGCGAGCGAGTGGGACATGTGGGGGAAGAAGACGCCGGGCGGGAAGGCGGCGAGCAGGCCCGAGGCGATGAGGACGGCAAAGGACTCGAGCACGACAAACGAGGGCTCGTCCTGCATGATGTGGTTGCCCCAGCCGCCGGCCATCTCGGCGATGCGGTAGACGCAGCGAATAGCCAGGCCGGCGTAGGCACCCGCCATGGCGTAGAGGAACGTCTTGAAGCGGCGGTCGGCCCACAGCGCCACGGCGTCCTCGTTGCCCGACGGGTTGGGGCCCGTCAGCGTGCGCCGCACGCGCAGCAGGTACTCGGCGCTCAGGGCGCCGAAGACGCCCAGCACGACCACCTGAAGCACGATGCCGGCGATGATGGTGCGGTTGCCGTTCTGCAGCAGGTCCACCTTGTCGCGGCCCGCCGCCGCCGCGATGCCGCCGCCGATGGCCTGGATCACGAGGCACGACACGTCGGCAGGGACGAAGATGAGCGGGTAGGCGCGTGGCGGAATGCGGCTGAGCGATGGGTCTAGCGCCAGCACGATGTGCCGCAGCGTCAGGTACAGGCCGATGCAGATGAGCGTGGGCCCGAGGATGATGGCGACGATCTGCGTCTTGAAGGCCGATCCGTTCCACGGGTTGGCGGACAGTTGCGCGCGCCCAATGTAGCCTGTCGTCGGAAAAAGAAAAAGCGGCCAGTTAGCATTCCAGCCTATGTTCCGGACTAGCTACCGCTGTCGCCCCACACGAGCACATGAAAGATGAGAGGAAACCCACCTGCAAGCTCGAGGATGCACCCGGCCGCAATGGCGATGGAATAGCCCCACGTCCGCTTCCACACGCCAAACACGAGCGTCACGATGGCCGCTATCCCGAAGCCGATGGCGACAAAGATGTTGACGCCCTGGTTGGGGAAGTAGCCGAGTGTGGTGGCCTTGACGGGGCACAGGGCCGTGATTACGGAGCAGGTATCGTAGCTCGGCCGGAAGGCGGCCTGTGGCGTCGACATGACGGAGGCGGCGGGCTGCAGCAGCCAATGGGCAATTGATCAGTCGGTAATTAGACTGCAGAGTCAGGACGGCGGCCGAGATGTCCGAGTCGGAGCCCGAATCGCGGGGAGAGCGGGCGGGACTCGGTAAAAAGGGGCCAGGTCGCGTGCGTGCGTGGGCGCAAATCGCGGTCGGCGACGTTGACAGTGTTGACAATGGGACACACACCGGGGTTTGTTCAGCGGCAAAAAGAAACCTCCATGGAGGGGAACAGAGAAAATAGATCCGCTGGAGGGGAACAGAGAAAATAGACGGATCGACTGGACTTATCAAGGCGGCAGAGAGGAGTCAAGAGTGGGGACAAAAGCAGCGAGCGGGCATGGGGTTCCTTTGCTTGTGGGCGGCTTACTTATTAGTATGGGGGATTCAAGTCATGTTCCCGAGCCCCCGAATGCGACGGAGTCTACTCACAGTAGCTTGCATGTCGAATTGATTGGTGCAGGGGCGGCACAGTAGTCTGATCGTTGTGGCCAGGCTCGGTCTAGCCTGCCTAGCACACTAGGTGCGTAGTAGTAAGGCTAGGCAGTCGTCCGAGACTCTAGAGAGTGCGTTCGTTAAGAATGAATACGGATACACGGAATAAGATGATGCGATGGCGGGACTCCAGTCCAACGGCCTGGGAGGATGCGACCTGTAATGAACAACGCGCATTGGGTCAGCGGCGCAATTAATACAGGTAGATCTTTTCGTTCCCAGCAGGTACAGCTTGCGCTGCGATGCGCGCGAAAAGTGACATTTGCACGAATTAAAATATGGAGCCTGCTTCCCGGTAATGGGGAAGGGGAAGTTGGAAAGAGGGGCTTGAGATCCCGGAACAGATGTGCGGAAGCCACAGATGTGCGGAAGCCAAGGAGCCTCAAAAGGAACTTTCATGAGTGCGTGCGTGCCGAGTCTGGACCCGGGGGTGTGAGACCAGTGGGCCTGATTACCAACTGTGACCACGTGCTGGAGGGCGAATCGGATGCGACTGATCCGAGGGCGGGAACGCGCGTCTCATTCGCGGGACAGGCGAGAAGTGTGCGCCCGAACACGACTAACCAGACGGCAGGGGTGTGGGAAATGTGGAGGCCAAGATGCCAAAAGCGCCAGGATACGACCCCCACCTGCCCAATAAACATCTTCCAGCTCGCATTCTGCGGTTCCATCACGACGGGCTCCGGGCTTTTCAGGCTCCAACAAGATTGAAATGCGAACCGCCGCTCCTTCTCAATTTCGATACAGCCTAGCTCCAACGGCGTGTCGAATCAATTATGGAACACTTATTAGTGCAAAGTACCTAATTACTTCCTTCGCGAACAAGCATCATCAGCCAATTACATCTATACTTCTCGAGAGGGATCCAATTGGAACAGCAGATGCCAAACCCCACGCTATAGGTATCGATGCAGGGGTTTCCGTACGACTTGGAAACAAACTTGAAGATTCTAATCCAACAGCCCCCCCCCCAGCGTTCATCGAGGAGGCACTGTTACTGTCTGTCATGTCAGCAGTCGCCCAATTCTGCACATTGTCCGGCCCTTGTCACCGGAAATCTCCCTCTTAGCCTCCTTCACTTCGGGAACATTATCCGTTTGGGAACTGTCGGTAAAAAGCGCCTGCCGTACATGTACACTGCATACCAAAGTGTGAGCCACTCTCATTCTCCCTAGTTCATGTTTGTTACTATTTCCTCCGTGCCTTTCCTCTTGGACTGGCAACCCTCACTCGCGTCAAGGGGTTTTTTTTGGGGGCCAAGTTTGGATTGCTTGGCGGTTTCGGTTTCCAAACCTGCAAGTCCCATCACAAATTCAACTGTGACGGCGCCCCAGCTAGAGGGATGTCATGAATCTTTGACCTGCAACAAACGCGCGCGGGCGATCCCGCCCCCCTTGTGGCGCTAGTTTTCTTTGCTGGCGCAGGGCGATGCGATGCTTTTCCATCCCATCTTTTTCGACCCCCATCACGCACGGATCGATGGGATCGCCACACCCCCCAAACCAGTGCAACTGAACGAAACAGCCTTCCTCCCACTACACCACACGCACCTTAATTAAGCCCTTGTTACGTGTGCCGCTGGGCTACCGACGGTCTGGAAACCGTGCGGCGGCGGCTACCACCACTTGTCACTCACCGCCGTGGCCCGTCCCTCCAACTCCAACTCCCAAACTAAGCTAAACTAAACTAACCAATTACACCCCCTCAAATGTAGGCTCGGATCAACTTCTGAATCTGGATGCACCGACAGTCCGCTCCTCAATGTCGGGGTTCACCCCGTCCTCGCCAGGAGCCGGAGAAGGAGGACGCCGAGGTGGAGGCGGAGGAATTGTGATGGCCGTCGTGCCAAGCATCGTCGAGCCAGTATCAATCGTGACATCGGCTGGCGTTGCCGATGTGGCCATGGCAACAACCCCTTCTCCCGACGAACCCTCGGGGCCTGGCTTGGACTTGGCATCGCCCACCACGGCGCTGCGCTTGGCAGCCGGCTACGGCAGGCGGTCGCACCGCAAGAGTCGCACCGGTTGCGCCCGGTGCAAGGCGCGCAAGATCAAGGCGAGTCCGAGTCCGACCCCAATACAACTCCGAGCCAGACCCCGAGGCCGACCGACCTAGTTGACGTTGCAATGCTAACTCCTGCCACCGCTAGTGCGACGAGCGGCACCCCTCCTGCCTCAACTGCATCTCGCACGGCGTCGAGTGCCCGTTCCTGGCGCTCAAGACGGCCGACACGCCCGTCCGGGCCAACAGCCGAAAGACGCCGTCGTCGGCATCGTCGCGGCGGTCCCCGTTTGCCTCGCCGACCGACGTCTCCTCCTCCGCCACCGCCTCCTCCACGTCGCCGCCGCTCCCGTTATCCCCACACCCTCGCCCGCCGGCCCCACCCCCACCAGCACTCGACGCCACCATGTCCCCGACGACGGACACAACCGTTTTTGACTACGACTCGGACTCGGACCCGGCGGCCGCCCCCCTACCACTGCTGGAGCTGGAGTTGCTGCACAACTTCACGGTGCACACGCACGCGACGCTGGCGGCCGACGCCGGCGTGTGCGACTTCTGGCGCGTCGCCGTCGTGCGCATCGGCCTCGGCTGCGACTACATCATGCGCTCCGTGCTGGCCGTCAGCGCGCTGCACCTGGCCTACCACCGCCCCGACCGCCGCGACTTCTACACGGCCCAGGGCATCCTGCTGCACACGCGCGCCAGCCGCTCCGCCATGCGCCTGATGGCCGAGGCGGAGGCAGCCGCCGCAGCAGCAAGTAACGGCAGCAGCAACAACGACGGCGATGACGACCACAGCATGGCGTCACCTACACCTGCGCCTGTGGGGCTGAGTGATGACGACGCCGTCAACCTGTTCCTGTTCAGCATGCTGACCGTGTACTTTGCGCTGGCGAGCCCGCGGCGGCCGCTGGCGGACGGGTCGTTCTTCATCATCGGGTCGACGGCTGGCGGCGGCGGCGGCGGCGGTGGCGGCGGTGTGGCCAACTTCCCCGACTGGACGTTCCTGCTGAGCGGCGCCAAGTCTCTCAGCAACGTCGTCGGCGAGCGCGGGCCCGACACGCTGCTGGCGCCGTTTCTGGTCTATGGCACGCGGCGGTGGCACGCGTCGCGCTGCGACAGCAAGGATGCCGCCGCCAACCTCGACGGGACTAACGGTGTTGGCGAGGATAGCGGGAACGATGGTGACGACTGCGCGCCGCTCCGCGCGCTGCGGCGGCGCGTGGCGGGCAGCGCGGCGGTGGCGGCGGACGCGGCGCTCGGGCACACGTACGCGCACGCGCTGGACGAGCTGGAGCTGGCGCTGGGAGCACGGCAGCGGCAGCGACGGCAAGAGGAAGGCGACGCAGGGGCGCCGCGCGACGTCTTGGACGCCATGCTGTGGCTGTGGGAGGTGTCGGACTCGCTGGTGCCGCTGCTCAAGGGCCCGGCCCCGGCGCAGGAGGCCGTGGCCATCTTCGCCCACTTCTGCATCCTCCTCCGCCACCACGAGAGCGTGTGGTGGCTACAGGGCTGGGCCCACCACCTCGTCTCGTCTGCCTACGACATCCTCGACCCTGACCACAGGCCCTGGATCGACTGGCCCATGCGTGAGATGGGGCTGCTGCACGAGGGGTACATGATGATGTGACGAGGTTTGGATATCTGTCTTCTGTCACGATGTCGTCGGTTTCGAGGACTCGGTTGGTTCTCGCCGACGTGGTCGGCTTTAGAAGCAGTTGGCGGGCGTCGGTGAAGACGTGGTGTATCGTTCGAATACGGCCATTGTTTAACTTGATAGCTCTTACTAGGTAGTTAACCTCCCTACTCGATCGTAGTTAATTAGTTAATAGCTCATAATTAATGCTTATTCAATACAATGAAAGCTGTGAGCCTTTTCTTTCCCTAATTATTGTTTTACAGTTTACGTGTCTCAAACGGGCAAGGGTTCCTACGGGCAATAACACCAGCTATATCACCTCACCGCCGCCGACATTGGACGTTAAAAAGTGTTATTAGTTCACTTCTAGAGAGTTGGAGACAGCTCGTCCACGATGTCGTCGCGCTTGAAACTCCCTTTCCGCCAAATTTACTCCAACTATTGGGGTTGCAAGACAACTGCATCTCTCGACATCCCCGACAAGGTATCTATTTTTCCAAGTTCTCCATCTCCACTGCGGCAAACCGCCAACCCACTGGTCGGCCCCGGTCACCCACCAGCCCCGTCTTAACGGAGCCCACCCGAGGCGGTTTAATTTTGTGTTACAGGGTTGCAGCTTGTCACGAACTGGCTCCCTCTTATTGCGGAATCCCGTGCATCCACTTCAACAGGTTCCACACACGGCAACAAGCAACGGCAAGGTAGCCAAGCGGTCTAAGCGCCAGGTTCAGGACTACTTGAGTTCTACAGATTTCTCCGGAATCTTCCTGGTCTCAGTAATGGGGCGTGGGTCCAAACCCCGCCCTTGTCATATAGCTCTGCCTGTTCGTTTTTGTCGGCAGCAAACAGGATCGAGGCCAAGATAACGAGTAATTACCATTTCTTTTTAATAAACAGTCCCTGATGATATCTCCCTTCCCGCGTTGGAAACATAGGCGGGGATGTGATAAATCAAGTGCTACGCAGAGAATAAAGGAAGAAACGCTCGCTCTCCGCTCTGGTTGCCAGGCGGTCAGGTGTGATTGAGTCTCCGTGTCATTCACTCGATCGGATAGGTTACGCTGGCTTTGGCCGCGTTCAATTCAAAGCGGCTTTTTTCTCTCTCTGGCGCACCACTTTCCGTCCCAAAGTCGCCGATAACCCGCGTACACACGAGAGTATTTGTCAATGCTAATTCCTTGTTGATGCGGGGTGGGAGCCTGGGAGGTATGTCTTGCTGGCGCTGCGCACGTTCCCCAACACGGCCACGAGGGCTTCATGAGGAGGGCCGGATCGCTGCCCCTGCGAACCTCGCCCTCGTAGTTGCCCTGCGTACCTCGCTCGCCCTTGTAGTTGCCCTGCGTCTTGCCAAGATCTCATTGCTGACGTAGAAAATCGCATTGCCAGTTATGCCAAAGAGACTCGCCGCAAGAGGGCCCGCTCCGGGCAAGATGCGAATCCGGGTCAGGGCCCCACCGCGCCGAGGCTGGCCTACCTAGGGCTAGGGGCCGAGCGGAGCCCGGAATTGACATAAGTAGGGTAACTGGCGGCCGGCCGACTCTTCGCAACGGGCCAGAGATCAGTGCTGCAGCAACCTCAACGACTACAACGCTGTCTTGACTCACTGGCCCGCCAACCCCCCTGAACCGTGGAACTGTCTTTTCCGGCGGCCGGCCCGGGCTCAGTGGAGCCCAACTTCGCAACGGATCACGATAGAAAGGTGCGCAGAAGGCGTCCTCGGGGCGGGCTCTCGCTGAAACGAGAGCTCGCTGGGTCTATTCTGGCTGGGCCTGTTGCTGGAAGAGGGACCGCGAATCCTTCGACCTTTGGAGGTGTAATGCTCGCAACATACACCTCAACAGCATTACGGGGCTCGGCCGGGCCCCGCGGACGCTGGGTCCACTTCGGCGGCATTTTTTGGAAGCAATTTTGGAGATATTTTGGGTTGGCTTCGAGCATGCTGGACATGGCCCCAAAAAGCTGAGAGAATTTGCTTCGCTGTGGGGAGCGAGTCTGTTGGTTGGGACGCCAGCCACCATCTGGTTAGTCTCGAGTGTCTAGATGGGTAGCTGTGCTATTAGGGTATCGATGACGGAGCTGGCGTGGCCGTGGAAGTTGGCCATGCTGCCTAAGGCTAGAACTTGGCAACATATTCCGGGTCGCCGTCGCCAAGGCAGTCTGTCGGGTGCAGTAGGTAGGCAGTCTGTCGGGGGCAGTAGGTAGGCAGTCTGTCGGGGGCAGTAGGTACAATTTGGGGTAGAAGTTACTGGGGCAGTAGTTGAAGAAGCAAGCAAACGAGGACAGGTCGACAGCAGGATGGTGGTCCCCGGCGGCGACGAGAGCAGATAGTCGACGAGGGCCTTGGTGCGGGTCCCGGTCTTGGTGCGGTTCCCGGCGTTGCCCGCGTCGAAGTTGCGGATGCAGTCGTCGGTGCCGGCGTTGTCCAGCATCAGGTGGGCCCGCGTTGAATGGAGAGAGAAAGATCAAAAATGTATAGAAGAAAAGCACATACGCGACCAACCATCCTGCTGCTCTCCTACGGTCTCTGATGTACTTGTAGTAGCCGTTGCCGTCGACGGAGCCGACAAGGTCAAAGCGCCCCATGGTTAGCTAAGGCTCCCACCACGTAATTATTACACAGGATGCCCAAATCTTTCCTCAACCCCCATCTTCCTCTCTGGTAGGCGGCTAGTTATATCCATAACTAGACAGTATTATGTTCACCGATTCCACAATTACCCGCGCCTCCCTTGTGCGGCAGCCCTATACCTAAGTATATCAAAGCCGCTACCGAGTCTGGCCTAATACAAGGTCGCTACATATTCTAACCATTGAATATTTAAAGCTAGTCATATAAGTATAACTTTTATTTTCCATAAGCTGGCATTAACTTTTTGATCACAGCCGTGGCAAGAAACCCGCCATGAAAATACGCCACGTGAATTACTAACCCCCCCGCCCCCCGGTGCTCAAACCGCAGCATGGGCCGCTCTGCCACATTCTCTTCCGTATTTCTCGAAGCCGCCTTCAGCGCTCCGATCCACTCGTCGCTGTCGACTCCCTTGACGAGCCCCTTGGACACGGGACCGAGGTAGTCACGAGCTCTTGCTCCTGTGAGGCTTAACTTTACGAAGTAGGCTTCTCCTATACGCAACGAACTCTCTATTCGTCCACCCCGACCCCAAGTCCGTTAATTATAAGTTGGGTCCTTCGGCCCTATCCCCATCCATACTAGAGGGTATTCGGGCTGAGGTTACCTAGGCCTCGGTGCTCTTGGTGATTTGGTACTCTCATTAACTTCGTTACTTACTTCCTCTTCCTGGGGTGTTCGGCTTCTGGATTAGTTTGGAATGCTGTAACTCATTGCTATTTTCTGCTGCCATCGTCTTTAGGTATTCAGCTTCCTCGTCCTCACAATTCAATGCAAACCAAACGAATCCAAATCCTAGCAAATCAAATGTAGAAATCTTTATATTTGTTCGTGGTATTCAGGCCATAGCACTGAGGGCTGGGTCCAAGATGGAGTGTGGTAGTACTAATAAAGGCGGGGTTGTGATTGTTATGTCTTGTATGTCTATATGGCCTGGTTTGGTTCAAACGAAGCAAATATAGGGACCCGATTTGATTTGTTTGCGTTGTTGCGAGCCCTGAAATTGCTGGTTATTGTGGTGGGGGGCATCCTGATACCCAGGCGGGAGACATTTCGGAGCTGCCTGAGTCGGCCAAGGCGATTGAGGCTCATTGTGCCGTCGTCTGCATGGGCACTCTTGGGGGTGCTGCTTTGGGATCGGAAGTTTGAGGACAAACGTCGGGGAAAGGAGCGTCTCAAGCCTGGCGTGTCTCAAGCCTGGCGTCCAAGCAGAAAACTGATCGAAACTGCTCAGTTGGCCAATTACCAAAGACGTGCCACTCGCCAACAAAGACAAAAGGCAATTAAAAGGATCATGGCATTTACAGATATGCATTCCTCATAGAATCGATGTATTCCTCACAGAATCGATGCAGAAAATTATGATACAATGCCGCTCCATCCAAAACATTTACACCCGACTTTATCCCCCGATTTCCAATTCCAATCCCATCTTGAACTCCGGCCCCCTATAATACGAAAGAGAACGACGGCGATAAAAAAAGACCAAAAGAAAAACGCATGGCCACCGATCAATGATAATTCGGCGACGAATCTAGCTCCAACCCTTCCTCCACAGCAACCCCATCGACTCCCCGCGGCGAGCGCTGGTCGACAAGCCTGTACCCGCCCTCGGCCTTGCCAATCGTGCCCCTCGGAAGCGTAAACGCAAACATGGCCGCAGCGGCAAGCGCCGCGAGCGCCGACGACAGCAGAAACGGCAAGCCCATCCACCCGCCGCCGATCTCGAAGCCCTTGGCGAGCAGCCAGCCGAGGGCCGGCACGCCGGCGAGGCCCATCAGCGTCTCGGCCGTCGCGAGCGTGGTGTTCAGCGTGGCGAGCGAGTCCTGGTCGACGAGGTCGGCCAGCAGCGCGCGCAGCTGCGGCGGGAAGCCCGAGCCGAGGCTGTAGACGACCATGGCGGCGACGAGCACCCACAGCGCAGCCGCGACGGCCGTCAGTAGGCTGCCGGCCGTCATGAGTAGCACGGAGCCGCGCGATAGCAGTAGATCGCGCGGCGCGACGGCCATGGCGCGGCGCCTGGTCAGGAGGCGCGACAGCAGCGGTAGTATGCCGAGCAGTACTATTACGGAGATGACCTTGTTGACCGTCGTCAGGTACGTGGCGGCGGACCAGTCCCAGCCGAAGCGCACCGTCACGTACTGCAGCAGGTTCATCTCGAAGGCCGTGTAGATGGGGTTCAGCAGGCCGTCGGCGAGGACCAGCAGCATGATGCTGCGGGAGCCGAGGATGAAGCGCCAGATCCGCGACAGCTCGCGGGCTGCCGTGCCCAGGGCCGTTGCCAGCGCGCCGCCGCCGCCGCCGCCGCGTGCTTTGGTGAGCGGGCGCACGTGGTCGTGGTCGTGGTGGGCGGACTGCTGGCGCAGCGGCAGGGTCTCGGGGATGAGCAGGGTGGAGAACATGCTGAGGACCAGCGCGGCCAGGCCGATCCACATGGGCAGCCACGGGTCGATGCTCAGCAGCCAGGCGGCGAGGGGCCGGAAGGCGGCGCTGAGGATGAGCATCATGGCGTGCATCTGGTAGAAGAGCGACGTGCGGTTGGCGGACGACGTCGAGTCGGTCATGATGGTCCACACCATGGCCGTGGCCCCCGGCGTGCCGCCGCCGATCAGCAGCGCCACGGACCCGGGCAGCAGGTGCCAGATGGAGAAGGTGTCGGGGCGCCGCAGCACGACGATGGTCCACGCCGTGGACAGCACGATGCCCAGCAGCCCGGCGAACAGCACCGGCCGGCGGCCGCGCCGGTCGGCCACCATGCCGTAGGGGATCTGCACGAGCAAGGGGACGAACATGCCGGTCCACAGCAGCCAGGTGCGGGCCATGGCGAGGGTCTTCTGGACCTCCTGGCCCTTGCAGCGCGGGTCGGGGGCGGCGCGGGGGTCGTTGACCGCGTGGTCGGGGTAGATGCCGTGGCAGGCAAAGTCCTCCATGATGGCCTGCAGCGGCGGCTCCATGATGTACATGCTGAACTCGACGATGAAGAGGAACACGACGCACATGAGGATCACGTAGCGCTGCCGCTTGGGGTCCATTTCGGCGGCAGGAGCCGCTGCTGCCGCTGGGGATGCCGGCAGAAAATACGCGTCCTCATCGCCATCGCCGTGGCTGCCGCCGTGGCCGATGCTCTCCGACTCCACGTCGAGTGAGGTCTTGCGCCGCGGTTCCAACCGGATGCCCACCGCCATGGCTGGCTGCTACTTATCGTTGCGCTGAGCTGCGCGCGCTAGGGTGTTTGTCGTCTGTCAAGATTGCATCTGGCAAGGTGGCTGCAAAGGCGGTTGCCGATCGCCAAAAAAAAAAAAAGGAGGAAAAAGGCCAAAAAGAGACGAGATAGAGAGAAATGCAAAAACAAAGAAGACGAGCACAAACGGCCAACCGCGTGTTGATGGTAGCTTTTCTTAGCTCAAAAGTTAGAAGGAGAAGAGAGCGCTGGAAATGAGCGAGGTTCAGCTGGAGCCGCAGGCAGACGGAACTTGCGGGCGGGCGCTGTGCTATGCGCCCCTGAAGGAATGTTTGTTGGTTGGGGCTTGGAGCTGCCATGTGAGCACTAGGCCTGATCTGGGCTAGTTCGGCGAAAGCTCCGGGCAGGGCTGGGCCGCGCCAAGTGCATAATTCCGATATTGCAATAGCTGTCACTGTGATATACCGATACGTCGCCATACAACGGTAAGTTTTGTCACTGAGGTGTCGGAGAGGGAGAACACGCGGTCGCGAATTTGACGTCTTGTTGTTGAATTTACCGCCGTTTAAGTTCGCCTCCGATTATTATGCCACCCCTTTTCTGCTCTCTACTTTTCCCTTAATTCTATTGACCGTCGTTGTCAGATTATGCTGCTGCGCCGCCAGCTGCAGCCTGGCCCTCGTCATGTCATGTCCAACCGGGTCCACCTGCCCAGCAGGGCCGTCAGCACCGCAACGCCGTCAGCACCGCAACGCCGATCTCGCCAATGCCAACGGCGAAAACCACGCGGATACCCGCCTAATATGCATGGAGGATCCCAGGCACCACATCGGCTAGGGACACGTCTGTGATGGCAGTGGCGCCGGCGGCGAGGACCTACGCGGTCGGCTGCGCCACTGATGCATCATTAGATGGCTAGTTGCCTAGCAGACCACATCGTCACAGATGAATCCACAGCATGCGACAGTGGGACTGTGGGTCGATCATTCACCAAAGCACCTCTAATGACGGGCCCCAACACACTGGCGATGCCGTACGAGAGGACCGATGAAGCTCAGGAGCATGGGGCGCTTGGAGGGGTGCGCCGAGAAGGCGACGATGGTGTAGGCGTCGGACCCGAGGCCGGCGGCGCCGACGCCCGCGAAGGCGCGCCCGACGATGAGCGCCGTGCTGTTGGGCGCCACGGCGCAGATCAGCGACCTGACCTCGAAGATGAACATGGCCGACAGGAACCCCGGCTTGAGCGCAAAGTACTTGAACACCTTTGCCCCCTGGACCAAACCATTCCCAGGCAAGTCAGCGACGGGGTCTGCATTGAAGTAGCCGACAGATAGGGATGCTAGTCACGTACAGGCGGACGGGAACGCGGCCGACGTCATGAAGAAGGCCGAGCCATACTACGACGCCTCGTCGAGGCTGTGGGACTGGTCCGTGAGCTTTGGGATGGCCGTCGCGACAATCGTCCAAGTGCCACCAACGCGCGAGTTCCACACAATTAATCGAAGTAATGGTGACCCAAGAGCAGACGAACCATGTCCAGCGCGCACAGAAACACGGCAAGAAACAGCGCTGTCACGACGGCGAGCACTGGGCTAGACGGGTAGACGCCCTCTGCCTTCTCTGCTGCCAGCGCTGATTCAGCATCGCCGCCGCCGTCTTTCTCTGCCTGCGATCCCGAGTCGGACGAGCGCTGCTGCTCGCCGCCTTTCGCCGTGTCGTTGTCATGTCGTCGCGCTCTGCCAACTTCTCAACTTCTCGAACGCTGCGTCTGGTTCTGCTGCCGGACGGGGACGCGCGTCCGAAATTTTGTACGCGTGTTGGGATGTAGGTGAAGATTGAAAGGGAAATAAAACAAGAGACGAGTTAAATGAACATTCATTTGTTCATTTTCCCCTTCCTAGGTTCCCAGGTTCCCCCTCGCAGCGACAAAGTAAATAAATAATAGGCGCACGGTTAATGACATGCAGGTTAATTATCGCAGTAGCCGGCACAAGTCACGTCGAGGTCAAGCTCAGCGTGCCTGCCTCAAGCGCTAACCTCCGGCCTCCAGCGGATCTTAGGCCGAGCCAAGCGTACGTGTAGACAAGGTTGTCCCACTGCGAGTTTCACCTCGACGCATTCGTGGATGTTACGTAATCAGTGCACGGCCCTACCGGGATCATTTAGAGCTTCTTTGACAAATCATCTTCTTTTCTTCTCTCGTTTCAGATGGCATTAGCCACAACAATGGAGAGCGTTTGCTCACCTACCTACAATTGTGCGACTGGGGCCTACTAATGAGAATCATGGTCAGACAGGGACTCCAAGTTCATATCCGCCTTGTGGAGGGGAGTGTTTAAGGCACTGAATACAAAGCTGTTGCTGTCCACAGCATACCACCCCCAAACGGATGGCCTGTCGGAACGAAAGAACCAGACCGTGGAGATCGCTAACGATACCACATTGCGGTCAACGAGGAAGTGAGTTGGGTGGATGGGATGCCCGCCCTACGACACAACCTCAACCTAGCATACACCGAAGCTATAGGGATGTCACTACTGGAGCTCATATTGGGTTTTGTTGCACGCGATCGAAGTTGACAGCGCATTGAATTGTCTGCTCAATAGGTCTAAAAGTACAGAAAAGAACGCTTCCTTATACTCAGGGAGAGAGGGCAAGGGAGGCGTTGTAATCAGCCCGAAAGAGGGCATTCCGAATGAAATGAGGACATGCCGAGTCAAGAATGAAGGAAATAACAAAGAATGAAGGAAGCTCAGAGGCATGTCAACCAGGGCCTGTCCAATTCCATGAAAAGTGGGTCAATTCCAGACGACAGGTTTCAAACCAAAAGCAGCCATCGACCTTGTCTTTGACAACAACGAGGTTTATGACGTGGCAGCCCAACGACTATTATACAGTCAGGAAGCTCAACTGGCCGTAGCCCACGCTCAAGCTAACGCAAAGATGCGAACCGACCCCAAACGCCAGCCCACTGAGATTAGGGCAGGCGACATGGTCTACCTGCGGCTACACCACGGCTATAACTTACCGGGCAGACCTCCTCGAAAATATTCTTCATAGAGGACTAGACCATTCAAGGCGTTAGAAATGAGAGGCCCACTAGCATATAAACTGGAGCTGCCATCAACGTAGAAAATCCATCCAATTGTCACAATCACCCAGTTGATGCTGGCTCTAAACGACGACCCATATGAGCGACTGAAGCCAGCGCCGGGAAAGATCATCGAAGATATAGAGGACGAGGATAAAGAGCCGTTCGAGCTCGATAAGATTCTCAAGCGACGAGTCACCTGCGAGGCGGCAAGTCAACAGTCGAGTACCTCATCAAGTGGAAAGGATATCAAAACCAGTTTAATAGCTGGTACCCTCGAAATGCATTAAGAGAGACAGCGTCGGACCTCGTCACGAAATTTGAGCATGACAACCCAATACAGCCAGAGGAGCTCAAGCCACCACGCGCCGGGAAGGCAAAAACCTCTTAATCAAGGCTGACGACATTCGCCGGCAACATCCTTTGCACTAGCCGCAGCGCAAATTCTGTCAGGTTGCCATATTTTCTTGCGGTCACAGTACCAAGCACGTCATTACTAGTGCGCACCTTCCCTTACGGAGCGGTGTAACCTTTGGGGACCCACATACGGCATTTAGAAGCACCTCGGCGACGTTGTTTCACCACAAACCACCCCCCGTACAAGAATTTCCTTCCTCATACCGCACACTTCGGCACAGTCGCGCAGTACAAAATCAAGGGCGCCGAACCGGGAATCAATCGCGCGAACAACCCTCATCCTACGCAACTGACGCCCAACACCCGCAATGGCACCACCAGTCCCACGCAGAATCACGGTCAGAGACTGCGAGTACGAGGGTAATCCAAACATCATTGCCCAACACAAGCACACCCTAGCATTGACCCCGCCATACAAGTGGATAGCACTACACGTTAAAGAATAGGGAAAGATGCCCAAAGAGATCGACGTTACCCTGGCCTATGAAGAGCTCAATCAGTCATCAGGATCAACACCCAGTAACCATGCGCTATACAAAAAGCACGTCAATAGCTTCGTTGGCGACGACCCAGATGATTACTTCGCAAAAGGACAAATTCACCAGCTGGAAGCAGATCGACGAACTGGTGGAAGGACCATCCATTCCAGCAATTGGCGGCCCAGAGGTCTGGATGGTCTTGATGGCCTTGATGGTGTTAGAGACCAACAGCGATAGATTCAAGAAGTCATCTAAGGCCTATCAAGACAAGAAGAAAAGATGGGGATGCAAATCCCACAGAAGCTGCGGGCCACCTTCCAACGAATGAACCTCAGCTGGCTCATCACAAGCCCAAAAGCCGACCCACCCAAGTTTTGGGAAGGGGCCAAGTGGTACAACCCAAACTAGCGCAATCGCCACCAAAAGCAAGTCAAGCATAAAAAAGACCTAGATAGCTCACCAATCGATCTCAACGGCACTTTCGGTAACGCGGAGATGGAGAAGACAACTACGGAAAAAGTGCAGAGTGCCATACCCCATCCGAATGACGACATCGAGTCAGACCTTTCTAATGACCTTACCGAAGACGAGGATGAGGATGAGGACGAAGACGGGAACGACCCCGATGGAATCGACAAGCTCACCGAAGCCGAGCTCAAGGCAAGAAGCGAGGAGATCAAAAAAGTCGTGAGTCAAAGCGTCAATATGCTCACCATCAGCAAAGACAATACGACCTTGACAACGGCACTGAAGGACACCATCAGAGAGCAGGATAAAGAACTAAAGAAGGTCGATAAGCGACTCGAGGGAATGACCAAGGACGAACCACCACCAGACAGCCACGAAGTAGACGTGGAGAGTCTCAACAAGCAATTCAAGGAGCTTACCAGAACCATCGCCAAGATGCAGAAAGAACGGGACAAAATGGAGAAAGAACGGGACAAAATGAAGAAAGAACGGGTCGAAATGGAGAAAGAACGGGACAAAATGAAGAAAGAATGGATGATTTCGCAGCCATGCTGAAGGGAAAGAGGAAGCTCGAGGACATCGACGAAAAGAGACGCATACACAAAAAGAAGCTGAGGGAGCTGGACGATGAGGAAATGAACATGACAGAGACGGACAAGACTAATTGATGAGATCGTTTTGGAGTTCCCATCAAGGGACAGCCAAAGAAGCTATCGTGGGACCGCCTGAGGGCAGGCAGGAATTTTGCAAGGGCAGATGTTACGGAATCAGTGCACGGCCCTGCTAGAATCATTTAGGCCCTCGTAGGGCACCTTAGCTTCTTAGGCAAATCATCTTCTTTTCTTCTCTCATTTCAGGATGGCATTAGCTACAACAGTGGAAGCGGCACGCTTTAAGCTCCGAGCAGCACCGGATCTTAGGCCGACCACGTCCGTTGGTTCCGTGTGACGCTGCCCGTCGAGCAGTGGCACTAGCGGGAATCTTGGCGCCAAAAAGGTCTACATGTTTGTGCAGACTTTTTTCTTCAGCACAAGAGACCCTGCAGCGTGACAACGCCGTGAAATTCGCGTCTGGCGGGCTAGCGGCGGGCTGGCTTTGCTTCATACCAGGAAAGCGAGGAATTTCAAGTCCTTTTAAAGTAAACCGCCCTCCCCGATGGTGGGTTTTTTACTCGAGGCGATGGCAATTTCGTTAAGATCTAGCTGGGTGTTGCAAGGCTTAGCTTGGCTTAGCTTGGCTTGGCATACCATTTCACCAGCAATGAATGGGTCGCTAGGACACTAATTATCTTACTGAAGCGTTGAGTGGCTGATTGCTTCATCGGGAATATAACCTTGAGGCCCCAAACAGGTACACACCTCTACAACAGAGAGCAAATCAACCTTGCTTGAACGGCGATGCAGGGCCATGCAAGATTAGATATTTGAAGGCTACGACGGGTGATGCAGCCCGTCACTGCTTCCGTGGAGTGGTGTGTTCCATTCCTCGGCTTCTGGCGAGCACGGGTCAAGCTTTTCACGCCACGAAATGCCGCGATCGAGATTGTTGGGGAGAAAGACGCGAAAGGCAGATAACACGGGCCTTAGGCGTACACTGACACACTACACTGACACACTACATTGACGCTTCCCTTGCTGGTTCAGCTCCTAGATGTGACCGAGAACGGTAGCAGAACCGATACACCTGGGGGCTCTCGGCTACCAGCCAATCGACCTGTTACATCTGATCGTCTGTGTAATCGGGAAAACGGGACGACCCGAGGCGCAATACAAGTCTGAACAAACGTCAAGGGCTCTTGCAAGGATATGACGCACCCCCCCCCCTAATAGGTGCTTTACGACGAGAGCCAACGTCGAAATTATGGGATTGTTACCAAAACCTCACCTGCTTGACTCCTGGTGGCGCACACGTCGGTTGCCAGCAGCGACATCGTGCCCGCCGCTGCGCCGACATTCGTCTGCGGCTGGCCCCGATCGACTGCGACAATGGCGTCGACCAGTGACTGGAAGATGTCACCCGGGCCCGTCTCCAGGTTCAATACTAGTGGGCCCGATGGCCAGCACACTTACCACCGTTGACGAGGGTCACACATTTGACGGCATGCAGGTTAGCGACGACCTCCGCCGACACCTTGTCGGGGAGTGATGCCTGCTCTAACTACCATGGCGGCCAGCCCCAGGATGATCTGGAACAATACACCCACTACGACACACAGTCCAGCGCGTCCAGAGATCCCTGCACCATCTGCTATAAGCTTGCGATGGTCTAGTCATGGGGCAAAAGCGAAAAAGGGGAGCTCCTCGGCTCCTTTGCACCCACGTAGCGGGATGCCTCGTTACATGGGAGAAAGAGGGTGAATAATATGAGAAGAAAGGCAAGGAAAGCAGAGAAAGAAAACAGACACTACAGGCAGCTGCCTCACGACCATCAAGACCTGACTTGCTTCTCACGGCCATCAAGACCTGACGTGTTTCTCACGACGAGATCCCAGGTGAGTTTGGACGCTCTCTAGCCGCTTAGGTGCGCGACAGCTCGTAGTTGGGGCGTTTGGCGACGGGCTCCCTGGTACTGCTACGTAATTAGTAGTTGCCTATCTAGGTACTCAATGCAAGCCCGGTGGACGGTGCCACGAACAAGAACTCGACAGGTCGTACAGCGTCGGCCCAAAATCCCCAGTAGGTGCAAAAGCTCCGCACATTTGTGCGGCTCGAACCTGACGGCGTCAGGTCCGAGTTGAACTACTAGTTGTCTGTCTAGTTAATTTTGTGCGAGCGTACTATCAGTCGCAAGACCTGCTTTTCCCTTCTCCTGAACACTCCATTGGTGTGTTTCACTCAATAGCCTCATGACGAAACACTCGCCCCTCATTCATTAATGCATGCATGCCTGCCTCCTCGGGGCTCGGTCTCGAGCTGCCGCTGACACAGACACACACGCACACTCTCTCTCGCAGCGCGGACCATTCCGTCGTGGCCACCGCCCGTGACTCTACTGCTGCGGCCTGCGTTGAGACGGGGGCTTCTGGAGGTAGCCGGATCCAGCTGGACGTGCGCCGCGGTTGTTCGAGAAGAGGCATAATTATGGGCTGCTCGGAAGCCTGGAGGGCATTCCGTTGGTTTGCACTCTGCACTGTATGCTTGTTTCCATATCCCCCTTCCCAAGTCGCCTGACTGACGTTGCCCTGGGCGACTAATGAATTTGCAACCCAGGTCGACAGCAACCTCGATGAGATCATGCGATGCATCAACAGCGTGCTGCCGTACTTCGGGCCGCTCAGATTCAGCTGGGGCGCCACCATCGTCAACATGGGCAGCGTATCTGCCTACTTACCTTAGTTAGGTAGTCAATCCCCCGTCTGCACGGCGTTGCTCGGCATCCACGCTGGTGGCTACCGAGGGCCTGGCCAAGACTCTGGTGCTCGAGGCAGGGCCGCCCGCCCCGGCAGAGACCCGCATGGTGGCTTGCATGATCTGATCGAGCGCCGCATCATTCTCCGTACGTGATTCGTACGGAATGTCACAAAAAAAAGCCCGAGGCCGATACGGGACAGGCACATTCCAGCGGCGCAGTCAGTGGAACCGTGGTACAGTTCTTGGGATGTCTGGCATGGAAAGGGCTTGAAGGAAGCAACCCCGGGGACCCCTTCCGTCATGCCAAGCGAGTTTCGTTTCCGAGGTTGTCGAGGGCACGGGCACGGCCAGAGCTGCTTACGTAGCTGGGTGGTCCAGGACCCGCGGACGGACTGAGAGTATGCTTCGTACTGGGCCCATTTCTGCACTTCGTTCCGCACACGTATAGGTGTAATATTGGGTATTCTTGCTGCTCCGCGTATTGCTCGGCCGAAGCATCAGTGGAAGGAGAAGTTCGGGCAAAGGCAAGAGCGAGCGAGCGAGCGAGCGAGCGAGCGAGACGAGCGGGCGGCCAGGGCCCCGGCGACTTTCCAGGAAGGGAGAATCGGGGACTAAATTTCGGCGTAAAGATTACCTTACCTAGGTGGGTAGCTTAATATCGGTGAAGCGGAAGGCTTATCCCTTATCAGACATCGTCCACCCACCTCTTCGTCAACGCTTGGCGGTGAGCCGGTAAGGCAGGCAGCTGACCTTACTCAGACCGATTGTGTACCGGAAGGGGAGAAACTGCCAAAAATGTATCTGAAATGCAGACTGTTAGTCAGTCGGTCACATTGTTACGTTCGTGTCACAGCCAGGTATGGTAAGTAAGCTTGTTTTACTCTGGTCCGGTCCGTTATTCTTCGATTTAGGCAATGTTGCGCGTCTGACTGGCTCTGCCTCCTCTTACTTTTCTAGCGTCTGACTGGCTCTGCCTCCTCTTACTTTTCTAGCGACGCCAATCTCATTTCTGTCCACCACAACACGACTACCTACACTTGGCTAGTTCTCGGGAGGCGGCACATGTTACACCCACCATGGAAGGGCCTGCCTCCCGTGAAGTGGGAAGCGTGACGTCCACGCACATCTAGCTAGCTTTAGTCCGGCCAAAATTGAGAATTACTGGCTACTTCCAGAACCAATAATGAATAGCGCACACTATACCAGAAGGATCGCAATGCTTAATATGCAATCCTACTTATCTCAGGAGCTTGGCCCCCGCGCCGCATACTCAGAGCACAGGCACGGGAAAGGACAGCACCTAGCCCGCGGACCTGACTATTAGTGCGGAATCAACAACAGCTACTGTCGACTCACTGAGCCAGCAGTCCTGCAATTATCCAATACAAGTCGTCCCGCCCACATCCCACACTACCTTCTGCCCTCTCCTGACTTCCCTGCGCCTGCCTGTCAGAGAACGAGGACGGGAATAGTTAGGTACATAATTATCTTGGGCTTCCTGCACGCACACCTGACCCGCATGCCTAGCTGGTACCGAGTAATGGCAAGCATCCCCTCTCTGGCACTGCCCTGCCAGCTTGGCACCTATCCTGAATAGATGACAGTCCGAAAGTGAGCCGAATTCAAACCAATGGGTATTTAGCGACAAGATTACGAAGAGCCAAGATAGCATCATAGCAGGCAGTAATTGATAAAATAGGTTACCTGACGGGTCAGGAAGGGGTCAGCTGAACGGAGCCTCTTTTTTTCTTGTTTTTTGCCTCTGGCGGCGCCTGCGGCGAGCTGTCCTCGCTTCGCTCGAGGGAATGGGTGGCTGGCCGAGGGGTGCTAGTCATGTTTGACCAAGTTATAACCACGGCATCTCTTGTATTCGAGAGTAATCTGGTCGTTCGGCGCCTCTTCAGGTATAGGGAGGATCGGGCGGTCGGGAGGCTGGCGACGGCGTCTGGGTTTGGCGCATCCGACCGTAGCCATGGCGGCGGCTCGAAAAACACGCGTTCCTAGTGATATATTAGTAGGGATCAATAGGGTCGTAATCGTAAAGTATTCGGCGTGCCTGTCCATAGCTGGAAAGCGATAAATCGTGCGTGCGATTGACCGAGGTTGAATTGCGAGATTGAGGAAGAAAGTCGTTTATTTTGGGGGGGTGGGAGCTGGCTAGAAAGTTGAAGGTACCGCACGGACGGATTGACAGCCATTCTACCTCACGACACAGCAAAGCAGCATTTGACGGCTTAAAACGTCCGAGGATTATCCGATCGATCAGTCCCTCGAGTCCATTTCGACACGGACGAAAACTGCCCAATCCCCGGGTGAGAAACCTTCGGCACCTTCACAGTAAAGTAGAAGAGACAGCCTATCTACGCCACCTCCGGCTCGCAAGCTCGCCTACGGTGGCTCCGTTCAGCTGAATTAGCAAGTATCGATTCCCTCCAAGACCCGGTTGCTGGTGCCAGTGCCCAGTGCCCAGTGCCCAGTGCCCAGAGCCTCTCACCCATCATATACCATAGCGAGGCCGAGATGAAGAATACTACTTACTACCAAGCCCTGCCAAGTTCAGGTAGACCTAGGTAGATAAAAGACTCGCGCCCAGAGTCCAGCGCCGGTATTTGGCCTGCCGCAAGCCACATTCTTATCGCCAAGTAAGGCAGCTTGCAACAGCCCGGCTCTTTCACAAGCCGCCCCCATTGAGCTAACTGATACATTTACCCATTTCACACACAATGGTCCCATCCATCACGGAGGCCACTCCGCACACAACCACGGGCGCCAAGCTGATGCTAATCTCGACGGGTTGGTGTACAATGGTATGTAATTGCGTGCCTGAACGACGCGGCCGAGATGCCGACCACCAAATTAATGTCGCGCAGACCTGCTCTGCGTCCCGGACCGCGACGTGTTTGCGTACGGAGAGGCTCTGCGGGCCATGGCGGCGGAGAAAGAGTCTTCGCACACCGAGTTCTCGCGGCTCCGGGATCTCTCGGACCTACCGCTACCAGAAAGATGGAGGAGATCCTGTACGTGGCCAACGCGACCAACTTCCGGCAGCACCTGCTGAAACGGTGGGGCAAGGACCTGTACGTCGTCAAGCACCCGACCAAGCCGGGCCACTGGGTCTTCAAGGGCCGCAGCGACGACGTCGTGGTTCTGTCCAACGGCTACAAGATCTCGCCCGTCGCCACCGAGGCCCTCATCGCCACCCACCCGGCCATCGACGGCTGCCTGCTGGTCGGCACCGCCGAGCCGCAGGCCGCGCTGATGATCGAGCTCCGCGACCCGGCCACGGCCCTGCCCGTCAGCGCCGAGCTCTTCGAGAGCATCTGGGCCCTGGTGCAGCAGGCCAACGCGCTGTCCATAACTAAAGACCAGCTGCACCGCGAGGTCGTGGCTACCGTGTCGCCGGGCTTGGCCGACGTGCTCGTCGACGCTGACTTGTTCCACCTCGGCCTCGTGCCGCCGCAGCCCGACCAGGCAGCCCCGTCCTCGTTCAGGGGCCCCCGCCAGCTGGTCTACCGCGACCTGTCCCAGGCCCTCCCGTCCTCTGCCGACATGCGCCGCGCCAACTTCACGTCGCCGGCGGTGACAGAGCAGCTCGTGCGCGGCACGCCATTCTTCCCGCCGCCATCTGCTGCTGCCGCTGCCGCTGCCGCCGCCGCCAACCCTGCCTTCGCCGCCAAGCCCCTGTCGCCCACCTTCCGCCCGCCACCCAGCCCCGACGCCCGCGTCCTCGACAGCACCATGTTCTACATCTCGCCCGCGAAGCTCGCGCAGCTGCAAGCCGACGTCGCCGCGGATCCGGCTATCGCCGCGCTGCCGTCCTCCCGGGGGCCGTCATCCAGCGACATCATCCAGGCGCTGTTCTGGGGCGCGGCGATCTGCGCCCGCTACGCCGCTATCACTGGGCACCACGGGCAGCCCATCCCGCGCGACGCGCCGTCCATCCTCGAGCAGGCCGTCGACGGCCACCCGTACTTCTCACCGCTCCTCCCGGGGAGCTACACGGGCAACCTGCTGGTGTTCAACCGGCTAGCACTCCCGGCCGACGAGCCCGTCAGCAGCGCGTCCGTGACCGACGTCGCGCGGACGGTGCGCACCTGCGCGGCGCAGGTGCGGCCGCAGCTATCCCACGACGCGCTCGCCACCATCCGCGAGCCCGTGGCGGATTACAGTGCCGTCAAGTTCGCGCTCACGCGCCACGACAGCATGGACATGATGATGACGACCTCATGCTGTTCTCGACGAGCGAGGTGCTGGCGTTTGGAGCCGGGCTGTTTGGCGGTGAGGGCGGCGAGTCACGGGCTGAGAAGCGCTGGCCGGCGGCGCTAGGGATGTTACTCAGCGTGCAGAACTCGGCGCATCGTCTGGGGATCATCTTGCCGCTGAGGAAGGATGGCGGGGTCCGAACTGTCGATTGGCACGTTCCCCGAGGAGCTCGCGCCGATGCTGCGCGATGAGGATGGATGCGCTATGCGGTTTTTGATGTCGGACTCGGCGGCGTGAATACGTACCTAGTGGCTTTCCCGTTCTGTCCTTTTTTCTTGGCTTGCTTACTTTTGTGGTGCCGTGTGGCTATAGGCAGGAGAGCAGATCGGGGAATTAGGTTAGGAACAAAGCATAGCCAGTTGACTTGGCAATACCTACGGATGCCCACAAACGCTATACGCGAGCTATGCGCGTCTGACCAAGCCAGCCTTCTCTGCCGGCACCGTTAAAGGAGATGTAGGTAGCTGAAAGCGTACCCACCTGCCCTACTCTTTGATCATACGTTGAGGGACAACACGTGGCAACGTCGTGTCTTGTCAGCATGCACAACCCCCACGTGGACCTCAACGCCGCGTTCATCATGTACCCCTGTCTCCTCAACTCTGCAAAGAACTTGGTTCCAACGGCCGGGAAGCCACCCGACGGAAACGGCCGCGAAAAGCCGGCATGGCTGGGCCGCCGACGGCCCCCCCCAACGAGGTGCATGAGACTATCGAAGCCGTGCCCTGCCATGTCCCCTGTAAATATTCGCCGACCCAGGGTGCACCTCGTATTTAGTCGTGCTGTAATAGGGCAGGCAACCTGCAATCGCACACACCAATGGCTGACACAAAGTTGGTCGGAGATCGGGCAATTACAAGGCCGCTTATCAGCAGTATCAAGTCACAACCACCAAACACATGTCGGCCCGGCTTGTTCGGTGCCCATGGCGATGCAGGGGACGGAGAATAGGGGACGGGTGGCTTACCGTCAAGCCGGCTCGAGTTGACCACGGATGCATCTCTGTGTTTATAAATCTAGTTCTCATCACGCCCTTTTACTCTGTATATCCAAAGTAGCAAATCAGCTCGACAAGCCCAAAGCCCCTCGACAAGCCCAAAGCCCCTCGACAAGCCCAAAGCCTCTCGACAAGCCCAAAGCCTCTCGACAAGCCCAAAGCCCCTCGAGTCGTACTCAGCCACATCCAGCTAGACAACAAGCTTTGCAACTTCTCCATCCCAGACATCAATCCCACACATCAATGGCTTCCCTAAAGCACCTTGTGCTCGCCCTTGCCGCCGTCCTTGCCCCGGGCGTCTCGGGCCGGCAGCTCCAGCGGCGGGATGCCTCGGCCAACGATCCCTACCCCTTCTGCAACCCTGCAACCAGCCCCGACTGTATCGAGGGCGGAAAGTACGTCAAGCCGGACCTCGACTTCTCAGACCAGAACGACGTCGGCGATGTCGCCTACCGGCAGTACCTCTCCACGCACACCTTCGCCCTCTCGCAGTGGACCAACGGCAAGATGCCCGAGGCCTGCTACTACTGGGCCGTCACCGCCGACCACTGGAACGCCGCCGACTTTGTCGTGTACAACGTGACCTTTTCCGACTGCCCGACGCCTTTTGTCGTGTGCTACAACAACAAGTCGCCCAGGACCGTCGGCGAGATTGCCACAGTAAGCTCCGGCCGGCCGCTGCTGGAAGCATAATAGAGCGCTGACAGCAAGTAGGAAATCAGCCGCATCCCCATCGGGATGAGACAAGCAACATCGTGCGCCTCCCCACCTCATTACCAACACACTGACCCACGAACCACACTAACCCACGAACCACACTGACCCCTACTGCTGCCCAGAATGTACGTGGTCTACGGCGACCAGGGGTCCGACAACCCATCTTACACAGGCTACATGGCGACCGCGTGCTGGGACGGCATCATCATCGGGCGCAGCAGCGGCTACTTCACGACCTCGCTCGTGCACGAGACGGGGCACGCCGTCGACTGCACGCTCGCATCGCCCGACGCGAGCCACCCGGCGTCGGGCAGCAGCTTCTCGGACACGGCGGCGTGGCACGGCGCCGCCGACGCCGACGGCTACGCCGTCACGGCCTACGGCACCGGCAACTACGCCGAGGACTTTGCCGACGTCGGCCGTGCCGTGCTGCTCGACAATGTCTTCCCCGGCGGCCTGTCCGCGTGGTCAAACAATAACCCCAATCTGACCCAGATTGCCCACCAGCTCGCCTCGTTCAAGGCTGTCGCCGGCGCCTACTATGTCGCCGGCGGCACGTGCAATGTGGCGAAGAAGTATCCGTTTCCCACGAATCTTGTTTCGGTGGGCACGCCGACGACGACGACGACGACGACGACGACGACGACGAGGCCGACGACGACGAGCGCGGCGAACCTCGCTACCGCTACGCCGTACGGCCAGTGTAAGTGGTGTCTACTTTGTCATCCAGGAATTTTGGGAGCCCGGCTTTTGAATCGCCATCCCATGTGGTGAGAATGTGACTGACGCGCTTGTGCCAGGCGGAGGCTGGTCGACGTACACGGGTGCGACGCTGTGCGGGTCCGGATACACCTGCACGACCTTGAAGTGAGTGATGCGTATATAAGTTCTGTCACGCGCGGCGCCTGTCGCGGCTCCGCTGCTTTGCGACGAGACGACGAGACGACGAGCAGCTTGCTAACATGGTGTTTCCCTGCAGCCCGTACTATGCGCAGTGCACCCCTGCGCCGGGACATTGATGGCCCGAAGCTCGTCTCTGTTTGGGGCCATGGCTACCACTTCAGGGCTGTGGTGAATGCTGGGGGCTAAAGACCAGCTTTAAGGAGACATGAGAGATAGGTACCACGTGGGCTAAGATAGCCTACAGCCTACAGCCAATACAAGTATACCGCCGCCCAGACCTCCAGGCAACAGAACAGGTATCTGTTTTGTCTGGCTGGTGCAGCGGTAGTCTACGACACCATTCCAGAGCAGTTACAGCTTTGTGTGCTTTGACATTGTCCGCCCAGACTCAAAGGGGTCCAGACCAAAAGTCATTGATCTTTGTGCACGAGGTAGTTAGATAAGGTTACCAAACGTCTAGCACCGCTCAAATCTAATTACAATTAGTTTGTTGCAAAACCTTTGCTAGTCCTCGGAGGGATTTCCGGGGGAAAAAAAATTGACATTGCCCTCTTATATTTCCGTCAGCGCCTCAGCCACCACATACCACCTGGCCTTTCTTGTTTAACTAGCGGTTCTGGCCGTATCTCTGGTCATGTATACAGCGGCTACCCCACCGGTCCCGCTGCGCGTGGGCTGCAGTTTGTGCCCCGGTGTGAGAGCCAACAAGCGCTCTTGCCCTACTCATCAGCAGGATCGTCGATTTTGCCGCATGGCGGACAAGCGTCTGCGACATTCTTGGTGTGTTGGGGGGTGGCCGGGTGGTGTGAATGGCTGGTTGAAGGATGAGTGAAAACATCTCAATCGTCGAGGACTTGTTCTGGTTTTTATGTTGACGTCTCTCACCCATCGCAAGAGTGATCATGTCTGAGAAAGTCTCACATGTATTTTCTTTGAAACCGCGGTGCCGTCCCAGGAGGCTCGTAAATAAGGCGTGGTTGCTCCAAATACGCGTGGTTGCTCCAAATACGCGTGGTTGCTCCAAATAAGGCGTGGTTGCTCCAAGTTCCGAAGATGGTGTTGTGCCCCTCGCTATGCAGCTAGATTTAGGGTCCTGAGTAGTAACATTACGTAGGTAGGCAACATTCATAATGCACCGCACACATATCGTTGCATCTTCGATGCAACACTACACTCAGTTGGTGGGCCGAGCGTCAGACAACTAGTAAATATTGAATGGTGAGTGTAAGCACGCGCCTTCGGGTGCTTACCACTTCTCGGCCTCTAGAGACTAAATATGGTGATTCGTACCTGTACTTGGCACTTCGGTGCCTTGGCGTTACAGAACATTTCATCGCCTCTGAGCTCACCTCGTTCAACTAGCAGAGAGAGTCCTTCGACGGACTTGGTAGTTACATAACATTATGACACAGACCTGACCAAAGTTGCTGGTCTTCCGATTCTCACTCTTTCAAGGCACCTTCACTGTTTTCCTGGTGGGCCCCGTGAGACGCCCATATCTAGACTTCAAACGTGCGCAAGTCGTGAGCGAGATGATGCTCGACTGAGCTCCAAATGCTGGGCCTCGGGGAGAATGAAGAGCCAAGCTGTTGTGGCGGTTGCCACCATACAGCTAGCTGCTGTTGCCTAGAGTGCCAGGCAAGAGGTATCTGTTGTGTGTACTAACGTTACACGAGCATTGCCCCCGACACAACCCAAACTCGCCAGCCAAGTGCATCCAATGCCTGTGAAGGAAACAGGTGAATGATGGATCTCAGCTATCGTCATCAACACCTCGCCCAGCGACATGCCGCGACTCCTGGCTCACCTATGATTTTCGGTTGTTGGGTGTGGGCGGCGTAGTGCCAAGTCGCCCAGAATAACAGGCAGACGTGACTCGGGCAACCCACGGCCTTGGCCCTGTCTGGAGGAGGATGGTCGCGGTCAACGGGCTTCAACGATTCTCCGCTACGAAAATTAGGTGCCAGCTCCTTCTGTCTTTGCATCCTAGTCCCTCTCATTCACCTTTCGCTTGTCATCCACAGACATCGAGGCAAAGAAATCGCCACAGCCATTCATCCAAGAAACAGCGAAAGAAATCGCGCGTGTGCGTGTCGGCCATGAACGACGCTCCAACGCTATACTAGACCCTATTGTGCCGGCGGCATTCTTGCCGCTCGCCCGTGCGACGTTCGGCTGCCAAAAGAGGCCGGACTCGTGAGCCGCCCTCGCCAGTACCGTGCTGCCACCGCCGCTGCTCCACGCCTGCGACCAGACCGAGCTCGGAAACTTGTCTGGCGCCTCGGCCGCCAGCATGGCACCGGACTCAGCCACACCAGGGAGCCTCATCTCCTCCGCGTTGACCCGGTGGTGGGAGTGTTTCTGTTGCCGCACGCTCTTGTATTCTTGTCCTGAACGATGGACAGCGTCTGCTCTGTGTACCTCAAACTGGGCTTTGCACTGGGGGTTACTGCCGGTGGCGTGGGAACATTTTTTTGATGTTGGCGTTCGTCAGCGCCCTGGCAATAGCCGTGTTGGCGACAGCCGTATCCGGGCCAGAGGCGTCAGCGACCGCTCCTCAATATCTGGGTGTGAGCAATGAGGGAGAGCTCGGAGGTAGAAAATCTAGAAATTATCAGACGACCTAAGCTCGCCCCCGAGTTCGTGGTATTTAGTTGCAAACTAAGCCGTTGGTAGACACATAGTGTGGCTACCACTCGAGAGTTCAGAAAGTGAAAACGTCGCTAGCTACCTCGGTATCATACCGTATCCGCTCATTGAATACATGTAGGGCTAATTAGAATAGAAAAGCGTACGCTAAGGTGACTGTCCCTGTCGCGATAGGAAAAAAAAGCAAATATGGCTTCACTGCATGGTTGAACGCCTTTTAGCACTCGGATATATCGTATTTTTATGGGGCTAAGAGTAGACGCCTTACTTAGTATTGGCCTGCATTGGCTGATTGTGTATTGGTCGAGTAGATGCGTACCGCCGACAACAACAGCGTAGCAAACAACATGTTTCATTGCCACAACAAGGTGAGGAAAGCGCTCTCGGTCTCCAACACAGACAGAGGAGCAAACAGCTAGAAGCTGACTTAAGACCGCAAGCTGTGTCGCAAAAAGGATACTGTGTAGAACTTGAGTGTGGATCTCGCAGGAAGTTTGGCAAACATGATAGCAAAGTGGAACGCGTCTGTAAAACTGCAATCGCACTAAAACAGGTACCTGGCTCAAGGCTACTTCACTATCAATCTTCCTAGGGGCAGTGTTCACTTCACGCGGGATAACTCAAGGACACGTCAATGACCTTCTCAACAGACAACCTGACTCTCAGACTACTGGCTGCTGATGGTGCGATTGAGGTTCCCAGGAGTGGGAACCGGCCAGGTAGATGGCAGCCTGATATTACGGGGGAAAGGCGCGGGATAGCGCGCCTCGTATTCCTTTTGCCGTCGCGTCAGAACCACGTCGCGGGCAAACCGCGCTGCCTCGCCGAGGGCAGTGAGGCTGTTGTCCTCCCAGGCCGCCAGCACGCAGACAACCCACTTCTGCTCCTGGCACGGCGGGACGGCCCTGGCGAGCTCGCCCATCCTGTCCGGGTCGTCGTTCCAGATCGGGCTCACCAGCAACATGTTCCTAATGTTGACGCGCACGCGCCGTTGTGTTTTGTTGAACATGACGTATCTGTCCTCGCCCCGGGGGATGTGGGTGAAGAGGACCTGCACGTTGCGCCGCACCGGCCCTCCATCGGCAATCTCGCCCTCCGTAAAGCGATTCATGACTACGAGGCACCAGTCCGATCGCCATATGTTTTCTCGGGATCGCTCAATGGTGCCTCCATTGATCATCATGAGGTAGACCCCCCTTGCCGAACGTCGGTTCCGCAGTGACATGGCTTCCTCACGGAAACTGAGAAAATGTGGGGTGATTAGTTACTGCGTCGGCACGAAGCTTGGGTGGGAAAAGTATGATGTTTGTTTGCTTGAGGCTAGTTCTGTTCGTAATTACTGGGTGTTAGATGGTGTGGATTCTTGCTCTAGGAAGATTCAAGATGGGCGGTAAGACCTGCGAAGACTGGCGAATGATTTTATACCTGTCCAAAAGCAGGCCATCTTGCCACCAATCGAGTCACTTTTAGCATGACATCTAGAACCAGTTCGTTTGCGGGCTCATACGGGGGGTAGTGACCGAACTGGCTTGACTGGGGACATCTCATTGCTATTGACGGTACGGAAAGGCAAAAATGGTTCACAGAGCTTCAATGTCGTCTCAAGGTTAATTATTTAACACGTCTGAAGGGTCATTCGATACGTCTTAGGGCTGTTCAATAGTAGCAAGATAATTAGCACTTAACCTATGACACCGGGTATACGAGTTTTTACAAGTCTTTACCTATAATTACCTAAGTACCGAACGCAAACGTTTCAGAGGTCTAATATCGTTTCCAGTTCACTTGACAGTGGCAGGATACTACTTCGACTTCTGACAACGAGCATGATGGCCTTTGCAAGCCTTTGCCTATAAGTGCTCGTAGAACCCCCCGCTATGCTTCCTGCATTGCATCTTCAGTTCATCACATCCAACACTGAGAACCACTCACAACTGCCACAGTAAGCTCCCAGCCATTATTTCTTTCTGCTTCTATTGACTGCTCTTTCTCTCCGCTGCGCACGCTACCATACTCCAAACGCTCTCTCCCCTTCAACCGAGCGTACTTTCACAGCCGGCAAAATGGGTTACTCTATCGATGAATCCAGCAGCGATACTTCCCACTGGAGCTGCTGCAAGTGTGTGGGGGACGGCATGAGCACCAAGAACGGCATCAGCAAGAAGAAGTGCAAATCATGCTACCACCCAAAATGTAGTGGTTGCATCGATGTGTAAATACGTTGCTTGGCGAGTCGGCGTGCTACCGACTCGGATGTCAATAGTCTGTTCCCACAATCGTATTCACAAGTCGTGAGCTCTGACTAACATAAACAGGTCAGACACGGTGTGCGGAAAGAATCTCCCCAGCAATGCGTGGCAATACCTTGGGGCTTCACCAGCTGGCAGGACCGAAAGATATTATGAATTCAGGGGGTGGATTTTTTTTTGGGAAGGGAAAGTTGGCAGGAACCGGGATAAAAGTTCTCAGCAATTTCCCAATGTCCTCCCGCGCAGAGAGCGGCAACATTGCCTCTACACCAGTTGATTAGACTCAAGAAAATACTAATCATTAATACCATTCGAGTGCTTTTGATGGAGTGCAGCGGGTTGCGGCCAGGCGGCTGCTGTTACCCAGACTGCCAGGCAACGGACCCTGACTGCCAGGTAACGGACGGTGTGTCAATGGCCCAATTGCAACTCAGCTGTGAATCTCCATCCTTGGAGAAATCCTTCGTTCACAATTGTTAACCTAATAAACCCGTTTCAGAATTTAGCAAACCAAAGGTCTGACTGGAGCCAACAGAGATTCTAGATATTATTCTCGGGCAATTTATTTTGTTCTGGATTCCGTGAACTTTTGTCAAATCAACGAAGAAGCTGGCAATCTTTCTTGGCTTCGCTGCTTTGCGTGGAGCAACGCTAATCCAGTTTGTCAACAATGCTCTCGTGTCTCATCAAGGGGGCGCGCAAAAATACCACTGGCAAGTAATAGGGCGTTCCCTCCACGTTGGTTTCACTAAGATCGGAAAACTATAACCGGCCCTCGGACTAAATTCCTGTCTTCGTTTCTTCGAGCGTGGTTAGACATTCAAATCGTCCAAAATGGAAACAACGCGCGTCAAGCCTTGCCGCATCTAGTGTGTTGATGTAATAAACAATAACCCATCTTGTATAAGAGGTTGAAGGTAAGGCGTTTCCACGCTGACGGCAAGAGCGCTCTGGAGCATGCCGGGCAGAGGCGAGGTTGGCTGCGCCAGACTTGGCATACGCAACAACAATCAGCACACGCACCGTCTCAAGTGCCGGGTTTCACAGCAGCCGAGACCCCCAGTAGCGTGCCAAGCAGCCCAGGTTCGGGGAGGAGACGAGTGAGGAAAAAGCCGGGCTCGTTCTGGGGCGCACAAATGACGATCCATGATAAATCCCGAGGCAATCCATCCATTGACCAGGCAGCCAAGCAAGTCTTGCGGGCCGGAGCTTTCCCGCCTCCCAAAAGCTTGGCGCGTCGTCGAGTTTAGTCTCGGGAGGGTGAAATGCAATAAATGAGACTCAGCCACAATCGTGACGAGGAAATCTGCTCATCACCGTCTGTCCTTTGTCGTAGGCGTGCTTGGCAAACGGCTCGACCGCGGGCATGTGCTCTGGCGCTGGGCCACGCTGGCAGCGCTCTGTGCGTATTGGGCTCCGTTGGGGCGACTAACAAACCATAGCGCCTCCCCGTTTAAGCCTTGGAGGTGTTAAGCTGCGCGAGGCATTCTGCATTCTGCGTGCGCGCGCGCTGCACGGTGGGCGATGCCAGTTTCGGCCCTTTCTCGACAGCTTGCAGGTCCTGGCCAAAATTAATGAGCCACCGAGGGCGTTTTGCATGCGAGAGTAATGGATGGGTGGGCTTCCAATCCGAGCCAACAAAAAGGAAAATTGATGGAGTTTCGGTGGGAGCCGCCGAGATCAGTTCAGGGCAGCGACGAAGCACTTGTTCGGTGGGCGGATTCTCTGGAGCCGCTCCGTGCCTTTTCAGGTTGGGGAGGTTGCGCCGTGATTCGCCAACGCCTCAAAAAGGCACCGTATCATGCGCCGCCCGCTCCCAACTGCCCGCCTCCCCGCGGAGTCGGGAGCGTACAGCACATGGACGCCAGGCACTGAACATCACTCTAGCTGTTTCAGTTTGCGCCCCATCAGATTTCGCGTTGGCCAAAAAAATCGGGCTGCTTCAGGGCCTTCAGCGCCCGCGGGTGGCTCAACAGCCAACGCCAATGTTGGGTTTCACCTCCACTCAATTGACCAATCGCTATCCCTCCGACGCTGGCGGACAGACATTGGGCTCCAAGAAGCTTGGGAAAGCTTGGGCAGCCGCTAAAATTATTCGTTCTTCTACTTGGGTCACCGTAAGGCAGTTACCAAGAAGCTCACTCGTATGTTAGACCGCTTTACCCAGCAGTCATCTGACTCACCTGCTACCAGCAGCACAGCTCTTTTACCTTCTGGCTTCGTTTGCGCAGCGTGCGCTGCAAACAAGGCGTTTTCGTTTCAACTGGACGGCAGCTGTGATCGGGCGTTGTGCACCAAAGCCAGCGCATCGCCAAGCCTTGGTCGACTCGGGCCTAGAAGCACCCCCCAGCAACTCACTGGCCGGCCAAGGCTCGCCAAGCAGCTTGGCCCGCGTTGGTGCAGGCTCTGAGCCAATTCCAGCACCGTGTTTGCACAGTGAAACTCCGCGCCAGTGAGCGCCGTCACACCACTACAGACTGGCACGACATGCACCGCCATGCCGCTATCCAGCGCTGCACGCGCTGGCCACACGCTGCCAAGCACAGTACGGATGCGATGCGCCTCGCGGTCGTGCCTGCCAAGCACAGTGGCTAATCATTTCAGGTTTGATTCCTAAAGTCTGGGCACCAATTCAACTGAAGCTTGTTTTCCCCAGCGTCGCGCCTGCCCACCGTCCGCTCCTCCTCCCTCCCGACCACAGTGACCTGCTGGCCCCCCCCAAGTGACGACGAGTTTGTTAGCGCATGTCATCGTGCTGCATCACCCAGTTCCCCGTTCCACTCCATCCACCCGCCAAGCGGTGCCTTGCCTTGTCTTGTTTAGCTCTTTTGTTTTTCTCTTTTCTCCTACGGAGGCCTCTTCTTTCTTGATATCCCCATCTTTTGAGCCCCCCATCCGTCAACTTTTCTCCTTGCATTATTGTTGTTGAGATTTCTTTTTCAAGAGACGCGCCTTCCACGCGCGCAGATCGACTTCACTTCTCTACGCTCCCTCATTCGGTCATGCATTGCTCAATCGAGTAACGCTCCCACCGCCATTGTTTCTCCACATCTTTTTACCTCCTCGCCTTCCATGGCGGCGGATCCTGAGGCCGTTGGTCATGAGGTAAGCTTTTATTTTATTTCTACCTGTCTCCATGTTTATACCGCGATGCTATCCCGACCAGCAGCCGGCGTGCCGAGAACCCGCAAGGACAGCGCCTGTGGTCAGCAATTGACTTTCGTTCCTCTCTTAGCCCTTGAGCTCCACACCCCCATCCACCAGGGGTGATGATGATGCGCCCAGCACGACGCAGGTGGGCACCGGGAGCAGTGCTGGTGGCAGCCCGGCACTTGCCGGCTTCCACATTGACGTCGACGATGCCCTCACGCCGGACCCCCGCACTGAGGACATGTTTGTCGTCCGGGACAACAAATTCGCCTACTCTCCCGGCCAGCTGTCCAAGCTTCTAAACCCAAAGAGCCTCAGCGCCTTCTACGCCCTCGGCGGTCTCGCTGGTCTGCAGAAGGGCTTGCGCACCAACCTCAACTCGGGCCTCAGCCAGGACGAGAGCACTCTCGACGGCGGTGTCGCCTTCGAGGATGTCGCCCCCAAGGGCACCCCCAAGTACGGCGCCAACGGCAACACGGTCCCCGTTCCCAAGGACTCCAACTCGGCCTCGGTTCCACCGCCGCCCGAGCATATCGAGGCCGGCAGCGCCTTCGCAGACCGCAAGCGTGTCTTCAGAGACAACCGGTTACCCGAGAAGAAGAGCAAGACGCTTCTGCAGCTGGCGTGGATTACCTACAACGACAAGGTGCTGATCCTGCTTACCATTGCCGCCATCGTCTCGCTCGCTCTTGGCTTGTACCAGACTCTGGGCGTGGTCCACGGGCCCGATGACGGCGCGAAAGTGGAGTGGGTCGAGGGCGTGGCCATCATGGCCGCCATCGCCATCGTGGTCGTGGTCGGCACGTTGAACGACTGGCAGATGGAGCGCCAGTTCAACAAGCTCAACGAGAAGCACAACGACCGTACAGCCAAGGTGATTCGCTCGGGCAAGTCGGTCGAGATTTCTGTCTTCGACATTATGGTTGGTGACGTCATGCATCTCTTTGCCGGCGACCTGGTTCCCGTCGACGGTATCTTCATCAACGGCCATGGTGTGAAGTGCGACGAGTCTTCGGCCACGGGCGAGTCTGATCTTCTCAGGAAGGTCGCAGGCCACGAGGTTTTTGCTGCTCTGGACGAAGTTGCTAAAGGAGGGGCTGCCCGGTCTGACATCGAGAAGCTTGACCCCTTTATTATCTCGGGGAGCAAAATCAACGAGGGAACCGGAACCTTCTTGGTTACGGCCGTCGGTGTGAACTCGAGCTACGGGCGTATCACCATGGCTCTGCACACGCCGCAGGAGGATACTCCGCTCCAGACGAAGCTCAACGGCCTTGCCGACATGATTGCCAAAGTCGGCGGTAGCGCTGCCCTGGTGCTCTTCATTGTCCTCTTCATCAAGTTTCTCGCGGGGCTTCCTAATAACCATGAAAATCCTGACCAGAAAGGCCAGACGTTTTTGCGGATATTCATCACAGCTGTTACCGTTGTTGTCGTCGCCGTACCGGAGGGCTTACCGCTCGCCGTGACTCTAGCTCTTGCATTTGCAACCACTCGGATGATGAAGGATAACAACTTGGTCCGTGTTCTCAAGGCCTGCGAGACGATGGGCAACGCAACCACGATTTGCTCCGACAAGACGGGGACACTCACGCAAAACAAGATGACGGTGGTGGCTACGACGTTGGGCAAGTCTATTAGTTTCGGTGGGACGGACGCTCCTCTGGACGATGAAGCACCGAAGCTCGGCGAAACCTCAAATGGTGCTTCCCCCGCGTCAACGATTCCCAATGTCTCCATAACCGAATTTGTCAAGAGTTTAAGCGATACGTTCAAACGGCTGCTTGTCCAGTCCAATTCAGTCAACTCCACAGCATTCGAGGGCGACGTCGAGGGCGAACACACTTTTATCGGGTCCAAAACCGAAGTCGCTCTGCTAACTCTGTGCCGCGATAATCTGGGATCTGCTCCGGTTCAGGAGGAGCGGACCAACGCGAACGTGGTTCAGGTGGTTCCCTTTGACTCGGCCGTCAAATACATGGCTACCGTGGTCAAACTACCCAACGGGAAATTCCGCGCCTACGTCAAGGGAGCATCCGAAATCCTGCTCGCGAAATGCAGCAAGCTCGTAACCGAGCCCAGCAGTGATGAGCTGAACACTGCTCCCCTTACCGACGATGACCGCGAAATGCTCTTGCAGACGATTACATCATATGCCGGACAGACACTTCGCACCATTGGTTCTTCGTATCGTGATTTTGAGTCCTGGCCGCCGCCGGAGCTTGCCGGCTCGGGAGAGTTGACAGCTGCAGAGTTCAACAAGGTCCATGAGGACATGACGCTTGTGGCTATCTTCGGTATCAAAGATCCCCTCAGGACTACAGTGAAGGCCGCCATCAAGGATTGCCAACGCGCCGGCGTCTATGTCCGCATGGTGACGGGAGATAATATACTTACGGGCCGTGCCATCGCCAGGGAATGCGGTATCTACCGGCCCGAGGACGGTGGCATCGCCATGGAAGGTCCCGTTTTCCGCCGCAAGACCGAAGAGGAACTCAAGGAGCTTGTGCCTCACTTGCAGGTGCTCGCCCGCTCCAGCCCTGAAGACAAGCGAATCTTGGTGAGAATTCTCAAGGAACTAGGCGAGACAGTGGCTGTTACCGGCGACGGTACCAACGACGCCCCAGCGCTGAAGATGGCGGATATCGGCTTTGCCATGGGAATTGCAGGTACCGAGGTGGCCAAGGAAGCTGCGGCCATCATCCTGATGGACGACAACTTTGCTTCTATTGTTAAGGGTATTAGCTGGGGCCGTGCCGTCAACGACGCCGTGAAGAAGTTCTTGCAGGTATGTCTCACAAATGCAAACACGAGCAATGCTCAGATGAGTGCTAACCTCGCTTGAAAAATAGTTCCAACTTACTGTCAACGTTACTGCCGTTGTTCTCACTTTCATTTCTGCCGTCGCAAACGGCGAGGGCGAGTCTGTGCTGAACGCCGTCCAGCTTCTCTGGGTCAACCTGATCATGGACACGTTCGCAGCACTTGCTCTGGCTACCGACCCTCCAACGGCCTCAATTCTCGACCGGAAGCCAGACAGGAAGTCGGCACCATTGATTACAGTCAGGATGACTAAAATGATTGTCGGTCAGGCCATTTGCCAGCTGGTCATTACATTAGTCCTCAATTTTGCCGGCCCTTCGCTGCTTGGTTACAACATGTCAAACGAGGGGGAGGCTATGCATCTCACGACGCTGGTTTTCAACACGTTCGTCTGGCTGCAGATTTTCAATGAGCTGAAGTAAGTCGAGGGAGAATGCCTGCCTGCCTATATCATCCGGATTGCTGACCCTTGACCTAGTAATCGCCGCTTGGATAACAAACTCAACATTTTTGAAGGAATCACCAAGAATTACATCTTCCTCCTCATCAATTTGATCATGATAGGTGGCCAAGTTCTCATTATCTTCGTCGGCGGTCAGGCTTTCAAAATCACACCACTAAACGGCAAGGAATGGGGCTTGTCGATCGCCCTCGGTGCCATCTCCATTCCGTTCGGTGCGCTGATCAGGCTCATGCCCGATTCCTGGGCTGAGGCATGTATCCCTGAGCTGGCCTGGCTCAAGAGGTGGAATGCGAAGCGGGACGAAAAGAAGCAACTGAAGAAGGACAAGAAGAAGGCTGAGAAGCAAGCCCGCGATGCCGAGAAACAGCGAACGCTTGAAGACGCTGAGAGGGCGTCGTCTTCCGATGAATCATTTGTTGCACCACCACCCTTGAGGGCGTTGACCTCGCTTCGTGGGAAGCGAGTCGAGACGCACATCCGTCGCGGATTCAGAGAGTACATGCACGACAAGAAAGCCAGCGTCAAGCAAAAGTCGCACAAGGTCGTGCCGAGATCGAAGACAGACGTACGTGGTGGGTCTCTGAAGAAGCCGACATGACACGGTTTTCCATTTTCTTTTGTCGTTTTGTACCGAGCTGCGTTTCTCTTCTTCGAGCGTCCTTAGAGGGTGGCTGTCTGTTTTCTCTTTCTGGCGCACAAACACTATGCAACATATACCCCCTGGAAGAGAAAATTCGGGCTCTTCTGTTGTTTCCAAACATCACTTGTAACATAGACCACTTAATACCTACCAAAACCCCTTTTTTTAATAATTCACACGGCGTATTTCTTTTGCGAGTGTCTTGCTACGGCTGTGCTCAAAAAGTTAACGCTCGCTTATTGACAACAGGAGTTGGAATTACATACCTACCTGGCCAGCTGACGTGAGTGCAGCTGAATTGTGCATTTGTACCTGAGGCAAACAAACTCAAAACTGTTTTTCGCTGGCCTTGGCCCTCGCACTCTCCAAACAACGAGTTCTCCACACGAGCGGCCAAGCAAGAAGCGCTTATTAAAACCGTCATCCCGATGCGCCTCAATCGTCTTGCCCGGCTCAATCAAGCTCCAATTTGTCCAGAGTCCAAGTTTCAGAATGGCATCCACCATAGCGGGAAACTCTGGTCGCGTCTAGGTCTAGGGCGAGACGCTCTAGTCTTATAAGAAGCTCAGCATCTTTAGGGCCGCGTACGTTTAGATCTAGCGCCCTTGCCCGTCACGTCGCGACGCTAAATCCCCTTTGATCTCAAGTCTGGGAATGAAGATTTCGTCTTTAAGCGTGTGGAAAGGCCTTTCTACAATCTTTCCGTCCGGATCGCAGCTGAGCTTACAGACCCCCGTCGGCTCCACCTGTATATTGACTGCAACGAAGAGGAGGGCGTCGTTGTCCACCCCTATTTTAAAACAGCCGTCCTTTCGCTAATCAAGCACGATCTCGAGTTTCCTGTGCTAGAGAGGAAGAAGGTCCTGCGCTGGGTCGGCGAGGCAATCCAGGAGATGCACAGCAAAGACTGGATTCACATCAGTACGCTACCTCTCCCTCACTTCCTCAACACTCTGCAGGGTCCACGAACCAGGTCTAGGTATTACTGCCGAAGAGCGTCTAACCTATTCATTTTCTATGCTGGATGTGAAACCGGACAACATTTTGGTCAACTGGACCTGCGACAGCAAGGGTAACAAGATAGTCACCGACGCAGGCCCGTTCAACCTCGATGAAGAGCGGAAGAAGGCAAATGACTGGATTGAGACCAAGCCAGATTTCAAGGTTACGGTCGTTCTTGGAACTTCACTTGACGACGTACGACACTGGAACCGGGATCAAGCAACGAGACGCATCGATGATGGCATCATCAATAAACCAGAGATATCTGTAAGTGCAATCAAATCGGGTGGAAATTAATTCACATTATCTCGTTCGGGAGATCAAACGAATTGCGACTTATTATCCCAGCATCCGATTCGTCGGGGATAATATGAGACTTTCGTCTCCCTTTGCGCTCTTTGCACACCACATGGATCATATCGAAAAGCTTAAAGAGAAGTATTCTTCCCTTTCGACTGACGTCAACGCCGAAATTAGATACTCCTCAACAAGTGGTACATGCTTCGGGACAGGCCTCACCAAAATCTCAAGAGATATGGAAAGGGAGAGGGCCCACAGCGACTTCGTTGCTCTGGTTGAATTCCTTCACAACACCTTCGGAAACAAGATTCAAGACGAAATCCAGCGTAACAATCGGGGGAAATGCGCTTTTCAGATGCTTTGGTATCTGTTCAAACCCGGGGCCACTGTCTACCTTAACCCTGAGCCGTCTCGACTCATATCAGCATATGCCATCCGGTCCGTGGATGTTGACTCAAGCATTCTTCACAAAACAGATGGTGTTCCCAAGGCCTATCAAATCCACATTTGGAATCTCGACTTCGATGGGATGTCTTTGACGGAGAACAGAAAATCAATTCATTGCCAATCTTTCCCGCTTCATTCTTGGATGAGGAGGACAACTACAAGTCTCACAACTACCTCGTGAGTCAAGGGAAGAAATGGTTCAGCCTCCTTGACAGAGCGATGGTGGATTACTGGGGTGAAATTCTGAATACGCGCAACGAATCTGTGAGTTCTCAATTTCCTCGAGTTTAGTGTTAATCCAACCTTGGCGCGTGGAACTTTCCTAGCTGACGGTTAGCCATATAGCATTCTGGGAGAGTCCATGTCGACTCTGCTACATATTGGGATGATGAGATAACCTCGCCAGAGATAGAAAATGTTGATGCCATCGAAACGGACATTATTGACGAACCCGACTGCGCCTGTCGAATGTGCACACATCATAGAGCCGTCAGGGGTAATGAAGCTATGTTCCGAGCACCTTCCCTATTTTCTGGCTGGAATGAATACGACAACATCGATACTACCGCTGTCCACTCCTTGGTCTTGACCGAAAATGAAATGGATAAGGTCAAGCACTCCGATCGCTCCTGTGGAGACAAGAAAATTAACGCTTGGAAGGCGGACTTCATGCAGAGCAAGGGAGAGGGTTTGATCTTCCTCCTTCATGGCGGGCCCGGTACTGGAAAGACACATGTAAGATTCCCGTGCCTCCTTGTTGTCGAGATGAAAGGAGAGGCTCTAACATTTTCCAAAGACCGCTAGCAAGTGTTCTAAATACATTACTCTTACCATTAAGACATGCCAGCCATTAACAGATTGACATTGCAGAGTGCATCGCCGAATACACGGGACGCCCACTGATGTCTCTGACGTGTGGAGACATCGGCACGGACGAGGAGACCATGGAAAAGAGTTTAGCTCGCTGGTGCAAGCTTGGCGAGAAGTGGGGAGCAGTGATGCTGATCGGCGAGGCCGACATCTACCTCGAGAGGAGATCGCCAGGAGATCTCAAGAGAAACGGACTGGTTTCTAGTGAGCCTCGTCGTCTAATCCACACCTAGGGGGGGGGGGGGGGTTCGCCAACTAATAGCATATTCCTGCACCTCGCTAGTTTTTCTCCGCTGTATTAAGTATTACCCCGGGGCATCCTCTTTCTCACCACCAACCGAGTGGGCACATTCAACGATGCCTTGACCTCCCGAACTCACGTCATCTTGCATTACGAGCTATTGACTGTGCAGGACCGCCGAACCATATGGGAGAAGCTCATCAAGAAGCTGCAGAGTGAGCGTCAAGATATCTACGTCACTGGGGCGGCGGCGAAGAAGTACATCCTCGATGACCCTGAGATCACCGAGGCGAATTGGAATGGGCGGGAAATCCGCAACGGTGAGACTCTTGTCCAAGTACCACGACAGCATTGTCTAACCACCTTGATTTTCAGCTTTCCAAACCGCGGTCCAGCTTGCGCAGTGTAGCTTCTTCATGGAAAGGACAAAAATGAGGATGCATGGCAGAGCTAAAGCAAGAACACACCTCCAAGAGGTCTGCCAGATGACTTCACGGTACAAAGAGTATCGGTACAAGGTGCTCAAAAGCACAGAGCCAAGGCGCGCTGCGGAGGAGAAAGTGAGAAATGACTTGAGGCCTCTCCCAAAGAAGTAGAATCACGGAATGAGTGAGAGGACACAACCGTAGCGTTAGACAGGGGGACAAGGTGAAGGGGCTTTTCTGCAAATCGGAGAGATTTTCGAACGATCATTACGTTTTTACCACGTGCAGGAAATAGGAGACCCAAGACTCAAGTGTGATTTGTGCCTCCACGAACAAGGACCAGCCAGCAGACAAATATAAGAATTAACGAAGAAGCACAAAGCAGATAAATAAATAAATACACCCCCTGCCCCATCACTCCGAATACGCCTTCTCCGACAGCCTCAGACAAAACGGATCCGCCCTCCAACCCTCCATGTCCCACTGCGACGTGTCGAAGCCGTGCCTGGCCGTAATGCCGCTCAAGCTGTAGCAGCCAGCGGTATACCTGGGCGACGCGCTCGGGACGTCGAGCCAGAAGCGCCCCGACCGGATGCACGAGCGATACGAGCCCGACTGGACCAGCTGGCACGCGGTCGCGGTGGTGCTGCTTTCCGGCGGCGCAGCGACGGTCCACGACCAGCCAGCCGCGACGAGGTCCTGCAGGGTCCCGGCGGCGCCTTTGCTGCCAAAAGAAGCGTGTCCGCCCGCCGTGAGCTTGGCTAGGTTTACCAGGACCGCCCCGGCTTTGAGGAGGGACGGGCTGGTGGCTGGCGCGGCGGGCACGCAGACGACGACGCGCTCTTCGCGCAGCCGCGTGCACCGCTCGTGCCACGGAATACCTCGGCCACTACCATCCGGGGCAACGGCACCATTCTCGCCCTCCTCGACCGCGCGGAGCGTGTCCGTCGTCTCGAAGCTTAGGCCGACGATGTCGCTGGCATTTGGCGCAGCGACAGCCTCTAACGCGCCCGGCACATAGGTGTCATTGGAATTTGCAACGACGACATAGCGCGCGAGCCCGCAGTCGGTGAGCCCCTGCGCAGCCAGCTCGCCGAGGTGTGCCAGGACCCAGTCCGCCACGGCCCACTCGGCGGGATCACCAGCCGTGTTGGCGCCCTGCGTCAGGACTTCCCGAGGCACGTCGTCGTCGACGAAGGCGACGCGCGGATCGTACGCGTCCAGCACGTGGCTCTTGACGATGCGCGCATCGGCGGCGGCCGAGCCGCGCACCACCACGGCGCGCCACCGCGGGTTCGTCTGCCCGCCCAGGCTGCGCAGCAGGTCCGACAGGCCGAACGGCTCGGAGAACTGCCAGTCTGACGCGAAGGTGCGGACGACGACGCACACGTCGATGTCGTGACGGTGGGGGTGAGGTGTGGCAGGGGCCGGGGCGGGGGTGGTGGCGATGGCGTGCCGGCGCGCGAGGGCCTCGGCTTGCGCGATCAGCTCGTCTTTCCACGGCAGTGTGTGCGATAGGGCCACGGCCGAGCGCAGCGCCGCGCTGAAGCCGTTGCTCCATTGCTTGGACGGCTCCAGCACGTTGCCCTCGCCCCACTCGTTGAAGGCGTTGATGAAGAGGAAGTTTTCCTCGCCGCGCGGGTTGGGGTCGAGCTTGATGCGGCGGATCAGGCTGAGGATATGGACTTTTGTTCGGTTTAACTGGTTAGCATCCGTGGAGCCTTTCATGCATGCATGGATAGACGGATGAGAGTCAGTCACCACTTACACTTCCACAAGCTTGGATGGGCAAAGATGTTGGCCGAGGCACCGCCGTCCTGGGCATGGCGGGGCGTGTTATCCCAAGAGACGGCTGCACCTCGGTGGTAGACACGTCCAAGGCGGTTGATGGACGCCCAGGCGGTGCCGTCGTGGGCGCCGCCGGAGCGGAAGCCGAACTCGTTGACGGCGTCGGTCAGGCCGCGGTCCTCGGGGTTGTCGGGCGCAATGCGCGTCTCGATGATGTCGAGCCCGCCCAGCCCCTCGTCGACGGCCCACTTCCTCCACGCGCTGTACATGCGCTTGCCGACGTCGCCCATGTGGCCGCCGTTGTACACGGCGAACTGCACCTTGCCGTTGACGCGGATCTGGTTCGGGTGCCGGAAGAAGGGCAGCAGCCACTCAAAGTGCTCGCGCCACGCGTCGACGCCGCCGTACGTCTGCTTCAGCAGGACCTTGCTGTTGTCGTTCCCGTCCCACCGCGCCGTCCACGGCTCGTTCGCCCAGCTCAGCATGAACGGCATGTCGGGCTGCCCGTCCTCCAGCATGGCGGTCAGCACCTTCTCCATGACCGGCCGGCCGAACCAGTAATGGTGGTAGACAAAACCGTAGAGGCCCGAGTCGCGCGCGTGCTGCGCATAGCTCCAGCGCGTCGAGTGGTCGAGCAAGTTGTAGTAGCCGACCTCGTCCGTCGGCTGCTGGACCTCGATCCCCCACGCGTTCTTGGTCACCTTTCGCACATTTGTCCACTCGGTGAAGTTGACGCCCCAGAACTCGTCGTTCTCGGGGATGGCGTGGAACTGCGGGAACACGTATGCGATTGGCTTCACTGAGTACTCGTGGTCCACTGCCGCCGCCGCCGCCGAGCCCGCCGCCGCGTTGTCGGAGCCTGGATAGTTGACCGACTGCCACCAACTGCTCATAGTGCTTAGCAAGTGCTGAGACCCGCGTGGTTCCGCGTTTGCGTTTTCCTGTTGCCTCCGGGAATCGCTGTTATAAAGCAGAATGACACAGGCGCATGCAAAGGCCAGCGCAATTGCCGTCCGCCGGCGCCCCCTGACGCCGCGAGCATATTCGATGCCGCCCTTCAGGGTCCTCGCCGCCGCTATTCTCAAAGTCGAAACCATGACGTCGATGGAGACATATCTAGTTTATAATTGGGTGCAGGGCGATTGCTGGCTATTTACATTGCCGCTTGGTCCCTTCGTTGCAGCGAGGGAGGAAACATTCCAACCAACCACGCCCTTCATACCTCGCTCGACAACTACTGAGACGTGTCCACCACGATCCCCTGCCACGGGTAGGAATACAGCCCCACGCCCCTGAGCGTATTTAGGTAACAAGATGTCAGTGCACTTTGTCTTATTCGTGACCTGGGTTCGAGTATCGGTGTTGCAGCGTAGAATGTACTCCCGAGGGGTTTTCTGAACAAGATCAGGGCGTTCGAGTTTGCGGAATGTCAATCAGTGCGAACCACCATATACCCTATCCAAATACCTTCCCCGTCGTAGGCCCAATGGTCCAGAAAGTTGTCCTGTTTCGCGTCTGCCGAAAAGAAATCCAATTGGTTGGTGGTATTGATTGACGCACTGTAACCATATGTCAATAGTCGTTGTCATCAATCTCGCTGTCGACCGTGTCATCATTGTCGTTATCATAGTCGCCCTCCTCTCCTTCCCAGCCTTTGCCATCGTGCCCGCTCTCCCACCCGTCCTCGTCCGCGCCTTCGTCGTCATCCTCGTATTCATCTCGATATCTGGGCCTTCTCGCAGCGGCAGCGGGCGCCTCCTTTCCCTTGCCAGACGACCGCACACTTGCAACCGAAGGCGGCGGCGGTGCCCTCACCGCTGGCGACGCCCGCGCACTGGCACCACTGCCGCTGCCCTGGGCCGGCTCTCGGAGATGCCGCTCTCTTTCCCGTCTCCCGGTAGCGCGCATCGAGGACACGGCAGCGTCCTTACCACCGAGGTTGTAGTCCTTCTGCGCGCGCGGTAGCTGGCGCCCGTAGTCGTCATCGCGCAGCTGGCTCGCCTGCGCCACCTCGTGGTCCGGCCCGCGGATCGAGACGATGTAGTTCTCAAAGTCGCGCGCCGTCTTGGCGATGTCCTCGAGGTTGCGCCGCGTCAGCCGGATCGTCGTCAGCCGCTCGGTAGTCTTGTTGTGGCCTCCTCCTCCGCCAGCCGTCGCTGCTGATACACGAAGCCGCAGCGCTTCGTCGAGCGTCAGCCCCTCGTCCTTGATCCGGCTCAGCCGCTCGAACTCGCCCAGCGCGATGGCCGTCTGGAACGCGTTGCGCACCTGGCGTCCGTTCCACGTCGTGTCGCTCGCCTCGTGCTTGCGGTAGTGGTCCCGCGCGAATTTCAAGAGCGTAGACCGGTCGAACTGGATCTTGACGGCAGACGTCTCGTTGTCTTTGGCTAGCCGGTTTAGCAGGCTGTTCCAGATCTTCTCTGTCGAGGGGAGGTCGATGGTCGGGTACCGCAGCGCGACGTGGATGCGCGACTTGAACGCCTCGTCGATGACGCCCACAATGTTGGTCGTCAGGAACAGGATGCCCGAGTAGTACTCGAGGTGGCGGAGGAAGACTGGCCAGTCCGAGTCAGATCTTATGCGCTCGTTACGACGCATGTGGGGGAGTGCAACTTACCAGACACCAGCGCGTTCCGGTGCATGTCGCGCCAGCTCCTCTTCATCAGAAACACGTCCGCCTTGTCGAGCAGCAGCACGCAACCCCACCTTGCCGCCAGTTCCGTGTGGTATTGCAGGCGGAACTCGACCTCGTCGGCTGTCACGCCAATATCACCGCAGGTGGTGGCGTACAGCGGCCGGCCCGTGTACGCGGTAATGGTCTAGGCCGTGCTCGTCTTCCCTGAGCCCGGCGGGCCGTGCAGTAGAATAATCAGTCCGCGGCCCTTGCCCCTGACCAGGTCGATCTGCACGTTGGGCGAGCTGCGTGTGGCTGCTAGCTTCCTCGACGTCATGTCGGCGCCCGACGTGTGGTTGTCGACGAGTGATACCAGCAGCTGGCTGTAGCTGTCGGGAATCACGAGGTCGTTCCAGCCCCTCTTCCGTGCTTCCTCGCTCTTGTCGATTTCCTCGACATTTTCTACGTCAATCTACACTGTACACGTTTCGGTTAGCTCCTCCTAAGATGGCTAGGCTCTTTGGAGGGTATGTTAGAGGCGTGGAACGAAAGTTACGAAAGTTAATGACCTACCCCATTGCCGGGAGCGAAACTCGTACGCAGGGAGTTGATAGGGCAGAAGATGCACGGCCTCGGCTCGTAGCTCCGGGTCATCTGCGGTAGCCAGGCGTATAAAATCTCGATTCGCCATCATGAACTCGGTAGTTAGAGCCTCGTCGACGTCGTGGTCATGTAAATATTCCCTAGGTTGCCGGCCGTGCCCGTACTAAGACGTTTCCCTAGCGTCAGAAGTGCCCTTCTTGAGCCGGTACAGGACCGAGGGCTTTTGGAGGTGGTAATGGTAGTACGAAAAAATGTCAATGTAAACGTCGCTCTGAAGCTCTTCGTCAAAGCTGGTCCTTTCGGACCGCGGCATCATTCGTCGCGACCACGAAATGGTGGACGGCAGAGCCATGGGACCATACCCCATTGGCGTGTTGGTGACAGATATGTTTAGCGGGTCTACTGTCGTTCCGTCATATTTTTTGTGCCCGCTGCAGCCTAGGAACTTTCGGCCTCTCTCGCGCAGGCGGGCACAGATGCTCGCGGCGGCCTCGGCACCGAGAAATTCGACGGGCACAGCTTCTAGGTCGGTAATCTTCCGCTCGCCGTTGAAGTGCTTGATCACATGGGTGATCTGGTACGGCCCGACCCTCTTGCCATCCGAGGCCATGATGTACGTCTCGAGCTTGACACTGGTCCACGTCCCGATGCCGGCGGCCATGTCCTGCGACTCCTCGTCTATCTGTCTTAGCGGATCGCCGAAAAGGTTTTTGCTCAGGCGCATCCGGCCCCCAGTCACCGAGTACACTTGGTACAGCTGGCGGCCGGCAAATCGTTCGGACACTATCAGGTCGCCTAGCGAGAAGAGGTGGTAGACCTCGTCGTCGAAGCTCACTTTCTCGAGCGATCGGTCCTTGATCTTAATTCGCAGGCCGATGAGGTACCCCAAGTCCGTTTTCATGAAGTCGTAGAGGCACTTGAGGTGATCACGCCGCATCTGAAGCCGTTGATGCTGCACGTCCTCAATCTGTTCGCCTTTCCCTGGAGATTTCAGGGCGCGGGTACCTGAAGCAACTTCTCTTCCATCTTCATCCCTGTTTTTGTCGGCATCAGCTGCATTCAAGGCCTGAAGCTTTCCATCAAGGTCCGATAAGGCGCTTTCGATTCTCGACCAATTATGCACTAACAACTACAAGCAAAAATTTCAGCCCTGGTGGGGATCCCTTCGTTCATGTATGAGGTGACGCGCTATTCATTGGCACGCACTTTGAATGGCGGAATCATGCTGGAGTCAGAAGGTGTCAGTTAGCCAAGGCTTTCAGACAGGGGAGTAGCATGACGTATACACAAAGGAACTGTCCTGCAAAGCCAAGCCCGAGATCTCACGTAGTTCATATAGTAAAACTTCAGAGACTACTTGAATCCTCTGGGGACGTTCGACGGATCGGCCTACGCTGTGGGTGTGAAGACGTTTAAAGTCATCCGCAGTGTTGACGCTAGCGGAATTGATGGCCATGTCAGGGATGTTGCGGTAGAAGGCCTTCAGGACGTATTTCGACTGGGATATGAGTATGGGATTCATGGGAAAGAGTGGTCTCTGGGGAGGGGCCTGGAAGCTTGCTGGATACGTGAAAGAGGGGGCTGCAAACATGTCGTGTGGGGGTGACTTATGCCATTCGTCCATGGACAAACGCTCTATATCGCAGATCCATATCGGGCTAAAATTTCCAAGTCAGTCTCGGCTATTCATCTCTTCTCCCCAAGACTAGTAATGGGAGAGTGTTAAACAAGGACGCGAACCCGACTTTGTTGGCTGGTGAAATTTGTGGCGGCAGCTCTCCGATCGCATTTATCAACGCTTTCAACTCGTCAGTGAAGTCGAACGTGAGAGCTGCTTGGTAATCTTCAATCTTCTTTACGGCCTTCAGCACTGCTTTCTGGGCATCGGATAGCCCGGCCCGGGAACCGTCCGAATCTTGACCTGACTTTTCATCCGATGGCGGATTATGGGATGCCGTCGCCATATCTGCTGGGGACATGTGCCAATTGGCACAAACGCTGGACGGTTTTGCGGCCCAGCCGATCGCGGGTGCCGAGGTTGACGACTGGGAGCTATTGGGTCTGGAATTTGGTTGTTCCATCATCGAATACAGAGCAAATACGCCCTGGGTTGAGGACGACGCGGTTTAGTCGGTTGTGGGAGTAACCCTATTTAATTTGAACCGAATTGAAAGAATCCTTGTTGGAACTTTGTCGTTAATATGAAGCAGGAGAGACAAGGTAATTTGAGGTCTAAAGAGCGGAGTTTGGCTGCTCAGAATAGGTTCAAATTAGCCCCGCTCTCTCACTCACTTGCCATTTATACCTAGCAATCAGTGCCTGTGCTAGCCTGCCTTGATCCGGCATTGAGCTAGTCTGCTAGAGGAATCATACCGAGTTAATTCAATACTTCACAACATGCAAAGGAAACGCCGAGGAGTCTAGACTCGTCGAGAATGCGCGCTCCCGGGCCCTGATTCGTTGCCTCGTAATGCACCACCCTGTCCTGATTGGTATAGTCCCTACGGCGACTAGCGTGAGGCAACCAAAGGCGAACCACTTTGCCTTCTCGTGGAGCACTGACGAGACTCGAATTCTGCCACCCGGCCCCACGAGGCAATTGACAGGTCGTAGCGGGGAGTCCCCTGACAAGTTGACTGCGGCCCGCGGCATCGGCGGGTATCGAATATTCCACCCCCAGAGCCCGTTTCGAGTCCCTGCCGTCCCAAAGTTCGTCTCCTCCAAGCTCCCGCCATGCTCGAACCCGCAGAGCAATGCAGCAGGGGCACTGAATCAGGCGAGCATGAAATCGTCGATTACATGGACAATATGGACGGTAGCCTGCACCCAGCCCTAGCACATGGTCCGGTCTTGGACCCAAACACGGGCCTCTGGGTGAGGAGGAGGTCCCCGTCCCCCGTTCAACTGTCAGTCAAGCTATCCCCGATGCGGCCAAGCATTAATGATTTTGTTGACATGGCGAGCCAGCGACTTCCAGGACCTATACAGCGAGTGCTTTAATGCACGGGATGCGCTGGTCGCCACGGCCAACAAGTACCTCGCCAGAACCAGCCAGAGTTCCGTCGACATAGAGCTGAGCTACGACTGGGCGTCGGTCCAAACCGCTCTTGAGAGGGCTTGTCTGGCGCTAGACAAAGCAGCGGCAAAGGACAAGGAAGTGTCGGGCTTCACCGGCAAGCTGAAGCAGGGGTTCCAGTCTCTGTCGAAATGCCAAAACAGGCAAGGTCTTTACCGCGCTGATCCCGAACGACCTCATGTTCTCGTCCGCCCTGTGCGGCGGCCTCAACATCATCTTCAGCGCTCTAGAGCAGACTGGCTTCCACCGCGAGGCCGTCTACAAGGCCCTCGAGAGGCTCCCGCAGATCTTGGGCGACCACGACGGCTACATCGAGATTGCCGCCGACGATGCGGAACTGCACCGCCGGACAGCCAAGCTGTATGCCGAGGTCTGTTAGACTCTGGATCATATTCTGAAGTGGTTCATGATGAATGCATTTGGTTAGTGCCTGGTCCTCTCCACCCAATGACAATTGGAACTGACTTGCGCGAATTCTCGACGCACAGTGGCCGGAGCAAAGCGACTGCTCAACCCGTCCGGCTTCACCACCAAGCTCGACGACCGCATGAGCGAGGTCAAGCTGGCGACCAAGAGCTTCAAGAACCACATTGCGCGCATGATGCCACAGCGGCAAAACGAGCTCATTCAACTGCAGAGCCACGGCCTGTACCAGCATGCCCTGATGTCGCGCCAGCTCGGCGAGATTAGTTTCGACCTTAAGGACCTCAGGCGTCTGGTGATGTCGGTGGAGCGCGAGGATATTCTCGACGGCGTGCGAGCCGAGGTCTTCCAAAGCCTGCAGCCTGTTCTGCAAGACAGCATGAAACGTCAGTCCATTCAAAAAAAAGACACTCCCATCCCATATCTTCTTCGTCTAATCCCTGCTCGTGCCAAACCTCAGGACTCATAGCAGAGCACGCCACGGGCTTGATCCAGGCGGGCGGTATCTCCCCAGGCCCAGCCACACCACTCTCCCCGCCATCTCCAGCAGCACCACCAACCCCAAGCCCCAAAGTGACACTCAACCGAATCCTCAAGACATTCCTCTACGACCGCACCCTCGTCCCCACCGACATCTCCGCACTGCTAGCCCTCGGCTCGCCCAGAATCGGGCCCACACAGCTCGACACAGACCGGCTGCACGCGCTGCAGAACAACGCCCGGCTGCGCGCATGGCTGACGATCGACGAGCCGTCCGCACTACTCCTAGACGGCGGAGCGAGCGACGCGCAGTGCAACACAACATCGTATTTCGCCGCGCACGTCATCGACTCGCTGCGGCGCCGGCACCAAACCTGGAGCAGCAGCAGCACTGACCCGCCGATCACGGCCATCACGCTCGCTTACTTCTGCAGCCAGCACCGCGACTACCGGCGCGACGCGGCCGGTAGTCCCGCCGAGCTCGCACTGTCGCTGCTGCTGCAACTCGTCGACAGGCACCGCGGGTTTGGCGAGGCTGCGCTGTGCGACGTGCTGCAGCGAGTGGTGCCGGACGATGTTGGCAGTGTCGTGCGCGCGCTGGGCCGGCTGGTGCGCGCGCTCCCGCCGAGCGCAGTGCTCTTCGTCGTCGTCGACGGACTCAGCTTCTTTGCTCCGCCGCCTAAGCGGCGGGCGGGCACACGCGAGGTAGTTCGGTGGTTGCTGCAGAATGTTTGTGCTCGGCAGCGCTCGCAGTCGCGGGCGCTGGGGGAGGATGGGTGTGAGGGGCGGGGCGGGCCCACGGTCAAGCTGCTTGTTGCTGGCCCGACCAGGCTTAGGTTTGTCGAGGACTTGTTTGAACGGGACGAGAGGGTCCATATCCCTGCGGACCCCCCGCCACTAGGTGTCGATCGGGATGCATTATGTTGATGACTGCGAGGGGTGTTGTAATAGCCTGCTCGGCGTGGCTAATCGGTATATATGAACCTTAGGGTAAGTCGGCCGTACTACTGCATGATTAGATGCGAGAAGAGATGTTCAAGTTCCGTGCCCAAGACCGCCTACAATTTCCACAGCTAGGCCATGTCCAACGACCTTGTCGGCTGGCAAATTTTAGAACAAATGCAGCTCGATCTCGTCGCCCAGGGCGAGCGCATACAGCGGCAACGGTAGCCCGTCGTCAGCCTTGGGGTGGCTGCGGTAGTCCATCTTAAGCACCACTGGGTATCCGTCCAGAGTGGCGTCGACGTCGATGTTCTCCGGAGGGTTGCCGCGCAGCTCTGCGAGCGGCCAGCCCGTGTCAAGCGGTGCCGCGGCGACGAGGCCCCGAACCGCGATGTACCCGACTACCACGGGGGAGAACTCGCTTGCTTTGCTCCCGCTGTTGTTATTGCTGCTGGCGCTGCCGAGGTACTCAAGGTTGGAGTGGAGGAATTCCAGGTAAAATGCTGGGGTGAAGCTGCCGTCCTGCCAGCTGACGTGGCCGTCGTGCGATGTCCAGCTCCAGGTGGGACGGCGGGGCCGGGGCTGCTGCTGTTGGGCAGCGGCTGTGATGGTAGAGGGCGGATCGTCATCGCCATCACTGTCAGAAGACGACCAGTATGTGTCGCGATAGTTGCGCTCCCAGGCGAGGCCAAATGCGAGGCGCGACAGCCAGATGCCGGCAAGGTACGTGTCGCTGCCCGAAAGACGTTGCTTGTTCCAGATGCTGGCGAGGCCGGCCAGCGCAATGAGGCAGTCGGCGGGCCGCGTGAACTCGCGACGGCTGTACTCGAAGCTGACGAGCTCATTGTACCAGAATCGCACAGGATCACGGTCGGGGTCGCGGCCGTCGCCCAGCACCGTAGCGGCCTTAGTGCGGAACGTGTTCTTGACGAAGCTGTTGTACCACCGCGGCAGCGGGCTCGCCAGCAGATCCTCGAGCCGGTACAGCTCGCGGCACTCCCACACGGCCTGACTCGCGGCGAAGTGGATTGTGCGCGGCGACAGCACGCGCTCCTGGTACGTCCAGCCGCGGGTGTTGAGAGGCGACTACTTGAGCGGTTGCGGGTCTGCTTCCGGCTATTCGAGGTGGAAGATGAGCGTGGACGTCTTCCCATCGGACAGGGTGTTGGTTATCTCAACGATTTGCACCGTGTTGGTCTTGCCCCACGTCAGGTGGTCGTGAGGCATACTCTTGTCGTTGAAGCAGCCCCCCAAGCTGTGGCCCGCAACGCTAGCCGCGATGGTCAGCAGTGACCCCTCGTAGATAGACCCCATCTTGACCGACTCGGACGCCCAGTCGTCCTGCGAGTCTTGCACGATGCATAGCGCGTCGATCCAGAGATGTCGCACGCCCATCCGCCTCGTGACTTCGATGGCGTCTTTGAAGATTTTGGCCAGAGTCTCGATTCGGATGCCTCTTAGCCGATCTGCCAGGTTGCTTGCAACCGTTTGTCCTCTGGTGGGAGAGTCACGCCCCAGCAGTGGCTCAGCGCCATGTACGTCGAGATTTTTCCCCGGTGGTTAATAACTAGCCGGACAAACTCCTTGTTCAGTGTCTCCATCTCTCTAAAAGCATCAACGTCAATGAGTCTCAGAGGACGCTGAGACTCTGGAGGTCCGCCATACACAGGATCTTTTCCATCTGGCTCGGCTTGATTATTACTGTTAGCGAGGGAGCAGCTGTGGCTTTCCCTACACTCTTCGAGACAAGAGCGTATAAGTTGAACGTCTCATCGGAGCGCGTGTTAGAGAGAGATCGGTTTGCGACAGGGATTCCGTAGGCCGCAGCGGGGTCACCTTGAACAATCAGCCTGAGTCAGCTGTGGGAATGTCATTGTCGTTTCGGCCGAACTCACCAATGGGTGTCGAGACGTATAGGTCGCGAATGACCGATGTCTGATCAACCTCCTTCGCCTCATTGCCCTCCTTCCACAGCTACGGGTTCTTGTCCAGGGTAGTGACCTACGTTGCAGTGACCCTGAGCTCGCCGCCCTGTTCGACGGGGGTCTTGGGCCCCAGCTTCAGGCGCGGGTTTTTCCAACCATTTGGCGTGTAGTTGTGGCGCTCGTAGAGCATGTAGCACAAGCCACACCACCGACGGGTCGCCTGCAGGAACCGAGTGTCGCTGACATGTTTGTAGCCCTCCTCTGGAGCCAGAGCCTCCGCCGTGATGTGGCGGCAGCGTGGGCACAGCGCCCGTGTCGGCCGCTCGGTAAAGTCGATGGGCGAGATGAAGGGTCACGACCCATGCTTCGAGAGTTGTTTAAACATTTGCTAAGCGCAACACCGAATGGCAGTCGCAACGACAAATGAGGAAGTAGAATTGTCGAGAGCTGGATGCCGAATTTGTGAAGCAGGTGCGGTCAGTGAAGAGGTGAGCGAACATCCGTGCGTTACAAGGCAGCACAGGGCACGGGCTAATCAGGCTCCCGCAGCCGCGTGGTGGGGCAGCGCGAGGGTTGGTGTCCATTGGCTATGGCGGTGTGGCGCCCCTACAGTTGAGCCATATCCCCTGACAGCACACACCTAAATGAGAGTAGTCAAGTACGATCCTAGTGCAAGCCGCAGCGCACCTTCCACAGAGGTTGCGGGCTCGAATCCCAGCAGCAGACCGACCCTTTGAAGCATTTCGACAACGTACTATTCCAACGTAAGCACAGGGGCTCGACAGAAATGCGGCCACTCAATTTGAATATACACCGCCAAGGACCATCGGTTGACTGTACTGGCGGATGACCGTACTGGGTAAGGGATTCTATTCTTGTTTTTCTATATTTTTTCCTATTTAATCAATACCTATTTCTTTCTTTCAAGTCGCCATTATTACGTACCTTACCACTCAATTCCACCTAATACTATCGTTGCACTCAGCCTTTCTCACCCGACCACCACCTCGCGTGCCATCTGCCTTCCTCGGCCACTATTCAGGTTTTCTTACCAGCAAAAACTTCTAGTTAGCCCTAGTCACAATCTTCCTCATGTTTATCTTACAGTATCATAACTATTCTCTTCTCCCACCGGTGGCCAGGCGCAGGTCCACTAGCAGTCTAGCACCACGGAGTTTTCCGTGTCGTCGACCGTGGCAAACTTGTGCATCTTGAGCAGCTCGATGCGTCACGCAATTGCGTTCCGCGCCTCAACTAATGGAGAAAAAAAACCCCCCTTTCGTTAACTTTTTTGCTTGATTTTTACTCCTCCAAAAACAGCCGGAAATCGCTTGTTGGGAAGCTTTGTTGATCTGCATGAGGCAGCTAAGGGAAGGATCAGAAATTTAAGAATTATTTACCATGTTTTCCTCCCAAGTTGAGTTGGTCCTCTGGCGTTCACCAACACTTTTCGCCATTTTCTCAATTCATTCTTTCACGGTCAAATACTAGAGCGACGGCTAGAACACTGATTTCTTCCTTTTCCCCGCGCTGCGTGCGTCCATACCTTCTCTCGTCTTCTGACTTCTGGCCAAATTACGGTACCTACGTATACAAAGCATTAATGCCCTTTCAGCAGTGATTGCACTACGCGCCGCATGAGACGTATCCAGCGGTGCCACAACAGGCTTCCGCGCAGTTCCAGCCGTAAAAACCCGGCGCATTGGGACAGACGCCATGCCAGTCGATGGCGTTCGTCGCCCACTGCACGCCGGTGTACGCTGGCCCGCCCGAGTTGCGAATCACCTCGCCGCTCGTCATGCACACCGGCCTTTTGGTGGCCTGCGCCTGCACGAACGCCTTCCACTCGAAGTCGTCCTGCGGCGAGTACAGTTACTGGGATGACCACTACAGCGGCTAGCACCCACCCTCGCAGGACGCGAAATTCGCCAGCAGCAACGCCCGCCCAAAGTCCCATCCAGCAAACCCCGCGCCGCGGATGCTGTACGACACGGCGCTGTACGGCACGTACAGGCTGCCCCTGACCTCGGCGCGCGGGTTCGTCAGCGGCGGCCAGATGCGGCTGGCGCGCAGCGGCGCGACGTCGTACGTCTACAGGCCGACGCGCTGCGACGCGCCCGTCACGAACCCTAGTGGGTTGGCCGCGGGCTTGTGCTCTAACTACAACAGTTACTGCGTACATTGCACCGATGCTTTCAAATTGAACCGGTTTTGTCCTTCCGTGATGTTGAGTTATGGCATGTTCATGTTGTTTTCTTGTCTTTCTCTAAAATAAAGCCCCATGCCATTGAGGTTCCGCCATGCCGAGTGCGGTTATCCTCAAAAAGCCGAAAAGTTTGAACCCAATTCAACCCGAGGTAAGTTTGAGAGTAGCCTAAAATGACAGACAGAGTTATGTGCCACAGTGTCTCCCCAGCACGCCGTAATTCGTAGAATGGGGCAGAAGTATCAACTCTAGGAATGCTACCTCGTGCGAGAATGCTAATTAATCATCTCGGCTAGCTGGGCCCGCCGTCTCCATGTGACGACGGCATGCCAAGACGCTCTCCACCAAAATGTGGGTGTGGCGAATAAAGCCAATGCTAATCAAATGGCAGTTTCAGAAAGCTTGATGAGCAATAGCCATTTTTTGGATATCAGACCGCCTGTGCGGTTGTGAGTGGTTGACGGATGAAAAGGTCTCGGAGCTAAGACGAAAGACGCCTCTCCCAGTGTCACCGTGCGCGGCAAGTAGAGAAATGTTGACTAGAACACGAAGGGAACCCACGCGTCAGCCCGATGTTCACGAAATTCCAACCCCCTACGCATCTTTCAGCTGACTCTCACAGACCCATGGTTAAGCATAAATTGTTAGAATGACGTGCTACCAAGAGTAGCAAGGGGGTCAGGGGTGAGATGCATTTCGTGGGGGATGCATCTCATTTCAGGGGGGGGGGGGGGGGGTGTAAACAAATTATACACCCCACCCCCCGGCCCACACCACCATCGCCAACCCATCGATATTGAACAAGGGGCAACTTGACCACAGCAAACCACTGATGAGGTGTGTAGCCACAATGAACCCGTAATTATGTGCCATTACTCATCTCACCGTGGCACTGTACGGGGCACCAAGGTACGGCTGTGATGGTTACCATCATGATCATATCACCATCGTTGAGACTCATGGCCGTCGTGCCGATGCACCGGGCCCTCGGTATGGATACGTGCATGTCCATTGCCTACCGAGTTAGCCACCAGCTGGATGAAGATACGTTGTAAGCAGCTCTCCTTTGACACATACTGTAGCGAAAGAAAAACGCCTCACAAGGAGCCACGACACACAGCCGCGCGTGGAACCCAGCCGTGGGCGAAGACTGTGGCGGGCTGTACGTGAACTACTACTACTGCGTGCTCGCGCCGCTGGACCTGGCCGCTATCCCACCCGCAACAACGCAGTACACGTTCACGAGCCCATCCGAGGCGGGCCTCCCTACAACAACCTGGAACCTGAGAGAAATCGCCATACTACGATCAACGTTCTCAGGCGCCGCAGCAGGGTATCTGGTACTGGCACCAGCATCGACGAGTGCGGGTTGCGCAGACCTGCAGGACGTGTTCAGCTTGGCCGCGAATGACGTCGAGGCGTGGAACACGGGCGTCGACTGCACCGCCACCCTGTCATCTGGTATCTTGTACTGCGTTGGCGACCCAACGGCGCTGCCCAGCCCGCTGCCGACCTGATTTTCCGGATGAGAGAAGGTGGTGCGAACCTTGGAAATTAGCGGTTCCTTGTTATCAAGTTTCATGGATTTGAATGTTTATGTATCTTATTTACAGACCCCCGGGTATGTATGAGACTGCCATTTTGGGCCGAGTCTGTTTGAGCTATATGTACATGAATAACTATGTTCTGCCAAGTGCCCAGGCAACGGCGGCAAGAAGTGGTCCAGCCGGCCGGGATTGATTAAGAAAAATGTGTAAGGAAGGCAACACGGGCAAGAAAATTAGATGACGACGATTCCTTACTCGTTCGCAATCTTGACCAGAGCCTTGCCAAAGTTCTTGCCCTGGAGCATGCCGATCAGGCCGTCGGCGGCGTTGTCGATGCCCTCGGTGACACTGAGCTGGGCCTTGACGGAGCCGTCGGCGAGCCACTGGCCCAGCTTCTCTTGGTGGTCCTTGGCATAGACAGGGCCCATGCCGGGGTCGCTCACAATAAAACCGCGCATGGTGAGGCGCTTGGAGACGACGTGGAACAGGTTGCGGATCGGGTAGCGCTGGTCGACGGGCGTGTTGTAGCCGGCGATCTGGCCGCACTCGACGATGCGGCCGAAGAAGTTCAGCTTCTCCAGCGCCGCCTCGAGCTGCTCGCCGCCGACGTTGTCGTAGTAGATGTCGATGCCCTCGGGCGCGAGCCGGGCCAGCGCGTCAATCGGCTTTTCTGTCTTGTAGTTGAAGGCGCCGTCGAAGCCGAGCTCCGTGACCAGCTTGACCTTCTCGTCGCTGCCGACGCTGCCGATGACGCGCAGGCCCTCGCGCTTAGCGATCTGGCCGACGACCTGGCCGACGGCGCCCGCAGCGCTGCTGACAAAGATTGTCTCGCCGGCCTTTGGGCGGCCGATTTCGTAGAACGACGACCACGCCGTCAGCCCCGGCATGCCGAGCGGGCCGAGGAACAGTCCAAGGTCCTTGAGGCCGTGAGGGTTGTTGAGCTTGGTGCTGATGGCACGCAGCGACTCGGCGTTGAGCGTCGCGTACTCGGCGATGGGCAGGAATGCGAGGACCAGGTCGCCGGGGGTGTAGTCTGGCGTATCCGACTTGAGCACGCGAGCCACTGTGCTGTTGCTGATGGGCTCGCCGACGAGGAAGGGGGGCGAGTACGACTTGATGGTGGGGTCGCGCATCTTGCCGCGTAGGTACGGATCGAACGAGGCGTACAAGATCGCCAGCGTTACACCGCCGGCGGGTGCCGGCGCAGAGGCATCGAAGCTGCGGTCTTCGACGACTAGATGCTCGCCTGCGACTGGCACACCGGTCGGGATCTTCTTCAATATGAGCGTCTTGTTCGTCATGGCGAAATGTGTGGGGGTTGCCGGGCTCTGTGCGTGAAGAAGTTGGGATGCGGTACTACTGCAGTGTCTGATCTTGGCGGATCGTTGGCGTACTTTGTTGCTAGTGTGCCGTATTTGGGGTGAATGCTTCTCTTTCGTGCCTCAGATGGCGCCGTGAGTGGAGGGTAAGTCGTTTATATAGGTGTGGCCAGCATCCTACGCCTGACCAATTCAGTGTGGACTGGCACCAGAATTACGCCTGCAGGCACACCCAAGCACAACGTGCATCGGTTCGCATGGCGACATTACACAATAATGTGGAGGCACTGGCTTAGAAAGCGGGGGCAACGACGCAATCGTCAACGGAGAACTTGGGAGGTGGTGACGTGGGGATCTGGCCAATAGCTTGGCGAGATTCGCGAAGGGAAAATAACAGACAAAGCCCACATCAGCGGCGGCCCGCGAATTAACGACCGACCGTGGGCAGACTTTCCCGCGGCAGAGCCGTCGTGGCCTTTGTGTGGTGGGGGGAGGGGGTTTCACTATGTCGAGCGTGCCGAGGTTCGAGGAAAGGGGGAGGATTGATAAGCGTGCCACAATTCAGCGGCAGTTTCCGCCAAGAATGGAATTTTGAATCTAAATTTTCTGCAACAGACCCACAAAGGCCTCGATTACTAATCGTTCGTTGAGCACCAGAGTTGAGGGATTGCTAAGCCGGCAAGCACCTCATTCGCCGCACGAACAAGAAATGGGCTGGTCGTGCCACAGCTCTGGGCCGGGTTTCAATTCTCGGTCAATCTGATGCAGCTGCCGCTCCGATCCAAGTCGTGATGTTCAGCACCAGCAGGTTGCAGCCAATGTCGTAGCTGAGCTATCTCTTCGAATTACTGATCATTTGGAAAATTCATCATCCGAAATGGGAAATGACCTCCATGGCTGGGGTGTCATACGGAAGGTGGCTTGGCTCTGTCTCACGTTTGGTGATTCTGACCCGCCTAGATTTGTTCACTTGCACGGAATATTTCCGACATCATCTTGCAGACTTGCACACGAAGCAGTTGGAACAGGATCTAGAATCGGAGCAGTAACCGAAACGAGGTACTCTTCAATAAAATCTCTCTTTGCTGTCGACTACCAATTCAGATTGAAGACCGCCTCGGTCGGCAGCCCAACATTTAAAACTTCAGCGCCCACCAATTCGGCCCCACCATGCCCGTGTTGTTGTCCCATGACCAGTGGGTGACGGACCGAGCACACCACCTGCCAACCAACCAAACCCAAATAATCCAAGAGTTTAGGTTGCGCGGCCGTGTTAGTAAGAAACATGCCGACGACGGCACTACTTTTCGGCACATTTACAGCCGGCAGTGAACACACCCGAACCGCCGAGAGGTCGGCCCATCAGTGCGCAAACTGGAAGTCAAGGCGCCTGCTGCCCTGCAGCCTTGTCGTCCGGACATAGGTAATCCGCTCCTGCTCGGTCAAGGCCTCCCAGACTCTCCTCTTCTGCTTATTGCGATAGACATAATATGCCTTTGTGAAGAGGAACAGGCCAATTGAGAGAAGGTTGATGACGACCAGCTTGGTGTTGCCGTCCTTGTACAGCGGCTTGTCGTAGTCGACGTAGATGAAGTTGCCCGTCAAGTTTCCGAGTTGCACACACATCTTGTGGCATTGTCAGCGTCGATGATATCCTCGGGGGAGGGGAAACATATGGCCAGACTGGCACAGGGTAAGGAGCAAATACATACATTGTACAACGCAGCTGACACGGTTCGCGCGCCGACGTTATTTGAGTTCTTCGAAACCCAGGCGACCAAAATCGCGTCTGTGCGTCGTGTAACGGGTAAGCAAGTGGCTTAGCAAAAGGGCAATCGAAAAACACAGAAAATGATGGGGCAAGTCGTGGTACATACGGCAATAGGGGTAAGAGAGCAGGACCGTGACGAGCGCAAACGTGCCCCACTGGTCCTTGATGATGCCCGGCCACCACCGAAGCGCAATTACACAGGGAAGCGTCCAGAACGACTGAAGCATGGATACAAATGTGCGCTCATTAAGACGTTCTGAAAGTCTCGTTATCAAAATCAGGGTTATGATGTGCATTGCGGCCTATGAGAATACTAGTTAGCGCACGGGAAAGATGCGACGGGGCCGGCTGGGGAAGGGGCTTACCGAGGGGATGGTGAGGAGGTTGGTTGTTATGGCACTAAAGCCTATTGACCTCAGCGTCAAGGTGAGATAGTAGTAGGGCGGGATCTGTGGCAGGAAGCAGACGAGGCCGAGGGCGTAGACTGGCCAGAGGTCGTAGTCCTTCATGGCCCGCCACAGGCGCCGTGGCGTGATGGCCTGCCGATTGTGCATGTCGCCCTTGGAAGGGTCGTCACGCAGCACCCGGTTGACCACGATGGCCACCTCGCGGTCCGTAAACCAGCCATTGGGTCGGAACCACGCTTTGGTCTGAACGGCAGATGCAGGCATCAAAAAGAAGGAGGCGATCCCAATAAGCAGGGTAATGAGACCTTCTACCATAAAAAGCCAGCGCCACCCGGCCCAGCCATTGACTCCGCGGAGTCGCAGGAGACCAAATGCCAGGAAAGAGGTGATAATGGTCGTCACCGAGAGAGCGGTCCAGAAGTAACTGCAGGGGTTGTCACATCAACATGGGTCCGGCATTCGGCCTATAATGAGGGGAGTATTCTCACCTGAGACGGATGGGAAGCTCACGGGATGTGTAGAAGTAGGAAAGCCACAAAACAATGTCGGGGATGAAGCCGCCCTGAAAAAGGAACTAAAGTCAGCTTTTTCAAGCCTGGAAATCATAGATCGGAAGTGGAGGAAGCCGTACCTCCAACAGACCCAACAAGGCTCGTGTGGCAAGGAACCCCGACCTCGTAGTAATTGCGCACTGCGCAATAGCGACAACGGACCATAGCACCATTTGCATTGGGATCCAGCGGTCCGGGCCTATTTTCTTGGACACGAGCTGCGACGGCAGCTCAGCGAGCAAGAACGAGACCAAGAACACGACGTTGCCAAAGTTGTAGTCTTGAGGCGAGGAGGTCAGCTAACCAACCGGAATTGATAAGTTGGGCCTTCTACACGCGCGATAAGCTCTCATACCGTTGGTATTCATTTTGAGATCGTCAAGAAGATTGTCGGCCAAGGCTTGCGAGAGATTGCCGCGGTCGACCTGCAGAGCGAAGAACATGACACACTAGATTCGGACCCAGTCAGTCTCGGAAAATCGCACCTTGCACCAGATACTGCGGGTGTCTCTTACAGCCCAGAGGCAGACTCGCCAGTCAAGCTTCCGCACGATGGCCTTCTCCTCTTCCTCGGTCCATGTAAGGGTGGGGTCGAAGACGTGACGACATTCGTACTCCGCCTTGTCGTAGACCTCTTTCCAGTGTTCCACATTCGCCGGTGTGTTGAATGGGTTGTCTTTGTCAATTTCGTTGTCCTCCGAGCCCGAAAGCTCGCTTGAATTCACAGTCTCAAAGGTGGCAACATTTTTGGCGTTTGGCAAGTCAATTTTCTTCTCATCGACAAGCTCGGGCGGGTGTGACCCGGGGAGCGGCGACTTGGAAGACATCTGGACTGCCACCTGCAGACACCGAAACAGGTGTCCCTCAAGAGTCAGGGCCCGAAATTGAAAGGCTCTGTACCGTTAAAATAGTGTTTCTGGCGGATGTAGATGAAAGCGAGCCACGAATTGAGCGGAAGAGTGATACAGCTGGTAGGACATGGACTAGGTGTCGGAAATGTCATTTTTTATAACTTTGTCTATTCAGAGTTGCCATCGATGTCGGTATGAGCAGGGGTGGTATATGTGACATATGTTCATATGGCGTGCTGTATGCACCAACCCAAAGCAAGCCATGACCCCGGTATTCAAGACTTTATCTGCAGGAAGACGTAGCAGCTATCGAGTAGGGCGGAGATCGTTCATGATAGCCGTCGAGTCTGGACCTTTGGACTAGCGGCCACAGGACATGGAGGTTGGGGGGTGGGTTGGCTACGACAGTGTGCCGAGGCTAGTGGCCAGGGAGCCCTTTTGCTTTTTTTTTGGCTGGCTGGCTGGTATCAATATCAGAGCATATTCCAACGTGGGGGTGCCTGTTTCGGAAATAGGCGCCCTTTCAGCAATGTGTAGTGCCATATCTGGTTGATAAAGCCGCAGCGATTTCTTTCCCCGGTGGTGTCGTGATTTCTGCCGGCATGAGACGATCAAAATTCCCCCTTCAGACTCGTGAGAGATAACGCACCAGTCAATAATACTTGCAGGTACCTGTGTTAAGCGAGTGCAAGGTGTCGCCAAGCTTGTTAGGCACATTGCGAGGACAAGGTGAACGGATCAGAGCGTGTAAATAACCTCGCGACGGCAAATGGATTACCAACCCTCCAATATTCTTAGCATTGCTCCTAGAAGTCTAGAATTTGCTGCCGGCGAGCAGGTTGAAATTTTATTGCTCATTGTCGCTCGCCACTTCCTGTCGGAGCGTCCATAGTGCGTCAGCGACCCATGAGATGACACCATAAAGTGGCAGCAACCCCGCTGCTCCGCATGTCCTCATGTCCCACCTGACATCGGACTTAAAGCTCAAGGAAAGACGCCATTCAATCGAACGCTGAGGCAATACGTCCAGAACCCGGCTTTTACACAGGTGACAGGGCGCAATGCGCTCGGCATGATTAAAACCGAATAGATTCGAGGACGAGATATGCCACGATAAGCGCCAGCAGAGGTGCCAGCTGAATTGACGATGCATGTCCTGTCTTGGCACCTGAAGAGGAATCGCCGGAAACATTCCTCGGGGGGACTGTTAGGTAGATTGAGGCAGAATTGAAGTTGATCTGGGGTCACAGTCAGTTATATGCACTCAGCGATCCAGGGAAAGTCGACTGCGGAGACCTATCATCTTACCACGTCGTTCGAGGCAGGGCAGGTTTTGGTAATTGGGGGTCCATGTGCAGTCTCGCCTCCCATGCTTATTATCAGGTTTCCCGTCTCGTAGTTGAGATCATCGAACGGAACCTGGAAGTACTGCGGGGGCCCTGCAGCAATGTCAAGCGTCTGCGACGCCCGACCCAGGGAGACGGTCAAGGACGTGTTCTGAGCAGAGACGGCGATAACATTGATAGCGTCAATCACGCCTGCCCTGGCCGACATGTTGCCATGCTGTCCCCACACCGTTCCTCCGTCGGCGCACTTACTGATGTTTACTGGCGTGGTTCGGTAGTAGGCGATTGCCGTTCCCGCCCCCATGGACTTGGGAAAGGCGACCTCCTCTCTGCCAGCCTTGTATGCTGCAATAAAGTACGGCAAAATGGCCCTGAATCCCGCGTGCGACATACCGGAGACGTAGGGTAGCGCTTCGGCAATGACCTGCTGCGGGCGGATATCGGCAAGGCAGTGTGACTCTGCAAAATCGTTGAAGCTGATGATCTGAACCATGTCGGGCATGATGTCGATGACCTGCCTCCATCGATCGAACCAAAGCCTGTCGCTCGATGCGTACCAGTTCTTGTCTAGCTCTGGTACCCCTGACAACCCATTCAGCGACCAATCGCACGAGTAGGGACAACCCAAAGTGAATGGAAAATTGGAGAATCCTGTACTGACTGGTGTAGAAATAGGGGCTCACGCCCATGATGTACGCCTCGCCGTTGAGCGATTTTTGGTACTGCTTGTTAGCGTCCGTTGTCATCCTCAACTTACCGGGCTGTGGCCACGCGGACCAGGAAACTGGGACATGGCTGCTGGTTAGCACTATTGCCATGACGGAGAATTGCCAGAAATTTTCCGATTGAGACCAACACTCACAAGCGCCGTTAATGTCCCGGACCGTCCGATTTATGTCTTTCGGCCCCTGAATTGACCAGTCGGGGACCAGGAAGATGCCGCCATCAACCTTGGACCGGACCCATTTCCAGTCGTTGGCAAACGAAGCCCCCTCAAAGGTGCCCACTAGCGGTTTGCTGTCGACTTTGAACTGCGCTGGTTCGTCCTTGAACGTGCTGGTCAAGTTCGCGATGTTGTCGACAGTCCAATTTCCAGCAGCGGCAAAGTCGAAGGACAGGAATACCGAGAAGTTTCCGAGCTCGGCTGCCGCGCCGTACGCATTGCGGAGTGCAGTCGTCGAAAAACTATCGTTGGCTCCAATGTTCAGGGCAAATCCGTCAATTGCGGCGTCTTGGGCGACTTGTATGTCTTCTTTCCATGTTTGCGGTGATTAATTGAGAGTCCAACCTACGGGCTCACGCGACATTAGTACGACAGAAGCCGAGAAAGTTGGAAATAAGAGGTAAGGAGAATGGAAGCGAGGAAAAGACGTCGAATACATGTAGATTGAAAGGTTCTTAAGATCGCGTGGCAGCGATTAGCCGAGGAAAGGCGCGCGCCGGTTGCCAAACGCCAGGTGTTCCACTTTCGTACGTACCATGTAATGGGCAAAGTCGGTTTTCGGGAGCACCATCTTGTGTGCAACTGTGCTGGTTTATCACTTGTCACTTGGCAGTCAAAATCCCGCCCCCTCGACCGTCGCAGAGTAGCCTCACAAGGAGCTCATGACACGAGACAGGTGCGGATCATTAAGTATCATGTCTGCTCCTGCCCCACCTCGACCTGCTTTTTGTTCTCATCCGAAATTTACTGTCCTGTCCAGGTAGCGAGTCCGATTTCATCCTGCCCTCAACTTTCGCCCATGGCGCCTAAATTCACCGATAACCGAATACCCCACCAGGCGTGCCTCGAGAGCCACACCTAATTTCGCGATCTGTGGAGGTAGAAATCACGGGCACCCCTACACTCTGCTGGCCGCCCCAGAGGGGAAGTGCCCACGATACAGAATATGCAGGGTCTTGCCACTTAACCGCTTCCGGGAGCGGCGACCGTTGATTTCTCGTGATTAAGCTTTCGCCTAGGACAGACTTGGAAAGACCGAAGCCAAGATGACTCCACCCACCCTTCAACTTCACGTCATTTTCGTCTTCTCGGCCGTTCCGTCCCATTGCTATCTGGATTGGCAGCTGACATCAGAACAAAACGGCGCCTAGAAGATTCAAATCTCGCCACAGCTGAAAAATCGGCCCTCCAAAGGGCGTCGTTTTGTGATTCGGCCTTTCTGACCTTGTACGCCGGCTGGTGCGACAACATCTTGGACGAATCCCGCCCAGACGCTGCGGTTCTTGGCATGGTTCGACTTGGGCAGCACGACTCCTTTTTCTCTACTCCGTATGGGTTATCCGAAAACCTCTAAAGCCTTCGTTCTGCGCCGTTTAACGCGTGCGATTTTAGACTCTCGCACGATTGTGTTTTGGCGGTCGGAGGAGCTGATGGTCGCTGCTTATCCAATGTCCCTGGGCACAATAACCTAGACCTAGACCACACGGGAAGACTCACCTGATCACCAAGCGAAATTCTTTCGGAAAAGAATCAGTCATTCAATGTCGACCGTTCAGGTTCAAGGCGAGACCAACGTCCACCTCCGGCCCGAGCCTTCGGGATGGTTTCATTCAAGAGCCCACCGTCCCGCTTTGGCGAACGACCAACACACTAGCTGATATGTAGACACGTGGAAATTTTCCCAAAGGCTGTGGGGTGGGTTATCACATTCCTTGTCGGCGCCCCGAACGCGGGTCAAAAGCCGCCCCATCGGCCAATTACTCGCGAACCAAGTACCCCGATATTAGACGCGTGAGGGTCTCCGAATGACCGTGTCAGTGGCGGATACGAGAACCCCGACGATATTCTCTTGCCCATTGACCACCAATACCATGGGACAAGCACCTTTTTTTGTTCCTGTTCAGAACTGCGACATTTGAAAGGGGCTGAGAGTGGGTGCAATGACTCCGTTTACAACATGAAATCCAGATATGTGGATGTTGCCAGATAAGAAAAAAAAGCTGACCGATTTCTAAGAATTAGCTCGAAGCCGCAGAGATTCCATCCGCTCGATCCTAGGAAAGAAGGATACTAGGTTAGGTACACCAAAATATCGTTGCTACCACAATTCCCTCGTAGCCATCTCCAACTGACCAAACCCATTAATATAATTAGCCCATGTTCTCCCCATCGATGTCCAACATTAAAACCGTGCCCTTTACCAACTACTTCTTCCCGTGTCAATGCCTCTGGTTCCACTATGAATGCGTCTTCGTCCATTGCTTCCCCATCGATGTCCAACATAAAACCGCCCCCCTGCCCAACTGCTTCTTCCGACGTCAACACCTCTTCTTTTAGCAACGTGAGTGCCTCTTCTTCCAGTGCGCCCCCATCGATGTCGAACATAGAGCTGTCTTCCTCCTGCATGATCGGCAGACGGCCCCCAGGCTGCTGCCTCTCGTAGCCGGCAGCGGCGGCGGCACGCCTAGCCGAGCGGCGCACCTGCCGCCGGGACTTGGCCAGAGCCACAGCAAAATGATCCTCCTTCGCGGCCCTGTGACGTCGCACGCCGTCGTCGTCTTGGCCGGCTTGACGCAAGCCCCCGCGGCTGCCGCTCCCGGACCCGTGCAAGAAAATGTCGTCCAGAGCGTCAGGCTGCTGGGCTCGGCCATTTCTCCTCCGCCGTTTCGGCGACCGTCTGCCGACCTCTGGCGACGAGACCTCGTCATCGCTTTCCTCCCGATCGCGCTTTTTTCCGATCATGGTTGCTCTATTCAAGTTGCCTGCCGCTGCCCGTGCTGGTGGTTCTCGTCGACGTGTTGCTCGACGTGGTGCCACCGCCGCCGCCGCCGGCTCCTTAGCTGCGGCTTGCTCGGCCGCCGGCTCCTCGGCCGGTGCTCCGTTGTGCGCCGCTCCGTTGTCTGCCGCTTCTTCTTCTTCTTCTGCTGCTACTTTTTCTGCCGCCTTGTTGGCCGCTGCCGCCTTGTTAGCTGCTCTGGTTGCCTTGCCCTTTGCGATCCTGTTATCTCTTGTTGCCTTCTTGGCTGCTCTGGTTGCCTTGGCCTTAGCTTGCCCCTTCCCTCGTGCTGTCATATTTGCTTCTTCTGCATTATCCTCGACTTCGGCGGGCCCCGGTGGAGGATTACCGGCCTGTGTATTGCCGGCTTTTGTCGCGGCCTTCTTAGCCGGAGTTTGCTTCCTCGGTCGTGGAGGAGGTGGAGGAGGAGGAGCAGCGTGGGCAGCAACTCCTGGTCGTCCTGCCGCCGCTGTAGCCTGCGCCGCTTCAGCACGCACCGCTGCCCGTGTGGCACGCCGGGTACTTGTATATACAGGAGCAGGGGGTACAAGAGCAGGGGGTACAGGGGCAAGGAGAACAGGGGTTGGGGGGATAGCAGCAGAGGGCTGCCATTTTTTTACCCCCCTGTTTTCTTACTGGGCCCCGGTTGCTGCTCATCCTCTGGAGGCTCATCATCTGACGGCTCATCCCCTGGAGGCCCATCCCCTGGCGGCCCATCTTCTGGCGCCTGCTGAGACGCCTGTCGATACATTTTCCTGGGACGGGGCGTTGTCCCGCTCTTTCCCCTTTCATTTTCCCTGCACCCTTTCCTCTCCAGCTTTCCGAGCTGCGATGCGCTGTCTTTCTAGCTGGATTTCATTAGCGGACGTAAGATGGGAGAAGCGTATAGGTCCACGATCCGTTTCTTCCATCTCCAGCTCCTCCTGTTGTTCCTTCTGGGCTTGATCAAGCCAAGGATTGGGTCCTTCTTTCTTCCAGTACTTTCGCTCCCAAGGTCGAACTTTATCGTCCAACAATCCATCTTCGGGGATATCGGCCCCTCTGGGTTGGTCCTCTGTGGTTTGGTCCCCTTTTTTGGGGTCCCATCTGGTTGGGTCCCGGATTTTCTCTCCCTTGGGGTGACTGAATCTGAAATCCTGGGTTTCTACCGACCAATCTGCTGTATTTCTCGGACGCTGGCCATCGATGGGTTGCCCTCTTGGGCCATTTTGTCGCGGAACGGCATCGTCTATTGGCTGCCAATCATTATCCGCTGGAATTGTTCGTGCCGGTGCCCCGGAACCACCTCCCCGCACCCTTTCTTGAACGCAGAGGTGAGGCGGAGGGGGCTGGTTTCTCGCCTGCTGTTGGGTGGCTCTGTTCCTCGCGGCTCGCTGGGTTGGAGACTCGTCGTCAGGGTGTGAGTGGCGACTTTTGCGGCCACTTGTGCTTGGAACTTCCGGACTTGGCCTATTGGAACCGTGTCTCGGCTGGGGGGCTGGGGTCGGAGAGCGTCTAGTCCTTTAGTAGTGCCAGTTTCCCTCCTGCGCTTGGAAGGGTTGGCTTGGCCTTGTGACTCGTTGTCAGAATCATCTTGTTCGTCCGACGATGACTCGGGGTCTGCGGGTTGGGAGTTTTGTGACGGGGGGCCTGCATCACCTCCAGAATCACCATTTCCCTGGTGGCCGCCTTGTCCCCCTGGCTTATGAGGCTTCGGAAAGTCATTGGAACCGCTCCTGGGCTTGGATTCGGAACAATGCGGGGGTATATCACCCGACTGGGATAGACTCCCACCTCGTTCGGGGTTAGCAGCTGCCTGGCGTGGGTCCAGATCGCGTAGCCGGGACACGTAGTCTGGCCAGTCGAGGGACGCATAGCTTGGTATGGACTGGCTTCTATCTTCCCTGCGGTCCCGACCTGGAAGCTGTTGGCCTCTGTTTCTGCCGCTAGAGTCGGCGCCCGATGGACCACCCGACTCCTGGCCTCGAGGCTCGAGAATAGACCCTGGCAAGAGAGGGATGGTCTCTCCCTCGATGTACGGTTCTATGCAGTAGGGTCCTCCGACATGTCCGTCCAAGGCCCGCCTGGCCTCGGCCTCGGCGTTTGGAGAATCTGCCCTGCACGGAGGCTCCCAGAGCCGGAACCGGTGCTTCTGGTTCGGCTGCGCCCACAATACATGGCCTCCATACTTCTTGACCATCAGCTCGGCCCCCTTCCATTCGAATTCAATTACGCGCTGGGTTACTATGGGCACGACCGTATCGATGAGGAAGTCGATCCCAGGCACGCGGTCCCGCATTTCTGGGCTCGTGAACTGCTTGGGCGGCCCAACCTGCAGCTCTTTTATTTCCCACGTCTTGAGCACGCGGTGCAGTTCGGCGCTGTACGGCGACACCGTCCCCCCTGCGTCCTACTTCCAGTGATCCAATTGGTAGCTGTCCAGGCGGCTCACAAGATTAACGTCGTAGTCCTCGGCGGGGCCGCGTGGGTGCTGTGTTGTGTACGTCACCAGCTTTCGGAGCACGCAGCCCAGCATGTGCATGTCCTGCCAGATGCCCGGTGCTGCATTCTCGTTCCGGGGGGAGGTTCTCGGTGACTCGTTCCACCACTCCTCCGGGTCCGTCTCCAGGTTGGCCCTGCTAAACCCCGTCAAAACAACCTCTGGGAGGCACCATTTATGGACGTCCTTGCAATCCTCGTCATCTTTTCTAAATCGGAGCAAGACGCGCCCGTCGTGAATGTCGCGGTGTATGATGGGCACCCAGTTAGTCCTTCGCTCTGATTTCCTGTCTTTGTCGTCGAGGTCCTCGCGCGTTAGACCCGTGTGTAGGAAGATGAGAGCTCGGCCAAGCTGTTCGGCGATGTGTGCCACACAAAGTACTCGGGGAAGTGGCGCTTCTCGTGCCGGAAGGCTTCGATCAGCTCCGCCAGCGTGCCGCCGTGGCTGAAACAATAGTACAGCGACAGGACCTGGATGTCGCCGTTTTCGCCAATGTCCTGCTGCTCTCCGTTGGGGAAGTAAATTTCAAGTATTGTGGGGAAGTAGGGCTCTTCAGGCAGCCGCACCTCGATGAATTCGCTCTCATGCTCATAGCGTGCGAAGCGCAGATCCGACGGCACTGGAGACCTAAAGTTGTGGGATATGATGTTCGGGTCCTTGGTGCCGTCTTCCGTTACTGAGTAGGAATGCCGCAGCAGTCGCTTGTTGATGACAACCTCACCCCAATAATTTATGTTCACTAACCGGTAGATATTCCGGCCGCTGCCGCGGATTGGATCCAGCAGGAGATATACATTGTCAGGTTCTTCGAGCGAGCCGTCCCTGAGAATATTGCCTTCGTCAGTTTACGTTTCATTGGCCTTCTCTACTTGTTCCTGGTACGACTCTGACCTGTACTTGAAACATTCTTTGGGGCTCATCCGACTTGGCCTCATCGGAGTTGGATTCCTCGGAGTTGGACTCCTCGGAGTTGGACTCCTCGGAGTTGGACCCATTCGACTCTGGGTGACTCCTTTCGTCTTGTTTTGGAACCGGCGCCACCAATATGCTGGGATCGAACATCCCCCCTATTCCTCGATTCATTACGGACAATGGGGTTGCGAGTACTCATGATTGAGGGTCATTGCTGTGCCGGATGGCGATTTTTCGCTCTCAGTTCAGCTGAAGCTCTTGTCCAGGAACTCTAGGAAGTGTTGAGTCGGCCGTGACCTGGCTTGGCTTTGATTGAATCTGCTAGCTGATGTTACAGTGAAACGTCAATCTTTGACTCGCCGGCCTATTTTGAACGCCACCGTGTGTACATTTTCAACTTGTATTCGCCAACATTACCATCTTTGCTCTTTATTGTTCCCGCCACCCGATGTGCCGCTTCCGGATCCAGGACGGCCAGCTGCCACCGCCCGGACAAAGACTCGCACATGAAAGACCAAGGTCGCCTTAGTGTCGAGCTTTATAACAAGCATGCATGTTACGAACAAAGAGCATTCGAGCAACACAACGCAGGCACCATTCAACAAATGCGGGTTTTGCAGCGAGAAACAAGCATCGGAGTACCCGTATGATCCGTTCCATCACATTTCCACGATATTTGAGATGGAAAATGGAAAATACCACCTTAATCGCCATTTTCATTTGCCTAGTTCTTCCCTGGTTGAGGTATTTTATTCACGCAATTTCTTCTGTTTTCCAAAACCAGTATATCTATCATCTCCCCCTGCTCTTTGAGCTGTGATTTAATCGCACTACACACTACGCACCTTCCGAGCGCCTGGCAATTCTCATGGACTCCAGACTACCTACCATGTGGGGCGTGTGACGTGCGGCCGGCGCCTCTCCCGGTCTTCCCCACGGCCATGTCCGGCTCCAGCTGTGTTGTAGCGCCTTGGGCCGAACCACAACACCTTTCTGCATCTCAAAACAGCTCCAGGAACAACACCAAAAAATGGGCTCCGTGGCAAAACACCACTTCTACATCGAGGATGCGCTGCTGCGGCCGGCGGTCCACCACCAGTCCTTTGAGAAGCTATGGGAGACCAAGTGGAAGACGCCCGTAAGCCCCCATCCCGTGTCCCGGCCGGCTATTACTGCGGGTATTGGCTGATAGACCTCAAAGTGCCAGATGGGTATCTACCCGTTCATGTTTGGCAGCATCGTCGACTTTGAGCCGGTGGCACGAGCCATCATCGATGCAATTAGGCCCACTACCTCTTTCTTGAGAGGGAAGATTTGCTGACAAGCACACAGAAAGGACTCAAGGAGCCGTACGACTGGGACGAATACGCACAAATGTTTTCCCCCAAGGCCCAGGAGCTAGCCCGCATCGCCGAGGAGGCTGAGCGGTTGGGCCAGAAGGACAAGGCGTGCGAGTACTACCTGTATGTTGTCCTGTGGCCGGCCTGCAGTGTTGATTGCGGAATTACTGACTGGTGCTGGCGGTGTTGATGCAGACGAAGCTCGGCTGTCTACCGCATCGCTCGGTTCCCGGCTCCACGCTCCCAGCAGCAGCGATTGGCGTGGAAGGCGGGCAAGGAGGTCTTTTACAAGGGCGCCGCGTGAGTACCCCTCCCCTATCCACTCCGTTCATCGTTGTAACAACTAATCAGACGGCAGGCTCATGGAGCATCCCATCAAGGAGGTGCTCATCCCGCACGCACACCGAGTCGACGGAGAAGGCGACGTCATCCCCGTCAACTTTCTCGTGCCGCCCAGCGCATCCGCCGCGTCCCCTTGCCCACTGCTGATCATCTTCACGGGCCTAGACGGCTACCGCACCGAGCTGGCCGTGTGGCAGCGCGGGTGGCTGGACAAGGGCGTGGCGACGGTCGTGGTCGAGATCCCCGGGACGGGCGACTCGCCGGCGCTGGCGTCGGACCCGAAGAGCCCGGACCGACAGTGGTCGTCGGTGCTGGACTGGGTGGCGACGCAGCACGAGGTAGACGTCCAGAAGGTCGTCGTGTGGGGGTTCTCGACGGGCGGGTACTACTCGCTGCGGGTCGCGCACACACACGCCAGCCGGCTGCTGGCCAGCGTCAGCCTCGGCGGCGGCGCGCACCACATGTTCGACGCCGCGTGGCTGCGGCGCGTCAACGCGCTAGAGTACCCGTTCGATCTGGCGGACACGCTGGCGCACAAGTTCGGGTACGCGGACCTCGACACGTTCGTCGGCGAGGCCGGCAAGTTCTCGCTGCTCGACGACGGCACGCTCGACGGGCGCGCCGGCTGCTGCCGCGTGCTGCTCGTCAACGGCAACGACGACGAGATCTTCCCCATCGACGACCTGTTCGTGGCCCTTGAGCACGGCGCCCCCAAGGAGGCCCGCATGGTCCGGGGCAAGAAGCACATGGGCGAGCCCGACAGCTTCGTTGTCATCCTGCAGTGGATCCACGCCCTGCTGGGCCTCGACGCCGACATCATGCACCAGCTGCGGCTGCTGCCGAGCAAGACAAGGTTCTGATTAGCGTCAGGTCCCGCTGGCCGGGGAGAGGTCTCGCTGGTCGGGGAGAGGTCTCGCTGCCGGGGAGACGGGATGGGGCTATGTGGAGGAGCGGGGACGTTTAACAATGTTATATACTATTAAGTAGCTCGGCATAAAGCCGAGTCTTCCATAGTTGACGATCTACTCAATAAGCCGCTTTTATCAAGGCTCTATAATTAAGCTTCAATTGTGTCTAGAGAACCTATTCTTTGGAAGGGGCCCCGTTGAGCCGTCTGTTGAGCGTTATATACAGAACTCCATGCTTTTGGGCCGCTTGACGAATAGAAATTTTGTTGGCTGTGACCTTTCGGTACGTATTGACTATATCGTCTTCAGTATGTTAAGGCGTTATAGTAGTACAAGACGTTATTCATACTTGAAGGTTGGGGGAAAAGAAGAAAGCTTGTTTAGAGTTAAGTATTACAAACCACTCGACTGTTAGGGTCGTCTGTCTGTAAGGGAGCACAGGCTCCACAGAATGCTGGGGTTGGTAATTATGAAGATAGAACAGAGGGCAAGCTCCTATCGCACGGGTAATACAGTCAAATCGGAATGCCACTCAAAATGTATGAGTGTAGCGAATGTGTATTGCTTGCTTGAAGAACGAAGCAAGAACTATCTAGGACCGTGGACACGATCGTCGTATATATCTATCTACGTAACCAATAACAGTGGTTCCGTTGTCCCGTGGTCCCGCGTCCGGGTCACCGCCCGGCCGGACCTGTCCCGCGCCCCCGAGCTCCAGAGCTCGGAATCCTGGAACGCTCCTGATTGGCTCGCGCCAAAAGTGCATGCCCCACCTTTGTGCATAACCACAGGGAATCCACAGGGATTCGTGACATTAAGTTACGACGTTACAGCTAGAAAAGTAGGGCTTATGGCCTAAAAAATCCATCTTGAGCTTGAACCAAATGCAAGTACATAACTAGATCAATTGACTACTTGCGAATCGCTTTACAATTGACTACACTATTGTTGTTGAAAAGGGTAGTACTTTGGTGTAAAAAGGGTGATCTGTTGGGGGGGGTGATCCTTTGGGGGGGTGATCCTTTGGGGGCTGGGGTAGGTAACAGCCGGGATGATCGAGCGTCATCACGGATATCGAAACGGCACCAAACGCAATGTCCGTCTGCAGGCGCTCCTAGACCCTCAATCTAGACAAAAACACCCACACATAAGCCCAAACCACCGACGCACACCACTTCCCAAACCAGCGGAACCAGCCATTCCTCGTTGTCCCCCCAAGAAAGACGAGGCTCCCGCAAAGCATCTACGGCAACCCATCCACAACACCGAACCAAAACTAACAATCGTATGCCGATAACGCCGTGTGTAGCGCCACCTGGAATAGCCTCGTCACAATGCCAGACCGCTTGATCAACCCCCTTTGCAAGCAAGGGGCTACCGGCCAGCAACCAGAAGGCGATCATTACCTGTGCAAGGTAAATGGTGCGTCTGACAGATATGAAATTGAGGCAGACAATAACAGCAAGCTGAAGGAGGAGATTAACGATGCGGCAGGCGGGGATCTCTTCGTAAAGGAACTGTTTGATAATTAGAGTTAGCGGCCACTAGGCGCAGAATTTCACACAGATCCCAAGGCCGTAGAAGTCGCCATTGCCGTCTACATCGCAATTTGCGTTGTCGCTCATTGCATTAGCCTTAGGCCGAAATCGTAGAGAACGAAGAGTTTGAAGTTTTGCGGAGTTAGGGATGTATCGAGGGGTAAAGGCACGCCGTCGCTTTTATAGACGATAGGTCGTATTGCTTCCATCCCTTGACATTAATATCATCAATAACATCCTCCACTGTATCGTTCCTTCATCCGCTAGCCGGAAGATCAGTTTGGCCTAATTCCACGGCGAAACCAACCAACAACATAGCGGCTGCCCCAGAGGTTAACGTCGCTCACAGCACCGAGGAGACGCTACTGGAGCGTTAAGCGCAGCTCACACGAGATAATCTTATGCTGAATGATCAAAGATTCCGGCGTAGCCGGTAGGGTTTAGGTAGCCTCGAGAAGAACATCTAGAAAGCCGAACTTGGAGAGGAAAGTGCGACAAACACAGGTTTCACAAAGAGCAATATTCTGGCTACTAGGGCAGGGTGTGTCACGGTCGCCACAGGGCTCCTGTGACAGGATTGATTCTATTGGCTGCATTGTGTTTAGAGTGTGGCCTGTGCGCACTGAGCACCACCACCTATTTCTCCGCGCCCTGCGCGGACCCCGCGATAGATTCCCTTCTCTTCCTTAGCTTTAAATCCACATTCGTTACTACCTTCAACCTTGACATCCCTACTGCGTAAGGCGGGCCGTCACAGGGTGGGCGGCGATATATTCGATACCCGTGTACAAATATTCGGCGAATATGATGCACTAAAACTTAGCAAGATGAGAACTGCTGTTGCGGGCACCATAGGGGGTGAAGCTGGCAGTAAAACGTAAAGGAAAAATACCTGCTGTAGCTTAGCGCCAGCCCACTAAGTTACAGTATTCATCTCACTAATATTTAGCGTTTCCCCCACTAGAACTTATGTCGATTTCAGCGTATCATATTCGCCAAATATTCGTACAGGTGTGTCGAATATATCGCCGCCCACCCTGTTAAGTAGAGTAATTGGCTAAAAGAGCACAAACCTGGGGCAGGGCAAGATACGTTAGCTATAGGAACGCCAGTGCTGGAAGCCTCTTGCAAATATCTCACAGCGTATATATATCTCTCGCGATACCCCCAGCTTCGGCGAGATCCAGCCTGCGATTGGGCAATGGCAATGAGGGTGCCAGCAATATATGGAAGCGGGCTGGGAAGCTTTCTATCGCTATACTACTACTCTATTTAAGGTAACCTGTACCTTACTCTGCTGCTCTGCAGGTAGCTCTTGACGGATCACAGAGCGTTGCTCTGTGGGAGCCCCCCTGCTCTCTCACGGAGCACCTCTGCCAAGACAGAGTAACATCTAATTGGTTGGATGCCCAGTGCGATCTCGCGGTTCGAGTCCTCCTTCCGCACCGTCCCTTCTGCAGGCGACACGTCGGTGTTCTGCGGGCGACACATCGGTATTCTCTCCATTTGTTTGAACTCGACGCTCAGGATCAGTAGGGGGAGCATCTCGAAAACGAAAGCGCATTGGCAAACATATCTCGGCCGACGACGTTTCGAGAAGTGGTGGTTATCAACGATTACAGTCCCCCTTTTCTTTCGGTCGCAAAGATTGACGGGATTATCAGTAACTGTCGCAGACACCGCGTGCTCACCGAAGCACTGGACGCCGGTGATGCTTCGACCCGGGCTGTGCTGCCCTCGCAACTTGACGCCCGAGAAAAGAGCACGCTAGGCTACAGATGACCCCATCAAGCCAGATAGAAGAGGGGTATCGCGGGGAGTGGGGAATCTGCGGCGACAGAAGGCTGCGGCGCACGGAGCCCGCCGCAGCATGCCATGGGTGCCTAAAACAGTGTAACACGAGCCTAACACGAGCCCAACCGACGACCTCGGAGGTGCTGCGACCAAAAATTTTCATCTTGCTCTGCTTCCCGTCACTGCAATCAAGCCATCCGAAGTTTGGATCCCTGGGAACCGGGCTTGACCGACTCGCCATGGAAACAAATACTGACAGACGCGACTCCCTCTCCGGCATTGCACGTCAACAAGGGCGGCCGGTTGTCTCTCTTCTAGTTGACATCGAGAAAAAAGCCGGGACGGCTGAGAAAAGAACCTTGGCATTCGTCCAAAATCTTGAATGTCTACGACTTCCTCAATACTCACGTGGTGACACAAAAGCGACTGCCGGACCAGTCAAAGTGTTGCGAGAGACCATTGATGCTACTCGAAATTCCAAGTATCTGGCTTTGTCATACACATGGCAACCCTCAAAGCACGAGAGCAAGGAAAAGGGGTCGTATCACGTTCAAGAGCGGGACAGCGAAGAGTTCAAACCTTCTGAAGTCCGAAACTGCGCCCTCGACCGCATCTTCCACTACATGCGGGCCATCCATGTCCACCGTCTCTGGATCGACCAACACAGCATCGTCCAGGAGACCGGCGGTTGCGATGATCCTATTTGCGTTCAGCATCCAGCGTGCATCGCGAGGCGAGAGGGATTCACTGTTATGGACCTTGTCTACAAGCTCAGCAATCACCCCGTCGGACTGCTGGCAAGACCAATTGAATCAAAGTGGGAGATGGAGAAGCTCTCAGATATCCTCCAAGGCAACTTTACGGTGGTGGACGAGTCCAACTTCCAACTATCACCGAAGTTAGACCTATGGGAGGCCTGGAACGCGGTGGATCTGCTGCGTCGAATTACTAGTGACGATTGGTGGTGTCGAGGATGGATCTTTCAGGAGAATTACAAAGCGGGTACCGACATGAAGCTGCTCATCAAGCACCCTGAGAAGCTCGAATCCCTGAAACGTTCTTGGCACCAGGTATTTGGAGACGTGGATGGCGAGCTCTGCATCCAGTCCGTCCAGTTCTTTAAGGAGGCGACACGCTTGTGTTTGGCGTATTTGAGGCGCATCGGCGAGCACCACCAAGGCTCCCCTGTCCCCCGACGGATGAGGAAGAGGAAGAGGAAGAGGAAGAAGGTGATCCAGCAGATTCTTCACAGAGCTGGAAGATACCAGGATCTCCTCACATGCTCGCAACCCATGACGCCACGCATTGTCGCTGATATCGGCAAGAAAAGCATCACAAAGCCCTGGGATATGCTTGCCATTGTAGCTAATAGCTGCGGGTACGCCATTCGCTTCAACGCAGAGAAACTGAGAAGGAGCGAGGCGAGCTTGAGCCTCTCCATACTCGCTCAGTGCTTACTGAATGGAGAAGTCCTGCATAACGGTGGCCGGCCAATTCCTGAGGCAGCCGACCTCACTCTCCCAGAGTACCTGGAACGAGCTCTCTTTTCCGGGTTTTACCGAAATACCTCCAAATATAACCTCACAATCAACAAAAGCTGTCGCTTTATTGACGCTAGCTTCTCCGAATCCGGAATTCACACCCATGGACACTTCTGGAAGCTCGGCAAGGTCATCAACACCCGCAACTGGCCAGATCAGGGCGCACGGCTGGACGTCACTCACGGGAAACTTGAACTAATCCAGCGCAGACGACTCGCCTATATGACGAAGTGGTTGGAGAAAGAATGTCACGGAAATCTTGCTGATAGCATCCGCAATTATCTCAGCCGTGATACTAAGCTCGCTGGGGTCTCGGAGAATCAAATGTCATTCACAGAGTTGTACATGCACGCAATGGCCGTGGAGATCTCTGGCGCTATCGAAAGGGGCGACCCGCTGGCTCTCGGCTGTCTTTGGGACACTAACGGCCCCGAGACATACAGCCCCTACATGGCCGTGTTCGCCCGTGGTGATAGAGACGGGTACGACGGCGAAGTCTTTGCCTTCACAGCTTCACGTCCTGAGGATGCCAGCTCTGATGAATTTCATGTCAATGACCTGGATCGGCACGTCTCATTTGAGGTCGCTGTGGAGGAAAAGATTCAGGGTCAAACCTGGCTGGTACCAACACTGAGAATCAGACGATGGCTTCCTGGCATGAGTTTCTTCAGGGGGGTACCCAGGGAGGAAGTTGTGTTTCCGTGGCCGAGTGATCTGAAGGGGATCATAGCGTAACGTTTCAACCGCTCTTCAGTATCGAGGACATTTCGACTTTGGGGGCTCCTCGCAAAATCTGTACCATTTAATCCATCTTAGTCACAACTATAGGCCAATCTCTAGCTAGAGGTCGAGTGGCACACAGGTGGTTGAAAATCACAACTGCCCCCGCAACACTAGAGTCCCAGTGATTGCGATCTAAGTGATTCCACTGTAAATTAGCGCCTCGGTGACTTACAGTGACCGCTGAATCCCCTGTATTATCGGTCTGACGGCCTATAAGGTCCGCTCAAACTCAATGCCTTAACGTAGTGACTATAGTAGGTTATTATTATTCTAATATACGCTTGACCTTAAGGCCCGTACCAAGTACATGCGGTCCTTTCTGCAAAGTAAAATCGGGTGGACACCATTGCCTATAATAGGTTGTTTGCGAGAAAACGGATAATTAGAATTTTGGAGTGACGCTCTAAGTAGATTGAACTGACCTGCCACCGGTAGTTGCTTAGATAGAAAAGAGAAAACGGTAGTCACATAGCGAGGGAAGGTAATCGTTGCGTGTAGTGGGCCGGTGCCCCAAAATTGGGATTAGGAACGTATTATTACGCCATCACGGCAAGAAAGGCCGATACGTGTGCTGTTAACAATACAGCCCCATTTATCGTCACGGCAACTATAGCCGGGGCAAATTACTTAGACTCGCCTCGGCTCAGGCGGCCCTCGGTGCACCTCACCCGTTGCTGAGGATCTACGACTAATCCGGACTTAGTTAAAAAACAATATAGGGGTAGTTTATTACAAACCACTCGACTGTTTGGGCCCTCTGTCTGTAAGGCGCACAGGCACCAAAGGGGTTGCGTGAGTTAGTGTAATTAAGACTGAACAGGGGGCAAGCTCCTATCGCACGGGTATTCAAGTCAAACTGGCTTGCTACTCAAAGTGTATGAGTGCACAGAATGTGTGTTTCTTGCCTGGGGACAGTGCGCCTGGACCCCGCGGCCTCAACGGCGACATCATGTTACGTAGCGAGTACAACGCAGTCGTGAATGACCAAAGTGACTGGTCTGTTGGAAGGAATAAATAATGGCAGAAGCACCTGCATAATGCCGCCGAAATCTCCCCTTTCGACCATCTTTGGGTATGCATACGCCCTCGACTGTACCCCAGCCCCGTAAAGTTCGTTCCTTTAGTTCTTGGTAGAGTTGTGGTACCTGAGACTACATCTAGACTCGTGATTTGTAGCGAAGCTACGCTATCCTCAGGTTTTCTCTGCTCGAATATAAATACGATTAATTGGTTATGAACCCCGTTAGCAAGGCTCTAAGCTGCCATGTCAACGAGCGTTCAGGGGCAGGGGTTTAATCAGGGGTTGGGGTAGATCCCATGCAGGTCATCAGACCACTCCAATGCGGGTCAGCTGATTGATTCACCATCGGACATAATCTTCAGGTCTAGCTATCGCAGAGCCTCGTCAGAAAATTACGCTCAATCGGGTGTTCGGTAAGAGAAGGAAGAGCGCACTAATGCTGGGAACTTGCCGCTTGCATGACCTTTGGTCCAGATTTACTTCAATGTACCTTATTACCAATGATGATTATTATTTATAAAATACAATATACACAGCATAGAGAAATCTCGTCTCTGGGGACCCAGTAAACGTCGCATATCTTCAATTGAACTTCACTGTCGCAAATGCTTGTGCATGGGACGGACGTCTGACGGCGAGGCAGTGACGGGAGAACTTAAACGGTTAAAGTGATAGAAAGTCAAAACTGCCACGTCCTCTGAGGCTTAGCACAGGCACTGCCGTGGAGAACCAGTCAAAGCCAATCAGGGTCGGAATGAAAAACTCCACAATTAGTTCTTCACATCTCTCCTCCCGCTCCTCTTCCTTCGATGTTTGGCAACTATTGGCCAAGAAACGCTGGGGAGCAACAGAGCCGCATTGAAGATGCCGAAATACCGCCAGGCGTGACATGAAATGCGACCTTCCGCAGCGAGCAATTGGAATTTGGCTCGGTGAAGACCGAGTCCAAATGCGATTTTTACGTGCGGCTCTATCACGGTGGCTGAAATAATACAAAACCAGCCATTCACCTTGCACGGAGTTGCCTTCTCTCTCCCTCCTTCTCCCTCTCTTAAACATGCTTCACACGGCCGTCTGATTAATCACACGTCCATTCTCAAGCCCACCTAGGCTACCGCACCCTCCGCACACCATGTTCATATCCAAAGTCTCTTGCCTATGCCTGGCGCTTAGTGCTGCCGCCATCTACCCCACCGTGGCGTTCCCCGACAATGTACACCTCGAGAAGCGACAAGACTGGGACCCCAAGGGGATCTTATGCAACGTCGATCGCGGTACGTGAACGCTGAGAGCCCTTTCAAACATTACCCCAGCACTAGGTCCACGAGCAGAAAGACAGAGACAGAGACAGAGACAGAGAGAGAGAGAGAGAGAGAGAGAGAAGACGGAGTAGCCAGTGCCTAACTAACAAACCCCCCAACGGGGCTTCTCTGTCACAGACTGCACCTCGCCCGGCTACCCCTACTGCCGATGCGGCAACATCTTCTTTGGCGGCACCGTCGGGACGGCCCCGACATTCATGTATCTGTGCGCCAGCCACTGCGGCGCCAACGGCTGCATTCCGAACTGTGGAAATTGCCAAGCCTGCTGAGGAAGAAGGATGGTTTTTTTTTGGGGGGGGGGGGGGGGGGGGGGGGACTTGCACGATTAAATGCGGCACAACTGCCTAATCAGGCTTCCAGATACTTCGTACTCGGCAGGAGGTCTAATTACTTCAAACTACCTAGGTAGAGCTGTATTTATTCGTCAGGGGTAGGACAACGCCCATCATCCTTGGCATTCCCTTGTCTTTCATGACTGTCGTTTCCGGGAATACAAGTTTTTGGGGCTGTATTCTGCCGTCTCTTGTAGGTACCCCTAGTTTAATTATGCATTCATTGTTCGTAGCGCCGGGCTCGCTCTCGGCCGCTGTCCTAGGGGCTGCAGCAGTCCTCTTGGACTCGCCGAGGGTCTCGTCGGCGTAGCAGCCCGTGGCGAGCAGGCGGCGAGAGCGGTCGAGCTTCAGCGAGGACGGGCAGCGCCACTCGACAAACGGCATTCCGTTTTCTTCCGCCTCCTTCCGCTCCATGATGAAGACTCTGTCCTCAAAGTTGCGCGGGCAGTTGAAGTGCCGCGGGGCCTGGGTGTAGTGGACCATGGGATTGGCGCGGCGCCTGCGCACCCAATCGGCCAGGCCGTCGTAGTAGTCGGCGGCGGTTCAGCCCGGGTCTAGCTCGACGTCGGGGTACTTAGCCATCTTGTGGTGTCGGCCAGCAGCGCCGCGTCGTCCCTGAGCTGCATCGCGGTGAGTGGGACCTTGTAGTGGGACTCGTCTTGCGTCAGCAGCTCGTGCACGCTGAGCAGTGAGCACGGCCCCCTTGACGTCGTCGCGCTTTGGGTCGTCGCCTCGGAGCCTAAAGAAGGGGAACCCCCGCTCCGACTTGGTGCCGATCAGGGCGGACTGGCCAAAGTCGGATAGGACAAAGCTGTCCAGGAACAGCGGGGAGCCGTTGGAGCTCTCCGAGTGCTTGAACACGCTCAGCCCGTGCTGGGGGTGCGAGACCAGGTCCACGTTGGGCGCCAGGCGCTCCTGCCCCTCCAGCTCAGAACGCAGCGCCGCCGTCTGTCAAAAAGACCTTACTACTTCCGGCTTGGTCTAGGGAGCTTGGGCTGGGCCCGCATAGGCCACCTAATTAGAACGCCTTTTTACAGGGTCAACACAGGTCCCCGGACCTCCAGATGCAGGCCTTTTCTTCCTACAACATAACACAATACACACACACCTGGAATACTCTTAATTTTGACTACTTTTGCATGTTATTGGCTTCTGAGGCTGTCGTCGTCGTCGGGGAGGCTATCCATTACTTTCGAATTCCCGCGCCACACATCGCCATGGTCTCGTCCATAATGACATCGACGAGCCCGTCGTCACTGTCGCCGTTAATATTGTACGACCGTCCCTGCACAAACGCGGTGAAGGTGCAACGCTGGTCTGAATCATAAACTTGAATGGAGGAGTAACTACTACCGTTGGTCATGGGGCCGCCGATGTAATATCCGAGGCTGTCGTGGATGGGCATCTTGTATGCGTGTGCCCCTCTCTGTCCAAGGGCAAAGGAAACTCGTCTTAGTTGTTAGATCAAGAGGCAAGGAGAAGAAAGGTTGTCCGTGGTCGGAAATGTAAGAACAATTACCAAGGGGACAGAAAGGTAGAGTGAGATGTGATTACAGAGATGAGAAGAAAGGGAGAAAGAACTTGCCACATCGCCGTTGCTCCTTTTTGTTCAAAACGTGTTACTGTTGGGGTTTCATAGTGTTCGCTGCAGGGCCGCAGGGCATGCATGGGTCAGTGTGCCACCCTCTTTGTTCGGCCTGGCCGGCCAAATCACAGATTCTCTTCGGTGGGGCTCTGGTTGTCGGCCAAGGGGCTTAAAGGGGCGCGCTAGCGTCCAAACAGTCTAGGCCTCTAAGACTAGGTTGGTCAAATTGCGACTTGTCATGCCTACTAGCAGTTGGAACTGATGATACAGACAGGGATGCGCACTGCTAATCGAGTGATAGACCTTGTTGCAGTTGGATTTCCAGAGTAGACTAGTAGACTAATCAGATGCTTGCCTTGTCTGCTGCTGCTGCGGCACCAGGCAGCTTGTTTCAAGACCGCACTGCTCGTTTCGTGTTGTGTCTTTCAGACTCAGATAATGCGGCATTTGTGCCGGCCAGCTATAGAATGGGCCATCTCACACAAAGGATCACGGCCGATGTTGGTTAATAAATACCAGCGCTCGCTGTCTGAATTCGAATCAGTCGCCGCACTTCGCAAACTACCAAGACCGTCGCTCTCAGTCTCAGCGCTTCGCCAGTCCAGCTTTTAATTACTCTCCAGACACATCGACCCCACGCCCTTCTCGGATACCATGTCGTCTTCGAACCAGCCGTCAGGTGCCGTTTCTTTGATTCGTGCACTGTGGCACGACTTGGTCATCGTCATAGCCATTCTTTGCTCGTTCCTCCTTTTGGAGAAGCTGTTCAGGATGCTGGTATCTCTTCTCGCATCACCTCTCTACTGGCTGCTACCGCTCTGCAGGGAAGATCCGGCGGCCCTGCGGCACCACATTATCTGAAACAGACGCAACGCCCCTTTATTGCTCCCCGGGGATCGAGCCCAGGCATGTCCGCCAATACCAAGTCTCGGGGTTGTGCAAAGAATGCCGGCCGAAGCAGGCAGTGAGTGATCCCAAACATACATTCCCTACCGTGACCCAGGCCAATCGCTGACGAGCGCGCCATTGCTGGTAATACTACTAGACAGAGGCGAAGCGGCATGCCACCGGCGCCATTATCACCGGCTGAGGTTCACGGGCCGGATATCTGACTTTCTTTGGGGTTCGATTTGCTTTTAGTCCAGGTCGGACAGATTTCATTTGTTGCGTGTGTGGTCAATATCGTCGGTTCAGGAGGAAGTAATGGGCAAGCGAGAGAACTAGCAGATACCTACTCCCTTAGGTACCTTAGTTTTCCTTGTTTTATTAAAAGCCCCATTGCCAGGCTGTTTCTTGCCCCCATTGCCATGCTGTTTCTTACCGTTATCGTTTTTCTCCCATGGCTTGTGTGTCCGTCAGAAATTGTGCGGTGGGGGTTCAGAGTGCCAGGTAACAAGTGTGACGGCGGTCAATAGCAAGAAGGAAAAGGATCGCTAATGTAGCTATACCATTGTCTAAGGATTCTAAGGTGAAGAAGAAAGAAAGGAAAATCCACAAAGGTGCTGTTCAGTGTGGCTGGGAGTTGGAGAGCGCACGGGCCCACAGGGCTTGCAGGTGCCAAGCCCTCAGCCCGATTGGGACTAGTGCGGGGTCAGCTCCAAAGAGGGGTCTGAAGGCCCCACCGGGGGAGTTAGTGCAGGATTAGGATTAGCCCGACGTCGGGGGGGGGGATCTGGTGTTCGTAGCTTCGGGCCGAGAGCCCCGCCAGGGGAGTTAGTGTAGGGTTAGGGTTGACCCCACATTGGGAGATTGATCCAGCATTCGCAGCTTCTGGCCTTCGGCCTGGGAACTTGGAGAAAACAACCCATTCTATCGACAGTTTTTCAGGCCTTCGACCCTCAGACTTTGAAAAAACAACCCGTTACCTCGACAGTTTTTCAGGTCGCACTGCTGGCGGGGCTGGCCGTGACAACAAGCGTGTGTTTCGTCTGCTAATAAATAGGTATACACTATGCAGACCTGATATCTCCATTAGATCATCCTCTCAACCAAGTAACTGCCTACCTAGGTGGGCAAGTCTACAACAAGCCGCTAAAGAGACGTACGCAGAGCACGGCGGCCAGCGCGGCCAGGCTTCCGAGCACGACCATCTTCAGGCCCTCCCAGACACCGCCTCGCAGCCTGCGCCAGTCCACCGCAAGTGCCGGCCGACCACCAGCCCCGCTGCCACCATTTCCAGCACTGGCCTCGCTCAGGAGGCAGTGCTTCGCGAAACCAAACACAAACAGCGCCGCGACGCACACGAGAAAGCTCCACAGCAGCCCGTCGTCGACGGACGCCACAAAAAAGTACGGGAACAGCGGCAGGCTGCCGCCCGTCAGGTACCCGGCCGACACAGACAGCCCGGCGTGCACCGACGAGTAGCTCCCAGACTCTAGTGCTGCTGCCTCGTCTTCGCGAGGGTTGGCGGTTTGGCTCCGCCGCGATAGAGCCGCGACCAACACAGCCGCACCGTCTTCTGCGCCTCCGTGGCTTTGCAGGTCCTCTCGCACGTGCGCCCAGGCTGCTTCGACCAGGTGGCGCGGCAGCCTCAGGAGCGCGAGGTGCTCGACTACGGCGGCTCTCGCAGTCTCAGCAGCAGTCTCGTAATCTTGGGGTGCCGGGTAGAGAGGGTGCTTCTCGACGTCGTCATCACCATGGCTGCTGCTGCTGCTGCTACCGCACAGAGTGTCTGGCGCCTGCGACTCGCCAGACCCGCGCGCCGCCAGGTAGCCGCCGATGCCCATGCTGATGCTGCCGGCGCAGATCTCGGCCATGCCGGCGTAGATGACGGTGCTAGTCTCGCCCAGCGACGACAGGCCGGCCGTGAGCGCGAACGGCACCGTCAGCCCGTCGGCGAAGCCCAGCGTGAAGTCGGCCAGGAAGCGCTTCATCGTGGGCAGCAGCACCACCCTAGCGCGGGGCCGTTGTTGCGGGGACGGCGGCGCATCTGTCTCGCCGCTGCAGTGGTGCTTTTCGTCGTCGAGGCAGATTTCAGTTTCCACCGAGCTGATCGATGAGCTGGTCGAGGAGCTGCTCCGCGACGGCGCCGCCGTGCCGGGCACCGACGTGTACACAGGCAGTGTCTCCTCCGAGTGAGAGCCGTGACGTCCGGTGAGCCGGTTGAGGTATTGCAGCGATGCTTCCATTGCAAGTTGTCGGTGAGATGAGTAGGCGTGATTTCGGACAGAAGAAAACAAGCTTGAGGACAGGTCGAGCGCGCTAGATGGTGCCGGGAGTTGTCTGGAGGCCAAGAGTGGCCAAGACTACCTGACTTACATACTTCTACCGAACAACCCTGCGGTAAGCATCTTGCCTCGCCGTCTTCCTTATCCTCTCTGTACTGTCGTATCACTCTGCTGGGTACCTTAGGTAGGTATGGGAACTGTCCGGCACGTAGAGCGCGCAGATGACCAAATGCCGGGCGCTGATTGGCCGGGTCGTCCCTTTGAGTGAATTCCAGGCACTTGGTTCCCATTGGGTCTCGGTAGACGTTCTGGAAGCTGTGCGGCGCAATGCAACCCCCGTGGGCTGCCGTGCTTGGCACACGTTTTCGCCCGTCAGCCAATGCCAGAGTCTTGGCATCACACGTGCTGCCCAGGTGCCACCCTCAACCTCCATCCGTCTAGAACCCGACGGCCAAAGTCCAGGGCTAACCCTCAATAGTCGACCGAGACGAACTTGTGTCTCTGTCCATCGCAACAACGACATTGAAATAACGTAGACATTTTGCAACCTGCCTACCTACCAGCCACCTCTCCTCAGGTTTATCAGTAGCATCTAGTCTGACGGTGCACTCCATCTCCATGGACGGCCGGTGGCTTACAGTCCAAACTTCCCCCTCTTTGCGACAGAAATACCGCTCCACGTGTGCGGTTCGAGATTTCTGATTTGATTGTTGATCAAAGTCTGCAGCTCACCAACTAACTCGACGATGAGCACGTCAACAGAGTGCTACGTCTTGTCTTGTCGTGGCTTGCTGGGCGCATGCAATGGCGTCGGGTGGTTATGGTAGACGTCAACCAGCGGCGAAAGTCATCAATCTGAGAGCATTTCCACCTAGTTCTATATAACAACATCACGACGGCATGCCAAACTCTTAGTACCGAGACAGCCACACCAGAACATCCTCAGGGGCGCCGAAAACTTGAAGCATCTACCAAGTCACAGCTCCACCATGATGCCCAGCGCCCCTCTTCTCCTCCTCGGTCTCTTCGGCCTTGCTGCTGGCCAGACGCAGTACACCAGCACCGGAACCAGCGCCGTGGCGGCTGCCCGCGCCACAGCCCTGACTCTGTCGCCGACCAGCAGCGTCGCGGGCCTCAAGTTTGAGCGCTTTGTGCAGATCTTTCTCGAGAACCAGGACTACAGCGCCGCCATCGCCAACAGTCTGTCCCGCACTTCCGCCGGTGACTTGTTGAGAGGAGACTGATAAATTGTGTAGCAAACCTCGCGTACCTCGCCACGCAGGGGATCAAGCTGACCAACTACTTTGCCATCACACATCCGTCGCAGGCACGTCACTGCGGCTCGTGAAACTTACACCCAAGCACAGACTAACCTAGCCACGCAGCCCAACTACGTAGCCGCGGCCGGCGGCAGCGCCTTTGGCGTCACGGGCGACGGCTTCGTCCGCATCGGCTCCACCACCAAGACCATCGTCGACCTGCTCGAGCCGGCCGGCATCAGCTGGGGCATCTACCAGGAGGACATGCCGTACTCGGGCTTCCAGGGCAACTGGATCAACCACGCGACGGGCGCCAACGACTACGTCCGCAAGCACAAGTAGTAGTCCACCGCTCACTACCCTGTGCTCGCTATTCAAGACCGTCACTGACATTACCCTCACCTGCAGCCCACTCGTCAGCTACGACTCGATCACGTCCAACGCCAACCGCGGCGCCAAGTGCAAGAACTTCACCATGTTCGCGGCCGACCTCGCCGCCAACAAGCTGCCGCAGTGGCTGTTCATCACGCCCAACATGAGTGCGCACCCCCATCCATCGTCCCAGCAAAAGGAAAAAAACTAACACGACCCCAAAAAGCCAACGACGGCCACGACTCCTCCCTCTCGACCGCCGGCTCCTGGGCGCGCAACTGGCTGACGCCGCTGCTGAGCAACGCCAACTTCAACGGCGGGCGCACGCTGGTGGTGCTGACCTTCGACGAGGGGACGACGTTGGGCACCAACCAGGTCTACGCCGTGCTGCTCGGCAGCGCCGTTGCCGCCGCACAGGTCGGCACGTCGAACTCGACCCGCTACAGCCACTACAGTCTGGCCAAGACGGTCGAGACGAACTGGGGGCTGGGGAATTTGGGGCAGGGGGATGTCGCTGCTAATGCGTTTTTCTGATGACGTAGAGGGGGGAGGAGGGTGTTGGGGGTCGGGGTCCGGGGTATGCTGTGGATGTGCTGTGTGGGTGTGGGTGTGGGTGTGGGTATGGGTGTGGATGTGGGTGTGGGTGTGCTGTGTGGGTGTGGGTATGTGTGTGGGTGCGGGTGATTGCCAGCGTGGGATCAAAGAACATTAACACGGTTTTTTCTTATTTCTCTTCGTGATTTATTTTCTGTTCGTTTTGGCCTGGTTGCGTCGATTGGAAGGTGTATCACCCAGAAATATGTGATATTGGCATGAATTAGGAGGTACTAGGTCATATCTACTTCATGTTCCATTTGCTATTAACAGAAACTCACGTCGGATGAGAAGGGCAGTGTCACTCACAGTGGCGCGGCATTTATCAATAAGAATATTGTGAAAGCAAATTAAATCCAAGACTATGAACTGAAACGACTCATGTGCCCCATATCCGCCCCCCTCCCACCCCCCCCCCCTTCCCCCCCCAATCTGATCCAGCTCCGGTAGTTGATAAAAATGTTGTGTGGGGAGGGCGTGAGAATTTGGTCCTTCATCCGGCTAAAACGATGCCCAAAGGTTGGCGGTGTGGTCTGTTTCGGCTGGCAAATCCGGCTGGCCTAAATATAAAACATTTTATCTCCCATAGGCGCCACCACCCGGATGCTGTCTGGACCGATAGCTTGTCGCTGATTGGCAGGAATTTTGATCAAGCAGTTCAGGTAGGCGCGCGCACGGTTGCAAGCCTTGTCGGCGAAGAGGACCGGTGCGCAGACGGCAGTGGCTGTGGTAGAGCGGCCCAGCATATATGAGAGGGCATGTGTGAGGTTCTCGAGAACATCTCCAGGGCCCCTAAGCCCCGTGCCCTGGAACACTGGCCCGTTCATGTCGAGTCCACGAAATATCTCATCAACAACTACCACATAGTGTGCCGGGCGTGCTGTCCCCTTCAGGGCCTTGTGAGCCTGCAGGTAAAACTCCCATATGAACTGGCTCGTGACTCCACGATCCACCAAGGTACCGGGCATTGGGTTACCATTCCTGTCGCCGCTCGCCTGGTTGATTGGGAAGAATCGAGTGTGATGTCGTTTTCCGACCACGACGATTGTGATCCTCGGGCTTTTGGTGCCAATCTTCCTGTACTCGTTCTCGCAGGCAATCTTGAGAAAATGGAACTCCTTCAAGACATGGTTATACTGGCCCTCGGAGACACCATCGCGGTATACAATGATGTTCTCGGGATATTTCCCTCCCTTTTTCGGGCCTCTCCATCTGACCAAGTGAGGGCCGATCAGGAGGCGAAAGGACTCGGCTGTAACCTCTTCCTCCCTGTTCCCCTGCAGCGAGAATGTTGCTGGCCATTGTCCGAGATTTTTGTCCATGCTGGCAACCATCCCGGCCACACTAGGCACAGTCTCCGCGGATCCTGGCGGCGGGTGCGTCACGTCAAGGCCAACTATCATGGTGTTTCCTTGTTTCACGATCTGATCCCCAGTGAATCCCACCGAATGATTGCTCCCTCCGAGTTTCAGGTTGACTTTCAGCATGATATTGTCAAGGAACTGCGCCAACTTGTTGGCATCCCCTTCTCTCGGCACTTTGTCCTTAACCATGCACACCGTGTACACTCCTCTTGTGCCGGATTGGGTCTCGAAATGCGTCTTCAGCTCCTGATAAAATACCGAGTCTTGAGTGTTGAGCATGATAAAGAAAAACTTTATCGCAGTCGCAGAATTCGCCGCCTTTTTCAAGTCCGCCACACCCACGAATTCTCCTATTAATCCGGGGGGACCAACCGCCCCGATACCCCTCCTACTCATCGCGTTCCGGAATCGGGCCCCCCATGTATTGTATAGGGTCTTATCAGTCTCGCTCATGGGACCTGGACTGCCTCTCTTCACCATGATGCCCCATGGTGGCATCTGAGTCGGATTTGTGTAAAGTAACCTGGCATCGAACAGGTTCCAGGCGGCGTTCTTGGCATTGAAGCTATGATCCCCTTTGCCGCCGTAGCTGATTCTTGGAAAGCGCAGTTGGCGGCCGTCGACGGTGATCAATTGCTCTCCAGAGTTGAGGAAGTCCGATTGTCTTTTGGGCGCAAACAACAACTTCGATGGGGATCGTCTTGCTAGGCCGATGATTTCGAGGCCGTCTTTGAGAATGCACTCGACACTGCGGGCAGGGAGAAGCACAGCGAAATTCAGCATTGCCGTGGTCTGGTGGGGGTTGAGCTTGAGTTTGTAGCTTTGGCCGGGAAGTACCGTGCAGAAACTTGCTGGATAGTACATTGGATTGGCCCTCTTTCCCAAATTCACGGCCAAATCGTCTTTTCTGAACTTGAATGCGGGGAGCCCCTTTTTTTGTCGTTCCGCGTTTTCTATATGGCGTTTGTCTCGTCAGCACAGTGATTTTGCGATTTGAAATCTCAGGGTCCTGTCCTGGGCCACTTACTTTCTGTGAAATAATCAGAGACTGTTTGGTAAAACCCTCCTCCTGGCGAGTCTCTGTCTTCCCTCCAGAACTGCAAGTGACAGCATCGATCGCCTCCTATCAGTTCAGAGCCGTCGACTCTCCTGGGTCGCTTCTCCGGATACGGCTCGTCCCGTTCTTTGTTAGTCTTGGGTACCCCATCGTCTGGTGCAGCCAGTCCGGCGATGACTTTGATGAACGGCAACGACCTGCCGTGCTCATCCCTTCTCCCGAAATCTTCAAGATCCACGCGAGCACCTTTGTAACAGTTGTGAAGAGCCTGCAGCAGTTGGCCCGAGAGAGGGTTTGGAAGTAAGTCGGTGAATTTTCCTGGTTTGTAGAACGCCCCGTGGCTAACATTGATATTGACAAGAAGCCTGTTTTCAGCAAGGCGAACACTAGAAAAGTAACCCCTGATTGCCGTGACTCCGCTCCGGAGCTCAGCCGTGATGTGGTTCTCTAATTGAGATGTGACATTCATGGGATATGCCTTGCTGCCCACAACGACCTGCCCGCTACCAAGAATAGGCCTGCTATCTGTGCCGCTATCGAACTGATACGACTTGGAGAAGTGGCGCAGCCAGATGTTGAAGCCCTGCGCGAAATGTGACTTCTCGATGTTGGGAGCTTGGTCTCGATCGGTACACCTTAGATACTGCAAAAGCTTGCTGACTTCCAGAGGCTCTGACACGCCTCCATCCTTTTGGTTTGGTGTCTCCAAGGAAACCGTACACGTCTCTTGATCAAAACCTGCAGGTCGGGGGATTTTGATCTCGAACTCATCAATCTCCAGTTTCACGGTACTGATAATGGTGGCCTTGAAATCGGTTACCAGCGTTCCGTCCTCGTACCCTCGCCGAAGAACCTCATTTCTCCTGATAATCAACGGAATCAGGTAGCTCATCTTCTTTCCCGATGGTAAGCCCTTTTCCTTGTCAACATTACGAGCGATCTTGAGGTTGTACCAATACAGTAATTTGTCCTTTTCTGGCTTAATCTCAACAAAGTTCGCCAACAGCTTGACCTCGTTTCCCTGCGCACTGTAATGGGGTCTTTGCGGAAGATCTCTGTCTTCAGTTATCTTCCTGGTCTTGTTCTTGATCTCTTCAGTGCCCTTAGACGCATCCCCTGTCGGGTTCTTGGTCGTATTTGCTGGGGCCGACGCCGAGGATTGGGTGGCTCTCTGATGTTGAACCTGATTGATGCCTGGAGGTTTGTCGTTACCGTTGTCGGCTTTGTCACCAGTGCCTTTCTTTTCGACATTTGGGTTGGAAATTGACAGGTCACCCATTCTCCTAAAGTGGAAGAAATGCACCGTTAGATCAGACAGAACTAGGAACAGAGGTTCGGCAGAGGGGAGATTAAATGAAAACATTTTCCATTCCAAGGTGCGCCTTAAAAGTGGTCCAAAGTCTACTTACTGACTGATACTTTCGGCTTTGGAACTGGGTTTCTCTCCGTCTCTCGCATTAGGGCCGGGACTCTTGCCACCGCCTGCAGCGCCTCCGCTCCCTTTGCCTTCTCCGCTCCCTTTGCCGCCTCCGCTTCCTTTGCCGCCTCCGCTCCCTTTGCCGCCTCCGCTATTCTTGCCATTGGATGCATTGCCCGATTTCTTCTGGTCTCCCTTTGCCATTTGAGAACCAGGTCCGACAAGTCTTCAAAGACGCCCTGGGAACTGGGCCACGAGTATTTGCCAATGGAAAAGGAGAGGGATACCAAGAGAGTGAAAGCCTAATAAACTGTAACATAAACGAGTATTGTCTTTGGAAAGTGCAGGCATGCAAGACTTTGCAGTGATGATCAATAATAGTCGCCTTTCACCTCTGTTCGGTTCGGGAATTGTGAAGAAAGACAATGTCTTAATGAGACGGATAGAAGACGGAAGAATGAAGGTAAGATATAGTTCCTAGAGATATCCGCCGTGCCTGTCTGAGTCAATATCGCGACGGTTTGCCACGCCGCAGATGACAGCATTCTTTGCTAGAAAAATGGAAAACTCCAAATAATGTTCAATTTGTGCAGATATAAGGCACATTTGCCCATGGATTGCTGTATATTGCAGGATATACGTAATGCAACCGCAAATAACATGGAGTTGATACGTTTGGGTATAAACCATCGCGGCAGATGCAATTAACCGGCAACGACGACCAAATCCTCAACCAAGACGTCTTCTTCTACATCTATCACTGTAAAATCTAGACAGTTTGCTTTTACAGGCGACAACATATGGGTCACGCGGGTGTATCAGTTGAATGAAAGGACATAATATACATAGAGAGCAAACCACATTGCTATTTGTGAACAACATGGCGGGTAGTAACAATGCGCACTGGTAGGAAATTTGACAACGCAGGTCGCAGAGAATTAGCCAACTAAGCACTAAACGACATCATGATTCTTATCTGCCACATATGGCGCCCAATTTTGGGACAACTTTAATAGAATGGCATCACTAGAGCATCTGAAGAGACTGTAATTGTCCTTACGGGGTCAAAGTTTTCTCTCTAAAACATGTAAGCTAATAGGGACCCTTATGATAAAGATTCAGACTTTGCCTGTGCACTGGGAACAGTATTTGAACTGTCTTTGCATTACTAGACTAATCCGACTACTTCCTGAGGTCATATGCAATACTATATTGCTATGCAGTAACTACAGTGGAAGCCCACCTTTGAGAGACAAAAAAAAAGTCCGTCTTCGAGATGCATGTTTCAATGTCGTAAACGCAGTCGATTGACCTACCATTGCCGGGGCTTCGGACTGGTGGCGTTGGCAGGGTTGGCGAAGTCTCTGAACATTCCTCGATCCAAGTCCAGACTATCCACATTAATTAGAGTGCCAAAAAAGTTGCAAGATTTCGCCGACTCGTCGAATGGGGAGCTGTGACGTACTTCCGTTGCGGGTAGATTTGAGAATTGGGTGGATTGTCAGGGTATGAAGACGGGGGCAGAACGGCGCTCCACCTTGCTTACTCGTCTCGACGCTTCTCGCCAACGTGGAATATATGTGTTGTGCCGTTTTCTGATTGCTCTGTTTTGCCTGCGCGACCTACCGAGGTTAGCTAATCAGATCTCACGCTCGGACCGTCGTCTCGTACGTATACATACAACCGATTACGCCCCATACGTCCCACCTTGCCCTGTTACCAACACCCTGTCTCATCGCCGGCCGAGGTCTGCCTGACCTTCCCCTCCCGGGATAAAGATGACCCTTATGCTCATAGGAAGGTCGGCGAGGGTAATTAGGTTGATATTTACCACCTACCTACCTATGATTCTTCCCTCAGAGAAAGATTCCATCTACTAACCCGAATCCGGGACAAAACAAACAGGGCTGTCGGCTACGTCCTCCCAAATGAGGTTGACTTTAAGAGCTCCGTCATACTTTACGCAAAAACGCTCCGGCAGCCATGGCTTGAGGCTGTTGAACTTGAGCCTCAAGGAGACGGAAAACCACGCTATAAAACCTCACCTCTGGGCGTAGCCCATGATGACGAGGTACGCCAAGTTATAAATGATAATATCGATAAGTTCCTTCGATGAGGTTGATGAATGATGAGATCAACTCTCGGTGGCAGGCTCTTGGGGGGGAGAGGAGTTATTAACGAGGTTTAGACGCGCGTCGCTCGCTCGGGTTTTTTTTTTTTCAGAAGCTAGGAAAGCTCCCGAGGGTTATTATTAGGCGACGTACATCAGTGTCATCACAATGTGGGAGTCGGTGTGACAAGATTCAAGATAGGGTGTGACGCGATTGGAGTTGGTGCAATATGTAAAAACAGGGCAGGATGCGGTGTATTTATCAAGGCCTGGTGACTTTTCTCACTGAAGCGGTCGGTACCTGTTACGTAACTAGGCCTAATTAGGCCACATGTTTTCTAAGCGAGGATCTACGCCTACACAGGCCTAGTGCTTGCACGTTAGGAAGGAGCATTTTTCCTACAGGGAGCAGGGCTTTTCGCACTGCTTCCTTCCAACAATTCATCAATTGAATGCACCTATTTTGACTGCTTGTGTGCAACAGTACCCAGGCAAGCGGTTGACAAAAAAAGCGAACACTCAAAATCAGTGGTCTGTGCGAGTGGCGCTGCACTACCATACACTACCAATTTTGCAACAGTTCCATGGTATTTAGTGGAAGCAAGCCCATGGACTTGGGCCCTATTTCAATACGCCCGGCTCCCCGGATTTATCGCCAATTGAGAATTGCTGGGGGGCTGTAAAGCAGTATATCCGTGCCAATCTTCGAATTGGAGCAAATATCATGGGCCTGGCGGTTGAAGGATGGAGCCGACTGAGCCAAGCGAAAATTAATGGGTACGTGGATTCCATGGTAAGGCGGATGCAAGATGTGTTAGAGGGCGAGGGTCTTACAACTGGGTGGTAAGATTGCAGCAACTACATAACGGTACCTATATTTATATACATATATATTTGGCCTGGAGAGAAGTACTGCCAAGTACTGTCCGCTTTTATTTTGTCAACCGCTTGATTGGTAACGTTACCTCAATTCAAAAGCCTCGAAATATTCCACCCATTCGATGCACCAAATCCACCATTTTAATCCAACAAGTCAACCACAAGCCAAGTCAACACAGCCGAATCTACCAAATCCAGCCAGATTCGTCTCAATCAACTGCACCAACTACCAGCCAGTCGTTAACGCCTGATAGGCAGGTGACTAATAGCCAGTTGCAGGCCTGGCAGGCCCCTGAGTCCTCTGATAACCCATGGCGAGATTGAGGACTCGGGCGGCTGAACTCAACCTACAGACAGAGAACATCGGGCCACTTGTGGTCGTCGCCCCATCTGCCGGTGGACATGGCGGTTGATGTCCAAGGCAGTTGCAAGGCTGCCTATGCCTTGATAACACCTCAAAACCTTGACATGATTGCAGGGGACATTGTCTGGCTCCTAGGTGGGCAGGCGTTGCTCCTGTCGCCGGCCGGCCCTGGTCGTAGCCAGTGGATCCGGAAGGTCGTACGGGTGCGACTAGGCGTGATTGGAGCTCGCGCAACGGCCTTGCCCTTTCCTTTGCTCTTGACGGGCGCGGAGGCTGCTGCTCAACTTGGCAGTAGCCTTTTCCTTTCCCCTGCTCTTGTTAGGCGTGGCCTTGCCTTTGCCTTGCCCTTGCCTTTGCCTTGCCCTTGCCTTTTCCTTTTCTTTGGCGTAGCTTTGGATTTAACCTTTCCATTCTTCCCTATGGCGTCGTCGCCTGAGTCGGCTGTCATGCTTGAATGTCTACTCACACTTGCCGCGAGGATGCCGATGCCATCGTTATTACCCTACCAGAAAAGTTTCCGCTGTTGCCCTGCTAGAAACAGTTTCAGTTGGCAGTAGCAAATGGCCTAATTCCAATCCCCATTAAATTCTAGATTCTCCTCCGCAAATTCTAGATTCCCCTCCGCAAATTCCAGATTCTCTCAGCCGTCCACCTCAACTCTTCTTTTTTTTTTGAAGTTCAAACAGAAATTGCGAAATAAAATTTTTTTTCATCATGAGCACCCCAGCCGACAACCAATCTTCGGCCAGCCAAGCCAATCCGCTACCCCTACACCCGCTCTACCCGCCGCCACCCCCACCACAACAACCAGCAATGGCAATGGCCGCCACCGCCGTAACCATCGCCGCCATAGCCGCCGCCAAGCAAGAGCACCTCTTCCGATGCCCGTGCGGGGACATCCATCCTTGCTCTCTGCCCCCAGCATGCTGGCCACTGGCGGGCGAGGTGGTTGCGGTACAGACACATGGTGGTGGGATGGGCCGGCTTCATGGCCTTTTCGTTTTCGGTTGTCGGTAAGTTACCCATTATTGCATCTCTCCCCTCGCTCTCTCTCTTCAATCACCTTTAATCTCCCTCTGATCATTGTGTCTCTTGATTGTGGCATGATCTGACCAAAAGTTATAGGCTGGAGCTGGACGCTCGGCCACGGAATCGCGGCCGTGGCCGTCACTGCCGTCCTGGTATGTGGGGATGCCATTCTGGCGGGGGTTGCGCGTAAGGGCTGGGAGTGGCTTTATCAATTTTGAGTAACGTATTTGATAAGCGAGTTAGCCATGATAAGCAAGTTGGCCACCTTAACGAGACCGGGTAGCGTGCGCAGCCAAATGCGATAAGAAATTGATAAGATCACTAACAATTTACTAACATCTTCTTGCTTGTGCCCCACTAAATCTCGTTAAGGTGGCCAACTCGCTTATCATGGCCAACTCGCATATCATGAACGTTAGTTAAATATTCTTATAGAGCGATTTTATTTATTATTTCCTCCTCAATTTTCACTTGAACCAGCGTAATCGTACCAACCTTCCTTTCCTGCTTAGCGCGACCTTTCTTCCCCTCCTTGCCTACAACACCGGCATTGGTTCCCGCAGTTCGGCGACAAGAATCCTCGCCATGTGCACCTTTACGCTTCGCGTGTATAGCACGATAATGGGAGAGAGGGGCGTCTCGACAAGGCGGCAATGACCTTTCTAAGGGGGACACGTAAAGAGGAACGTATAGTCAGCGCAACGGTCCTTAATAGTTATTTTGCTCGTCGGCGTGACAGGCATCCGCCTTAGTTAGTATGATTTGTCCAAGAGCCCAAATATCATTCTATTGCTACCTCGCGATGCTCCACGATAGTGCATCTTTCTTGCTCTCTAGCATCTCCGGGCAGAACCACTTGCAAGTGACGCCTCCGATGCCGCTGATATCGATCAGTACTGCGTCGCCGTTTAACCCTTCTTTCTCCCGGATTTCAAAGAGCCGTCTAGTGGGGATGCCGTTGCTGCTGTCGTGAATAGGGAAGCGGATTCGGAGCATGTATTCCGGGGTGCGGACCCAGAGGCGGCTGATGACGGAGGCGTACTCGCTATCTGCGCTTGCGTGTGTGCCAGGGGTTTAGTACTATGCGGGTACTGTGAACACCGAAAGGACATGTGCCCCACCCGACATGTACTTATTGAAGCAGCCTAGACTGCTGAAAGTTGAGGCCACACGCCCGCCAAAAACAGCAGTCCAGACCACGGCACATGCTGTCTGTGTAGAATACACGTCTTGAACTTTGTTTGCTCCTGGGTTTGCGTCTTCCATTGGCGTGTAAAATCGTAAAAACTCTAGTTTCTGTAGGCAGCAAAGAACATGGAAGATGAAGACCTGTAAGACATGCGCCGCGTTCTCCCTGTTAAATTGCAGACTACGCCGCCCCCGAAACTAGGGTCTAGATTCTGCGAGAGCAACACTAGCCTAGCTTTCTCGGATCGGTTCAGGTGGGTTCAAATTTGCCCAGCATAATTCCGACCTTGACCTTAAATGTCAAGTGTGCATAGAAGCATCCTGGGTGAATAGTCTATGATGTTCTGACTCTCGATCGTACAAAACAAATCAAGACTAAGTTCCCGGATGTTTCTAGGCGGACCACATACTCGGGTCACATACTCAGGTGGAGAGGCTGACATGGTGTCTACTGTCTAGAGACTGGCGAATGGTGGATGAAGGTGCTGCGATAGTAATAGAAGTCCGCGGGGCAAATTGACTAGTCTATTGACAAGTTCAGCGACCCCCAAGCGCGTCTTAGAATCTCACTGATGGTTCTAAAATGTGTCCGATATTCTGCAGTTGTCTTTAGATGGTGGTTATTCACCCGAGGGTCACAGGAAAACTATATGAGTCCCGATGTAATTGGGAGAGCCAGAGAACATATCTATCTCGAGCGATCCGGCAAAGACCGCCGTTTGTTTGGTCAGCCGTAGATGTGCATCCAATAGCCTGTAACTTCGGACTTGTCTCAGAGACTAGACTAAGTAAGACTCGTGCCGGAAGCGCTGTAGGAAACTAAAAACTAAATCCGCCCAGAGGCTTAATCAAAACGAAGTGAAACAAGCTGAGACTTTAGTGGGAAGGGTGTGATACAATCCATGCCTCGGACCCGAACATAAGAGAGAGTTGAGCTCCGGGGGTTTCATTATGCTTCGACCCTGAAGCCAACTGCCTTGCCCTAGCAGCAGCCACTTATCTAAACCTGTGAAGCGTTCAATTTGGTTGCACCAACAGTGTCACTCGTGACAGGAACGAGACATGGCTAGATATGTAGTTTGTTTTTTGGTAGTTTGAAGAGAATCGTCCTCGAAAAACATCGGAACTGATTCTATCCCAGTTGCTCCACTCTCTGACCCAAGACTACAAACAGGCCAACGTTAATCACAGTTCTACAGATCCAGGTACCCATCTCGACGGCCAGTGGTCGATGTACCACAAATTCTGAGCGAGTGATAGGTTATGATTCCAATTTGCAGGCACTATAGGCGCTGATTGTATCCCCCAAGATCCAAGAAATAGATGATTAAGCTGAAAAGAAAAACCAAGCAGATAGTTTTCTTAACCCCAGCTGAGCTAATAATCCCAGAATCCAGTTCTGCCTTTGCTGAAAGACTGCTAACCCGCCGGTTCCAAAAAGAATAGTGATCAGGGGTTCAGGGGGCTAGGCAACAAGGGGGTTGTTTACACCCTTACCTAAAATAATCTAGTGTGCTCTTTTTCTTCCTTTCTTGGCCTACCCACCTCGTATAAGATGGGTAGCCTACCCCCCCCCTCAGATCAGAGGGAGGGCATTGATTTTCTCCCGGGACCTGAATCTTTAGGAAGAAATCACGTCTTTTTACTATGAATTGAGATCCCCAGACCAGCGCACGCCGCAGTGCCTTTTTCTTTGTTTACGTTTGACTTTCCCGGCTATGGGACTCTGTGCCTTTACTCTGCTTGAAGCTCACCAACCTATCGAGCCTACAGCTCGATCGCTTCCATTGATCCGTGTCTTTTCACCGCTTCAATAGTTACTGAGGGGGTTCCCCAGTCACAAACTGCAACCAAACACTGCCTATATACTCCCTCTCGTCTCTGCCTGCTGTCTCCTCCATCAAGGTGCAGCCAACAAAGCCTATTTGAGTGTTAGCTCGTCAACGGCAACTGCATATCACACATTGCGGACCACCTTTCCTTGTATTCAGCTACTGCAGGGAAGTTGCCGAAGCTAGCAAAACAAGGGCAGGATTACCCGGCCAAACTCGCTTCCAATCCTAGTCGATGTAATCGAGGTGTGGGTACAGAGGCTCGAAGGGGCAGCCGTAATCACGGTCGTCGAGGCCAGGTCTCTCGGCGACCTTGCCTTTGATGAATGCATATGTCTCGCCTCCTTCCGACTTCATGCGGAAGTATTACGGCATGTGGGCAAGAATCGCCAGCATGGTAAGCTTCATGGCCTCGCGCTGGAAACTGGGATCCGATGGGTTCGGCTCCCCCTTGATCAATTCTGCAAGGGGCTCACCGTATTCGCAGTCCACGAGGTGGTACCAGTTGCCGCGCAAACTTTCAACTCCCCAGTGAAAGTCCTCGTATTCCTTTGGGTCGCCATGGTCGAGATTCATGTTGCAGTGGAGCATTGTGAACCGTCGTTGCAGCATTTTGACACTTAGGTTCCTTGTGGGTTTCCAGTTCTCGATCAATTCCTCAAGTAATAAAGCCATGCCCCAGAATGAGCTAAAAGAGGGGTAGTTCGACATGGTATAGATGCGCGACGGAGATTAACGAGGATATTTGCGAGGACAAGAACGCGTGTGCCGTGCGAGGCTAGAGTCAAGCTAGATTCGTGGTGCGTGGGCAAACCGGCAAAGATCTCGAGGGAGGACAGGTGGTCGTTGATGGCTTTCCATTACACCGTTGAGGACGGTGGGCATAGGTATCTATGCCTGACCAAATGAGGCCACTTGACCTGATATTGTGCAGTGTGACGGCTCGTTGAAGGAAGTCTCCCAACCGTTCGAGGCAAACCGGAACAAGCAATGTCCATTCGACAGCTAGTGGGGCGGATATCTAGCTCTACCAGCACGTTCTGATTACGCATCATACATCTAAAACAGCCAACATGAACCAAAAATATTATACAGGACAGGTACCGCACACCACCCGGAAGCAAATCTCAACCTCACCGGATCGACATGATATCGCCGCGAGCAACAGCGGCAATCTCTTCCCGGCCCAGAGGGTCCTTTTTCCGGAAGGCAACCTTGGCGCGCTCGGCCGACTTCCACGAGGTGAAGTCGGAGACGTCACCGCCAATCTTGGATTTGCACTTCTCCGCTCTGCGCATTTGCAATATGAACGCGGCAGGATTCCCGAGTGTCTTGTACGCCTTGAGGGCCTTGGCAAAGCTGAAGGGGTCGGCGGCGGGGCCCGTGTTGGAGGCAGGCACCGGCAGGTCGACGTTGGCCTTGGCCTCGGCGATGTATTTGGCCATGTTGGCGGGGCCGGCCAGCGCGATGTCGTACTTGCGCGCGTAGGCGAGGATCTGGTTGTCGAACGCGGACGGCACCCAGCTCTTCTTGTCCTTGGCTGGGCCAAGTGCCTCGGCCTTGGAGCTCTCCAAGAGGTCGTTGTCCCGCATGTCGCTGGCCACCATCATGAACAGCCCCATCACGGTCCCTAGGTTGAGAATCTCCGAATCCTTGGCAAGCAGCCCCTCGCGCTCAAGGTGTGCCAGCGTCGACATCAACATGCGGCTGAGAAGTTGGAACGTCGCATCGGCTAGGTTACCGTCATCGATCCTGGAAAGGCAATTAGACAAGGCGGTGAAGGGGTGGGGATCAAACGAGCCCATGGAAGAATATTACTCTGTCGCAGGCGTGGCATAATCCGTCGGCAGGAAGAATGCAAGCCCCTCGCAGATGGTTTACTGCTCCTTGTAGTTCCCAGCGGCCGCCTCGAAGTCGAGGAAAAGATTCTTGAACATCTCGATGACGCCGTAGCCCTCGTGGTCGTTGAAGGTAGAGGCCTCGAAGGCGTCAGGGTTGCGGAGATCGCAATGCGTGCAGGAGTCGAAGAACCTCCATTTGCCGGCGCGGGTGACCTTCCAGGGTTGTTCGGGATGGTCGGCGGCCAGCTTGCCGTAGAGGCACTTTTTTCGACCATCGCAGCGGACTTTGCCGTGGGGGCCCTATTCCTCGTCCCCGTCTTCGTCTTCGTCCTCTACACCAGCGTCGAAAGGAACCCCACACATGATGACGTACGTGTAGGCATTGAGGGGGTTCTGGGTCATCATATAGTACGAGGCATGGATGTTCGCGGAGCCAGAAACCTTGGCCCAGCGCCTGTCTCTGGCGACCTCGGCGGCCTCGGGCTCGGAGGCGGTGCCCTTGGTGGAGGAACGCGACCTTCTGGCTGCGCTCGAGCCGGATGGGGAGGAACGTTTGGGAGACATTGCTGCGGGTGATGGATGCAACTCCTAATCACGCTCCAGACGATAAGATAAGGTAGGCAAGTATTTAAAGTGCAATGCGGAAAGGGAATGGATGATAAAACGGCGAAGGAGTGGAGCTGCCGATCCGACCGATTTTTAAACAGAGCAGGACAACGCGTGATCCTAGGATCAAACGGGCCGGAAATGACGTCTCGTTCCTTTTCTGCCACCATGACTTCCCAATTTGGAACGATTGGCGGGGAAGCAAGACCCGACACGCCGAAACAGCGTGCCAAACACAATTTACAGGGAAGGGCCCACTAAAGGTTTCGTTTGACAGGCCCCAGAACGCGGGAGCCATTTTCGGAACTTTTCCCTGAGTAATGATTTCCTCACTGATCACATCACAGAACGTGGGGGGCCCACAATAGAGTGTCTCTATCCCATCAAAGTTCCCAAGCCAAATGACCCAACCCTACCAATCATACACCATGCACTGCTCGTAACTCTTGCAACAGTGGTCGCAACTCGCAGAACATAGGCCGCAGCTGAGTAAACGCCAGGTCCAAGGCTCCATCGGAAGATCCGTGCAATGGCTGCACTTCTCATGAAGGCATTCCGCGCATCTCTTCAATGTTGATTTGTTTTCAGTTGTTTTGTCATCCATGCCCCAGCAGTAACAACATTTCCACTTGCTAGAGGCGTCCTCTCGCGCACCTCGTCCCGGTCCATCATCGCCGGGAAAGGTGAGATGACCCGTGGAAACGCTGACGAAGTCGTGGAAGACCATTGAGGTGATGGTGTGGAGGATGCAGAGGAGAAGGTTGGTTGTGGTTTGCTTGGTTGTGGTGTGGTTGGTACTTGGTGGTGGGCTGTGTTAATTATGTGCTGGTGGATCGAGATGCTGGGAGTGCTGGTTTGCAGATAGTTCCTGGCTGTTAATGAGCGAGAGCCGGTCAGTTTATGCATTTTGAAAGTCAATGGAGTCCGAGACTTAATCTCCATGTAACGCGAACGAGGCATTACCCAATCGCATCAAATTCCCCGAGTTTCAACGTGTAGTGAAAGAAAACGTTGAAAAATAGCCAAACTGCGTTCCGAAGTCGAGAACGAGTTCCGCCGTGTTTGTGGACGTACCAGGCGGTTTCCACAATCTATTCAGTTTTTTTTGGCTTTTTGAAGGTGGTGGCGTGGCAAGACCTTGCTATCTGTCAATCTCGAGTTTAGTTGTCAATGTGGCGTTGTTTTCTTGCCCGTTCGGATGCTCTTCAGCTCCCACGATGAGCGATTTCCACAACAAAGAGGCATTAATTACGCGGTGACGTGACGCTGTTTGAGACAATAAGAGAACCAAAAAACCTCTGTGATAGCTGTATGGCACAATCTTTGCCGCACTTAATCGCCACGGCGGTATCACACCAATTTTTGCGGGAATTGTAAACGACTCGAGGGGATAAAGGTGACTTGTAATTTACAAGTTGCAAGTGGTATCAAATTAGATGGACTGCGTGTGGTGTATGTCGTGTTACCGGTTGGTACCCCCCTCAATAACCCAGTCCCTCTTTGGTACCACGGCCATTGTACAAGCGAGTGGAGTACTGAGTGAAACGAGCAGAAAGTCCATATTACTAGGAAGGTATGGGAAAATTGCCAGATCCAATGGAAATGTTTTACTGTTGATAACACGGCGCTGTCGGAGATGAGAGCAGACTGGAATACCGAGGAGCCAATGCATCATAGGCGATGCTTGATAGGTAATTACCGGATATTTCTTAACCGCGTTGGATTACCAATTTTATGTTTTGCTCTAGTCGGACGCCAAACTCCCAAGCAATGGTGATGATACAGGGTGCTGGATTTCACAGGAAGATGCAAGAGCAACTATGTTGTGCCCGCTTGCGATTTAATGTAGCATTGTAGATGAGCACCAGAGTTCAAATATGACAGAAGGGGGCCCGAGCTGAGACCTCGAGCAATGACTTTCTTCGACAGAGTTCGGGTGCAATCAAAGATTAGGGGTCCTCTCTTGATGTTTTGACAAAGTATTAGTGCGCGCGCATGTGCTTCGTTGGTCACAACCACAGTACAGCCGTCGTTTTTGTAAGCTCGGTTGGTTTGCTCTGTCGTTGGAATTTAGATGAAATAGAAGCGGTCAGGGTTGATCACGGCGGCGAAGTGTATCCAATCTCTTGACAAGCATGGTCGGACTAACATGCATGGCAGCACCTACATCCTAATTGCTAATTCAGCGCTCGGGATTGGGGTGAAGAACAGCTCCGTTTCTCCGAAGCTCGCAGCAACAGGGATCACCAAAACGAATCACAAACACAAATCCGATGAGTATGCACTCGACCGTTTCTGGAGACTGGGTTGGACTGACTGTGGTGAAGTCGAATATCATCGAAGCCGCGAGAAGTTTCAGTGTTTCATGTGTAGAAGGAAGGGGTTCAGGGTCACTTTGCAGATTTAGAATAGAGCTGAATGTGGACCCAAAACAAAAAAAAAAAAACAAAGGGAGGAGCTGAGCGGGGCAGGCCTGGGCTGTCACATCGGGTTTAGGCACGAGAATTGAGCACAGGCTGCATATTGCAAGGGCGCTCAAACCCGCGAGGAGCACCTCGACCTAGACTGAGCGAGCCAATCTAAATTCTTAACCCTGGAGGAATGACAAAACCTGCGCCCTGTCCTGTAGCTAAAAAGCCGCTTGGGAAGCGAAGCTAGCCTAAAGTCTGGCGTTAGCGTGTGTTTACCTCACTTAAAAGGGCTCGATTACTAACAAGGAAGAAACAGCGTCGAAGGAGCATCAGGGATCGGAGAGTGGAACGCGCCTGCCCCCAACGCGGAAAGAGCAAGGCTTAGCATGGAAATCGGCTTATCAGCAGAAAAGGAGCCCGTTTTACTAAGCCAGTGGTTGCTTGGTTATCAGAAGCCCCCTACGACCTCCATATCGTACAGAGTAAGGGGCTGCACGTACAGATAATAATAAATACGTCGGTCTCCCCCTTTCCCAAACAATGTTCATCAGACTCAAGACACCTCATCCAGTGTGAATTAACCTTTCTCTTCAACACTTTTAAGCCCAGAAACTCACCACCCTAGTTTCAACTACGCAAAAGCACGACCACAACAACAAACGACACAGTAATACCGGTGCCGGCCGCGGCTTGGGTCTCGGGCTCGTCAAAGAGCTCATCAACCGGCCAAAATCTAGCGTCGGCACCGTATTCGCAGCAACCCAGTCCGAGCCCTCGGCAGCCCTCCAGCAACTCGTCGACAGCGCATCAGGCCCGCTCGTTGTCGTGCGCTTCGACCCCGTTGACATCGACAGCGTGCGGGCCGCTGTGCCCGTGGTCGAAGGGGGCTAACCTGCATGGCAGCGCCGGCATTGACGTGCTGATCAACAACGTCGGCGTGATGCCGTACACGCCCGACGGGATCGCCGCCATGTGAGCACAACAGACACACCTTTGCTGCAACAGTGACGCGACGAGTACTGACTCCCCAAAAAAATGGACGACCTCACGCCCGTGCTCCACGTCAACGTGCTGAGCGCGCACAACGTGACGCGCGCGTTCCTGCCGCTGCTCGAGCGCGGCGCCCACAAGGAGGTCGTCGGAATGGGCATCATGCTCGGCACGTTGGCGCTGTCACCCGTCTTCGCGCCCTTCCCCGTACTCGCGTACAAGATCACCAAGGCGGCGTTGCACATGCTCGCCATGCAGTGGGCCAACGAGAACGCGGCCAAGGGGTTTGTGTTTTGCGTCGATTGCGCCGGGGGTGAGTTTTTTCTCCGAGTCATTCTGGAAAACTAGCCTTGTTATTTGCTGGCGGTGATACTTCCTTGCAGACAGTGGGTCAAGACAGACCTCGGCGGCGATGCCGCTGACTTGACTATTGAAGAGGCCGTCCTTGCAACGCTGGATGTCGTGGACAGGCTCGACAAGTCGTCCAGCGGTAAGCTGCTCAATTTTCTCGTCCAAGGTTGGGAGAAGAACCTCGGCATGAACCAGTATGACGGCCGCGTTCTGGACTGGTGAGGCTGGATTGATCGCAGAGTACGATTAGACTAGACGCCGGAGGCCCTGTGAATGGAGTGTTAGATTTGATCTTGGTTCTTTTGTGGAGTCTAGTATCATTGGATACATATTCTTGTGCGTACTTCCAGGTGGTCAAACCCCTCCTGCGCCCCGTGCCCTTTCTTCTCAAGCAGAACCTCCTCGAGCTTCCGCTTGGACTCTTGGAGATCGAGGACTCGCTGTGGTAAATCGTTAGCGAATTCTAATGCAAGGTAAGGGGTTGTGAAATTAACCTCTTCGAATGTGTCCCGCACAAAATACCTTACGGTCGTGACCTTTCTTCGTTGGCCGAGCCGGTAGATTCTGGCAAGGGCCTGTTCCTCGACAGCAGGGTTCCTGATAGCTCCTTGTTATTCACGCGATCCTGCATGCGTGGGGGTAAACATACCAATGGGGCTCCACGAGGTAGGCTCGGCAAGCTTCGGTGAGCGTTAACCTGTGCAGAGGAGCCTGTCATCAGTTGATCTGGTCCAGGTTGAAGAAATCATACAATTGAAACCCACCCGACGGCGCCGCAAGACAGAGTCAAGAGAAACACCTGGACCGTTCCGTCGTTTCTGAACTTGTCAATGATGGGCTGCCGGTTTTTTTGCTGCACCTTGCCGTCGAAGCGCACGAACTTGATGTTCTGCTGCTTCAGTCCGGCTTGCACGAGATCTAGCGTCATTCTCCAGCTCGAAAACACGACACTAATGGCACATGTTGTTAGTCTATGCTTTTTTATCCTCGTCACCAGCATTGGTACTCACCTCTTTTCGCCACTGGGCAGATGAGCAAGCTGCGAAACCAGCGCCTTGACTTTACTGGACAGCCCGATCTGCGCCAGCGACGACGCTGCGCCCCCTGGCGCGCCACCCCCGCTCGCCAGGTCTCGGCTCTCCTCCAAGGCCGTCCAGCTGACCGAGACGGGCGCGAAGGGGTGCGCGGTGCCGTGTCCACAGGTCACGGGCTTGTTGCGGCGGGCGCAGCGCTGCACGCAGTCGCTGCAGAGAAACGCCAGGCACTGCGCGAAGACGGGCTGCACGGGCGACGGCTCGCAGTCCAGCAGCGCCGTGGTCGTGTCGCACGAGGCGCGGCAGCTCGCACACGCCACCAGGTCCATCTCGCGCTGCAGGTTGAAGGCCTGCTGCGCGACCCTGCTCCAGTCGCCGGCGTCGCCGGACGACTTATCTCCCGAGAGGGCCAGGTCGTGCCGCGTGTCGTAGTGCAGGCCCAGGTCGCACACCATGCGCAGCGCGTTGATCCGCTGCATGACGGTGATGTACGAGTTGGACGCCGCACCTGGCTCGCCGTCGCTGAACGCCTCGTCGGCCCGGGCGATGATTTGGTGCTTGAGCTTGTCATAGAGCTTGCGCTCGGCGGCGTTGAAGTTGACGGGGAATTTGAGGTCCACGCGCGGGGGGAGGTCGATGACCGTCTTGGGCCGGCGGAGGATCAGGCTGCTGGACAGGTTCTTGAGCCGCTTCGCTGCTTCCTCAATGTCTCCCGTCTTCCACATCTGTCCAATGTCCAGCTCGAACTGCTTGGCGTCGTCGTAGGGGTGCGCTCGGATGAACTTGAGGAGCGCCGAAAGGTCTCCGATACGGTTTTGGATGGGCGTGCCTGTCACTGCCCATCTCGACCTCCCATCAAGAGCGCACACTGCTCTGGCCATCTGAGATTGGGTGTTCCGAATAACATGGGCTATCTTTTTGTCAGTAAACTTTTGCCGTGCTTATCCAGCGGTAATTGAGTGGGTACCTTCGTCGAGGATGATCCGCTTCCAACATGTCGAAAATAACACGCTGTTGGAGGCTTTGTGCCCGCCACCCCAGTCGCCTGTCACTGTGTGGTATGTGGATATGACAATGTCGTACAGCGACAAATCATCGGCTTCTGTGAGTTTTTCCTTTCCGTAATGACGGCGCCAGGTGATCCCGCCTCGTCTGACATGCCTGTACTTTTGTTAGTTCTAGTCAACTTTGTAATTAGAGGAGTAATTGGGGTGGGGACTGACTGGGATAGCTGCTCTTTCCATGTGTCGAGAACTTTTAAAGTGTCAATGATTGTCGGTTTTGATCTGCTCGAACTCGAATGAACATGAGCTTGACTCACGCGGTGGTGGAACAAGGATCAACGAAGGCATGCGGACTGGGGACGGCATGCCCGGCCTTGGGTTATTATAGAGGCCTTCACTCCTGTCGGTTGCAACTAGGGCAATCATAGTCAAGGTTTTGCCGAGACCCATTGGGTCAGCCACGATGCCACCGCAAAACTCGGGCGGTTCATCGCGGTGAGCCGAGCTGGATATTCTGTTCACAAAGCTAGGAGCGTAATTGCATGTTAATTAGTGCCGAGTCAGATGTGTTGCCGGCCAAACTCACCATGTCGCTTGACTCGTCTGCATCAGATCCCAGAAATCGGAAGATCGAGGATCAAAGTTCCATCCTCTCTCTCGTTCGAGCAAGAAGCTTAGCGCCTGCTTTTGATGCCTGCAACGCTGTTAGCGGATGTCTGTCGGCACAGCTAAAGGACGCTTTCTAACCTCTTGAGTGAAGGGAGTATGACCTCTGGCTGTGGGGCCTCAGGCAGATCTTGATGAGCGTCTAGAATGCCAAGCACGTCATTGTCTTGGGTGATGTTCTCAAAGAGGTCCTGATCCAGGTTCAAACATGTCAAGCTTGGGTCGGATGTCATTGGACAATTGTCGATATTGAGCGAAGAGAGACGATGGGGGTTGCAGTACTTGACTTCCATGTCACAGCCTCTGGGGTCTTGAAGGTACATGTCCAGATCTTGGAAGAACTCGCCGACATCCTCGCACAGGTCCCAAGGCCCGTAAACGATGATGGACAGGGAGCACGGGACAGCCACTGGTCCGAATCGCAACCTCGACTGACCAGTTGGATGAGAATGCACGTCACTGGCGGCGCAAAAGGCTTGGAGTATCAGGCTAGGCTGGCGGAGAAGTTCCTCGAAAACGTCGACAAACTCGGAGCCCAGTGTTCCAGACGACTCCGGACTGAACAGGGCCGTAAACTTGGAGCTGGATTCGATAACCACCGGGAACTCGTTTGACCCTTGGTGTGCGTCATTAGCCGTCCTGGTATACTTGCCGTGAAACCTTGTCACCTATAGTTGCAAGGACGTTCATTGATTAGCTTCCATTGCTTTTAGTTTTGCGAGTCGCAACGATGAGACTAGAAAATGCCTGTGCACACCATGCCGTAGCACACCAAGGTATCTCCGGCCGTAGATATTTTGGAATTCGGTGGAATTTCGCTCGCACAGGGCTCAGCAAGGCCTTGCCCCAGAAAATTGTGCGCTTGGTTCGTGTCCATCATATTGACGCCGCTCTCCGAGTCTGGCCATTGTGAACTGTGGCTGTAGCTGTTTTGAGGGGTAATCCGACTCGCTGTGGAATAAGATGTTGGGGCGGCCTGGAGAGCTTGGGCCTGTTGCTCCCATTCGTCCTCCAGCCTACGTTTCTTTCGTCTTGAGGGGTCCATGCTTCTTGGCTTTGGTGTTTTGGCGTCTGGTGGGGTTCTCTAGCGAGAATTGCCGTCTCAAGCGTTCGTGAGAGCACCTTTGGATTGAGCACGAAGTTTTGCCAGAAAAGCGTTGGGCCACCGACAAATGAGCCAAGGCAGAATTTCGGCGCCCTCTTGCATGGCTGCCTTGTCGCGAGCTTTATGATAGGGTGGGATGGTAACACGGGGATGAGCTTGCAGGAAGGGGGCTTGCCTGCCCCTCTCGGGCACAATCTCACTACCCCTCAAAGACCCCCCTCAAAGACCCCCGCGCCAAATCATTGTTTTTTAGCATCCCCTCTGCCGCGACCTTGCGGGCTTCAATTTCCATCTCAATCTATTGCCTGGCCGACGCGAACAATGCCGCTCAAAGCACCCGCGCCTGCGCAATCGGCAGCCAGACGCGCAATTGAAAATGCATTCAAGGATTTGGAGCGCACCATTTCCCCAGCCGATTCCCGCGATTTTAGCTCAACAACACTCGACGATGTCAGAAAGGCGGCCATCGACGTTGAGCGCCAGCTCGCAGCTCGGCAGTCCCTGCGCAACATGCGACGGCTGGAGCCTCTTTTCCAGGGTCTGGAACACTACGCCAAGGTCATCGACGTCCTATGCAACGGAACCGACTACATGTCGTGGATTTGGGCTCCAATTAAGCTCATCATGAAGGTACGGTCAAGTTTGGTCATCGGGAGCGAGCCATTGTTTACTGGTCATTTCTCTAATTGGGAGCTCGGCGCAGATCTCGAGCGACTACGTTGAAGCGTTCGAGCGAATCATCAAGGCTTATTCGCAGATTGCCGCTTCGCTTGGGAGGTTTCGGCTTCTGGAGCAGTCCTTCAAGGGCAAGCCGCAGCTCTATCCCACCTTTGCCATCTTCTATGCCGACATTCTCCGTTTCCACAAAGCGGCGTACAAATTCGTCACACGTCGCTGTAAGATGACGCGCATACAACACAAGGGCAATTTCGAGTCACGGAACTGACATGCGCAATGTTTAGGTTGGAAAATCATCTTTGTGACAGCGTGGGGTCGGTTCCAACGCGAATTTGAGAATATTCTTGAAGATCTCAAAAACCACGAGGATCTCATCGACAAAGAGGTCAACGCCCATAACATTGTCGAGGCTAGAGAGATGAGGGCTCACCTGGAGGCGTGGAGAATCGAGAGCTCTGAGAGGCTTGCCAGAGAAGAAAAAGAACGAACAGCGAGGCAGCTCCAGGATCTTACCAGCTGGCTGCGGCTGGACAACTCGGACCAAATCGTTCTTCTCGACTCCATCACAAAAGTGGGCACCGACTATCCAGGCACCGTAGACTGGATAGTCAAGAAACCACAAGTGGTTGCCTGGTTACGGTCAACGTCTGAAGTTCCATTCCTGTGGCTCCAGGGGGGTCCCGGAACAGGCAAAAGTGTCATAATTGGGCGACTTTTGGCCTTCCTCAAGGCTTCAAACTCTTCTGTGGTTCTCAGTCACGCCTGTTCCTACTCGTATAACTCTTCGACCATGTATGACCAGATCATCAAATCCCTGCTTCTTCAATGCACACGGGTTGATGGTGACCTGGTGGCGCATATTTGGGAAGAGTACGTTGGAGGCAAGCAGCCTAATCTCTCGCTTCTCGAAAAGCTTCTTGAAACTGCCATCGAGATCATTTCCGGCAACAAGCAGGGCAATAACACTGTCCACATAATCCTTGACGGGTTGGATGAATGCCCCAACGACAAACAACGTCGTCTTATCCGACTGATGGAGAGGCTCGCGTCGGTTGGAAACACGTGCAAGGTGCTCGTCTCCAGCAGGGACTCAACGGCTCTCCAGGGAAGACTAAAAATGAAACACATTCTTTCTCTGTGCGAAGAGAAGGCGAGCCTGACAGAAGCTATTGCGAGATTTTCCGAACTTCGGCTCGGAATCATGGGCGACAAATTGATGCAACTTAGAATTACAGAGGAGACCAAGATGAAACTTGCCAAACGGATAGGAGACAAGTCAGACGGTGAGCCCACGTTATTCCCGCTTCAACTGCTCAGCAAACGAACCTCGCTGACTTGTCGTATGTATGCTAGGAATGTTCCTCTGGGCATGCCTAGTCTTGAACTACTTGTCAGCAAACTTCTTTTACAGCGGCGACGAATTCGTAGAGGCGGTGGACAGCTTGCCCCCAGAGCTTTCGCAGTTGTCAGTCTATTTTCTTAACAGTCCCTTGCAAGAAAGTGATATACTGACTTCCACTAAGTTATGAGAAGATACTATCACGTGTTTTATCCGACCTTGACTCTCGCTCAGCTGCCCGACTCAAGACGATTTTTGGCTGGATAGCATTCTCCAGGCGTCCACTTCGGAAGTCGGAGCTGCAGTCTGCTCTCTTATTCCACGAGGATGGGCCAACGGGATCTCATCCGGTGCCAGCATATGTACTTGAGGCGTGCAAGCCCCTCGTAGAAGAGAGGCGAAATTCCACCCTCGTCTTTATCCACGTTTCGGTTAAAGAGTAAGCCCCATATATCGCAAAAATCGTAACTGCCACTGACTCTCACTAGCTTCCTTTTGAGCGACGCCTGCAAAAGCTCTGTTCGCATGGATGACTTCGCGGTGCGGTGGGAAAACGGTATCGCTTCATTGAGATGTCTCCGTGCCGCGCTTGGCGTCTTCAACCCCCGCTCTAGCAAGTACAACCGAGAGATTCAACTCGTACGTGGAGTCTGGGGCTTTGTTGCTTATGCGTCCGAATTCTGGGACCTTCAACTAGTAGAAATGGTCACTATTCCAGTAGCGAATTGGGATGCTCGATTCGGTGTAGTGGCTGCAGATTTATCGGCTGCATTAGCCACACCGCGACCGGGCCACGTCGATATGCCCCAAGGCCAAGTCATCGAGGAAATTGAGCCAATCCGGTGCTATCCTAGTCTTTGGTACGACGCCACGATGAGCTTGCAAGATCGCTCCGAGGGACTCGCGCGCCCACAAGGTGTCCAAACCGGAGGTGAGCCCTCTCAAATTTCTCCCTGGTGTGCAAAGGACGTAGCTAATTGACAAAGCAGATGATATGAAGGAGCCCACCCACATTCGCCACATTTCTGAGAACTACGAGACAGCCGTACAACACCTGATCAACCTTGAAGACCACTACGAGGCCACTGGATCCGAGCTGGCGCTGTTCCGCGAGAACTTCGCTGGACACGCCTATCCCTGCCGCTTTGCTTCGTGTGCCCACCCTGCTACAGGGTTCAAGACCAGCGAGGAGCGCAACGCACATGAATCTTCACACGCGCCCAAATTTCCTTGCACCGAGCCAAGCTGCCAGTACCCCCCGTTCACCTCTAGCAGAGCTCTAAAGAAGCATATATCAGACTGCCACGACAAACAACGTGTCAAGTTGATTGTCAGGAAGACAATTTTGTCTGGAAACCGCGTGATTGAAAGCCATGCCGAAGTTAAAGCGATAGGACTCGGAGAGCCTGGCTACAGACCAAACCTCTCTCGGCGAATAGTAAACACGAGGGGTAGTGTTATGGAAACCGCGAAGCGGAAAGTCGGTTCAATAAGCCTCCTACAGCAGTTTCTCGCTGCACAAGACGTTATGCTACGCGCAAATGGAAACAACAGCGCTAATACCGTTGAATTGGCTGGGGATGGTGGTCTTGCAGTATCTGAGAGTAAGAGTGGGAGTCTAGTCACGTCCAACGATGTTGGCGACCACCACGATACTCGCGACCACGATACTCGCGACCAAAGCTGGGCCGATATGTTTCTTGCTGGACCTGTTCAAGTTAAATACAACAGCGCTGCTGAGCTGGACCACCTTCTTGAAGAATTAAACAGAAACTTCTAGGCGCTACAGATTCCAGTACTGCTTCACCCTCACTGACTCCAATTACAGACCCCAAATCAATACGGGATTATCTGCTGGGGGATTTGACGGAGGGTGAGCGAGCTATTGATGTGTCGAGGATATACACTCGAAATATGGCTCTCGATCTACTGAACCGTGGTACAACTAGTCCTCACGACAACCCCGCCCCAGTCTCCGACCCACACTTCCCTGGAAATGAGGACAGCAATACCGGAGCTTCCACCGTTCCTGACCGCAACCCGGTTCGGTATCAATCCGCCGATGCGCTCCCCAGTTTAGTTGACCCCAGTTTAGTTGACTGGTCGATTAATGAAGACTTTGTTTTATACAAAGACGATGGGTATGCCAATATGCCGTCCGCGCCAGGTCCCTCTACTTTTAACACCTACGTTGCTGGACTTGATTACGATGTATGGTTTGAACCAGAGCGCGGTCCCCTTGAGAGGGTCCATTCGCCAAACTCAGTTACAACAGACAAGGCCACCACTTCCAAGCCTGGCTTTCCGTCATACGACCCAGATATGAATGGTGGTCGTGGCGGTTTTACACAGAACTACCCCGATCTATCCATTTACAAGCAGGCTATGGAGCAATCTGAGGCCTTGGCCGCTTACCACCCCAACTCGAATAGAGATGGCGATGTTGGCGTTTTGGATTCAAATAACTTCAAACTCCCCTCCATGAGCCAATTCTTCAAGAAAACCACGGATGATGCATCTCATGACTCGAAGAACGGCGAGGTCAGCGCTTCGCAATCTGCGGCTGTACCTCTATCTTATTATCAGGACCAGTTGATTCGTCTGGATAGGGCCAATAGGAAACGACGGCTAGATATGTCAAAAGACTCTGGCAAGGGTGGAGGCGTTGACTGATACTCCCAGCACCCCCAGCAACACCAACCCCAAGAGGAGCGAAAATTTCGGGCTCTTTCCGCCGCAGAAGTTCCCTCTCGGCAAATTTTCACTGAACCCGAATAAAAGCGACGACGGCACTGGTTTCAAAATTCTTCCCGAGCAACCCATATCTTCATCTGGTAACCAGGAAGAGATCCTTGGACCTCTGGAGCAAGCGGTAGAAGATTATTTGGCTTACCAGAACCGGATGCAACAAGCTGCGAGATATTTTAGCTCATAAATACCTGTGTGATACGCAAATCGATGACATGCCTAGTCTATCATACTGACAGTGTGAATAATCATTAGCAATGGTGTTGGGGTTTAGGTAAATAGATGACTAGGTTTGGTCGTTGGGAGATAACACCAGGGAAATAATCTGATTGTATTCGTTCAATATCTGTTTCTAAAGTCAATTCAAGATTACATGTTCCCGAATGACTGTCGGCGGTTGTCAAAGCCCTCTGTGGCAAGCAAAACATCAGCTACTCGGCTTGAATTGGAAGGTTGGCCAAACGTATCTTCTCGACGGCCAGACTCTGCGGCTAATAGTCCCGACCTGCCCACCGTTGTCCGTAGACAACAACTATGGCATGGGGTAATTACACTTTAAAGCCACCCGACTGGCCATCAAGACCGCCGTTCGAAGGAAATAGACTGTCCAGGAAACCCTAGTTTATTTTCCGTTCACTAAGGGGGAATCTGCCCTAAAACCGACTATTATCCACAAACAAATCGCCATCTCAAAACAACCACCTCTCCGACCCGGGCGTCCGCTCATAATACCACACGGCTTTGGCCGCCTTGGCGCAGCTGCTCGTGCTACCGCCATTGACATCAGCCCCAACCGGCTTGCCGCTACCCGCCTGGACCTGGCCGTAGATATGATAGTAGTACCAGATCTCCGTCAGCACGGTGCGCCCGTTGTCCAGCGACCCCTTGCCGGCGGCCGTGTCGTTGTACTTGGGGCCCGAGCAGCCGAGGTAGGGCGTGGCGCCGTGCCTGGCGGCGAGCGTCGACTGGATGTCGACGAGCGTGTAGCCGGTCGAGTTGCTCGGCCTGATGGCCTTGGCCGCGAGCCATTCGTACGTGGGCAGGCGCGTGAAGTACTCGGCGGCGACGGAGAAAAAGGTCAGCAGGTCCGTGTGCGTGTCGAGGGCCTTGGCCGAGAAGCACGAGGGCGCAAAGGTGCTGTAGCACGTGGCGTGCTTGGAGAACTCGTGCGCCCAGAACTCGGTGTTGGGCTGGCCCTGCGCGATCCAGAACTTGTTCATCCACGCGAGAAGCGCGCGGCCGGGGAGGCCGAGGGCCGCCAGGAAGGTGTCGACGGTCGGCCCGTGGTAGGGAGGCACGGGGGTCCCGGCCGGGGTGCCTGTTGTCGTGTTGGGCGACGGGTTGGGGTCGTACTGCCGGTTCAGGTCGCAGTATTGAGTCCACGAGCCGTTGCAGAAGTCGGGCCACAGCCCGTGCAGCGTGAACGAGTTCTTGGGCAGCAGTTGTCCGAGGCTTTCACGTCCCGTGTATGTGTCCCAAAACTGCGTCGATATTACCAGACCGCCGAGCGTTTCGACGCAGCACGAGTCAACTAGGCCCGATTGCGCCGCCGCCGAGCAAGACAGCTCCGGTTTGGAGAAGAGGCATTTGCTGGAGCCGAAGACATCCCCGATGCTGCCAGCCAGAACCACCGGGATCGACAAGGAGCTGGCCACCGCTAGGCGAAGTAGATTGAATCGGGCCATTCTGTGCTGCTTGAGGATCAGAGGGCAGATATCGACGTAGCAAGTCTCATTTCGGTGAGGAGGACTGCGTGCCTGATATAGTTGAAGACAGGGTGACACCAGCAATTGGCATGCACGTCATTGGCGGCTATCCAACCACGAATTCCTCTCAATTCACGTTCCGCGGTTCTGGCTCGCGGTTGCCCTCCCCGCACTCGCTGACACCATCCTCTTTTGCTCCCACGTGGGGTTCTGTTATCGACAATTCGTCCAACTACGCAGGCGCATTTCGGGCGGTCGCTGCCCAATTAGGAAGTTGCAGAACACTCGGCGGCGAGACCCGCAACAGCTTGGGAAGCCAGACTGCAAACTGATCCGATAGCCGGGGCTCTCCGCTTCCGAAAAGGGCAGGATGGTCCCGCGTGGGAAATCCACTGGCTGCTGGAATGAAGACTGACGAGAGAAGATCTTGGCAGTTGCATCGGCTTGTGTCTATCTCGATCTAGCAGTCTCATTCGCTGGAGCTGTCGTCTCATCTGCAATCACGGGTGCATTGCCCGCGTCGCTCTTGGTAGTTCGCGCTCTCCGTTGCACAGTTGCAGTGCTGAGCGGCCCGCCCCTGCGCCAAGCTTCACGCGGCATCTTCAAGCTCCAGTCGTCGGTCCCAATTGGGGAAATCGGGGTCCACGGATAAAGCTGAAAGATGGCTGTCAGCTCCGCGGACATTACGCTAGGCCGGTGTTAAGAAATTCAGGTCTTCTTTTTCATCACATGTCTTTCTCCAATCATTTTCCGACCAGGAAGTTTTGTCCAGAACCGAGCGCTGTCTTGAGCCACTGTCCGACTCTCTCTCCCAGTTTAAGATCGGCAATGCAGCCCACCAAATCAAACGACTCACAAGTCCCGGGTTCAATTTCTACGCATCGTTGGCAATCGGAACATTAGTAAGGGCCATTGTTGTCAACCGGCCCCATGTCAATATGGACCTCGAACGAAACGGACTCAGTGGCAATGGCAAATCCATGCGCTCGACTCGTTGTAGGGCAAACATGTTTTTCCACTTCAGATATAGAGCCCATCGGCCCGCGAGGAGATATTAAGGGCGGGCTGGGCGTGCCATGTCATTCGTCGAGGGGACGAACTGACAACCCGCGGCTAAATCTGGCGCCCGAGCCAATATGCAGAGAACCATTTGTATTAACCTGGAAGTTTATCAGGATTCCATAGATGACATGGAAGAGGGGTCTGATTTGGGGCCGGGGAGGGGGGTTCATGGGTATTTGAGAGCTAAGGCACCCAGTACCCAGGTTGAGTGCTACAGAACGCAACCCTCTCAACATCCGTTGTCAGTCTTGCACCGCTCAAGATGCCTCAGTTGAAGCACCTCGCCCTCGGCCTCGCTGGCCTCCTGAGCCAGGTGGGCCGAGTGTCCAGCCAGGACCCAGGCCCGTTCGATCCGGCCACAGCCAACATCCCGCCCATGCTGCGCTTCCAGTGCTCGCAGCTCGTGGTCGAACGTCTCGATCCGTTGGTCAACCCCGGGCAGGCGCCGTCTCCCCATCTTCACCAGATCGTCGGCGGCGATTCCTTCAACGCGAGCATGACGCACGACCTCGTGGCTGAGTCGGGCTGCACGTCGTGCACCTTCTCCGAGGACTTCTCCAACTACTGGACGGCAGTGCTGTACTTCCGCGCGCGCAACGGCACGTACAAGCGCGTGCCGCAGAAGCCGAGCGAGGGGCTCAAGGGCATCGGTGGCATCACCGTCTACTACATCCCGCCGCTCGGCGAGAACAAGACGACGGCCTTCAAGCCCGGGTTCCGCATGCTGGTCGGCGACGCCACCCTGCGCGGGCCCGCGGACCCAGCTAGAGTCGACCCCAAGGTCTGCCACCGCTGCATGCCTCTCACGGGCGACAACAACAACCTTAACTGCGCGGCCCCCGATAGCATCACGCTGCCCCACAAGTTCTGCGCCGGCGGCATCCGGAGCGTCATCACCTTCCCTACGTGCTGGGACGGCGTCAATCTCGATAGCGCCGACCACAAGAGCCATGTTTCATATCCGGCCGTGCCGACTGCTCCGGGTGACTATGATTACGACGGAGGCGTGTGTCCCGACAGTCACCCAGTCAGGATCCCGCAGGTCATGTACGAGGTTGTCTGGGATGTAAGCACATGCTGCATGTTGACGTTACCCCCGAAATATAGTTTGCGCTGTGAATGTGGCTGACGTGAACAGACCACACCTTTCAACGATCCAGATCTTTGGCCCTTGGACAAGACGGAGCAGCCCTTTGTCTGGAGCACCGGTGATGAGTAGGCGATCCCTTCTCGGCCCTTCACCTACATGCATGACAACTATTCTAACGGTTATTTAGCCACGGATACTCCCAGCATGGCGATTACGTGTAAGTTTCTGGGAAGATTCCATTGCGTACCATTTCTCTTGTCCGGGAGACTTGACTAACATGCACGCTTGAAATAGTTTCGGGTGGAAGGGCGACGCCCTCCAGCGGGCCATGGACAACCGCTGCCTTGGCGACGTCTGCAAGAGCCTGGACACACAGGCGCCCGAGAAGGCGGCTGAGTGCGTCAAGAGAAAGACCGTCACTGAAGACGTCGACAGCTGTAGGGCGATTCCTTTACCATATCATACGACATGGTGACATTTGAAGCTGACCATGTGCACTTGCAGGGCTGACGGAGCTTCCCGGAATGACCATGTGAAAGTAATATTTGGTTGTACAAACCAGAAAGTTGACGTCGGCTGAATTAGACTGGTATCGAGAGATATAACAGAGGGATAAAAAAGCTCCTATGAGGATCTTAATTGTTTGGTTGGCGATGGAACGACCTAACCCATATAGATTCATCAACTCGTTGCTCAGAAACTCTCCCTGTGGTATTCACCTGGTCTTATCGTGGTGCATTGTGAATCTAGCAGTATCCTGCATTGAACAATACATCCCGCTGACGTATCAGACAAACAATTCTGCAGACGCACCCCATCACCACCGCCGCTTGACGCGCACTTCCAAATCGCGATCCGGCTGGAAGATGACGAAGCCGAGCCCGTTTCTGGCCTCGCAATCCGACAGCTTGCCATCGCTCGTAACCCACCCTTTGACCTCGACATCAAACTGCGCCACGAACAGCGGGATCTCGGTGTTGAGAGCGTGCATCGCTTTCTGCGATATCGTTCAGGGATAAGTTTGGGACGGGTTGCAACTTCTGGCTTTTACAGTTCAGCGAAGAGGCAGGCTTACACGACGCGAGCTCAGAAAACACCTGGGTTAGTCGAGAATTGAACCGTGTCCGAGACGAAGGGGATTGTCTCGGGGAGCCGAGGAATATTATCGTTGGTTTTAGACCTAGAGGTGAATACATAACACAGGACGAGGGGTAACCCCGCGATGCTGCCTGTGAGGGTAGCTGCGGTATTGTGCTGCCACAGTTCCGCGAGAGGTGAGACAATAGCCTGGAATGGCATTTCAAGCTGGAGTCAGAGGGCAAGCCTCCAGGGAAGGGAAATAGAGGAAAGAGGAAGTTGATGTCTTGAGAAGCGGATGGGGTCCACGTTTAGGGCTTTAGATGAGGAGGCATTTCCTCAGGGTGCCAGTTCTAACTACAAAATCATGACACACACACTGCATTAGCACATTAAATCAGCACATTGAATCAGTAGGCGCTTGTTGCCACCACACCTGGCACCACTCTGAACACAGCCGACTGTAGGAGCCGCTAGCCGCTTCGCGTTGGCCATGGTCGTACAACTTTAACTAACTATCTCGACTTCTGATCTATAGGCAGCTAAGGCGGGGATGGTGACACTGCACGCCCCCAATCTTTGCAGCCTTTGTCCTTAGTGTGGGGGATAAGGTATGTTCCTGACAGCTGAGACATTTTTTCCTCAGGCAGCTAATTAACGTTACACTCATTAATTCGGAGTATTACTAGAGGTTTGTGCGGCAGAGCAGGCTGAAGGCTTGCCGGAATTCCAGCTCATTGTTGCCGCTACTAGGAGAACGGGACTCATATATCGAGCTCTCCTCTTCCTCCTCGTCTTCTTGCATGTCATCCTCGTTGCCATATCTCTCCACCAAGTCCCGTATGTCATTCATCATCCTGCACGATGGTGTGGTTAGCTTCAACCACCAGTATCGGGGAAGCAGGGATAAAACTCACTGTTCATGGAGAGACTCGTCCTCGACGAACAGCGCAGCAACGTGTGTGTTGAATTTCCTGTCGATGTCTGTCAGAAACAACGACCTTGCACACATTCGAGCAGGGTTCCCTCACAGCTTGTAGAGATCTAGGCGCCCGTCGTAGTCCTTGACGGGCTCCGACTTTGCAACTAATTGATGGTAGGCGTCGAGGTATCTCTTGTCGAACCGGTTGCACGCCGGCCGCCACTGGCCAAACTCATCTAGCAAACGTGTCAGTCACACCATCAACCACAACCACAGCAGCAGTGACCACCACCACACAACCACAGCCACTCACATTCATTATGCGCATAAAACGAACACGCGTCAAAAACTAAACTCTCTCCAGTGTGCGCATCGACCCCGGTATTCGCATGCCACAAATCACCATGCACCAGCGCAGGCCTGACTGAGCGGCCATTCGACTCAAGCGGCCGCAGCAGGCGGGGGATGACACGGTCGAACAGCAGCGCAGCCAAAGCATCCATCTTTGAGCCCCAGGGGGTCCTGCCCGCAGCAGCGCGACGCGCAGCCTCGAGGTCGAGAGACTGCCGGAGGCTGCGCGCGAAGAAGACCTCCCAGCTGTCCTCCCAGGGCGCGACGTGCTGCGGCAGCACGCCGGCGCCCGTTCTCACATGGAACCCGAAGCGGCCCGCGGGTGGCGGCTCGCTGCCCTCGTGCAGCGCCGCCAGCCGCGCCGCGAACCGCTCCGGCGACGGCATGGCGTTGTCGGATGGGGCGGTGGTGGGACTCGGCCCCACCGCCGACGTCGGCACCGCGGGCGCCATGTCGCGGAACGCGCTGAGGATGAAGTGCGCGCCCGCGTCGCTGCGGTACGTGCCCCAGGCGACAGGCGCTGGCGCGAAGTCGGGCACGACGGCGCGGATCGCGCGCATCGACTCGTATTCGCCGCAGACCACGGCCTCGCCGTCGATGGCGGTGGCGGTGGCGGTGGCAGGCGCGGCGGTGGCGTTATTCTTGTTGCTGGTGCTGTTGCGCGAGTTGTGCACCGTTTTGAGAAAGTATCGGCGCCGTGTGCCGTCGGCGAGCTCGGCGTCAAGCCGCTGTGTCTTCCCCCACTGGCTGACGCCGTGGTCGGCAGCGGCGAGGACGCGGCATCCTTTGGGGAGCGCTGTTGGTTGGGGCGGGCGGGACTTATCAGCGCGACGACGCCACGAAAATTGGGGGTTTCTCTCGGGGGGAAGTTGGGATGGAGGTGTTTCGTGCTGGGTCAGGTTGGAAAGGGCGGGATGCAGAGAGTGATCCGAAAAAGGAGGGATTGACGACTGCTAACGTGCTTACCTGCAATCACTGCTGCGTCGAGTTTGACGCCGGAGGCGCTGCCAAGACCGGCGGCAACTTTGGCACTGTCGCGAGCAGCCATCATGCATGGATGGATGCACGTCAGAATCTAGCTTTTCCAGAAGAGCCACTTCGGCGCAATGGGGGGGACGAGGCAGCTTTTGCCGTTTTGAGTTAATCACGCAGGATTCCAGGCCGCTGGGCCGTTGGGCTCGTTGGCGGGTGTTGTTGGCTGATGTGAGGGAGGCACAAGGCCCATCCCTGGGCCTGTTGGCCTGAACAAGAATGAAGGCACGGAAATCCGGCAACCGAAAGCGAGAAACCCGCTGCTGTTTCTGCAATTACTTAAGACTGGGCCGCATCTGAGACCTGAAAACAATTGTCCCGTCTGGAATGGCTTGTTTTCCCCAGTGTATCTATTCTAAGTGTTAGGGCCAAAGGCCCAGAGCTGCAGAGGGTAATAATGATCTCTTCAGTCCGAGGTAGACCCTAACCCTAGAGCTATGCGAGGTTCATATACCCCAATTGTTTGCGATCTTTATTCAATCTCATTCTTGCTCCTGTTTTTTTGACCATGTTGCGATGTTTCAATGCAACGTCGAGCCTTGTTCATATTCCCACACTCGTACAAAGGCACTGATCTGGAAGGAATTTTTATTGAACTGATGCCGTAGTAGTCCATTGGAAAGCATCCAAGTTCCACGCATTGCTTTTTTCGTCGCGGCCATGCGTCCCCGTCAAGCCCCCAAGCCAGAAAAAGTTGCCAAGCCCCCAAGCCTTATCCAATCAGACGCTTCTTCAAGCATTCAGTTCCTGGATCGCCTCCTTGACCATTCCAAGGTACTTCTTAGTCTCGGCAGTGTCGGTGAACTGCACAATTTTCTTGACCTTGGTGCCGTCGTCGGTGAACCACAAAAAGACCGCGCACTCGGTGGTGATGCTCTTGCCGTTGACGAGCGTGATGTGGTTGCGCTTCTGCACAACAGCCGTTTTCGTGTGGGCATCAATGACAGTTTGGACCGACTCGGACTCGGCGTGGTCCATAGCCGGGAACTGACTCTTCATGTACCCAGCCCGCTGCTCGTTGGTCAGCTTGTGGTCAGGCGGCATTCCATTGTCGCGGAGAAAAGATGCTGGCGCGATGGTGAAGGTGCAGTCGTCAGTGCGCGCACGGCTGGCGCTCTCAATGCTCTTCTTGGCGAAGATCTCGTCGAGCGACGTAAAGTACTGGTCGATGGTCTTTTGGATGGTGCCGTAAAGTTCAGACATGATTCGAGTTGGTGGGGAGTGTAAGGTTTTGGAAATAATATTGGATGACGTTGATGAGGCGATGATGAAGTTGAGCAGCATGACAGTCTTTCTCATGGCAAGTCATAGACTTATATACCGGCCATCCAGGCTGTTGGCATCTTATCAATCCCCGTCCGTCGTCTCCAGCGAATCCGCTTCGCATAAACTAAATCGGAAAATGCGAAGCGGATTCGGTTGGGTGGTCGAATCAACCCCTGGAATCATAGCACCAACAGGCCCAAGCCTCAATGCCCAAATCCTTTCGAACGCGTTCGACTAAACCCGGCCAATCCTGCCCATCGGGAAGCTGACTTCGCGGCCCGACTCACGTAAGATTTGCGCTCAAAGGGACTTCCAAAAATGACAGAAGCGTATTCACTGTCAACAATCCGCGGCCTTTACGCCTATCCGCGACTGCAGGGGTAGGTGCGGGATGTTGATTCAGATCCCGACAGGAACCACCAGATTCAGGCGCCCCGCGCTCTCCGGGCCATAGGCATTGACAATAGGCATTGACAACAGGCATTGACACAGGCTTGGGATCTCGACGACCAAGCGGGTATGCCAAGCAGAGACGGATGAACAAGAGGTTTCTTTTTTTCCAGGAATATTGCACTCTGAAACTGTGATTTCTTGCCCAACCTACTCATTACCACCCTCCTATGCTCTGATCCTTTCTCACAAGAGTTGCCTATGGTTTTGAGTGCCATCTCAACTACAAAGACTAAGTCAGCATTGACTGTCGACGTTCTAGATAGAAACGCCTAATGAACTGTTGAAGTATAAAAGTGAGGTCTCATGTTATAGCCCAGTCTCTTGTTCCAGTTTAAATTTTATAGACCGCAATCTGGTTTCGCGTGCCCCCGTGATAATGTTGCTCGAGACAACCACATTGGCGTGCCAAAGGGCCCCTGATCGGGTACACCCTGATTGTCAAATATCTCAAAAGTCCTAACACAGGTAAATATAAACCTGACAGGCGCGCAGTAAGAGAACCTAGTTTAGTCCAAGGCTGAGGTTAGTAATTAAACAGTGTGATTGAAACTACAAGTTCGCCACACTTCACCTTGACTGTTGCACTGTCGGTCAAACACCCCTGCTCTCCTAGACCAGGTTCCCTCTATTCTGGACAGCATCACTTGCTTGCATGGACCCTGTTGCCAACTCGCCGCAGGTTATATAACTGCCGGCCAGCCTTAGTTGCCTGTGAAATTACAATGATGCTGTTCAGTCGTCTCAGTAGCCGAACCAACCAACTGTGCCTCCATTGTTGCCGCTGTTTCTAAATGGTCACAATGTTTTGTCTCGCTCGCTTTTCACTCTCGCCGTTACTCTCTTCTCTATTAAAATACCCCATCAGTAGACCTCCTTCTTTTCTAATAGTTGGCTTTTACAACGGCACCTAACAACTCCCGATCTGAATCCTCACCATGGCTTCGTCCGGAACCCCAAATGTCGCTTTCTTGCCCGAGGGCTACCGGCTCGCAAAGAATGAGACTCCCGAGAAAATCTCCGATTACAAAAAGGGCGGATTTCACCCTATTCACATTGGCGACAGCATCGGACCGGATGGTCGATTCCGTATCATGAATAAGATGGGGTCAGGTGGCTCTGGCACTGTCTGGCTCTGCGAGGACACCCAGCACGAGGTAGGCAAGCCAAAATGGAGGGCTGTCAAGATCTCAAAGGCAAGATGCGGCACGACTGGCGCTGTTGAGTTGAAGATAAAGAACATTTTTATTGACCACGGAGTCGCCCCTTGGAGTGCATTTCACCATGGAGTTGCCATCCCTATTGACAGCTTCTCTATCGACGGACCAAACGGAACCCACATGTGTTTGGTCCTCCCTGTATTGGGACCAAAAATCCACCGCAATTTTGCATTATTCACTGACACCGAACTGAAGCGGCGATCTGTTTGCCTTAACATTGCCCAGGCTATGAAATACATACACAGCCTAGGCATTTGCCACGGTGATTTCCGTCCAGCCAACATTCTCTTCCAGATTCCTGGACTTGAGCATTTCGATGAAACTGAGATCGCTCAAGTCTTTGGACTTCCTCGCGTCGTGAAGAATCTCCGGACGACGATGAAGCAGATGAGAACCAAGCCCGGATACCAGGTTATTGATGCGAAGATCGACACCGTTGCCTTGCAGCAGCTTTTGAGTATGAAATACACGGATGGGGTATCATACGAACCGAAGATCGCTGTTGTCGACTTCGGCTCCGCATTCGAGCCGAGTGTGCAAGAGAAAGAAAGGACTGCCATCCCGCTCACCTACATGGCACCAGAGTTCTTCTCAAAGGGCCCTGCCAGCATTACCAGCGATGTCTAGGCGCTAGGCTGCACATTCTCGGAGGTTATGCTCCACCGCTGCCATTTCCGAAACAGTGCGACGGCCGCCGGCCGCCTCCTGGCAATTTTTGAGAACTGGGAGCATTTTTGCGGACCAATCCCGAGGCATTACAGGCAGATCATATCGCATGCGCTCTTGGCCGACAATGTCAACATCGAGGCTCGCTTCCCGTCCTTTGACGACCCCAACAAACCTGCCCTGTCGAACTTGATGGCCGACGAGGAGCTGATCCACCCAAATAGTGCGGGCAGTGCGTGGGGACTCAGCTCGTCCCAGCTCGAGAGAGCGATCGACAAGCTCGGCACCGATAACGCGAACCGGCTCATCGGCCTTCTTTGCGCTATCCTCAAGTGGATGCCGGAAGAGCGACTGTCGGTTGAGCAGATCATCAACCACCCCTTCTTTGGCCAGTACTGAGACCAACTCAGTGCATCTGGAGTGCAAACTGACCTATAAACATATACTGTCCTGAGACAGCTTTCTGGTATACTGAGATATGAATGAATGGACTGTAGATACTCTATGTTGTAGACAGAGACGCAAGCATCTCATAAATGAATTGATATAACAAAAATTGTGCATCCGAGTAAATGTGAAGTGATAACAATGTCATTTTGTGCATCTTGCAATGGTTGCTTCCTCCTTTGTTCCTCCTTTTCATGTCTAATTTATTGCGGCGGGGTCTCGATACCGAAAGTGACCTTCAAATCAAGACTTGCAGCATTTCGTACTTGCGTAGCATCGATGCACGCCGGATTGCCGATAGGGACAATTAGTCGAGATGAGGCAATATTTGTGATGTCTCTTTTCTGTGCTCCCAAAAGGGAAAGAAGTGGCACTCGGCACCTTCCTGCCTAATTCACTGGGGGATTGCGCGCTCGTCGTGCTTGCCTCGTCTGGCAGCAACGCAAACGCCGGGGCCGGGCTCAGGCTCCCACGTAAAACACATGACTCTTACGTGGCGCGCCACAGCCTCAAGGCTCCCACGCTCTAGCGCCGAACAAACCACGCCAGCTGGCACATCACCAGCAACATAAAAACCCTCGCCGGAGTCCTCTTTTTAAGATCAAGTTCCTTCGTCCCGCATTCCCGTCAATCGTTTCCGGCACGGCGGCATGGCGGCAACTTTTGCTTCTCCCGGGGTGAGAACCCAAGTGCCCCTCCGCCGCCGCACCCAACCAAGCAGCGATAGTGGTAGCCGTAGCAGTAGCAGCCACAGGCCCAGTCCTGCGCGGTCAATGAGGCAGGAAGCGCCCGAGATCAAGCCCATCGCCTGGCCCGAAGACCTGAAGCGCGCGCTGCCCGTCGGCCGCCTCATCCGCCTCGAGTCGTCGGCGCCAATCGAGGTGCCCTTCTTCACGTCGCTACCTTACGATGTACGTCGCGAGGTATACGACATCATGCTGCGCGATGCCGGCTTCCGCCAGCACGTCTTCTGCCCCTCCATCTGCCGCGTCACCCTGGCTCGGGAGCTGTTTACTCGTTATCTGGTGTGCAAGAAATGCGACGGCGACACTTTCCAGGCGGGCACCGTCTGCGGCCATTGGCAGTGCGAGGACCACAATAACACCCCCGGCACTGCAACTGCTACTCCTCCTACTACCGGCGACGCCAAGTTCCAGCTCGGCGACCTGATCTCTCTAATGAAAACGTGCAAATTTGGGTATAGTCATCCTCCTATCCTGCGAGATCGCAGAAGCCTATTAGCTAACCTGCAACGTTACTAGATATCTCGAGGTCTCCGAGTACTTCTACCGGTCTATCACGTTTACGTTCGCGAGCTTCCCGGAGCTGCGCGTGTTTCTGGACCGGCTGCCAGCGACGGCATTGTCACGCGTGCGGTCAATCGCCTTCATCGCGCACATGCTGCCGCACGACCCACAGGCTTGTCAGCGCTTCATCGGCGGCGAATACTTCGAGACGGCCGAGGCGGCGGTAGGAGCAGGCGGCGAGAACCACATGGCGCTCTTTAAGCGGATTCCTAACCTCGAGGTGCTCGACATTAACTTCTTCCCGAGCCTGATCCTGGCGCTCTCGACGCGGCTCGTCGACGTCGTCCGCCCCCTGCAGCAGCTCCCCGACTCCACACGCGTCACCGTCCGCATCCCCAACATGGTCTACTCGGGCATCTCGGAGATAGGGCTGCCGACGGCGTCGCGACTGGGCGAGGGCGCGAACTTCACGCTCATGAGGCCTAATGTGGCGGCGAGCAGTGTGCAGCAGAACTGCAGAGCGTATTCGTATTCTTTCTAGGCTCCAAGGGCTGCTGTTTTTTTTTTGTTTCGGTTCGTCAAGGTTTGGGATTCGCCCCGAATTGGCAGGGAGGGTGTACTAATGAATCATGACTGTTCTTTACGATTTCTTTTTCTTTGGCGAAGCTCTTGCTTCGGTTTACTTGCAATTCTGGTCCGCGTGGACTCCGCTACCTGCTTTTCTGTTGCAAATCAAGTGCACCATTTTGGCTAGCCCATGTGCTCCTTATAGTTACTCTTCTCATCCAGAGATCAAAGAGCAATGGAAGAGAGGATCGTCGAAATTGAACCAGAGATGCAAAGGGGCTGAAAGTCTTTCTAGCCCAAAAACCGTATCCTGCATGGAAACGGATCTCGTCAATACAAAAGTATCAAGTTCTCTTGTCACAGCAGCATCTACGAGAACGGACACGGTCGATTGAAATGCAACCTGCAATATTCACGTGTTTTCTAGCCTTCAACCTTACCTTTTCGTATGACTCCGTGGGTACCGTCCAGTTGTTGACTTGTTGCTGTAATTACTGCGGCAATGCTCAATTTGTTCATTTTAGTCTGCACATGGTGATGGGTATAGGCATTTTCACTATCGTGACAGATCTCACTATGGAAGTCGCTCCTAGAGTAGACCAAAGCTTGCATATTTTACATCATTGCATGCATCCAAGAAGAAATCTGTAACTTCGAGTAGAAAGGTTCGTCGGCGACCATTTCAATCCTCCTCATTGGTCTCCCTCAGGGCTTTCAAGAACCCGGGCCTCCAAGACCGTCTCTTGCGTCTTTTAGATACTGGGGGTTCAAGGGCCGCAATGATTGCCTGTGAGGCATTAACAGTTAGATCCAGCCTCTCGTCATTTCATATTTGCATCTTGATCTTACTTCGTCAAAGACCTCTTTCAGGCCCTGTTGCGTGAAGATGTTGCACTCGACGTACTTGACCGCGCCAAGCTGGCTGGCCAGGTTTTTGCCCATCCGCGTGTAATCCTCGCGCCTGGATGGCTCTCTTGCTCCTTTGCGTTTCTCCAACAGCTCGTCGTCGTCGTGGCTCCCGATGCCGACGATCAGGAAGGGCACGCCCGGGCAATGGTGTCTGATCTCGGGCACCCACTTCTCTCGGACGTCCTCGTAGCTGATTGGGCTGCCGATGCGCGCGAACACGAGGAACACGTCTGTCTGCGGGTACGAGAGCGGTCGCAGGCGGTCGTAGTCCTCCTGCCCACTGCTGTCGAAGAGCCCGAGGATCCAGTACTCGTTGTCAATCCTGAAAATGAAGTTAATTGCGTGTAATGCAGCGCCAAAAGTGTTCAGCTCCCTTAAAACTCCCAGGGATGTGTACTCACATCACCGTGATCGCGTAGTTGTCGAACACGGGGGGCACGAATACGTCGGGGAACTTGTTCTTCGTGTATGCCATGAGCGTCTCTGTCTTCAGGGTATTTCCGGAACCAACAACCATAGCCCTGTGGTCGGAGCGTTAGTATATGGCATTCCGCCTTGACAGGAAATCGACCTTTGCTCACTTGATAGTCCCGCCCAAGGTAGCGCTGCCATGGAGGGGCGCTAACACCTTCGGAGTATTGGTGCGAGGTGCACCAGAATCTGACCCTCCAGAGTCGACAGGAGTTAAACGATCTGATGGAACCTCAAGGCTGTCCGAAGCCTGGACACCCTTCCCTGAACCGTGGCGTGGACTTTCTGGCGAGTGTGTCCCTGTTTGACTCGGCCGGCTCCGATTGCCCTGCGACGAGCTGGGTTCTGCAATGACTGGCACCTGTCCCCGGATAAGAGACGCAAACGTAAGGTCGAGGCCAAAATTGTTGATGTCGTCGAGAGTGATGGGAAGTCGAAAGACCGAAACGACGGATATGTCATTCAACGACAACATGGTCCAGGCGTGTGACCGGGCCGTTGAGCTAGAAAGCGACATATCTGAGTCGTTCAATACCGTCCGGGAGTAGACTCTCGACTGCTCAAGAACAATCTCAAATTCGCGACTTGTCAGGCTTGATGTATCTGATGTAAAAGACGACCCTGATGTGAAAGACGACCCAGTGTTGTCCGACGAACTCGAGTCCGAGGGGCCGTCGGGTAGCGGCGCCACCATGACGGACAGCCTGCGCGGGTCGACAATCGAATCGTTATCGTAGAACCTGACTGAGCTGTTATCTCCCAACTGCATCTCGTCCAGGTTCCGCACCCGTGCAGCAAACTCTGCATCTCGCTGCAGAATCTGCTCGACGGCCGCGTTCAGTCTGTCGCGGCTCGCCAGGGCCTCCATCTCCGATTGACTAGAAAAAGAAGTGAACTTTGTCAGCACAGACCTCGCGCTGGGTAATTAGATATAAAACCCGGATAAAGTACGCACCACATGAGCACCGTCACCATCAGGGACAGCGACGCCTTTTGCGAATCCAGCCGCGGAAGCAGGCGCAACACTTTTTTCTCGCCCCAGGCCCATCGCATGCGGTGCAGAACGCCGTCCTTGAAGCACACCAGCGACTCGAGCTCGGACAGCGTGAGTACGCAGTTGGAGAAGGTGATGGCGATGTGGTTCAGCCGCACTAGCAGCCGGCGGTTGCTGGGGAGGTTTGTCACCGTTTCTACGAGGCCCCTGACCATGTCGAGGGCGAGCCTGACGTCCTCGACGGCGGCCAGCGTGTCCCGCGCCGACTGCGGCGCGTCGATGGCGCTCGACACAAACGCCGAGAGCGCCAGGCATATCTTGCCCGCCGTCGCTACGAGACCCACGACGGCCGTCGCGATACTGAGCGGGTCCGACATCCCGGGCGATGTGGTGTGAAGGCGGGGGGGTTGAATTCGCGCATTTGCCTGTTCGTGATCCTGTCTTCTTTTGGGTTGTGGACTGTCCACAGTGCGAGTGCGGCTGAGTATGTCACCCCGCTCGGGGCCATCGCTAACGAATCAGAAGCCTCGCCGACAAAGTCGCCTGTAGTACGGATATATACTTCCAGGGAACTTTCAGGCTTAGCATACGTATCAATCCAGCTAAAAAATACTCATGAGTATTATCAAGCTACAATCCATATTGTTATGTATTTCTGCTCGTTTTACGTGGTTCCATATTAAAAATATCAGGCTTTGGTAGATAATGAATGAGAATATGCGTCAGGGTATTTGGGACAACGAAATAGGCCTTAATAGGTTTACATTTAAGGTACGGAGTAGGTACAAAACCCTTCATGGCTAGCAGCAAGGTAAGGTAGCGAGTGCTTCATATTTTAGAAAATCAGGTATCCCGCCAACTCATCCGCCCCTTCCACAACCCACTTCATTCTTCACAACCTCACGCTGCCCCACTTTCCATTTTGGGCAAGACGTAATGGGGCACATTTTCTCTTTCCTTCTCCCTCTATAACGCAGGCATTCTTTTAGAAGCACTCAACTGTCAACACCACGAGGCTCTCCCTTTCACCAACCAGCACAACCGCATCTTGGGAAGTCTGAGCATATGCAAAATGGCTACGCGAACAGTCTACCTCCAGTACAAGCGAGACATAAGGCTCCTGGTTCACTAGATTATCCAAACGTCAAACAGCATTATCGCGGCCCCGGAACCCTTGACAGGCTCACCCTCAGCCCCCAACAAAGACCACCAATATGACGATCCAAGAATGTTGAATACCGCTAGTGCGATCACCGTTGCGGGTCTTGTCCCCCTTTGCTAGCTCATCGCGGAGCGAATTGGCGATATTTCCGGCGGAAAGATCGGCAAGGTTCCTTCTGCTATTTTTCGTTTGTTTCAGGCCGTAATCGATGCACGGACGACCACGTTCAACGAATTCCAGAAAGTCGCCGCAGCAACCAACAATGCAGACATCGAGAAGAGTAACGCCACCCACAAATTCTTCGTCGACAACTTGGTCGAGGCCTTTGAGACCTTGGGCGGGAAGTCATGGAAGCCGGAAGAGGGCAAGAGCGACCGACCCCATGGCAATGGGGGATGCCGCGATACAGATGATGATCTGAAGCCCCTCAGCTTTTCCAACCTCTTTGAGGCCCTAAATCTTGACGGTACCAAGGAAAATCACAACGGATATGATGGCGAAGACCCAAGCGACAACGAGACACAGCCAACTTTTCCAGGCCCACGAAGACGCCAACAGAGGCGATCCAGCAAAGGAAAAGCCCGCAGAGGAAAGAAGACAAGAGGAAAAAATACAAAGCCCGTCAAAGCCGAGATGTCCCTTGATGATTTATCTCTGGAGCGGTATCTCCTCATCCTGGACAAGGATGATCTTGTGTTTGATCGCCATCTTGCGGCCCGTGAGATGTTCTTTACATGGTCAAGCTTACGGTCCTATGTGCAACCACTGTGGCACGAGGTCGCTTACTCAGGTCTAAACAGCGCTGTGGCGGCCACTGTTTCCAACTTGGCCATATCCGTTATGCGGACTTTCATGTTGAAGACGTCCGCCAACTTTCCGGACCACGATTCATACGAGATGGTGTTGAAAGCTGTTGTGTTGAGCGACCGCGGTAGTTTTAATGACGTGTTCGTGATCAACCATACACCCTTCAATTTGCAGAGACAATTGCTCAAATTTAACATTTAGGTATATGAGATCGAAGGATGTACTGCGACCATCTGAGGAATACGGTGACCGGGAAGACAGCAAGGATCAATTCATGATCAATACGTATCGAGACCTCCTTGACTTCGTTGCCGACTTTCAAAAGACGCGTACAGGCAAGCCAACAAAACGAATGCTCCGCGAAATCAAAAACTGGATCCCAAATATAGACCTACAAACAGCGACCGAGAACCAAAGACTCGCTTGGCGCCGTGCGTACACCATCAACTGGCTTTACAACTTGGTCAATGTCTACTCTTCGCCTGTGATACAGCAAAGGTCTGCGGGGAATGAGAGTCTCGTTCTAGATCTTGTGGATTGGTCCAAAAACGGGCCGTGTGGCGTGCATCCAGCGCTTTACGAATTTGGCGAATTTGCCAGCTTTATCACGTCTCTCGCAATGCAAAAGCCAGGCACAGACATCCGGAAACGAATTCTCCCATACCATGTTCTCGAGCTACAATTCATTGTCGATTCAATGACTGCCTCACGAGGGTGGTATATTGCCATAAACCGCAATCGTTTTTCCTCGTCGCCACCTGATTTTCGTCCCATGCGCGACTTTACTTTGTTCTTGGGTCACAAAGAGACGCCATTTGTCCTAGGGTTCTTGCCAGCTATCGATTCATTAACTGATACCTTGAATATGGAGTTGTCGAAGCAGGGCCTTACAACTCAGCGTGAATTTCTGTTCTTTCGTCGCAGGATTAAGGAGTTCCAGTCCGGGCTTGTCAACCGGCTCGGTAAAGCCAAACACGTACTTGGGTCGACAAAAATTCCATCGTCACGTTTCGCGGATACGAACCCAAATAGTCTCTGGGAATACTCGCCGTTTCTTTGTGGAGTCGGCCTCGCGGGAGCGCTTTCAGGCGTGTATAACTTCGGCGTTTTCGCTTTAGACATGACCCCGCAGCCCCTGTTCATTGTTCATCTATACAACATGCTCGTTCAAAAAGGGTATATTGAGCGTCACATTGGTATCTTCAAAGCTTTGCAGGACCGCTTTACCAGGGTCTGGTTCGCGGACGGCAAAATCCCGACATCGCGATTTCTCAAGGCGTTGTTCCAAAGACTCAAGCAGTGTCCTTGCCGACGCCAAAACATCCGAATGCAACTTCGAGGACAGAACCACGACCCAATGCTGTGCCGGAAGCGAAAATTGAGGGCTACGAGCTCCAAGATCAGGCTTTACCACTCGGTAGACTGGGACGCGATGAAGCTTATTCTTAAGAACAATATGGCCGATCCTAGTCTGGCTCGTAAGCACATGGCCGAAGAACCCGGAATCAACAGTGAGGAAATGACCGAACAACCCGAAATCCTTCAACGTGAGCAAGCCCAGAGCTTAACGTATAAGACGCAGGCGTCATGAAATTCATGTCCTTGACTCATGACAGCAATGAGATTAGATTTCTTGACTATTTGACGTCGGAGTTATTGTCTGACGTGTGTGGGGACTTGCCATTGTCAGGGCTCAATTACTTCTGGCTTCTGGAGAAGATCATTTCGTGGTTCAAACAGGTCGAAGCAAAACTATCTGTACAAAAAATTGAACCTATCTGCGTGCGAGAACGGCGCATGGCGCGGATCCCGTACTGATGCGCTCGCAGCTCGTCGGTTTGGCCCTAGGTGGGACAGACAAGGAGTTATTCTAGGTAATGGCGCAGCAATTCGAGAGCATGCGGTCCGAGTTCTCGAACTACACCTACTGGGGATGATATCTCGATACCGAACGTTGACCACATGGACAGTGTTTCGACGTACGAAAAGGGATGTTTGGAGAATGTTTGTTGCAGCGCTAGCATCAATTCAATCAGGCCAAATATGAAGCCTTATTTGACTGTATTTGAGGCCCAAAATGGTGTATTTATCTAAGAGGCTCTCTCTGATTGGGTGGGGTTTATTTGACTTATTTGACGGAATTTGGCGCTCCACCAAAAAGCAAGGAAATCGAGCCCCGAATGGCACGGAAAAAAGCCCTTGACCTTCAGGATCCTCATTTACTCGCCAAAGGACGATTTTCAGCGGTAGGGAGGCTTGTCGAGAGGGTCGTGACATCAGCGGTGGAGGCAGGCATATTATCGAAGACTCGGGAGCCAAAGAAGTAGGGAAATCGCTTTAGGAAGGTAGGATTCGGTAGTTTGTTTACAGCGGTTAGCGATAGTTGCATTGCAGTGGCACAGCGGCACTCGAATTCAGGGCATTCGAGGATTTTCCCGGGACCAGAAAATTCAGGGTTGGCCTTGTTCAGGGATTGCTCTGGTTCCAGGAAAACCCGGAAAATTAGGCCCAAAAATAGCCCAACCAATGGGAAATATTTACAAATATGCCAATTAACCTAGCCCTCAATTTGGCCTGAATTTGACCTCCAAAATGGCTTACTTGCCTGCAAATACGGTTTTCTTTATTTGATTGATTTGGCATTTATTTGGATTGGTGCCTGCGCTGGGTTGTTGGGTTATGTAAACGTCTTGTTAAGGGCGTTCGGGACATCTGTGGGACATTTGGCCTTTGTGCCATCTTGCAGAATCACCTTGCCCTCTTTACAGGAATATGTGATGGTCTTGGTTGTCGTGGGTTTAGCTTGTCGTAAAATGCTAGAGATTGTCCTCGGGGATAACAATCAAGCTACTTGTGGTACTAGGTAACTCAAGCATCTCGTCGGATACCCCAACTCTTTCACAAGAATAATATGCCTTGTTCGGGAAAATAGCCTCGTCCGATCACGACCCTTCTACCGGTTGTGTCTATCTGTTCCACATTACCACATTACTCGGAACAGAGGCTTAATCAAGGGTCTCATCATGCCTCAGACTCGTCACACTAGAAGGAAGCTCGCCAAGGCTCGTTTCCAGGACATGGACGCAACTCTATCGCATGGCGGCTTGGCCGAATTCCATTCACATATGACCTTTGTTGCCGTTTGCATATGTGCAGCCAGCTGTTGTCACATTGACACGGGCGTCCCTGAAAGGGTTGTCTAGCGGCCATGCAGCCCCGTCGGGTCGCATACTTTCCGCACTATTGGCTTGGATTTGACTCGGCTTATCCACTCTGGGCACCGCGTCGGTAGGCACGGACGATGGTGTGGCACGCTCACCAATCGGTGGGCGAATGAGCTATTAAATTGAGAATCCAATGGTGTCTCCCTAGACTTCGCCCAAGGATCCTTGGAGCCTGGGCAAGGCATACCCTAGCTCGCTCAGGCTCCGTCCGGTGGGCGGGATGTCATTAAGCTGGCTTGTGCTTACTGTTTAAGTCTAGGTCTAGACCTAAGTCCCTTGATGGCCAAAGATGAGGGTATTTGTACTGGTAACTCCCTCCCCTCACCCAGTTCTTGAAAGCAACGCCTTCAAGCGCTGGGCGAGACACTTCTGACCATCAATACATCTGTTATCACTAATCAGCTACCAGAACCAAAAACTCTCCCCATATATGCAGTTTGACGATGGCGCGTACATCACCACGCATATTGATCATTGGCGCCGGCATTGGTGGTCTCACCCTTGCTCAATGCCTTCGCAAGCAGGGAATTAGTTTCGAGGTGTTTGAGCGTGATGCGAGTCCTCCAGCCAGAGGACAGGGCTATGCGCTTGGTCTCTATGAGTAAGAACCGTCACAGGGACTTCCACTTTCCAGGATATGGAACACAACTCAATGTTCATCACAGCCTCGACTCGCTCTTTGGGAACTCCCTCCCAAACGACCTGAGCCCTGCTGCCGCCGGATCTGCCATCCCGGGCCGTCTACCATTTCCAGGGAGGCCGAATACTGTACATCGAAGACATGCCCGAGACAACATGGATCAGGGCCAACCGCCTTCGCCTGCGTGAGGTGCTGTCGACGAACGTCAAGGTGCACTGGGCCAAGTAGGCTATGCGCATCGAAGTGGGCGACGACAAGGTGACCGTCCTTTTCGAAGACGGCTTATCTGCTTCGGGGACATACTGGTTGGCGCTGACGGGACGTTCAGTGCGAGTAAGCTTCCTGCCTCGCCCGATCGCCGCACAACGACCCAAGGAAAAACTTAACTGGCTTTGATGAAACCACGAGCAACATCATTTTCTAACTCTTCCACAGTTCGGCCCCACGTCCTCCAGAAACTCAAACGACGAAGTGCTCAACGCATTTCCCACGACCGTCATCTTTGGCGAAACACAATTGAGCGGCGTCAACATGGAGCAGCTGCTCCAGCTGGGCTACTCGCTGTCCCTTGCCTTTGGCCCCGACTTCACGCTGTTCTCAGGCGTGAACCGCGTGCGTGTGGGCGATGACGGAAAGACGGTCGGAGACTACTACTTTGTCTTGGGCCAAGTCGATAAGAAGGCCGGCCAGACGGACCACTGACTCCCATGATCAGGGGTGGTGGGGTGCCGCGATCAAAGAGGTGCCGCCGGTAAACAGGGTGTTGTTGATCGGGGACGCGGCGCACCCGATGACACCTAGTACGTATTGTTTAGACATGTGGAATTTCCGGCCACTACTCTTTACCCTGTATTCCGTCAATAAGAGGTAACACTGACTCAATGAACCGCAGCACTCGGTGAGGGGGCGCTATACGCCATCCAGGACGCCGGCAGCTGAGCAAGGTGCTGAGCGAGAGCGGCACGTCGGGCTTTGCAGCCCTGAGGGCCGACCTTGACAGATACCAGCAGAATATCGTCGCCAGGGGGTACGAGTCCATCATGCTCGGCCGTAGCTCCCTGGACAGGGCGAGAAATGGACCGCCGGCCAAAGCGTACGGCCAGGAGCTGAAGCTACTGGAAGAGTTGAAGCCTTTGCCGATCAAGCTGTATTGACCTGGCTAAGGTTGGCTACAAGTGGGTAATGTCGCATGTAGGATGGGAACGTCGATTCTCTATCTCGTGCTCCACGACGATATATGGTACCCCGCATTCAAACCAGCAGGTGCTGCTGCAATCCTCAGTTTCGAAAATCAACTTGGGCGCTCCTAGAGTATGGATTAGGATCGTAGCTTGAGTGGCTTGCATGATCGCCACATGGAAAACCATAATTTGACGATGTGGGATCCCGCGGCAGAGCTGGGCAACTACTACAGGAATTGGAATTCGGAAATTGAAGCACTACGTTCTGTCGGTGACATCAACGCGAGACGAGGCTCCAAGACAACTGACTCCCGAAGGCGATGGAACAGGCTGTGCGAATCCTCATCCCGATAACCTCCCATTATCAACTCTAGTCCACGGAAACTGCTGCCGCCGCGGTCAAGAAGCGAGCATGAGAGATATATCCAAGCCTATCGCGGTTCCGAAAATCAAGACTGTCAGAGTCGAGGCCGGCCTTGCTGAACTAGTTGGGACGTGGTTGCTGCAGGCACTTGCATTTTCGGCTGCGATTGTGTTCGGTCCCTGGACAGTTTCATCATGGCAGCAATCTACGCAATCGAAAGTTCTCGCGGCTGCTGCTCTGCGTGAGTCGCGGCAGTCAAAAATCATGGCGATTGCTGCGTTTTCCGCCCAGGACGCGTCCCAACATGTTCGTGACCCGAACTCCCCAGTTTCCACCTCAAGATTGCTGTCTTCTCCCGGAGTGCGGGTTCAGACCATAACTCAACCTCTTTCGTTAACCAAGCAGGCTATTCCCGAGAATAGCCTGATCCCGACAGCCTCTGTGACCAGGTCGGACAATAGCTACAAGCCTCGGTCACTGCCATGGTCATGTCTCTGTTGGGCGCTCCAGAAGCAACCAGCGCGACCTTGAGAACCAAGCAGCCGTCGAGCACCAGCACCACACCAACCACCAGCACCACATTGGCCACCGGCACCACGTCGAGCTCTAGCAAGATATTGAGCACCAGCACACCATCGAGCACCAGAACATCATTGATCACCGAATACCTACACCGGACCATGGAGCACCATCATCAGCAAAATATCGACCCACAGCGAGCCATCGAGCACCAGAGCAGTAATCTCACCGCCGACCCCAACCCCTTCGACTATAAGATCGCCTTTGCTAGATTTCCCGTCGACGGATGCACTCAATAATAGGCCGATTATCGGTGGTTCTATTGTCGCAGAAGCGGTGATCGCAATATTGCTGGCCGTGTTACAATTTCGGGCACGGGATCGTTCTCAGCGCGAAATTGGGTATCGAGAGAAAAATCTGGTGTAAAGTGAAAATGGGCTTTCGTCATGACTGCATCGCCAAGTGCTGTGGGCTTAGAGATGAATGAAGAAAGGGTCGCGGCGGCGTCTTTATCGAGGGCCTGGTGGATTTCACATGAAGTAGCCGCAAATACGGTTTCCCTGCGTGTTTGAACGCCTTGGAGGCTGTACTCGTACTCGTCAAGGAATTGCATTACCCCTTAGTTAACTGACGCTTTGGGCCTTGACGAGTGCGGCCTGCATTGATTGGTTCTGTATTGAACGAGTGGATACGGCATTCGAGCACATTATCTCAGCAAGATGGCAGGTTTAAATGGGATAACACGTTACAGCAGACGCTGGAGCACGGCCTTGAGATTTGAAGGTGGGGAATTGAAGTGGTGCAGTCACGTGCTCAAGCGCCCTCACCAACCACCCACCCCTGTCAAGCAGTTTTTTCGACCGCGCCGCGAGCGCTTCGCTTTTTGGCCCTGGCAAAGGAACGCCAAAGATCATCCGCGATTCAACCGGGCCTTCCCCGACGAGTCGCCCCCCGGCTGCGAATCATCCGGAGTGAAGCCGTGAGGCCGCAGTCAATTGGAAGCAAAGACCCAGACCCAGTCCCTAGGCACCATGTCGTCAAGCTATCCGCCTCCGCCGCTCTCACCCTCGACTGCCGATGCCGTCGCCGCCGCACAACCCCCGCAACAAGACGCCGAACAGCCCCCCCAACCACAATCGCAGCTGCATCAACAACACCCACAGCAGCAGCAACTACAGCAATCGCCACAATCGCAATCGCAACCTCAATCACAGCCGCAGCAACAATCGCAACCACACGACGACGATACCCAGCTCCAGCAGCAACTTCAGCAACACCATGGCCAACTGCATCCCTCGTACATCCACAGTCTGTCCTCGGCCGACGACCATTCTGTCGCCGCAGCCACCGCCGCCGCTGCTGCCGCCATAGCCGCCCACCATGGCCTACAAGCCCTCCAGGCTGCTGTCTCTGCCCCGGCCCCCCCGCCCATGCAGAGCCCGGTAACGCCACAGTATGCTACTCCCACCGAGCCTTCCTACATGTCGGGCAGTGGTACCATAGTCGCCCCGGCCCCCGGCAGCGCCAAAGCGACGCGACTTCGCAGGGCCTGCGACATGTGCAGCCAGCGCAAGGTCAAGGTGAGAGAGCTCCTCTGTCCCTCGGGTGCCTCGGACGTGGAAGCTGAACTAACCGACGTGACCTAATCTTCTAGTGCGACGAGAAGCAGCCATGTAAACCATGCTGCGACCTCAATGTCGACTGCACCTTCATGCGCGAGATGAAGCGACGCGGACCTCCGAACAAGCACGCCGAGGCCGCCAAAGCCGCCAAACGACCCCGCCTCGAGCCCAACCTTAGCCCTGGCCCTCATAACGCCGCCGAGACCCTGATATCGATCGCTGGCGCCCAAGATCCCCGTCCAGTCGTCGATGCCGAGTCAATTGCCCCCTGGCCCGTCCTCACCCTGCTCATCGACGACTTCTTTACCTACATTCACCCGCTCGCCCCGTTTCCACACGAACCTACATTCCGCCGGTCTTTTGCAAATCGCGAAGATCGAACAAGTCGGGAATTCCTCGCTCTGTTAGCGAGCATGATCGGTATCCTGGTCGCTTCCTTTCCTCGCACGGCAAGGCTACATCTCAAGGCGCAACACGGCATGAACCTCTTCCCCAAGGCCATCGCCATGATCGAGAGATGCCGCACTGTCACGCTGGAGGCCCGTGGGCCCATGTTTTACAACAAGGGGGATCTAACCGTTTACGATGCAGCCACCAGCTACTTCCTCGGGCTGGCAGCTGGCTATATGGTTCAATACAAACTTTGCCGGCGCTTCCTGACCGAGTCGATGGCCTTCATCAGGGAGATGGGCTATCACAAACCCCGCGATCTGGGTTCGTCCATGTTTGGCGTTACATACCGTGGTCCACCTTTCGATCACGTTCAAGACCAGCTCGGAAAGCGGCTCTTCTGGGTCATGTTCCTCGGTGTTAGGCATGTCTTACGCCATCCCACTTCGGCTTTGTTGTTGCTAACCATTTCTCAGATCCATGTCTCAGCTTGGGGGCCCGCATGGCGAGATCATCCTCCCGCCTCCAACGCCGACCGAGCCCTATCCCGAGTTTCCCGCCGAGGTTGATGACCAGTACATATTACCTCAGCAGATTCTCGGCCAACCCGAAGGCGTTGTCTCCCTACTCACGGGGTTCAACCAGGGCATTAAAATATACATGACCATGAACGGCCTTGTCAGCATCGAACTTTCATATGGGATTAGCACCTTGCCTTTCCACGACCAGAAGGTCATGTTAGATGAATGTCTGCAAGCCGTCAAGCAAGTCATGGATGATCTCCCCAGGGAGCTTACCATCGACCTGAACAATGCTCTGCCATGTTTAGGCCTGGAAGACCTCCCGCCGGCGATTCCACCCGATGGCATATTTGACGAACACGGTTTCCAGTACTGCCCGCCAGCTTATCCCGCCCACCAACCTCCGACAGATATCCGGCATGCCATTGAGAATAACCCCGAGCATCGTCGTCTTCTACAGTACGAGATCCAAAAAGCCAACATCTACGTTTCGCAGTTGGCCACCCGTTCTTACTATGTCGAGCGTTACTTGAACCTTCGCGACGTGCACCGCGAAAATACCCGAGTGCAGACGCAACAGGCGATTGCTTCCGACAACGGCCTTGACGGTAGTTCTAACGGTGTCTCCAGCAAGAGTCTGGCAGCCGCCGCCCTTCAGGCAGCCGCAGACTCCATCGACACCAACATGTCGGCCGAGCGCGAGCTCATTGTACAGAACCTGCTCACGGTGCTGACGTCCATCTCGCAGCGCAACATGGAGCCAAATGGCGGTTCACTTATCAACAAGATACGCCAGGTGGCTTCGACGCTAATCAACGACGCCCCTGAGCGCAAGGGACCGGTGGCCGTCAAGGCTGAAGAGCCTCTTAGCCGCTTTGTCGATATCCTGATGCGCCTCGAGAAGACAGGGCCAGGAAACCTAGTCGCTGGCGGTGGCACTATGACGCCCCAGGACGAGGAGCAGGAGCTCCGCAACTGGGCAGACTTGAGGGAGCACCAAATTCGATTCTACCAAGGGGGCGGCTACCTCAGGACCTTCTAGTTCTACAAGTATATGTTTAATATTCCCAAGCGGTGTTTTTTGTTGTACTGTCTGGTGTATTTTCAATCTGTATGATCATCTCCTCTTTTCTTCTCTTGCGTTTGTCTGCGCAGGCTCCCCGTGCTTGGCACGGAATGGGCAACGGATAGTGTATGACGGTACAATCTGTTAACTATATTGGTGGTGTGGGAGCATATCAAAGGAACCAAAAGGAAACAAGAAATGAACTTGGATGGTAAAAGGTTTGCTAAATGGCGGGGCGGGCGCGGGCTGTCTTTGTGGTCTAATTTAATCTTGAAATATTTGTGTGGGTGGAGATCTTCGTCAGTGAGTATTACAGCTGACTCAACAGTTGCACAAATAGGTGTACAGATCAATGGCTCGCCCCTATGCGTGTAGGAAAAGAACGCTATCAAGGCGGGGGCATTCGTGTCTACTTGCTATTACTCGGCAAATCTAAATCTTGCATAACGCCCTAATGTTTGACAGACGAATTGCTCCAGCCGCCCTTTCTTTGCTTCCAATTTGTCCGAACCACAACAAGAGGGAGAAGAAAGCAAGTCACTAGCTGTGTCACAGCAGGCCCTTTCACCAGTTTTGCTGTTATCACCGGCAAAGCTTTTATCCCTTTTCCCACATCTTCCACATCATTCCCTCAAGGAAACGCGAAATCAAACACCCAGAACCACTCCTTGATCAAGCCAGCGGGCTGTCCAGCTGCCACGCGTCGTACGTGACGTACGCACCGCCACCGCCACGATGCTGTTGACCCAGTAGTAGGCCGCGCTGCTCGTCTCGAGCCGCACCGCCAGGTGGATCCGCCCGTCCGCCTGCGCCGGCCCCGCCGTGCGCACAAAGATGTCGGCCCCGTCGTCCGTCGGGAGCTGGTACCGCGTGTCGGCGCGGAACACGCCCTTCCCGTCGACCACGGACCAACCCCCGAAGTCCCCCCTGGTCATCACATGCGTCGCCTACTCTGAAGCTCCGCTTGAAACGAGTTGAAGTCCACCATTCCATTAGGACCAAGTCCACCAATCCCTAACCGCATTACAACCTTCAATCAATTAGGCTAGCTACTTCGATGAGATGAGCTTAATTACCAGCAAGAGGACCTTGACCAACAAGCTAAAATCCCTGGGGCTTGAGGAACCGATCTGTCGGCCCGGTTAGAAGCATGCAATCTTCGGCTGTTATAGTCTTTCTGACTTTCAGTAAGGGAATCTAAATGCCCTCACTTTTCGTCGCCCGGATCTAGATAATTGTGCCAATCCAACCTGTTCACGGCGTTGTTCTTCTAACAAGCTAGTCCATTGCAATAGCCAAGTCAAGCCCAGGCTAGCTAATTAAGCCAACCAGCCGACAGTCGGACCTACAAGAAATGCGGCTCCACTCTACCGTCCCGGAAAGCCCTCTTCTAACACGTCGACTCAAATACATACCTGCCGACGGCCTGTCCTGCAGCTGCCTTGCAGGGGATTTCAAAAACTGCCTGTAGGACCTAACGGCTCGATCCCATCGCCACCAGGCTACGAGGACGTGGCACCGTCGTTGAATTGCGGGAATGTTGGGAGGAGTCTTCCTGACGGACTAACCATAGCTGACAGCCTTCCTGACGGCTATGAAATTGTTACCACCCGCCCTATGCGTGGCGTGAAACCGCACCAATTGTGTCTTTATATTTGCGATTGTGATTGTAACATCTCCGTACCTAAACATTTGGGCGAAACCCGTTGGCTGAACAGAACCACCGACGACCTGGTCTTCATTAGAGATTAAAAAGGACCACATGCTGTTGAAATGCAGGTTTCCTGTTCAATGTTGCGCAGCCATTGATGCACGATTTATTGTTTCCAGTCACATGCTCTAGACCTGTTGGGACGTGCAGTTGATGCACAAAAGACAAAGAACGGCTTGTATTTATATGATTATCCGCGCTTCCCGACGGCGAGAAAGACGCCAGCCATGGGCGGAAAGGAAGCACTTCCAAAAGTAAAACTAGCTAACAGGCGGTCAGTTGACAGGCGGTCTTGAAAGGTGGCCAGGACTGCGAGTTATCAACAGGCCTGCAAAATGGTTCGCGTGCGCTGGTAACTTTTGGTCACTGTCGCTACATCCGAGTTGACCCTTAAGAAGGCCCTCTATGATGCTCACTTACTCATTTCTTGCTAGTACTATCAGATTTCCTTTGTTTCCTTGTTGGGTATAAAAGGGTGTGGGCAGGAAGGGAATGACTGGATTGCTTGTAGGAAGTCTAGCTATCTGGGCCACAGCGGAATATATATGTGGAAGTGATGGCCTGGACTGGTGGGTCCTAGAACCACCTATGCCTCGGCTAAGGGCGCATCAGGCCGGGTTCCGGCCTGGTCCCTGCGATCCCAGCCACAAAGGGCCTTCTTTTCCTGTATTTCTAGATCTTTTTAGAGAGACAATTAAATGCGCTGTCAACTTCGATCACGTGCAACAGTCGCGTTGTGTTGGATGCCAGGTGACAGTTACCCATGACCGTCTAATCGTATCTCAGCTTCCTCTCCCATCTCTAAGTCAAAGCCCCGCCACAGCAGTCCGGTTCTGTGCTCGAATGGTGGGGTCTACTGGCAGGTGGAAGTGCTTTCTTTTCAGTGACAGTAAAATGCGAATTTAGTGGTTAGGTAAATCTATTACAAGGCGTAATAAATTTTACCCATCTGCCCACCTAGCTCGTCCTTGGCATATGGGATTACCGTAATGATCGTGGCAACGTTCCAGAGGTGCGTACTGAGCCAGACCCGCGTCGCCTGCACGCCGTTACAAGGTAGTTGTTTCTGAACAATTAGCGTGTGCGGTGTGCTTCAGTGTTTGCCACCATTAACCCCGCCCCCAGAGAACTGGACCGTTTAAGGAAAAAAAAAGATTCCCCTCTATATCTTCACCCGTTATTCCTCAAATTCGCATTCAGCAACATGGCGAAGCGGAAAGCCGCGAACGAGGCTACGCCTCAAGATGCGAAGCGCCAGAAGACCACTAGTAAGTGAAGCTGAACTTACTATGCCGCGATGCTGTTCAAATCTCAAGGTTCGATCGTCCGCGATGAAGACTCCTTTAGTCGTAGAACATTTTCGGGAAACCAGAGCCGCCTCGAGGCGCCATCCAATAGTTGCCTCCAGCTCTTCACACGCACGCACCCACCTCCATATCCGATATCATCCTGTGTCATCAAAGCACTCAATTCATGCAGTACACTAGTACCCGTCACTCCAAGACCCTGGCAAACACATGTCCTCTGTGCAATAGAGCCGTAAAATCCCCCCTGCCGTCGCTCCATTTCAAGGGCCGAGCCTAGAACCCTTCCAACCCAATGTTTCCACGACTCGCTTCTAACCCTAGGCATCTACTCGCACTCGCCTAGCCTCGTCACGGAAATTGCAGATTGCCCAGACGCGTTACTGAGACGCTCTATAAGCACTTTGGTCTTGCGTCGGGCTTATTATGTAGCGGTTGCTCAGTTGATATCATCATGTTCCTGACGTTTATCATCTTTAGGCGCTCCTCTCTCTTCGCCGCACCCGTCACTGCTACCACGCCATCCTTCCTCAATTTCTCGCAGTCCTCTCCCAGCACTCAACCCAGCGCCCCCAGCTCCTGCCCCTTTGCCCATGACCACCACCTCGCCAGTCGGTCCTCACGAATATATGCTACTGGGAGATAAAGCATTGGCCATATATGAGGCAAATAAAGCTTATGCAGAGACCTCCACAGTCGAGGACCCGTGCCTAGCAGTATTTTGTGACGGGTCTACTCCAGGGAATGCCCGTCTAGGCCCGGCAGGCATTGGCATCGTGTTCCGTCGCTTCGCTCCAGGAACTCCCGAGGACGGACAAGAGGTCCAAATGGCGTGGCACATTGCCGCAACATGCTACGATAACAATATCGTAGAGGCATTGGCTTTGCTTCAAACCCTTACTACCGCTATCAAAGAGCTGGGCAGAGCTGCACAGCTGGCTACCGCACAGGGACAGACACTCGGCACCGTTCGGGTTACCCTTTTTTCCGACTCAGATACGGTTGGAATCCGTATCGGGACCGAGAAGAAGACGCCGGCTAATGCTATCTCGACTGCATTGAATGGGATAGTTGAGGAGATAGAGCGCAAAATTATCGACCTCGAGAATTGCATTGCCCCCACCCAGGTTACGTTTCGGGGACAATGGGTTCCTGGTCATACCAGAAAATTACACCCGCACGACACAGCCGACCTCCTCGCCTCGGAGAGTAGGACTTCCAAAAAGTCCTTTTATACTATTGGTACAGGCCCTCGTATACCACTCAACGAGACGGAGAGTGTGTATCACGCCGTTAGTCACCTAATCACACCCCTGGGACAACGGCCTATCCAAAATACCCGGAGACTAGCCAGTGTCGCTAGTTTGCCTTTGGTTGTTGGTCGCGGTGGGCCCGCAACCAGCTCGCCTCTTGCTGCGCTTGCGAACCCCTTGCCTCCGGCTGTTGCTGCTGCGAGTGGTTCGCCTGGAGCCTCTATGACCCCGGCTGATGGGAGCGTTGCACCTGCAGCTACTTCTACGACGGCTAATAAGCAAGTTTATGAGTCCGTAGCCCTTTCTACTTCGGCTAAGTGGAATGACGAGCCTGCAGCCACTGATGCGGAGGAGATCAAAAGCTGGCTCAAGAAGATCAGGTCTTTGGGACGGGAAGGAGTGTTTGTCAACGATGGCCGTGTGACAATGGATTGCCACGTACTTGGAATCAAGCGGCTCATGGAGCACCACGATTCCCTTATTACCCAAGGGGCATAATTAACGAGAAGCTAGGCCGTTAGACGTTCTTGGGGGATTTCATGTGGGTGCAGCGTGCATCGGACGATTATTTATACGTCGCGAATGCGGCCGAGGCATAAGTGGATCCATGAGATCCACTGCTCCAGACCATCACCCTCACATAGAGATTCCGCGGTAGCCTAGATAGCCAGACTTCCTACAAGCAATAGAGTCATTGGCTACCGGCCCAAAATACGTGTTCGTATTTATCTTTCAGCAGCATCGGTTGATTAATGGGCCCGACCAAGGGGAATAGCCACTACACAGAGATAATTACTCAGTTAGTAATCGACTTTAATTCTACATCTATTTACTTCTCAGTGGTCCTATCTTATCTACCAGCCCTACTCTAGGAGTGGGGCAAAATATAATAACTCCATGGCTACTACGTCCCCGATGATCATGGCGCCCCCAGGACTCGGAAACTTGTAGGGAACCAATCTGGCTTTGTCCTTCCAGAACAAAAAATAAGGGTCAGTGGCAAGGGGTAAAACTCATTTAATAACTACCTCGAAGGGAACCAAAGAGGCTTAGTAACCTTGGGTTTCGCTTCGGCCGAGTTCCGAGGTTCCCGCGCAGAAGATGACGATGTTGGGGTTTGCGATTGTCGACTTCCGGTGGTACTCTCAATTGCCTTCTCCCATGGCAGACAGATGATCTCTAGGTTCTGTGTACCCGTGGGGGCCCGGCGGCTTCGAATCACGAATCGAGCAGGGACCAATCGGGAAATCTAGCGAAATGCATACATTGTTAGAAACAGTGAGACAACTTCAAGGTCTCCTAAATATCATTGGCATAAATGGGTGTGACGTGGCGGATATCGCGGGGGCGTCGCTCCAAGGTGCGCTGAGGATGTAATCGCGGGGTGGGCTTGGAATCACAAGGTATTGGGAACCTACCATTCAGCTTGCGACGCTTTCTCGGGAGCTATAGCCTCCCTCGTGTAGGCGCTTCGTCGCCATGCTGGATATCTGTCGGTTCTGCAAGACGCAAGCAAAATCGACTTTGTGTTTTGGCGGGGGAAGCGAAGTTGGATATCTTGAGTTCTCTAGGGGTGGGGTTAATGGGTGGCAATCCTGTGGCGGGGTGTTGGCGGGCAACGCGTTGCGCGTGAATCTGGTAGATGGGGTGGAAAGTCATGTGAAGGTCGAAATTAATCACGAGACCGCAAGGATTTCCTTTTCTCGTTGTTAAAAACCACCATTATTTGTGAAAAAAAGGGTGAGCATGCAAAAATATCCAGCACCTACTCCGACGTATGCGAGGGCGCTCATTGTCTCACGCTCTCTTGACTAATTATTCATTGCTGTTTTTATAATTAGAGCTCCAATGTTATTGCAACCTCACAGAACTAAATTCAGCCGAGATGAGCCATTGAAGTGACCGTGAGAGGCTAGCGATCTACAGTCGCGCAGGTGGCGGAGCTAAGGTGTCATCTCAACTCCATTTATAATTTCACCAGATGTTTCTTGAGTCTTGACCAAGGATTGGCGAGGTTTGAACTGCGTTCCGGTGATTGGTCGATCGGATTAACCGACCCGGATCAACTACCAAAAGAATGAAAAACCTTTGAGCGAGCAGCCCGCCCTTGGCGCCGCCAAAGGGTCGTCGGAGGCAAAAAAAGAAAGAAATGAAAGGGCCGTTCAGCTCACCTTAATTTGCATGTAGCGCATTCTTTATTAGCAAAATGAGAGTAGAAAACGCAGCACAATGGACAATATTTCGTATGTGGCGTACTGGTAATGCTAGAGGATACCATGTTTTTGGGGGAAAATGTAGATTTACAGCAATACCTAGATAGATCTGCGATTGATTAGATAAGACTGTTCGATTATCTACAGAGCAGCAAACCGCAATGCAGTTCAAGGGACATAAAGGCTAGAACGGCCCGTATACTACTGCTCTTTAATGAAAACTATAGAACCACGCGAGAAGTTCCGTACAATGCACTAGTTTGTTCAAAGTTATGCACTTCAAAAGAGACAGGGCAAGAGGAGAGGTGTGGTGTTGTCGTTGCAAATGTGGGGTCATATCACGTCACGTGATTTAGGAAGACCACCTTATCTCAACCTCGGCGGCAACGACAGCAACGATAGCAACGGTGGAAACGTCATTTCCAAACTATCGCGACGTCGGAATTAGCGTGTTAATCAGAATAAACTTTTCATCACCAAATTGATACTGTCGCCATATATTACCCGCGTTGATCTACGCAGTCGATTAAGTGGGTAACTAGCCTGGCTGTCGCCCAGATTTGAGCCACTTTGAGCCACTCTTCAAGCCACAGTCAGCTTATTCCGTCATCTTACGTTTGACCTTTGTTTGAAGATGTCTGTCGGTTGAACCAACAAACAGTAAGCGTCGGAGGCGGCGGTAGGGGGCACAGGGCTACAGAGTCTATATAAGGAGGCCTACAGCTTCGTCCTTCGAACCTTTCTTCTAGCCTAGACAGACAATTCAATGCGCTGTCAACTTCGATCAAGTGTAACACTGGCGGAAGATGCTAGATAGCTCTGTCTGGAGCACGGCAGCAGGTAGTTTGATAGGACGTTGACTATGAAGCTGACTATTATGTAGTCAACTCATCTAGAAGGGCAAATGGTTGGGCACAGGCCAGGCTGAGAAAAGCGTTTGAGCGCAATTTCATATTCGAGTCGAATAACTTGACTCTCAAGCCTGAGTGGCGCGTCCAGAGCCTGCTCCCGGGAGTTGATTGCCGCAGAATGGCAGGGATATAGTTGGGATGAGGTTCTAACTTCTCAGTTGATTGCAGCCCTTCAAGGAATAGAAACGGGGCCCGATGATTATCACTAGTAAGCAGACTACAGCGCCTACTAGCTCGCCGCCGAATGTCAAGATCCGAGCAATTACCTGGGCGAACGGTGTATTACTGCTGCGCAACCCTTTGAACCTCCGCCGAAGTGGAACAGTCGCCTACGGAAATCATGCTTCGGCGGGGGAACGTTGAAAGTGGGAGGCGTGGTAATTTCGGCCGCATTAGTCATCTTTATTTCTCTTCGAGAACGGCCTCAGTAGCTAGCTAGGTAGTTATCATCACTTAGGATACGCCGAAATGAACCGTAAGGCGTTGCGGTATTCTCTTACCTGTATTGATTCCAAACCAAATTATCTTCTGTAATATTTAAAATCGTGAGCGTCTCCAAGTGTATTCAAGTGCTGGTACTGGAACCGATTTGAAAAATGACTAAAATGTAATCGGTGAATGGAACTAGCCTGAGCTAGACTAGGCGAGTGCCTCACCTAATAAATGCAAGTCAGCGCGCAGCGTGCCCCGCATCCTGCTACTCAAGTAAATTTCGCAGCATAAAAAATTCTAACTCTAAACTCTCCCTCTCTTTCTTCTTCTAGCAACTTGCACTCTCTATCTCGTTCTCGACAGGAGTTACGAAATGGCGGGCAAACGCGCACTCGAGCAGGGCGAAAGCCCACCAAGCAAAAAACGGCTCAGGCTGATTGGTAAGTCTTTACTCGATCGATACTATCTCCGAATCACTGCATTATCACTCCACAAGCCCATCCTGCTCCCTAATCATAACTCATTCTCGAGGTCCATACTGCTCTGGATGATGTGAGGCTTGGTAGCTCATCCGGATGCTGGAAATTATCCTGTCGCCTGCCTCTATATTGCTGAATCTGTTCTAACCCATTTCCTTTCAATCCAGAGCCTACGTCTGCGCTAGCCCAGCCTTTGGCAGCCCCGCCAGCAGCCAATACAGTGAGCGCCCAGCTTGCTGAAGCCCAGCCCGTGGCAGCCCAGCCCGTGGCAGCCCAACCGGTGGCAGCCCAGCCCGTGGCAGCCCAGCCCACGCCGCCCCAACCCTCGCTGTCCCACCCCGCGGGAGCACCCTCAGCTTCCTCGTCTCGCCCACCTCTCCCGGTCCCTCCATCACATGTTCCGGGTCCCCATGGCTTGCTCGCGCCTCCAGTTCCTGGCGCGGCGGCGATAGCGATGCAGGAATTCAATGTCGTCTCAGCTTATGAGTATCCGAGCATCGTAATCTTTTGCGATGCATCCGTCTCCCTCGCCGATGCCTACACGTTGCCAGGCGGCCTTGGGATTGTCTTTCGTCGATTCGCCCCCGGCACTGTGGACCATGGGAAAGAGGTCCGAATGGCCTGGTCCGTCGACGCTGTTTATGACAGCAATCTGGCCGAGGGCTTGGCGTTCTTGCAGGCACTAGACACCTGCATCAAAGAGCTGCGTAGCGGCGCGGCGCTCCTTACGGCAGTGGGCCGTCGGATCAAGTCGGTCACGGTCACCCTGTTCAATGATTCCAGTGCGGTTAGAGGCTTCATCGGATCTGGAGCGAACCCCTGGGGAAAGTTTGGGGCCGAAGTCGGACTGCTCATCCTCGCTATTGAGTCCAAGATTACTGCTCTGGAGCAGCTCTTCCTCCCCACCGCCAAAGTCGAGCTTCGCAGGAGATGGGTTCCTGGTCATAGCAAAAACTTGCCCCCGGAGGCCAGGGCTGATAGATTGGCATTGTCGGCGAGAAAGAGCCAGATGTCGCGCCGTGACGTGGTGCACGCAGGTGGAAAGATCACCAGGACTCAACTTAACCCTAGCGATTGCGTATTTTCCAGTGTCCATGCTATTTTCAATAACCAGCATCTGGATTCCTTACGAGCCCAGATTGCTCGCACAACCACCCAGAGGGGTAAGAAACTCGCGAAACGCCGGCAAGACCATATACCAATGGCCGCCGTTTCAGGTACCATGGTACTATTTCGTGCAGCCAGCGCGATGGTTAACCCGTCTGCCGCCGTGGACGCGTCTCTTTCCGCCGTGGACGCGCCTCATGCCGTGGTGGACGAGTCTACAACGGCGGGAGACTCGTCTACCGCCGCTGTGGTTTCGTCTGGTGCCTTTGTGGACTCGACTCCTACTACTTGGAATTGGCCTGTGGTTGCCGGCCTCGCTGGAATGATGGACACGGTGGCAGAGGACGTGGGCCTGTGGCAGAAGGTTGCCATGTCACACTCACTTGGCAAAAACTTTGTCATCAACGATGGCAAGTTGACTATCGATCTTAGTTATCTGTTGGGCAGCTGCCACAAGATCATGGGATACATGGGCGAACAGATTGCTCTGCTGCTCGGAGAACCAAGACGTCGCATTTTTATCACTGCTGGCGTTACAGCAAATGGAGTGTAAGTTTCGGGAATGGGGATAGTGCGGAGTAGTCTATCAGCGGATGTACGGGCGCCGTCAGTGTACAGTTGCTCATTATAGGCGAGTAGACAGTTCCAATATAGAAGCCTACGATGTAGCCTAGCGAAACCTGGTCAGCAGCCATCCTCGCAAGCAAATTGAATCCTGGGGCTTAGCTCTTTTAATACGCCAACGGAACACTTAAATGTGATTATCTAATAAGCTGACCGACTGCACGTACGTCTTGTAGCATCAATGAGGTTCTTTAGACGGGTGGCAAACCGTTGGCTCGAGATTGGAGACCCGTGAGTTTGTTCCCTCCGTCCCCAAACAAACTCCAACATCAATACCTACAGTTCCTTCTTTGCTGACAAGAGAAATGTAAAGGACTTTGGTGACAAGGGCGTCGTCCGTTAGCGGGCCGACAACTGTCACGAGTTCCTCACGTAACTTCCTCCCCTGAGGTCTTGCAACGACTATGATAAGAAAAATGACGATCTCCAAGCGGATTGCTTGGCCGGTATAGTGCTTTCGCTTAGGCCGCCTCCGTGGTGATGGGGGATTTGCCAGGCCAGGCTGCACAAGCGTAGTATAAAGGATAATGATTTACCTAGCGTGGTGCCAGGCGCGGGTCTCTTGAAGAAAGCCAGAGAGCAGGGCGGTCATTGAAGGTCTTGGTGGAGCGATCAAATGGTCCGTCGTTCGGCCTAGACGGTGTATAGTAGTGATTGTGGCTCTGGTATTGAGTTGGCTTGTCGTCTCAGTCGCTTGGTATCCCCCGACGAACAAGAGCGACGGCATGGTGGGTTCTAAATGCCAGGTTGAATGGCTCAGCGACAGGATTTCTAGTTTTTTAGGTCCCCGATTGATCTCGAAGACAGATTATTCAACGTCAGCCAGGTAGATATGCTGGACTTTGAAGGCCCGGAGACGAAAATCCGGAATGCTGGCCTGTCGGACGATTTCCAGGACGGATTATGCCACGGGCTAACTGCCGTGGTCACTAGTCGGCTAGCTAACTAATGTCCACGACGGACCATTCAACCAACAGGAAGCCGGCAAGCTAGCTATAGTCAATCTAGATGTGTAGACAGCCAGGCTCCAACACGGACCATCCGACTGCAAAATCAGGCCGATTTTCCCGGCGATCTCTAGTGCGGGTTATTCAACCGGTATAGTGTTTTTCTCAGGTTGATTAGTCACGCGCGAACGCTATGTCAGGAGCGACCGTACTTCAATCGGGCCGGCGAGTGAAGTCTTTCAACTAAAAAGAAATGAGAAAATGTTCAACTATACATATATTGGGAGAGCGATCGTGAACGCAATTAGTAATTAATACAGGTTAGATAGATACGTTAAGATTCGGTATAAAAGGAATAGGTAAGGAAAAAAAACAGTTTAATGATCCGCCAGTAGTTGTATTATCCAGTTGCCGGCAATCACCCAGTGCCCTCTGTAAATATAATCTGATACATTAAAGTATTCTCAAGATATTGAATGCTACACTAGGATTGAACCTAGACCTTCTACATGGCGGCTAATACCAACTTAATCTCTTATGACGAACACCTCGAAAGGGAACTTCACAGTCGTAACGACCAAGATAGGCTAGACGCGCTAATTTGTGAAGTTCCCTTTCGAGGTGTTCGTCATAAGGGGATAATGTTGGTATTAAGTCAGGTGACCAGCTTTTAGACCAACCCCCTTTTAGACCACAAGGTTCTAGAAGGATGACTAACCCTTGCCACCCAACTCTTCTTTTTCAATCGCCCACAACTTCACGAATTTGATTCCAATCCGTTTCCTTTTTTTCCTTCTTTAGCTTTAGATTCTACGAATACAGCGACTACATTGCAGCCTTGCCTCATAACAGTTGACTGTGCGGTGACAGATGCGGCCAAAAACCACGGCATCCCCCACAACACTTTATATTATCGATCCAAAGGCAGCAATCCAGCCACCTACTCCTAAATAATCAATGAGAAGCTTTCTACGGCACTAGAAGAACGTCTCGCAGAATGGCTTCTCTTCCAGGGGGTCATTGGCAACCCCCCAACCCACAGGCAAATCCGGAAATTGGGTACCAGAATACTCGCCGCCTCTGGAGAGCCAACCCACCTTGGAAAGCACTGGTGCCGCCGCTTTTTGAACCGAAATCCTTCCATTTCTACCAAGAGACCACGGAGAATCCACGCAAACCGTGCTGACCGAGCCTGCGAGGCCGTTATTCGGCCCTGGTTTGACTCCCTGGATTTTCTAGAGGTTAAGGCAATTCTGCCGGAGAACAGGTACAATATGGACGAAACTGGCATAGCTAATGGCTTTGGAGATAACGGTCTGATTGTAGGCTCCAAATCTAGAAAGCTTTTACAAAAGAGGAAGTCTGGAGACCGAATTTGGACGACCGTTCTAGAGTGTGTTTTGGCCGACGGCCGGTTTTTGAACCCACTGGTTATTTTCAAGGGTGGGAGCCTCCAGGGAAAGTGTTACCCACGCGATTTGACCCCATCCGAAGGTTGGGCCTTTAACCCAACCAAAAACGGGTGGACTGACGATGACACTGCCGTCGAATGGCTCCGCGAAGTCTTTCTTCCGGCCACTCGGCCGGCCAACCCTAAGGAGAAACACCTCCTTATTTTGGATGGCCACGGCAGTCATACCACTGAGGAATTTATGTGGCTGGCTTTTACTAAAAACGTACAGTTATTATTTCTGCCAGCCCACACCTCTCACGTTCTCCAGCCCGTGGATGTAGCCGTTTTCGGCCCGCTGAAGGCTAATGTAAGGAAACCACCCTCGTAACCACCATGGCCACCGCCACCAGGGCCACCCTCGCCACCATCGCCACTATCGCCACCGCTAACAGGGCCACGCACTATCGCCACTACCACCCTGGCTACGCAAGGATGACTCGTAACCCCTTTCACGTGTATATAGACCATGGCCTTCGCACACCTCTTTAGCTCAGGCCAGGTTGAAGTCTTACGCCAATACCAGTCATTGCTCGCCCTGCTTGTTGCTCCTATTGTGACCACCTTGATCAGGCGTACCTGCCTTCTCTTACAGCTAAGTACAGGGCACAGCTGAATGACTTGCTTTCTGGCCTAACCAGCGACTCTGTAGCTGCAAAACGACCCTTTTTAGAATGCTATAGGCGCCCCAAAATCTACGGAACGACTGAGTCAAATATCAAGGCTAGTTGGAAGGCCTCAGGGTTGTGGCCACTCTCCTTAAGGAAGCCCCTAAGCAACAGCCTCGTGATTAAGACTTCCAATGGCTGCATTAGTACGGTAGCCCCCAAACCTTCTGCAAGCCTTGAGTCGTTCAATAACCCCATTCTGGGCAAGAATTCGTAGGGCCGGCCTTTGTGGTTTACCCCTAAAAGGCCAAGGATTTCTCGGCTCAGGGGGAGCGTTTTCTACGTGGTACTAGGTAAGAGAAGGTAGGTACGCCTGATCAAGGTGGTCACAATGCAGGCAAGAAGGTAGGGGAGCAATGACTTGTATTGGTGTAAGACTTCAACCTGGCCCTCGCAAAGGAAGATGGGCGAGGGCCATTGTTTATATACCTGCTCAGGGGTTCGGCCCGGGCATCAGTCTGCGGTCGTGGCGCCACGGCGTAGCGTATGCCAGCTGGCAGTGTTCTAGCCAGTTGGTGACAAGTGGTGGGCGCGCACCCTGTGTGCGCAGTTGGTGTTTGGGGTGTCCTTTTCCTTACACTATTCATCAGCATCTATGACAGCGGTGATAAGCTCCTCCGTAAAAAAAGAGAGATCAGGTAGTACGAATGAAATCGAGAACTTGGCAAAACAAGTGCTACAGCGGGAAATGATGAGTCTGCCTGGTTGTGTGGGCTCCATTGGTGCCCCGCGGTCAGCTTTGTCAAGCGCCCCGACAGGCGTGTTCTTTTGGTAATAGAAGGAAGGCGGTAGAGAGAACGATCCCGATTTCCCTGGGGGGGGGGACATTGAATTACAAATTGCAGCTGCGCTTGGGGTCGGATTAATACGAACCATGAGTTCTTTGTCGTAATTCAGCGATATTGACGGTGTAGGGCGATCGATGTGAATGCAACTACCACTAGTCTAATTAATACGGGTCAGACGCCTTAAATTTCGGTATAAAAGGAATAGGTAGGGGAAAAAAAATAGTTGTATATCCCGTCAAATTTTGTAATCCCCAGTGCCCGCAATCCCCCAGTGCTCACTGTAAATATAATCTGATACATTGAAGTATTCTCAAGATGTTGAATGCTACACTAGGATTGAACCTAGACCTTCTACATGGCGGCTAATACTGTTCGTGGTACTCAAACTACGTAGGGATTCTACAGGTCGAAGGGTTGGTAGATCTTCCGGGGGTAATCTTGTGTCTATTCTCCCTACCTCTCTGCGGAACTAAGGTAGATTCTGCGTGCGACCGGGGTTTTTGTGTGTGTGTGAGAGAGGTCCGCGCGCCGCACGTGCCTACTTGCACGTGCGTACTCGCGGGATTTCTGCTTCCTGCTAGTGGGCGGTCACCAGTATCGCTATTCCAACAAATACCAACTTAATCTCCTATGACGAACACCTCGAAAGGGAACTTCATAGTCGTAACGACCGAGATAGCCTAGACGCGCTCATTACGCTATACGGCATTGTGTTACTTTGATTATATCCTAAGTAAAGCTTGCCCGTACTAGGATCGAACCCCAGATCTCCGGGACACAAGGCCACGGCGCATTCCGCTATACCATACAGGCAAACTTCACAATTCGTTGCAAGGTGTTGCTCAAAAACATGCTAATGAACCCCACCCCAACCACCGTCTGCGTTTTCCGTCTTCCATTACGGGCGGGCGTGTCACTTTGTCCGTGCCCCGCTTCGCAATACGTGACGTTAACTGCTTGGCCTTTCAGTGACAATTTCTCACCTTTTGCCCTGAAAGCCCCACCACAGGATTATCCTCAAGGTTAGGATTTACCCCACACCTGGAATCGCGCTTCCTAGCTGGCGGCCTTCGGCCAGTAGTTTTTAGAGAGGACAACTCATTCCATACTGTTCTTTTCAGTCCCCAGAACGTTCGATCGACTGCAAGAAGATGCAACCAAACAGAGATTTCACGAGTCCACCGCCACTGAACACATGGCAACACCAAGAGATAATACTTAGTATTTAGAGTGGCCTCTTCCAGAGTCAATTAGGTGACGTCCTTGACGCGTCCATCTTTGCCTGTCCAACTCAGCCTCGCCGGGTCACCACTCCCATCGAGATATCTGCCGCGCTGCACCAACAACCCCACCTAGACCTCGCCCGCGCCGCTAATCTCACCCGCAGCGTCGCGCCCCTCAGCCAGAATCGCCTTCTGCCACGGCAGCGGCTCCCTGGCAGGCTGGACGGGCCCGACATCGCCGTCCTCGGCGCGGCGCTTCTGCCACACGTCGATGTCGCGGTGGTCGACAAAGTTGCCGTGCAGCCCCAGCTTGAGCTTCAGGGGGAGGTGGATGACGGCGAGCGGGCCCGCCGCCAGCCGCTGCGCGTCGAAGATGGCCACATCGTTGCGCAGCTCGTCGAGGTGGTTCAGCAGCGCGATCAGATACCCCTCGCCCTCGCCCTCGCTGCCCGCCCGCGGAATGAACGCCGGCTCCTGGAACGTCATGGTCGGCCCCGCGTAGAACACGTCCTCGAGCCCGAACAAGCCGCGCTGCGTCCCTGCCGCCGCAGCAGGATCCCCATTGGCACCTACAGCATCGCCCTCATCGCGAGTGCCGTCGTGCACGTGCTCGTCCGACCACGTGTAGTGGCCGAGGCAGTTGAACAGGCCTCCCGCAGGCGGACCGCACCGGACAAAGTCGTAGGGCCGCGCCGGGTCGACGACGGCCTGCCAGAAGTGGCGGTACGGCTTAGTGACGCGGCGGTCGTCGATGCGCGAGAACTCGCCGTTGGTCGGCCACACAAGCGCCGGCGCCGCGCGTTGGTCCGCGATCTGCACCACGGCCGCCTCGCCCGCGCCGTCGCGGTTGGTGATGGGAGTCGCCGTCTTGGGAGCCCGCGGGTCGAAGATCCACCGCATCGTCGGCGACGACAGCTTGTTGCGCTTCCCTGGCGGCCCGCTGTCCTGTGCACCTGGTGTCTTGGTGCTGTCCGGCGGGAAGAAGAAGAACACGTTCCCGTCGGCCACGGTTAGATCGAACGCGATCTCGCCTGTCGCGAGCTCGTAGCAGCCTGCGACATGGCCGTGGAAGGCTGAGGTCAAAAGAAAAATGGTTAGTCTCTGTTTCTTGATGGATTTCTTTGTTGGTCTTCCTTGGTGACGGCAAGTAAAGGGGATGCAGTCGTGTTTCACGCGCTGCCCGTCAATCCCGTCAAAGAACACTCGCTAAGCACGTACCGTTGTCTGCGCGGAACCAGATAATGTCGTCGCTCTTGGCGCCGCGGCGCGGTACGACGCCGTACCACTGGTCCTCGGTGGGGTCCCAGGCGAACTTGTTGCCGCCGCGGCGCATGCGGGCGAGGTCCATCTTGATAGGAGTGAGGGCGAGCACAACGTAGTTCTTGCTGAGGCCGCAGTCGTGGATCATGCCGGGAAAGGGCGCCTTGTACCAGCACTCTTCCGTCTTGCGGCCCGTGGCGCCGTCGACGGTCCACACGGCTACGTCTAGGGAGCAGTCGGCGCCGTCGCCGCCCGCCTCGTACGCGAAGCACACCATCTCGCCCGTGTCGGGGTCGAACTTTGGGTGCGCCGTGAACGTCGGGCTGAGGATCTGGCCCTCGAAGTCGTACCGCCCGATGGTCTCAAGCGTGACGGGGTCCATGGCGAACGGCGGGCCGTCCTCCTTGCTCGCGAGTAGCATGCCGCGCCAAAAGGTGATGTTGGTATTGCTCGCGGTGCGGATGACGCCGCGCACGCTCTCGTTGTCGGTCCACGGGTTGCGGTACCGCCCGAACAGGCTGCGCCGCGCTGCCGTCTCGGTCTTGTACCGCTCCGTCTGCACGTAGCGCTGCTTGAGGTCTGCGTGCCCGCCGGCGATGCGGATCGCCGTCACGGCGCCGTCGCCGTTGAAGTGGATGTCGTCCTCGAACAGCGGCGGGAAGCGGTGGTCGGGCTGGATCCGGTAGAAGGTCCCGTCAATGTCCTTTGGGATCTCGCCCGTGAACTCGAGGTCGAACACGTCCCCCTCGAACCGCGACGGTTTGTTCATGCCCCGGAACGCATCTGTCTTGGGGAACCGCACCCGGCCGGGCTCGGCCAGCTGCCCGCCCGCGTAGTTGGACACCTCGGGAGCCAAATCGAATATGTGCGCCATTGCCACCGGTGCTGCTCGCAATGCTGTGCTTGGTGGGAGGCAGAACAAGCGGCTGGAGCTCTTAGAAAAGGCACAACAGTGATGCCGGGTGGGCTTAGCCTTGAGGCTCACGCCACTCGGCAGTATTTACCGATCAGGGGGCGTTGAGCAGCCAAGCCGATAGTAGGACCCCGCACGAGTTCACGCAGCCAGCGTTCCTCGACATGGTGGCAATTTCGATTCGGGGTACCGGGAGGATCCGAGACGCGGCATCGAGGCCAACATGCCGTGTCTCATTTGCAAGCTCGCAATCCGGCCCTTGGCTGCCGGGTAAGTGAATGCGTGCGGGGCTACCGACTCAGGGGGAGGGGGATGCTACTCCAAATCTCGGCAATCGTTGCCATGGTCGAGTAGCGCGAGGGGTGACGAACCTCTGGAACTTCTCATTTGTTGATTCACGAGTTGTACTCGGGCTGGAATTAGAATCGACAGAAGGGAGTAGGGAAGGCGTTTTTGCAGGCGCCGAGGGGCTGGCGACGTGGTGCTGTTTCGCGTGTTTGCAGTTCACTTTTATCGCGGCCCCTGGGAGCTTGAACACACATGTCACAGCCATTGGCACATTGGCATTGACATTAAGCAGTTGAACGCAATAACTTGAACTCCTACACTAAAATATGGATGAACACGATTACTCGGCTTTAAATTGCACCAGGTCAGGCAGCACCTTGTCGCCCGGCTTCGGTTCCTCTGCAGTAGCGCCCGGGCGGCTCTGTCCCTCGGGCAGCTCCAGCGTCAGGGGCAAGTCGCCCGAGTTGACATCTTCACCGTGCTTTGGCGCGCGCAGGTCATCGCTGGCAATCTGCTTGCCCGTGACGGGGTGGGGGTAGTGAAAGGGCACGACGCGCGTGTCGGGCCACAGCATCTTCTGCTCGATGATCTCGTCCGGGCCGACGGGGTCCTCGGGGAAGGTCTTGCTCGGCCAGGGGATATAGTTCTTCTTGGTGTGGCTCCAGCCGCGCTCGAACTCGGCGTGCCAGAAGGGAAAGTAGCGGTAGCGGAACAGCTTCCACGCGCCGCCCTCCTTGATGTACTCGTTCTCGTACAGGCCGCCCTCCCACCACTGCCGGTGGCCCAGCGGGTACGCTTCCTCAATGCTCTGGTGCGTGCCCGCCTGCATCAGCGCCCGCATGCGGCACCACGCGTGCGTGCCCGTCGAGTCCACGTCGACAATGTCCTGCATCATGATGTGGTCCAGCAGGAACCCGTGCACGGGGCCGTTGCGGCCCTTGACAAACGTCTGCTGGAACCGCCCCTGGTACAGCCGCTTGATGCCCGCCTTGCCGCGGTAGCGTGAGCCTAGGAACTCGACGTAGGCGTCTGGGTGGTCTGAGAACATGTCGACGACCTGATGCGCCATTGGGCTGTTTGTCAGCATGCCTTGAGAGTGGGAGGTTGGGTGCTGTGGTGCGTGGAGACAGACCTCGTTGTAGAGGCACTTGTCGAGGTAGTAACCATACTTGAAGTGCGTCTTGCGAACCTCGGACTCGGCTGCCATCAGAGCCCAGTTAGTACAACCTCAGATATTGCTGCAATGTCCCACTGGCGTGCTTGTACTTGCCTACCACCCGCGACAGCTCTTTCGAGAGAGCCTGGACCTGCTCCTTAAGCTCAGCAAATTCCTGCCCCATGGTGTCAAGTGCTTGTTGGCAGACAAAAGATGCGAGGGCTGGGGTAAAATCGAGGTCGAAAGTGGCAACCACTCTGCCGACAGTTGCTCTAGTTTTTGTAGGGGAATTAGTTCTTATGCAGGTCGTGTCCAGCGGCAGCAAAAGCAGACTACCACCCTAGCAACGGAGAATGACAAGCGGGGGCGGGATAATAGTATCAAGCGTCCCGAACTAAGGAATGCGGCACGCATCGTGCAGAGGAGGACTGTCGCCTGCATGCACACATCATTGGCCCAGCCAATACAGCCCAGCGCATGCGCAATGCCGCTTCGGGTTGCTTTCGGCAGATGTTCCGGCGGCTCGAAAACCTAGCAAAAAATCCATAGGCATTGAATGATGGTATGAGAAATTTATTTAAAATAAGACACATTTTTTTTAAAAAAAAAAAAAAAAAAAAAAAAAAAAAAAAAAAGAAAAGGTGGTTAAGACGTCTCCAGTATTGGTTTTTGCATGTGTGTATCAAAGAAATTCAAGCCGCAGGCTGCATGAAGGTATCAGCACAATTTCGATCGGGCAGACTGAGACTCGCAGCGTATGGAGCTGTAAATGCCCGAAACATCTCGTGCTCGCTGGCTATAGAATTCCTCGACTATCTTAACGTTGCCCGCACTTGGGGTCGAACCCAAGAGCTCAGTACCGACTTCCTAAATGCGCACTTAAGCGCAATACGTCTACGGTAAAGCGTCCCGTTATATTACGCCGTCATCGTCTTCGATAAGTCTTCGCTACCCCAACCCTTGCCAGACTTGCTTCAGTGCTACTACAGGTAGTGGAACGCCCTATGTAACGGTCACGTGTAGATTAGACAGGGAAGCGTGTGCAGTCTGACGCGGGGCTCCGTTTCAAGAGAAGCCCCGCACGGTTACCAAAGATATATTCCCTTCCAAAAATGATTACCATGTTCCATCAAGAGCCGTCGAGTCCATATTCGGTAATGATTGGTATAATGAGCCATATATACGAGTTGATTTTTAATTACCTTCTTGTCTGCGGCGCTGCACTTATACCGTGGTTTATGTCGTTTAATTTTGGCCTCGTTAATTAGGAAGTTTGTGACATGTGAGGTATATACGTCTAGAAAGTTAAGCCCATAATGTTCCTGGCATGGGAATCTTGCACAATCTTTGGAGTGGTGGGGGTATATTTGAGTTTGTGTAACAAGGCTGAATTTGTGACATTTCCTGCACGCCCCGTAGCTTTCATTGTGTCGGGACGCTGCTCTATAGAGTCATTGGCTGTGTTAAACTTCATTCTTGAGCATGCTTTCCTGGGCGGTAAATTTCTTCAAAGGCTAATAGCGTTAGCTTAGATATTGAGTAAGTTGCATCATTCTAACACGGTTGTGATTGGGGGACTGGGGATTCAAGACTTGAAGACTATCTTCAAGCTTTATGGATTATTTTGAACCTTCTTTATAGTTTCTTGCTAGGTTTGCTCCCTGCCAGACCATATCGTGATTCTACCACTGAAGGCGGGGACACGGAAAAGCAAAAATGAACGAGTTAGCAAAGTTAAGGGCCCACTGATTGGGCTTGAAATTCATAAAGTTAGAGTTTGGCGTGTCCCTTCTATCCACCCTTCCCTCTTTCTATTCCCCCTAGGTGACACTCGAGGACCCTAAGCCGGAAGTTAACTTTTCACAGTCAAACACAGCGGAGATTGTCGACTCCCTCCCCCGCGCCCCTTCACTCGAAGGCGGCACCTCAAGATCAAATGCCCCAGCATTCCACCGGGAACTGGAACGATCCCTCGCTCTGCGCAACCATGAGCGCTCACCGCCACAGATCACGCAGCCAGGATTGGCCACTACAATCTTCAAGCACCAATCCAAATTTAATCGGGGCGCCAATGATGCCCGGGGCCGTAGACCCCAGACGTTTGTTCCTCGACCAGGCTGAGGCGAAAATGCCAGACAAGAAGGAGGGCGGATCGACCGGGTCGGGTTCGCCCGCGAAGGAACCATTTCGGCCCATCGGGGTCAGAAAGGCGCGAGAACTCGCCATGATGGCCCGACAAAAGCTAGCCGAGCAGGAACGCTCCTCTGTCGCGCAGGGTTCGCAGCAGTCAGCTACAGCGTTGGGCAAAGCCGCCACATCCGCCGAAGCTTCCCAGCACTTCAAGCCGCTGGCAATACGGACCTCACGACGTCCCGGTGTGACCCCACCACAAGACACAATCGAGCGCTCAGCTGTCGCGCAGAGCGCGCCCGCGCCGCTCGCGATCCTGGGCGGGGCCCCGGTAGATGACCCTGGCGTGGTGTCTGCCCAACTTAAAGTTCAGGACGCAGAGTGCCGAGCCTTGGCCCGACAGGAGGAAGGCGAGGGTGTGTTCGTCGTGGAGAAATCGCCCTCGCCGTCCGCACTCGTCGGCGACGACCTGTTCGAAGATATCTACCTAGACGACGCACGAGGGAGGCATCGGTCAGCTGAGCCGTCGATGAGCGAGGATGGTTGGGTTCAAGTGGAATGGGCGGTGAGCGAATGAGAAATGTGCGCGACGACTGGGTTGCTTTGTTCCTGCCTGCAATTTTTAGTCGTTAGTTTGCTACAGTCAACGTTATTCTCAGGCCCTGTTCCAGTGCGGTTGGATTTGTACCTATTTCTGTTCAGTGTTCACCACGTTGACTTTGAGCCACTGAGGGCAGGCTTGCGAGAATATTCATGTTCGTCGAATGGCACGCGGCAAGAAAGTGTGGTAGGTTGGAAGACCCAGATATCAGTGGCTGTGGATGGAATGATAGAAAGATAGTTCCAGGTGCTGGCCAATAAAACGTCTGCCGGCCACAAGAGACAGAGAAAATGCAACAAGGAATCACGCGCCGTAGAAGCTCAACAATAACCATCCGGCTGCAAAAGCAGGTGGATCTTCCGGGCACTCTCCAGTGCGGATTATTCAAGCGGTAAAGTGTTTTTCTCGGGTTGATCGGTCGTGCGCGAACGCCATGTCGGGAGCGAGCACTTCAATCGAGTAGGCGAGTGAAGTCCTGCGGCTGAAAAGGGGCGAGAAATTATTTAGCTACGGCGACAGCGATTGTGGACGTAACTATAAATTAATACAGGTTGGAGACGTGAAGTTTTGGCAAAAAAAGGAACAGGTAGAAAAAAAAACAGATTTATAATCCGTCAGTATTTTTAATGCCCACCGTAAATATAATCTGATACATTAAAGTATTCTGAAGATGTTGAATGCTATACTAGGATTAAACCTAGACCTTCAACATGGCGACTAAGTCAGGTGACCAGCTTTTAGACCAACCCCCTTTTAGACCACGCACTAAAATCGCCACCCCACCACATCATAAAATTCAATTGCTCACAGCTTCGTCAATTAGATAGCTACGTTAATACAGCTTGCAGTTTCAGATTCCTCTTCTTCTGAAATTTCAGAATCTACAACATTCTTCCCAGCAGCTGATTTTTGTGCGCGGCGGATCTCCTCAATACTAGCAAAGGCCTTATTGGGGTCGATTTCCACCTTCCTTCTCTTCCGGCCTCTCGCACGTTCGAGGTCTTCCTGGGCCGCTTGCAATTGTTGTTGAATGGTAGCCAATTGGAAGGCCATGTTATCGAATCCTTTGTAGGCTTTCCGCATAAAAAGCCGTTCGCTGGCAGTACGTGTAGTATGTAAGGAAAAGGACACCCCAAACACCAACTGCGCGCACAGGGTGCGCGCCCACCACTTGTCACCAACTGGCTGGAACACTGCCAGCTGGCATACGCTACGCCGTGGCGCCACGACCGCAGACTGATGCCCGGGCCGAACCCCTGAGCAGGTATATAAACAATGGCCCTCGCCCATCTTCCTTTGCGAGGGCCAGGTTGAAGTCTTACACCAATACAAGTCATTGCTCCCCTACCTTCTTGCCTGCATTGTGACCACCTTGATCAGGCGTACCTACCTTCTCTTACAAATAGCGGCAGCTCAGCCGCGCAGTTCCCTTCCTTTCAGCTAGGGTTATTCGTTACTGCCTTCAACCATTGACATCCCTACTGCGTAAGGCAGGCCGTCACATTATTACAAACCACTCGACTGTTAGGGTCGTCTGTCTGTAAGGGAGCACGGGCTCCACAGGATGCTGGGGTTGGTAATTATGAAGCTAGAACAAAGGGCAAGCTCCTATCGCACGGGTAATACAGTCAAATTGGAATGCCACTCAAAGTGTATGAGTGCAGTGAATGTGTATTGCTTGCTTGGAGAATCAAGCAAGAACTACCTAAGACCGTGGACACGGTCATCGTATATATCTAACTGTATAAGCAATCAGAGTTCTTCCCTTACAGTGCTCAGTGCCTCCGGGGCGCTCAGTCTTCCAAGACGACTGAGCTCACAATAGACAGGGCGACCCACTTATGCAATCGCCCCCCTTTGCAATCGCCCACCACCATCACCGCCCACCACAAGAATCGTCAAAATACTCAATTTTAGGCCAAATTCTATAGAAAAAAGTACATTCTAGTCCTCGTCAATCGCCCTATATTGCTCAAGCCCACGGGCGATAATTTCTTCAGCTTCCTGGACCAAGTGTGCAGGCCTGGACTTGGTCTTCTTGGATCTCTTCTTGGGAGGCTTTTGACTAGCTTTTTGAGCCTCGTCAATTTCGTCAATAGTAGCAAATCTGTCGTTGGCGTCTATTTTGACCCTTTTACGTGAATAGGGTTTTTTGGATTCCAGCTCGTTGGCTAAGAAGTCGTTTTTTGCCTTCAAAGCAGCGATTTCCGTATTCTTCTGATCAAGTGCCCTACCTACCTTCGTCAACATAGTCCTAACGACCCTATCTCGGGGACTAGTGGCCGTCTTGGCTAAGCCCTGTTGCCTGCGGACGTCGTGACTACCTTGAGGTGTATTGAAGAGGTCGTTCCGGGTTGCCCGGGTCTTCCGGGGTGGTGTGGATGGGGGGACTGGTTTTGCAGCTTCGTCCCGGACCGCCTCGGGGTCGTCAAGTATACGAGCGGGTTGGAAAGGCCAGATTCCAGTCTTCCGGAAGCCGGATATGATATTCCGGGCTGACATACCCTGCGCTGAGGCGTCCCGGTAGCAAAAAAGGAAGCGTTGCTTGTTGATAGGTGCTGAGGCTGTGAAGGAAGCCAATTCGAGGGTTCTTTGGCGAAAATAGGACTTCAAAGCCGAAAAGACAGACCGGTCGAGTGGCTGGGTCTTGTGAGAAGTGTGTGAAGGCAAGTATAGTAGGTGTACGCGGTTTCTTTTAGCTAGAAGCATAAAGTCTTCGTCGATATGAGTAGCGTGTTCGTCGAGGATTAATAGGCGCCAATCGTCCTTCCTTTGGGGCTTTGTTTGAGGAAGATATACTTCCTTGAGCCACATAAGAGCTATTTTGCTATTGCTCCAGCCTGTGGGCGTACAGTCGTACTTCCAGGTCTTGAGGACTGGTAGTTCCTTGAAGTTATCCGGGAAGTGTTGGCCTTGTAGATTTTCACACGTAAAGATCACTACGGGCGTCAATCGCTTGCCCTCAGCGGTACCACACTCGATAATACTGACCCAGGTCGTTGGATCAGGGCCAGTCAGGACTGCCCGAGATGTGAGGGCATCGCCAATCACCTTCCCAACCGTAGTTTCCGTCTCTTGCATGCCATGTTCGTCCATATTGGCGATATTCGCAGGTACCAGCTTCTTGTCCTTAATTACAGCTTCCAAACGATCAAAAAAATCCTGGAATCTCTCACGGGTAGATCCTTTGACTCGAGACCGTTCTAATAAGGTACCTAACTTGGCCTTTACCCTGGGGTTGCGGGTAAAAAACCGATCTACCCAGCGCTCACCAACTCGCCCAGGGAGCCCGGCTTCGTTCAGGATCGCTTGTGCGAATCGTCTTAGCTGTGCACGACTTGGGGCACGCCCTGCAGCTTCCTCCTCAAGAGCCCACTCGGCGACGAAGGCTTCCTGGCCGTCAGTTAACTTCTGGGTGTTTTTTGGGCTTGTCGTGGATCCTGTTGTCCACGGCGTCGTCTGCTGAGGGTGGATTCAGGGATCCTATATAGGCGCGCTACTTCCTTCTGCTGAGCGCCCTGATCAATAGCCTCAATAGCCTCGGCTATTAGCCGCTCTCGTACGCGTCGAACCATCGTATTTTGAGGCTATTCCGACCAGTATTGAGGAAGTTGTTGGTGGTGGAAGGTAGAGAGTAGGAAGTTGGCGGTGTGGGGGAAAAATTGCAAAGTGGGGCGATTGCAAAGGTGGGTCACCCTGTCTAGTAGCTAAGCACTTCCCTAATTGGCTGCCCTTCCTGCTCAGTGGGTCTTCCCAATCTTGGCAGCCGAATGCACTGAGCGCCGCCTGATTGGCCGCACCGAGTTCCTGCGGGGCCCGGCCCGCCCGCTTGTGCTGCCCAATCAGCAATCGGCTTCCAGCGCCTCCTACAGACTTGAGCCAGGATCGTAACATATATCTTAGGTATATAGTACTATACTATCCTTATTAATCCCTCTGTCACGACCAGGGCAAGGCATTGAGGTTAACTCAGTCCATTGGGTGCTATCGACGAAGATTCTAAACTAAGGAGGGAAAGAAGGAAAAGTCCAACAACGCGTCGTGTGCGCGCGAACCAGCTTGCATCTATCAGTGGGGTAGGTGGGGCCTCGAGGAGGCTTCTAATAGGCCCGTGGGTTCTGGGCGGCTCTGGCTGCTTGAGGGCCAGTTTGGTGGACGGGTCCTCACACCCTCTATATAAGAGCTATAATATAGTAAAGTAACCGGAGCTACCTGTGATGAACCGCGCCCATTCTGGGCTAGTCATAGCTCTGAAAGTGGGGCCGGCCAATAGGGATGACGAGACAGGCATGCGGGGCAGGGACCCGCATTTGCTCTGTGCGGTGGGGTACGGAGCAACGGTTTGGTTGGCTCTACGGGGTTGCTCCGTAGCTCTGCCAGGGAGCAACATGTTACAATCTGACAACAGGTCCACGGAGCTAGGCCCGGCCTAGGATTGTGGGGGTCTGGACGGAGGTAGGAGATGACAGGAGACAAGGAGTATCGTGCACAGATTGCGAATGACAGCTTTCAACACACAACCAATGTATGCTTAACTAGATGCATTAATAGCTGCAGAACCGCTCTCCCAGAGAGCGTGCTGCCAGCTCCTATATAGAACTACGTACAACCAATCAGAGTTCTTTTCTTGCAGTGCTCAGTGATCCAGAGCGCTCAGTCTCTCAGGACGACTGAGCCCGCAATGGTAGCTGAGCACTTCCCCAATTGGCTGCACTTCCTGCTCAGTGGGTCTTTCCAGTCTTGGCGGTCAGATGCACTGAGCACCGCCTGATTGGCCGCACCGGCTCCCGCGTGGCTCGGCCCACCTGCCCGTGCTGCCCAACCAGCGACCGGGTCCCAGCGCCTCCTGCAGACTTGAGCCAGGATCGTAACACAACAGAGCAACGACCTAATTGGCCCACCTTAGATAGATATATACGACGGCCGTAGCCACGGTCTTAGAGAGTTCTTGCTTGGTTCTTCAAGCAAGCAATACACAAGTGCTAAAGCAGCTGGCTGGCAAGTGCCAAGACAACCGGCTAGCAATTGGGGTGCGGGGTGGGGTACTGGCCTGTGCAGCGTCCCAACACGTGACCCACAGACCAACCCTACTTCTTCAAGCCCGCACAGAATTTGGAACTTCTTTCCTTTTTCTTTTCCTTAGCTTTAGATTCTACGAATATAGCGACCTTAATGCGGCCTTGCCTCATCTAGAAGACTGTGGGGTGACAATTACTACTTCATAACCTCTAACGCTATACTAAAATATAGAACTAAAATGTAAGGAAACCACCCTCGTAGCCACCATGGCCACCGCCACCAGGGCCACCCTCGCCACCATCGCCACTATCGCCACCGCTAACAGGGCCACGCACTATCGCCACTACCACCCTGGCCACGCAAGGATGACTCGTAGCCCCTTTCACGTGTATATAGACCATGGCCTTCGCACACCTCTTTAGCCCAGGCCAGGTTGAAGTCTTACGCCAATACTAGTCATTGCTCGCCCTGCTTGTTGCTCCTATTGTGACCACCTTGATCAGGCGTACCTGCCTTCTCTTACATAAAACTACCAACCTCACTTAGCTAATACCCCTACGCTAGGGGATGTTCAGCTACCAAAACCTCTTAATAGAGTTCGCCAACCGTGAGCATGTCCATTCTATGCCCCTTCCTCGCCAACTTACTTTGTCGGCGGCATATTATCGGGCCCCTGAGTAGGGGCAGACGTATAGGTCGTGTTGTTGGGCCTATGGGGAACAAGGGTAGGTGCCGCGGCTAGCTGTGCTTGGTGCCGGAGGATCGACGCCCTTGCCTGGTCCATGACTGGTATCACGTTATGGCACCCCATCGACTGGGGTGGAATTGGCATCGCGGGACCGCCATTGATGTTGAAGCACGACAGATTACTCTGTCGAGCATAATTCGCCACCGCGTCAGCCATTTCGTTATGACCTACGACACCAGTGTGGCCCGGCACCCATCGGTACTCGACCCGGCCCAGGGTATGCGTCTCCAGGCTGTACTGGCGCTGCCAAATCTTCCGGCGCATGGCGGTGAACTCGTTGACGAGTTTCCCGCCAAGCTTTACAGTGCCCTTCACGGCTTCAATCATGCTCCTGGAGTCGGAATGGATTAGGACAGTGGAGGGTCCCAATGAGTGTCCGTAATTCTGCCTGCAAATGGCTGACGCCCAGTGCAGCTCTTCCTCGGCTATGGTGATGGCTTGGAGGATCGCAAGTCCCTCCCCAAGGTTGTTGTCGATGATAGCACCGACAGCAAAACCCATGCTCACAATATCGCCGTTCATATACGTCCCGGGCGTATACCGACGGAACACAACTCCCAGGCCACCGGGTAGGTACAGGTGCTGGTTGTTGTGGGTTGACGACATCGAGGCGTCGCAAAAGAAGGCAAGCCTAACGTTGCCAAGGCCAGGGCTCGAGATGTAGCTCTCGGCACCTTGAGCTTCGTTGACGGCGGCCATGTTTTTGGGGGTCAATTTTGGCCCCTTGGGTTTCTGGTTATTCTTTAACGGCTGGCTTACGACGGGCTGAGGAGGCTTGCTGAGTAGGGACTGGGGCAGCTGGTTCGGAGTTGGCTGTGGCGGCTGGCTGGGTCCGGACTGGTTTTGCTGGAAATCTGTGACAATGCCTGGAAACCATCAACATGTTAGTCACGACTCAAATACAAGGAATAGATACTCTTACCACTCATCTGTTGTCCTTGTGCAACTCCCGTGTTGTCGCCAATCATTTGGATCACATTGGCCTGCTGGGGAAGCATCTGGTTCATGTTGGTGTTCATATTGGTGTTCATGTTGACAAATTGTTGATGTTAAGAAGGTTGGCGAAGAGAATATCGGTGCAAGCAGACGCGATGATGCGGCTCTTGATGCAAGAAAGGAAGAGGCAAGTGTTGTTGTCAGGGGTAAGACAAGATAGACAGAATAGTCAGAACGATTGCCGCTTCGCAGAGCAGTCGCGGAAGATGAAGGTTTTGGTGATGATATGGTGAAGATGCTGCAGTCCAGAACGTTTGGTTGTTTTTGTGAAGAAGTGATGTCTCTGGGAGAGGCACCGGTTGTTGACTTGGGCCCCTCCCTCGCGTGTTGTTTACACTCGGGCTGTTCATGAACACTGTTCATGAATAGCCTCACCTCACAGACTTGGTGGACTTTGCTGGGTGGGTTGCCGAAGCAAGTTGGCTGTCCATGAACAGTCGCAGCTGTTAGCCTCCCCCGACCCAGTCAACCGGCATTCTGTTGCCCGACGACATTGAGGTATAGCCCCTCAGGCACACGTCAGGAGTTCCCTCAGGTAAGGGGAAGGAAGTTTACATCACTTAATGTCGCCCTCTCATCTTAGCACTCTGTTCACTGTACTTTGGATGAGGCTTGCCACTGTTTACAGTTAGTTAACTGCCGCCACCATTTTACCACCGCGGCCGGGGCTCATGAAAAAGGGGCAAATAGCTGCCTGCAAGATGAGGCAACAAGGCACGCTTTTGGGCCTCCATCGACTGCCTAATTTGTTCCCATTGCCTTCGTATTTTGAGGGCGCCTGAACCACGACAGTCACCCAATAACCACGCCCTGATATTGATCCTCAGCGGGGCTGCCCGGTTCAGAGTTGGAGATTCCAATCAGGACTAATCACGTTCAATCCTGAATTGAGTCTAGAGAAGCGCAGACAATTATCACACGGACCAGCCACTTTCATTCAGTTGGTCTATTACAAAGAGGATTACTCGGCGCACCTACCCCTAATTGTAATGCTACCCACCTCCCCACTGTGGTAGCTGTATCCAGGAACCCGTTTTTTGGCGGTAAAATCCGTACCTCTGGATACTAGCCCCCATATGTAGATTTTTGTTGCCAATATGCGGGCATTGCGATCGGCCAGGAGAAGGGGATAAATTTGGTGTGGTTTAGGGCGCTGAGCTGGCTGCTGGCCAGCAAGCCAAAATGGGCCAAATTGAATATGGTTAGGTGCATGCATATATGTGAGGCTGATTGAATAGAGTGTTGATGTTATTGTTATTTAAGTGTTAAGCTTGTCAACCAGTACGACTCTGTTGACTGACCCTGAAGGCTGGAAATCTACAAGAGAGGCTGCATTAAAAAGTAGGTACTGATTTTACCGCTGAAAAGGCCGTTAGTTATACCTCGTATCTGCCATGCTGGATTTTCTATCTTGGGGGGGTGGGCGGGGCGGGGGGCATTTTGGTTAGGGGTGGGTGCCTCGAGTGGTCCTCACGAAACCACTCGCTGTTTCCAGTTTCCATAGACGGTAAAAACACAGAGCTCACAGCATTCGCTAGACAATTCTAAATTAGTATATATTTATTTAAGTTTAATTACGTGCTTGTTTTTTTCATCTTTATTGGTCACTTTGAGGCTTTTCTAACTCCCAACCACAAGTCCTCAAGACACCTAGAAGCTCAAGACGAGCTTCTTCAGCTTCTCGAAGTCAGGCGTTCCATAGCCCGTGGTCGGATCCCAGCCCTTGGTGGCGTTCCACCGCGCACCAAGCACAATACCCGAGCCGGCCGGCTCAGGCCCCCCGGATTGTGTGTTGTTACCATTACAGCCGATGGCGAACCCGCCAGTAATGTCTGTCAACACCTGGGGCCCAAAGGTGTAGATGAGGGGGTTAAGCCACCCGAGTGGCGACTTCTTGCCTGCCCGGAAGCGCGCGTCATTGAGCATACCCACGATTCCAGCCCACACCGGGGCTGCGGCGCTGGTGCCACCGCTGGGTCGTGGCCGACCAAAGTAAATGACCTGGTAATCTGGGTCGACGCTGTGACCGGCGACGTCAGGGAAGCCACGGCCCTGCCAGTTGGTGTATGGCGCATAGTATTTGTACGTCTCGGGGCTGACGGTCTTGAGATACTGCGCGATGGCAACCGACTGGTACGCTGGCCGCGGGAAATACTTGCTAAACCCGCCAGAGCTACCCTCCCATGCGATCTCGGGCGTCACGTCAACGGTACCGCCGACGGACGTCAAATATGGGCAGGTCGCTGGGAAGATAGCATTGAATTCAACCGTCTTGTAGTCAGGCGCCAAGCAGCCCGAACCAACCCCGACGTCACCAGACGAGAAGAGCGTCGTGATGCCGCGCAGGCCCAGCATACCGATCATGTTGCAGGTGAGAACTGCATAGTTGTACGGAACAGACTGTGAAGGGCCTGTATCAGCATTTCATTCTTCAATTGTTGAGATGTAGAAGGATACTCACGTCTTCTGCATCGCCATATGAGTTTGAAATCACCTGTGGCAGCTCGGAGTTCTTCTTGGAGAGCAGGTAACGGTAGTATGGAACGTAGGGCTCGTTGAAGTTGTCGGCAGGCGTGGGCTGATCGATATTCGGCACAAAGGGGCTGGTACGTTTCGCGTCAGCGCTGCCGTTGCTCATTTTGGAAGGGATATTCAACTTACGGCGAGCCTCCTGTGATGTACTCTCTCACGGGCAGCGGGTGAGCAATACCAACAATATTCTCCACATCCAGGTCGGCCTCGCCGATCTGAGCAGTCGCTGGGTTCTGGTCATCAACACCGCCAGCAATCAACTCGACTGTGAAGTTCTGCGAAGGGATACCGTAGAATTGCTCAAAGGCCGCCAAGTCGGAGTACAAGGCGGACTGATTCAGGAAGCTTCCGAACCCAATGGTGCTTCCAGACTTGGCGCTCGGGGTGTAGCTGCCGACATTGTACAGCTGCTTGAGGCAAGACGGTGTGATGGATGTTTGGCAGGATGCGTCCACCGTGGCTCTGGTTGCAAGATCCGCCGAGGGTTCGCGACGGACCCGGCTCGGTCGTGGACGCAAGGGAAGAAAGGCCTGAGAGTTGCCAAAGTAGGTGCTGGGGTCCACAAGTGCAACGTACGACTGGATATTGTCGGGGATCGAGTACGACAGAGTGCGGAGCTTGGTCACGCCATTGTTTGTGTAATGCTGGTAGTCAGCGCCCAGCAACTTGTTGGCGGTAGCAACGTCGGCAGCAAAGTCGATGAAGGCGCCATTGACAGCGAAATTCTTGATGCCGTTTTGCTTCAGCCAATTGGTGACGCTGGAGATGGCCTGCTTCGAGGGCGAAAACTTCGAAGTGACGTCACCGACATCGAGGAACTTGCCGTAGCTGGGCTGGCCGGGAGTCGAGATACTGAGCAGTAGAGACTCGAGCTGGTCAATGTTTTGCATGTTCAGCGCAATGCTCAGCGTCATCTGCGTGGTGCTGGCTGTCCTGAAGTTGGTCGCCGTCCACCCCTTTGGAACGGTATCCCATTGGTGATGCACAGCGGCATTGGCTGTCGGGAGCGCTGCCGACAGCAGGGCAACCCACTCGGCCGCTTTCTGGAGGCGCATGGCGGCAAGGTTTGAGTCTCGGATTCCGATCCTTGGAAGTCTGGTGATAGGAGGCGGAAGGAGTGAGGGGCAGACCAGGAGCCGGGAGCAACGAGGGGGGAGGCACGCGTTGACCGTGGCGCGTGAAGGAAAGGGTGGACATGACGGCGAGCTTCGTGCCTGCCTTTATGTAGGCAGGCAGGTGGGTAGCCGTCGGCCATGCAACTTCCTGGCTGCAGTTGCCCATCCGAATCTTGTCGAGGATTCCCTTGCCCGACATCGAGAGATGGCGACAGGCGCATCGCAGGGGGGGGGAGAGATTGTGATCACACCAATGGCGGGGCAGGTGTGGGCAATGTCGCAACCGCCTCCTGTTCCTGGGCTAGGCCTTTTCGGGTCGCGGTTGTCATGCAAGTGATTGGACCACCTACCATGTGCCTGTGCCCCTCCATTTTGCGGACAATTTTTGAGCTTATCAACCATCAAGCTTTTGGGCCTAACGGGCGCTGGTCAGCCGTGAAGGATGCTGATTGGTCGCAACGTTTGGAGAAGTGGAGCTTGCCGTCGGCACCGGCAATGCGACCTTCCCCATCCAAGTTCAGCTTCGTTGGGTCCGTCAAACCAGCTTCCCGAAAGGCCTTGGCACTCCGACCCGCCCAACGGCCTCTCGAGCAGCTTTTTCACCTAGCTCCAGCAACTGATGATACGCTGCAACGCTATAGCCGAGCAGCTTGGCGATCATATCTTCAAAGCGGAAGGAGCACGAAGGCACCATTCTTCTTCGCGGTCTTTCTGCGAATGGAGCGGACAGATTACTGAGCAGTGGAAGTGACGAACTGGAAAAAGTGCTCCGCATTGTCCCTGTCTACCTTGATGAGGGAGGTGCGCGGTAAAAACTACACCAACAAAATTTCCGCAAGAAGAAAACTTGCCGACCATTACTCTGTGCACACTACAGTTACTACTACAGACCCAACTGCTATGTTCCTTCTCGTCTTCCATGATGTTGGATGGCTAACGAAGCCGCCCCCATCTTCCAGGCTGCTACTCATCGGACGACTCCTAAATCGAAGCAGGAGCTACGGAACACGCCGCATTTCGGAGCCTGTGCCACCTTCCGGGATGAGCCAAGTCGCGCACTCTACGGGTTCGGCTGCGAACGGGATTTGTTAAGCGACACGGTTCGTGCAGAGCGAGAACAGCGTCTTCTCGCCCAGAACTACCCAACACAGCAGTTGCGAATTTAATTCACTAAAAATGTGGGCATTTGAACCTCGCCTCGTTGCAATGAAATCCTAATTAATACTAGATTAACTGCTGATACGAAAACCCGGATTCCCGGATCCCGGCTAGTCCCACTCCCATCGTCTACGTCGCATAAAATGTGACAATGTCAGTCTCGTCAGCCCAAGTCTCCCTCCCCCAGACGCTTTAACATTGGTCAGACGTAAATGTAACAGAGCTTGCCTCCCAGCCCACCCATAGTGGTCATCAGCTCGCGGACTTTGACATCAGGCGCCATGACACCCAGGTTGCTGAGGTCATCCAGCGTCCCGTTGGCGCTTGGCGGCATGTTGTTCATGGTTCGCGTCATGCTGACCTCGGTGAGGCGCTTGGCGAGGTCCTGCAGCTGCCAAATCCACCACACGCGGTCGATCATGGCGTGGTGCAACCAGAACGCCGGATCTCCGGGGGAGACGTAGAAATCGCCTGCCGGATCGCCGCCTACCGTGTAGTGCCCGCCGGCATGCACGCCCCATTTGCCCTGCGGGAACTGGCCCTCCATGACCGTCTGGAACCAGTACACATTGTTGTTCTTTGTGATGAGGTCGAGGGTGTAGTTCGCCGTCGTGACCGCCGCCGAGTTCTTGTTGACGTCGCGCCGCAGGCACCGCGGGTTGTATCCGAGCCCGTCCGACCGCGGGTTCGCCTTGACTTGGAGGGTCGGCGCAATTGGCCCGAGATTGACGGACATGCTGCACATCGCACATCATGTCAGCATGACCATACAGCCAATTGCGTTGCAGCCAGTGACCTTACAGCCCGTCACATTGTCGCAATGCGCCCGGTCCACAGGCAAGGACCGGCCCGTCACAATTGGCGATCGACGAGGGAGGTCACAATATAAAGCGCTTACTTCTTGAACGGCCCCGTCGTCACGCAGCCTCCACCGTCGGCTGCAGGAATCAGATTGTACGGCCTTGGTGCGCCGGGGATGGGAATTCCTTGGTGAGCGACCTTCGCACCATTCCCGCTCATGCTCGACTCGTTGCCGTTGAACAGGGGCGAGTTGGCTGGGTCCTTGGCATATCGATCCCAGTTCCAGTACTTTTCAGCAATGGCAATCTACCGTCAGCTTGGATGCCTAATCAAGGGGGTTGTATGTCATCCGCCATCAACTTGTCTCGTGGGTTACTGACTGGCTGGAATCCGGTGTAGTTGCACTCAGTACGAAGCGCATTCTCGTAATGCCACAGATAATATCGATGCCAGGGTAGGAAGAATGTCTGGCAAGACTGTCAGCTCATTTCCCATCAATTTCATAGGGATTTCCAGCAAGGCCAAAGAAGAGGACCGGGTGGTTTCGTACAGAGCCATGGTTCCTTGGCGTTTGCTGGATGTGGACGGCAACATAGTCATCGAATCTGCTCTTCGCTCCCGGAGCTTGGGCAGTCATCAGCCCGGGCTTGCCCATCAAGCACAAGACGGCGGATGTGTATTCTTGTCGTTCTTTATCCGCGAGGTCGCTCCTGTTGAGACAGATATTGTCAGCCGGGCGACGACACCATCAAGGGAAGCTTGCTCTAACCATTCTTTGCGCTTTACGGCCGTCTCCAACGTGCATCCACCCTGGGGATTCTTTGCTAGGTAGTCCTTCAGCTTTGACATGCTCTCCTCGGCTAGCTTGTCGACAGCATCTGGAGGGTAGGCGCCTGCCAGGGCGGATCCTACGAAGAGCGCCGCAATGCAAGGAAGGGACTGGAGCATTCTGAACCACTTGCTTGCCTTTCTCTCGCAATATTACAGGCAGGGGCAACTGTTGGGCAGTTCGGAGGCCAAAGGGCTTCCAAAGGTTTTGCAGTGGGCGAACGTGGGAGTCTGTCCATATATAGACACCTTCCCAGCTGGAATGGTGCCATCTGTTCACTGAATTCAGCCCAGCCACCGTGGTCGGTTCTCGGCAGGCAGTCTCTGCTGATTTCCCTGCATTGTTGCAATGCCAAGAGGTTTTCCTGGATAAGTTCGAGCGGCGGTATTGGCCTCTAGCGACCAAACGGGTATCGCGTCTTTTTGAGGGAGTGTCATATGGACAAGATCAGCAAGGTCTTTCTAAAAAATGGGTCTGGGCACCTCGCCGAAAGTCAGTGAGCCACACGGCGAAGGAGAATTAAAATCTGGGGTGCATCTAAGCGGGGCTCGTTTGGGCAGGGTTCGGTAAACAACCGAGCAACCTGCCGGCTGCTCGCACCTATATCTCGCAGTCACATCTGCCGCACAAGACACCACTATGGCACCAAATATCCACACCGCCAATATCCGCGTCCCTTTATTATAATGGGACATAAACAAGAAAGCCAATAGGTGAGAAACACTCGGTTTTAGTCTTTTCAGGCAAGGTGTGATCCAGCCAACCACCAACTCCATAGCCCTGTCCCCACCAAAATGCCATCTCAATTTTCCCGGGACAGAGTGTCTCCTGATAGGCCTCCAGTGAAAGAGCATCCACCGCGGCATATTCATTCAAGAGGGCTTTGGTCAAAACGACAAGGATCAATTGGGACACCATTCGCTGGAGACATAACAAAGCTAATTGCTTTCGGAATGCACATAATAAGGCCATCGCCAAGTCTACTAGCCCGAAGAAGAGGAGCGGGGTTTGCAATAAAATTGCCACACTCCCACACAACAAACAAAAGAGCTCATGCTGATAAACAATTCCATGCTGGGGAAGAAACGATGAGGCACAAAACAAACGTATTGAAGTTCAATCTTCACAAGTACTGGGAGCCTACCGCTGTCGAAGACAGGGCCACGGCACTCGATACGCCCCTGGCTGACTTCGCCACCTAAGTCTAGTCTCTTTGTGTGTCGAACAATAGAAGAAGGCTCGTTGCCATTTGTCCACTGTCCATGTGTCAAAGATGGAGGCCGAGCTCAGCCAGCTACCAAGCAACTCGTAGTATGCTACCAGGTTTCTTCGTCACCATGTCTTTACTTCAGATTTTGGCACGGCAGCAAGATGATGGCAGGGCATTTCGTGACGGTGAAATGCAGCGTGATGCTGCCAAGCTGGCTTTTACCGGGGCATACTTTGCTAACTCTAGGACGAAGAAGTTGGAGGGAGTCCTCGTTCTTTCTTTGTTTCCCCCGAACTTTCCGTTTTTGTTTCACTGAGGTGCAACCACCGGTGCACTTGGTTGAATTGACACCCAACCACAAATGCCAATTTCTGGTAACTTCAGGTACTGAGGTAACCATATCGGATCGCATTACACGCCCACCCCCGCGGAGTCCACGCCAAGTTCGCGCAGCCGTGTCTCTGTCCATATCCCTAGCTCGCCGAGGTACTCCACCGGGTCATCGCTCTACCAGACCTCCAATGCACACCAGAGGTGGCGGGCGTCTTTCCCTACCCGAACCGCACGCTCCCGGTCTGGGCCAGCGGCTTACAAGCTCCTATGACACAGGCAATCAGCCGTCCTCAATCCTAAAAGAGATGCAACGCTGTTCCGGGGGGACTCCTGAAATACCTCCAATATCTCGCCGCCCAGGGCTTGCAGATTTCAAGATATTCCCAGGTATTGTCGAGACACAAAGTACTGGCTATGCCTAGGGCGCCGTCGTCTTCGGCCGTGAGATCGGCCATCAATTTCATCAGCCGAACACCAGCCAAGAGTGCTGCAGTCATGCCCATTTTCGGGCCGGAGAAAATAGCGGGGATAATACGCCACTTTCCCACCCCTACCTAACGTTATCCAAGCCTCCTCGTCACGGATTATAGCGGTCGAGGTATTTCCCGTGCCCGAGTGACCCGGTGAATGGTTGAACACGAATCGATATAGACCGGTTTTGTTGCCTCCCGCAGGCAGCATGTGCGAGACCAGGCACAGAAGGGACTGCTTGGACGCCGCCGCCAACAGGCCCTCGGTAGTGTCATTACACTCCCACCAGGGTTACAACTCGCCTGGAGCTCTGATTTTCGACATGATATTCAGGGCGAAGAGGGCGAAGAGGGCGATGCAAAACTTACGTGTCGGCGATTCTCGTGTCCAGCAAAAGATTATTCTACGGTCAGCTTGCGGCAAACTCGGAAGGAATCTCTGGCCTGAACAGGGCGGTGTGGATGCGGGTTCCCTGGGCAAGAATTATCGTCCTCAAAAAATCCGTGTCGGCATTGAACGGAACACATTAGGGAGCGTGGTATCTCGGCAAATAATAACTACCAACCTTTAATCCTGGGCCGAGTCCGGGCTAGATTTCTCTTTTACCTTCCGCCATCTCGAAGATGAAAAGGCTGACAAGCAATCTTCATAGTAACAAAAACCTTTAGTTGACGTACTTCGAAATCGAGACCGGTGGGATTGTAGCGCAGCGTTATTTAGCCGCGTTGGGGAAACATCAAAGTCCCGGGCCGCCAGGGAGCACTGCCACCGTCAATGAAAGAGTCACAGAGTACTTTTGCAGGCAGATATGGGATATTAATTTGCCCACTGGCAAGTCATTCACCTGAAGCACCGCTGACATCTTCATATCTCTCTCAATTCGTCAGCAAAAATCAGCCCTAGATAAGCCAAACCTCTCAGCATGACGAGTCTTTGCCATTTCTATAGCCCCTACATGTGAGACGTACACAGCACGCGTTCTCCCGTCAGCCGCTCTACTTTGACCTGGTTCACCATGTTTCTCAATCTCTCCGGGGAGATGGACTGTGCCAAGTCCAACGAAACCTACTGGCAGACTGCCGCAGATCCTGATGTCGCAGGAATTGGGGTCAGTAGTTATTTGTCCTTCAACATAGTCTTAATCAGAACTCCCCGAATGTACTGCTGGTAATGCAACTGACTTACCACACCCAGATAATGCTGTTCCTTTTGACAATGACGGCTCTCTCCCACGTGGCATTAATCGTGGCGTATTTCAGTTTTGGACTCCCACAGGCAGCATATACAGCTCTCGACATGCTTGTGGTGGCCCAAGTTAGATCCAAGTTGTTTCGGATCGCTCCTGTGCCTACCGAGTCAGACGCTCTTCGAAGGGCACGTGTTGCCGGCTTTGAAGCCTTATTTTGTCTTTGAGCAACCAGAGCCTCGTCATAGGCATTGCAATACTGGTCGCCGTCTTCACGCTGCTCTGCAGCATCTCCAACTTTTCCATGATCATCGGCTCTGATCTCGCCTTTTTTGCGACAAGCGCTCATGTCTTGACTCTGGTAGCACTTCAAGATTACTTTCCGCCCGCAGACTGGAAAGATGGCTTCGGATTCTGTGTATGATTACACTCGTCGCCCTCTTAAGGGCTGCCTTCTTTCTACGAGTGTTCGCGGGGGCTTGTGGAAATTCCCTCGCCTGTGCAGTTCAATCTTGTGACTTCTTATATTGGGTAGCCGTCACGTTTATCTTCATCAACGCATATTACAGATTCGTTCCTCAAGGAATCATGGGTTATTCATGGCCCACGGGCGGACAGGCACGTATGCGAATACGGCCATGGCTGTCCAACGTGCTCACCGGCCGCAACCCGAGCTTTAAGCAAGATATCACCTGCTATCTAATCGAACAATCCGAAAAGCGAAAGGGTGGCGAGATCAGAATAATCGACAACTGGATTGCGTTAGACTCCTTAGCGGTTCACCGAATGTCAACTTGGCGGCACATTTGGAGATTGAAATCCCTCCTGATAGTCTATACTTTGGAAGAGACTTTTCCGCCTCAACTAGAAGCAGCATCTCCTTTACGATCCAGGTGTTTCTTTATGGCATTGTCCTACTCGCCCTGCCTTGTCTATGTGCTATAGAGACTATCGTCAGTGTGTACTCCCCACACCACGTCAGTTTTTTTACGAGCTAATCTACTTTTCTTTGCAGATATGAACACCTCAGGCAATGATTCCAAAACCAACGCCGCCAACGATACTATGGACATAAGCCCCGCCAGTCAGGATCCCAACGAACAAGCTATACCAAATTCACCTTTACATAGAATACCTGTGGAGATACGGAGTAGAAGCTATGCGAGTAGTCCGTCATCTGAGCCAGACTCGAATATTGAATCGCAAGAGAGTCAAACCATAACTGGACATCCAACGGTGCGCCCAACAGCACAACCGGCCGAGCAACCGGCCGGAGATCTGACTGAGCCATCGTTGTCACGTGATGCTCCAGGTAAACGTGTCGTCCCAGGACATGGCGCAAAGGAAGTTACTGTTGAGGAATTCTATCTTTGGGCAACCCTGGTTTTTGTCATGACATCTGGTGTGCTTTTTGTCTTTGGGTACTCATTCACCGTGTATATTATATTTGGCCTAGGGACGGCTGGTTACACTCTCCATATTTTCATTATTTGTCGTGAAACCATGAAAATTAGGAGGAAGCGGTCCCAGCTAGCTACAGTGGACGTATAATTTGGGTAGTATTGATATTCGTCCTCCTCCTCCTAGCCTGCAGGATTCCCACCAGTACGCTGTGGTTGCAACTCATACTTGGGCTGTAAAGTCCCCTGTATCATTTGCGACAGGTTTGACCCCGTAATGGGATGGTGATACAAACGATGGAGCAAACAGGAAGAACAAGCAGGGGGAAACCGACGAAGGTTTGATGAGGGCCCAAACGCTCAATCTCAATGGAAAACAAGCACGCCAGGCTGACAGAACGATAGCGGAACTTGTGAAGTAGTTTAGACTGCGAGTTAGTATGTCGAACACCTGTGATATCTATTTTAGGCACCCCATAAAGCTTGCTTTTGCATCTCGGTGGGAGCGGTGATGGCCGGCACATGTCTGCAGTGCGAAGTCATCTTCTCAGACGCTTCTTTAGCTTTTCCATAGCTGGATTTTCTATCTATTTTCTTCTCTCTCGCTGTTTCTTCACAGACATAAAACCTACCCATAGACTTCAGGGAGCGCATCAGCGTAGAGACAGGGTAGGGAGACGGACGTGCTCGATATGTCGTGTCGTCGGGTCGGGCCGACATCGGAGAAGGGCGCACGCGGGCCCAGCCGCCCGTGTGCCAACCACGCTTCTCGGCCCGTCTGGCCATCGCCACTTGTTGAGATTACCGGAGACAACAAGGCCATTGACATGTGGTAAGCAGGCATACGGCTGCGAGTTACCCCGAGGAACCGGTCAGGGGATAGACCGGAACTTGGCATTGCCACGATGGAAGAGGGGAGCCGGGACCTGGTCCTTCTTTCCGTCTGACACGTGCACGATAACATTGGAGGCGAAGTTTCCTTGGCATCAATGCGGTGGCTTTCAGATAGCCATTGCGCCGATGACGAAGCCATCTCCATAGTACAGCAAGCCGGCTGCCGAGACTTCGTTAGTGATTATTGAGGCTCCGAGCCTCGTACGGCCTGCGCTGCACCGGCACTAGCGGCCGTGGTGATGTGCCTCCGGCGCGGCGGGTGACACTAGCACGACGTGCGACGCCGTTTATGTGCGGTGTTGGTCTTGCCAGCTACCGCAGGGCGTAGGTGGCTTCATCGGGGGCGGCTGCAGCGGCAGCGGAATTCGTATTACCCCACTCAGGCAAGTCGTGCAACCGTCTTTATCAGGCCCGGCTACACGTCCCTGCGCCACTTCTCGTCAGAGGGCCGTGGCAATTGCACTTGCCACACCACGGAAGAACACGCAGCGGGCCTAGACGCTGCCAGGAACATGCAGGTGTCTCTCTTTGTCTTTCTCCAAGAGATGCGTGATTAACAGGCTGCCTATCCTGCACGTGTTCACGAGAGGTGGCTGAAAGACCCAAGTGCGCTTAATAACACGCCCAGCGAGATTCGTGGACCGGCGACGGTGACATCGGTTCCTGGCCCACCATTTCCCCGTGCCAAGTACTTACACCCTACCTACCCCGTCCCAAACCTAGCAGCGACGTGACGTGATGTTGGACAGCGAAAGGAAAATACTGGGGCCCGACCCCTGCCCATTGGACAATAATTACCCTAGAGGGTGATAATTATTTAGCCCTGTGGGGAGAAGGTGGAGGAGGAATACCTAAGAGGCTAGTAATAACAACGGAACGGGCAGGGTAGCCGCAAACACCCCCCCCCCCCCCCCCCGGCGATGCCACCCCACCCAATGAGGGGCGCGCCGGGTGAAGCGCCGAGCACCTCGCCCGAGGAAGCCCCGAGGGTAAAATCCATTATAACAAAAATGTTAGTGTGCCCCCATTGAACGTGTGTGTTTGTGTGTGTGTGTGTGTGTGTGAGTGTGTGTGCGTGTGTGCAGTGCAGTGCAGTGCCCAGCACATCTGCCGGCCTGTGTGTATCTGCTGCTCAGTGCTGCGCCAAACCTGATCGCTGCGCTGATCGAACCGGGTTGAAAGGATCGGGGGTTTCTTGGCCTGGAGGATCGAAGGGAGGACCGCCTTGGCACCCTGGGTGGCAGGGATGCATAGAGTCTGGGGAGAATTGTGCAGCCAGGGCCCAGGGGGGCGAGGGCGAGTGCTCTCGGCATTGCTGTTTGGGACAGTCCAGGCCCGCTGATCCGGAGGGGCAGCCTCGCGGGACTCGTCGGCCCACGAGATGATACGTGTGCCTGGCTGCCTCGCCCTGTGGTGGCAGCTGCGCTGCACAATGAATAATATCAGAGTGTCCCATCCGCCGCACCATTTTTGGTAGCACACTAATACTGATGTCGTCTCTGCTTCTTGCGGCGGTAGGTAGGGTGTGCTGCTATCTAGTATCTACACGTGGGGAACCGGACAGTTCGGGTTCGGGGACCTGGACCTGGACCTGGACCTGGACCTACTGCTTCGGGCCACCATGTGTGTATGCCATGTGGTCTCCTGACGCACGTCGTGATCGGCGCAATCGGGAGGTGTGGGTGGCGAGAAACCGGTCGAGGGCCAGGAAGGAACGACAGGTGAGCACGAAATACGCTTGTCCGCTGCGGCCAATGTTCCGCGCACCCCAGTGGTGGTGAGATATGTATGTGTGTGTGTGTGTATGTGTGTATGTGTGTGTGTGTGTGTTGGTGATATGTATTTATGTAGATATATACAGATTGAATTAATCCCAGATGAAGCCATCCTTGGTAAACAATGAGTTTACACATCCAAAAATGCCAGCCACGCGGCTGTGCGTCGAATCCCAAATTTCTACTCCGACGCTGAAATCCACGCCTCTTCTTTTCCAACATGAAGTATTGAAACATGTACCAAAAATGAAGAATGAAGATGGGAGTGAAAACAAGCCAAAAACTCTACTCGCGCGCTATGTCTCTCTCTCCCTCCCTCTCTCTCCCTCCTTCTCTCTCCATGCTGCGGGGGATGATTTCTACCCTTTCCCATCAATGCTGCCTGGCTCTGTGCCAAGTCTCTACTTCGATCCATGCTACATGTTTCTCCTCTCTCTCTCCGTGCAAATGTGTGTGAGAAACGATAACTCCAGCAAGGCGATGCACTATCCGAGTTCCCGGGTTATTTATCGTTTCTCAAAAGTCCCACAGAGTGCCAAATGCGTGTAATCCGGCTGCGCCATCAAAATGTTAGCAGTCTCGCCACGAATTTTTCTGGTGTCTTGTCGCAACGTACCTGCACGGCAGCCTTGCATCATCTCGTCATTGCCCTGCATGTTGGAAGTGATGAAGATGACCTCGGCCCCAAAGCTCTCCCACGTGTCTTTGAGGAGCCGCATTGTGTCGGGCCGCCCTCCCTGCTTCTTGGTGTCCCAAAGAATCATCCTCTCTGGCTCAATGTTGTCACGGATCAGGCGCGTTATCGTCGGCCCGAACGTCTTTTCCTGGTTAGACCCTATCCAAATGAGGAACCTGTTGACGAACAATTAGCAAGCCTGGCCGAACTGCGAAGCTTGATGAAAGTTGCTTCTGGACTCACCAATTCGGGCTCTGGATGCATGTAGACAACGCCGCCCCGATTCCGGTTCCAGTGCAGACGCGAATGCCTCTCTTGAACATGGCAGATGCGTGGCCGACACCGGCTATTGTTCGTCGTGTTAGCAACTTCTCTCTCGTTGCCGATTTTCCCAGAAGACGTACCAAATTTCAACTCCCGGGTCCACACCGTCTTTGGCGGGTCAGCAACGAGGCCCTTGGTGAAATCCCCCTGAACGCCGCAGATCATGTAGTGGTACTGGGACTTCCGTCCCTCGCTGATGATGCCGAAGGCGTGATACTCCATAATAGAGGTGCGGCTGATGCGGCCTAGGAGTCCCTGCTGCATGCCGCGGTTGAAGCGCAGGATGGCGACCTTGGGCGAGGGCTTTGATGAAACCGCGTGTCAGTCAAAAAGGACACGAGGCATTGCATTGCAGTGGAAAGGGGGACCCACAATCTCAACCTCGACGGGCACTTCTCGGAGCGTGACCCAGGGGATGAGGACACTGTACAAGAAAAAAAAAAGACAACAGCATTAGCGCCAAGCTCTGGGCACAAACAGGGGGGGTCGGGTGTTTTTCCACGTACAATACCGTCATGAAAACGGCAAACCACAGCTCCTGGGCGCTAAGCAGCGAATTCGCATCGGCCCTCCACTCGCCGAGCTTGATGTCGTAGGAATTCCCTAGAATGACAAAGACCCACGTCGTCTGTTATCGCCATTGGTCAGTTTCTGTTGCCTTCCCGCAGATGTGGATGGTGAGGGGACAAGAATACGCACTGCGAGCCCCATCCACCCGACGAAGCGGTGGTGCCTCTCAAACACATTATGATGGTAGCTGAGCCAAGAAAAAAAAACCCGGGGTTAGCAAGCCGATATATGGTGCAGGAGAAGTAAATGACTCACTTGCGGACCCAGGGGAAGGCGCTCAGCACCGAGATGATGACGAGCACGTTGGTGACCAGCCCAGCAGCGATCACGGCAGGGTGCTGCATGGCGCGATAGCGAATGATGTCGACCACCTTGTACGCGAGCCAGCTAGATGGGACGAGAAAAAGAGGATGTTAGGGCCGATTCGCCTGCAGCGTGGGGAGGGAGTGGATTGGGTGGTCGGCCTTACCCAGCGCCCGAGAGGGCGCACCCGGAGTGGATGCCTCCGACGTGCTGCAAGACCGAAGTCACGGCGAGCTTGACGCACAGCGGGGCCCACTGCAAACAACGCAAACTTGCGGGTTAGCTAACACGTCGTCACGATTGTTGACGGGGGCAGTGTTTGAGGGAGAATGAAGGGGGGAACATACGCTTCGCAGGCCGTAGATGGCAATTATGTAAAGGAACCGCAGGAACAGCTCGTTGCGCATCAGGATGGCGCACAAGAGGTTGCCCAGCACGAGGGCGCCGAGATGGTCCTCGGCGTAAGAGAAGCGGCCGAGGGCGGCCAGGATGATTCCCGTCAGGTTGAGCAGGGTGACGAAGGTGAAGAACTTGCGGTACGTGTTGAACCACAGCACGAAGAGGATCCAGCGGCTGACCTTGTCGAGGGCCGGCGCCGGCGTCTTCTTGGCGGCCGGGTCCGGCACCATGGCCGTTTTGGAGCTGGAGACCTTCCAGCCATTGGGCCATGCCAGCGACAGGGCCGGCACGCTCGAGAAGGGCGTGATGCCCTCGTGGACAGGCGAGGCGGGCGACGCGAAGGTGGCGATGGTCGTGTCCTTTTCGTCCATGTAGGCCGCCGGCGGGAGCACTGGCAGGTTCTGCGTGCCGTCATAGATGCCTTTCTCTGCGTCATCGAAGTCCTGGTGCGTGACGGTGGCCTTGCCCCGAGTCCATTCTGAAGACATGTCGTACCGTGACCCTTGAACCTCGACCTTGGGCCCTTCCGAGACGCAGACAAGCTCGACGGCCGAACGGGGGGTGACCTGGGATGGCAATCACCCGCCGACTGCCAGAGGGCTGGGGCGGGTAGCGACCTTTCGTGGAGCTGATGTGGATGTGTTCGATATTATGGACGAGTAAGAGGCGTACGAGCGGGTGGTGGTATAGGCGAGTGAGGAGGTGAACTGTTTGTTTACGAACTCGAGGCTCGACCAGAAGAGGGTGCCTGTGGATGGATGGCAAGGATGGGTGGTGTCAGGGGAGGCGTTCGTTCCAATGATATAACGATCCCGGATCCAGGGTCGCAGTGAACCTTGAGGGGGGAGGTGGATAGACTGCGGCAAGTATAATGTAGATAAACCCCAACCAAGAGTGCCAGGGCAATGCAGAGAGGTTGGCGGGATGGAGGGAAAGCCCGGTGGTCTAGATGGGACGCGACCTGGACGTTTAAAAGTTGATTCGACGGTTGGAGCTAGTCCGAGGTAGTGCCTGGTGTCGGTGGATCGGCGGTGACGGTGGTGGAAGAGGTGACGCTTGGCCTGGGGCTAAGATAGGTAGTCCAGTCCATAGCCCCGAGCCCGTCGAGCGACGGTCGATTCCGTGGGTCAACGGCTCCATGGCTCCATGGCTCTATGGCTAGGCTGTCTGTTGGTCTAGTTCATGCTCTTGGCACTGGCATCTATGGGGCTGCGGCGGCGTCTGCCGAGAGACTAGGCTCGATGCTCCGTCACCAAAAACGATATGCCGGTGGTGCTGGGGGTGGCGGCGGGCCCTAACGCCCGACTGGGTGAAGTCGGCCATCCAAGGCAGTTGCAGACTCGCCGCCAGTGCCGCACCAGCGAGTAGTGAGTGGGTGGGCGCAACGGCTTTGCTTGAACATCCACGGGCAGCTTGTGCGTTATTGGTCTTATTGCGCCAGGGGGGGCCGCCGTCCCAATTAGGTCGTCAGATCAATATCCGAAGCGAAATTTTAGATTTCTGGCTTTGTGCCGCCGTCCGCAGCCTAGGTCCGCAGCCTAGGTCCGCTCCCCATTCTGCGCTGCTGTCATAGGTGCAGTGCTGAGCGCAGCGCCCGCGACAGTGCTGGCCGCTGTCTCTCCGCGATTTCGAGCAATGCCGCGATTTATCCAAATTAACCCCGGATTCCAAGGCACTCGCTGCACCCCACGCCTCGACACGTGAGAGCCCGCATCGTAGATTTTTTACCGGTCTCCAGAGCCTGAGTAATGTCCAGCGTTGATCCGGACGACGGGAGCCTAGTTCTGGAGATGCCCTGATGCTGCATCCACGGATGACGATGGCTGCACGCATTCCTGCCTGCCATAACACACAGTCTGCAGCACACCACCTCGTCGAGCATCTCTCTCTGAATTTGCCAAATTTGAGGCAGAACCGGGTAGAAATGGTTTTGATTTACCTCTGGATGCTACCTTGTGCGGGATCGCGTCTCAGGCACACGCGCGCCACGCACGCACGCAGCTCGATCGATCCTGTATATATATGTGTGTGTGTGTGTGTGTGTATGTTTGTGCGCGCGCGCGCGAACGTGCGGGTGTTCGGACCAGTTCGCGCCCGGAGAAATGAGAAGAAAAAATGCCCAGCAACCAGAGAAAGCTTATTTACCCGCGCCCCGGGGAAGATCCCCAGATTTGGCGTGTTTTGGATTTCGGCGCTAATAGCAATAGGGATCCATCCATCACTCCCAACAAGGGCAGCGCGCGCACCCTACGTTCGTTCCCGCCCGTTTGGCTCGCTGAGCAGCACCACGCCAGAGTCGGACGATGTTCTCCTCCCTTGGTGTGGGGTTTTGTGGGTAACGGCCCATTGCAGCCCTCATCCACACGAACCACTTTTCTGTAAAGTGAAAATCGTATATGCTAATGCAGCCTTATTCTGTCTAGTTGCACGTAAGTCGGCGCCGCGACGGCTAGCCGTTTACTAACGCCCGCGTCGAGACAGACGGCCAAACGTAAAAGCCATTCCGAAACACGTCTTCTCCCGACGGCCTCTCGACTATGACGACGTCCCGTTTTCGTGGGACCCAGTCCTAGTCCTAGCGCGCTGACTGCCTAGTGCCTAGTAGACGTCATCTTGGCTAATATGCAACTACTTCGAGCGTGCATCTAACAGTCGGCACTTGTCGCCCGCACGACGAGCCGTCCCAAGCCCCCAGCTACTGCTAGACACACGGCTTAATCCTCTAGTGCTAACCTGGCAGACCCACCGTGCCTAGAGCCAACGCTTCCCCTGGCTCGCTCACCTTGGTGGTCTGCCAGCTGGTCCCCTTGCGGGCTACCGTCGGCCCGGTGTTCAATGTTGTTTATTGCCTGCTTGTTTAATTCCGCTGCCCGAGTCAACCCCCTCGGCTTTTGCGGCAGGCCTCGTCGACCGAGGCACCGAGCTCGTCTCCAGCAGTATCCACTCATCCCCGTCTGCCCTAGACAGAGTCTTATTGCCTGAATCCTCTCTCGGCCACGCCAGAAATCCCTACCCGGCTACAGAGAAGCACCACGGCCAAGCAGAGCACACCCAGTACCCGAGACACGGCAGCCGACAACCATGTCCCAGCTGCGGTTTCAAGACAGGAAACAAGACACCGCCGTCCACAGCCAAGCGTCATGTGCACGGGTTTCAGAGAACGACAAGCACTCGCTGATCTGGGGAGTGCGAGGCAAGGCGCGGGTTGCTGCCAATATGTGCTCTCAGGAAGGAATTCGCGCTCCAGCGTGTGGCGAACAAGCGTCAGATCACTGAGTCCTTTGCATTCGCAGGCTGGGGGTGGTCTCTCAGCATGACCAGGTAGATATGACTAGATAGATATGACTAGATACCAATGTAGGTAGCCACCAGCTACCTAATTAATAAACAATTCTCCGCAAGTCCAGCCTCGAAAAATGCCGCGTTGTGCCCACACACATTGAGCACTTGAGACGCTCAGTGATCTGTGTCTAGGGGAGGGGCGCGAAGCACGCGCAGGCCGTCGTTCTGGGGCTGGTTCGCTTGTCGCCAGCGCCGGGAAGCGCAAGGGGTTTGGCTCGTTCATGCGAAGAAAAACGCCTCGACAGACCACAAAAGTAGCTTTCAGTTCTTCTGCGTGGACGAGTTCTCAGCCGGGTCCGTACGGGAGATATGCTTGACAGAGTTACCTTAGGAAGCACTACGATCCTAGATCTGATCTTCATAAGCAAAGGAAAATTTGTTTTGATAATATTGTCAAGCATACCAAACGTACCTCTCACCTGGGTGAGGCATAATTAGGAAAGAACCATTTATGGGCCTCGAACCGCGGGCGGGTGGAATTTGTAGGCCATGTCAATCCGCCTAAGAGCATCGGCCGACGCCGTCCAAGGCCAAGGGAGCAATCCTTAAACAATTAGAAGTTTTGGGGTCTTGGTCGCCTTCGTCCTTTTTTTTTATCCCGGAGAATTCCCCTGCTCTTCCTGCTCTCGGCGCACCCGGAGGGCTCGGCAATCGGCCTCCCCGTCCCCACTCGAGATAGTGGACGGGGTTGATTCCGGTTATCTTCTTGTACACGCGATAGATCATATGCGCGCGTTCGCTGATGTCCTCGTGAGTGGCCGGCGAAGGCTGACTCGCAGCTGAGATGGAGAGGTGACTTTCGGCCCCTAGGACTGGAAAGCCCCGAAATCTCCGTCTGGTAGAAGACAAGGGGAGGGAAACAAAGATGACTTGTCTGGTGAAATCCCTGCGGGGAAGAGGACGAGGAGGAACTGGTCTTGTGAAATCTGCGCTCTTGTGAAATCTGCGCCTGGGAGAGGGTAAGGGAGATTCAAGTTACACGTTGGCTGCAGCAACCCATCTCTGGTGCGCCGCCGAGTTGAGGTGTTTTTTTAGGTGTGCCTTCATATTAAAGGCCTTGTCACAGGCGGCACAACAGTGAGTCTTGTTCCCCCTATTGCGGGCGCAAAATCTCCTAGACATAAATTGAAGACCAGCTATAATACCAACTCTCACGGGCTATGAATGCCGAGGAAGAAGGCACGAAGCAGGTAAGAATCGAGCAAGGACATGGATTTACTAGCTTGACTGCTGTTTGCTGTTATGCTATATCGTGCAGAGCATGAATTACGACTGGCCCAGCATTGAGTCTCCAGTGAGGCATTTGACGCCTCATCCCTCCCTACGACAAATAGTCAAGCACCGAACTGGGTGCTATTTCTCATCCATGGCTTCTTCATTCTTAGGTTTGGATCCCTTGTGAGAAATCGTCACCCTCTAGCAACCGTGTGGGATACGTCGTCAATTTTTAACAGGCCAAAGTGCAACCCGATATGCTGCCAAAACTGATTATTTCGTTGCTGGCAGCTGCGTTGTACTTCTCAAGAAGAAGCCGGCGGGATGCTTCGGTGGCTGGTCTCATAACCAGCCTATCCGCAACAGGTTTGGGATAGACTGCCGTGGCTGGTGCAGGAGCTGATACGGCATTAGTCTACTCCCTGTAGGCCATCCTATTCTTCTTCCCCCTTGTTCCATTTTGTTGCATCCTAGCTACCAATAACGGAGTCTCCTGCTCTTTTCTTGCTCTCCTGTTTTCACGTTGTCCTTGACCTCTCAACTTTGTTGGCGTGGGCGCCTCTGCCTTGTCTGTCTGAACCGTTGTGTACTTAGTTGACGTCTCTATCTAGATTAGTTGAACTGTTGCCTACGACGAACAAGGAGGAAACGGCGACGGGACTGCTCTCTCGTTTTTTGTTCCGTTGGGGTCAGGAAGAACGCGTTGGCAACAAGGAAGGACATGGGCAAGAAGGTTACAAAGAGACAAAGGCATTTCTATTTCGCACATGTATATACACGAACACGTCAATTAGGAAGTCAGGAGGGAGAAAGGCGTCATTCAAGACGTCGGAAGAAGGGTGTCCCGGTCCCGTCGAGGGCAACGGGACGAGTGAAAAAGGGCATTGATACGGCATTGGTCAGCTGCCACCTGGATCACTCACTTCGACCA